GGGGGTCGGTCATTTTTGTGCCGGATTTTCAGTGCGGGATTTTTAGTGTGGGACAGTCAGAGACAATTGATCACTGGACATTTGGTCCAGGGACAATTGATCAGTGGACATTTGATCACTGGACATTTGGTCCCTGGACAATTGATCATTGGGACAATTGATCACTGGACAATTGATCAGTGGACATTTGATCACTGGACATTTGGTCCCTGGACAATTGATCATTGGACATTTGGGTCAGGAAGGGGGGGGGGGTAAATCAAAGATCAAAGTCTAATCAACGTCTAAGGAAGCCTATGCCTAGTGCCCTACTGTCTACACCTATTGAATAAGAACCCGTGCCTTTGGATATAACTCGGAGGTATGAAAGCCTGAACCTATGGAGAGATATTTTTTTAAAAAGGGGGGTCGGTCAGTTCAGTGCGGGATTTTGAGTGCGGGTCATTTTTGGATGCGACATTTTGAATGTCGGACGAATTGGGGAGTGACATTTTGAATGTCGGACGAATTGGGGTCTGACATTTTGTCTGTGGGACGAATTGGGGAGTGATGTTTTGTCTGGGACGAATTGGGGAGTGATGTTTTGTCTGGGACGAAATGGGGAGTGACGTTTTGTCCGTAGGACAAATTGGGGAGTGACGTTTTGTCTGGGACGAATTGGGGAGTAAATTTGGGTCAGAGTTGGATGTGGGGAAGAAAGGTGGGTCTTATAAAATAGGTGTGGACAGTAGAGTACCATATTGGGCCCGGGGGTTCATTAGAGTACCGAGTCGGGGCCGAGGGGTCACCAGAGTAGGGCCAGGAGAAGTTGTAGACGAGTAGCAGGCACAGTTGAAGTTGTAGACGTTTGGCAGGAGCAGTTGAAGTTGTAGAAGTCTGGCAGGAGCAGTTGAAGTTGTGGACGGGCCGATGAGTGAAGGAGGGGGGGGGGGTTCTAGGTCTAATCTAAGGTCTAAGTGCCCTACTGTCTACACCTATTGAATAAGAACCCGTGCCTTTGGATATAACTGGGAGGTATGAAAGCCTGATCCTATGGAGAGGATTTTTGAAAAAGGGGGGTCGGTCATTTTTGTGCCGGATTTTCAGTGCGGGATTTTTAGTGTGGGACAGTCAGAGACAATTGATCACTGGACATTTGGTCCAGGGACAATTGATCAGTGGACATTTGATCACTGGACATTTGGTCCCTGGACAATTGATCATTGGGACAATTGATCACTGGACAATTGATCAGTGGACATTTGATCACTGGACATTTGGTCCCTGGACAATTGATCATTGGACATTTGGGTCAGGAAGGGGGGGGGGGTAAATCAAAGATCAAAGTCTAATCAACGTCTAAGGAAGCCTATGCCTAGTGCCCTACTGTCTACACCTATTGAATAAGAACCCGTGCCTTTGGATATAACTCGGAGGTATGAAAGCCTGAACCTATGGAGAGATATTTTTTTAAAAAGGGGGGTCGGTCAGTTCAGTGCGGGATTTTGAGTGCGGGTCATTTTTGGATGCGACATTTTGAATGTCGGACGAATTGGGGAGTGACATTTTGAATGTCGGACGAATTGGGGTCTGACATTTTGTCTGTGGGACGAATTGGGGAGTGATGTTTTGTCTGGGACGAATTGGGGAGTGATGTTTTGTCTGGGACGAAATGGGGAGTGACGTTTTGTCCGTAGGACAAATTGGGGAGTGACGTTTTGTCTGGGACGAATTGGGGAGTAAATTTGGGTCAGAGTTGGATGTGGGGAAGAAAGGTGGGTCTTATAAAATAGGTGTGGACAGTAGAGTACCATATTGGGCCCGGGGGTTCATTAGAGTACCGAGTCGGGGCCGAGGGGTCACCAGAGTAGGGCCAGGAGAAGTTGTAGACGAGTAGCAGGCACAGTTGAAGTTGTAGACGTTTGGCAGGAGCAGTTGAAGTTGTAGAAGTCTGGCAGGAGCAGTTGAAGTTGTGGACGGGCCGATGAGTGAAGGAGGGGGGGGGGGTTCTAGGTCTAATCTAAGGTCTAAGTGCCCTACTGTCTACACCTATTGAATAAGAACCCGTGCCTTTGGATATAACTGGGAGGTATGAAAGCCTGATCCTATGGAGAGGATTTTTGAAAAAGGGGGGTCGGTCATTTTTGTGCCGGATTTTCAGTGCGGGATTTTTAGTGTGGGACAGTCAGAGACAATTGATCACTGGACATTTGGTCCAGGGACAATTGATCAGTGGACATTTGATCACTGGACATTTGGTCCCTGGACAATTGATCATTGGGACAATTGATCACTGGACAATTGATCAGTGGACATTTGATCACTGGACATTTGGTCCCTGGACAATTGATCATTGGACATTTGGGTCAGGAAGGGGGGGGGGGTAAATCAAAGATCAAAGTCTAATCAACGTCTAAGGAAGCCTATGCCTAGTGCCCTACTGTCTACACCTATTGAATAAGAACCCGTGCCTTTGGATATAACTCGGAGGTATGAAAGCCTGAACCTATGGAGAGATATTTTTTTAAAAAGGGGGGTCGGTCAGTTCAGTGCGGGATTTTGAGTGCGGGTCATTTTTGGATGCGACATTTTGAATGTCGGACGAATTGGGGAGTGACATTTTGAATGTCGGACGAATTGGGGTCTGACATTTTGTCTGTGGGACGAATTGGGGAGTGATGTTTTGTCTGGGACGAATTGGGGAGTGATGTTTTGTCTGGGACGAAATGGGGAGTGACGTTTTGTCCGTAGGACAAATTGGGGAGTGACGTTTTGTCTGGGACGAATTGGGGAGTAAATTTGGGTCAGAGTTGGATGTGGGGAAGAAAGGTGGGTCTTATAAAATAGGTGTGGACAGTAGAGTACCATATTGGGCCCGGGGGTTCATTAGAGTACCGAGTCGGGGCCGAGGGGTCACCAGAGTAGGGCCAGGAGAAGTTGTAGACGAGTAGCAGGCACAGTTGAAGTTGTAGACGTTTGGCAGGAGCAGTTGAAGTTGTAGAAGTCTGGCAGGAGCAGTTGAAGTTGTGGACGGGCCGATGAGTGAAGGAGGGGGGGGGGGTTCTAGGTCTAATCTAAGGTCTAAGTGCCCTACTGTCTACACCTATTGAATAAGAACCCGTGCCTTTGGATATAACTGGGAGGTATGAAAGCCTGATCCTATGGAGAGGATTTTTGAAAAAGGGGGGTCGGTCATTTTTGTGCCGGATTTTCAGTGCGGGATTTTTAGTGTGGGACAGTCAGAGACAATTGATCACTGGACATTTGGTCCAGGGACAATTGATCAGTGGACATTTGATCACTGGACATTTGGTCCCTGGACAATTGATCATTGGGACAATTGATCACTGGACAATTGATCAGTGGACATTTGATCACTGGACATTTGGTCCCTGGACAATTGATCATTGGACATTTGGGTCAGGAAGGGGGGGGGGGTAAATCAAAGATCAAAGTCTAATCAACGTCTAAGGAAGCCTATGCCTAGTGCCCTACTGTCTACACCTATTGAATAAGAACCCGTGCCTTTGGATATAACTCGGAGGTATGAAAGCCTGAACCTATGGAGAGATATTTTTTTAAAAAGGGGGGTCGGTCAGTTCAGTGCGGGATTTTGAGTGCGGGTCATTTTTGGATGCGACATTTTGAATGTCGGACGAATTGGGGAGTGACATTTTGAATGTCGGACGAATTGGGGTCTGACATTTTGTCTGTGGGACGAATTGGGGAGTGATGTTTTGTCTGGGACGAATTGGGGAGTGATGTTTTGTCTGGGACGAAATGGGGAGTGACGTTTTGTCCGTAGGACAAATTGGGGAGTGACGTTTTGTCTGGGACGAATTGGGGAGTAAATTTGGGTCAGAGTTGGATGTGGGGAAGAAAGGTGGGTCTTATAAAATAGGTGTGGACAGTAGAGTACCATATTGGGCCCGGGGGTTCATTAGAGTACCGAGTCGGGGCCGAGGGGTCACCAGAGTAGGGCCAGGAGAAGTTGTAGACGAGTAGCAGGCACAGTTGAAGTTGTAGACGTTTGGCAGGAGCAGTTGAAGTTGTAGAAGTCTGGCAGGAGCAGTTGAAGTTGTGGACGGGCCGATGAGTGAAGGAGGGGGGGGGGGGTTCTAGGTCTAATCTAAGGTCTAAGTGCCCTACTGTCTACACCTATTGAATAAGAACCCGTGCCTTTGGATATAACTCGGAGGTATGAAAGCCTGAACCTATGTTGCGTTTTGGCACTTCAGTTTGGAATGCTATTCCAATACTGATTTTTGAGTCATTCGAGAAAAATCACGATTTTCAGAAGTGATAAAATGGAGGTCATTCTAGTTTGTTTAGTTTCGGAGGATAGACAAATGGCTTAAGCTCTTTGAGCTTGGATGAGTCGAGAGTGAAGTAGACCCGGGGAGAGGGAGGGGAACCCCAAACAATTAATATTTAACCACAAACAAAAAATGAAAAAATATACCACTTGTAAAAAAGGCGGTTTTGCAAACTTCTTACAGAAAAACCGCAAAAACCTTTTTTACAAATGGTAAGGATTTGTACTTTTCCGTTTGCCACTTAAATTTTTTCCAGTTTTGCTTAATTCTTGAAACCCTTAGGTCTTTGTAATTTCGGAAATTATTTAAAAAATTAGACAGAAAGAAAATTTGACGCGTAAACGGAAAAGCACTCAAAAAATATACATGTCATAAAAAATTTCACGACCTTTAAATGTGGCGGAAGCATCTTTGCCACATTTTAGCTTCACACATCTTTACAAATCATCACCAATTTGTTGCAGTCCAATGCACATTAATAACACCTCGCAAAAACTTGTCTCGGTGTAGCTGTTGATGTTTCAGTCATCTGCAACACTTGTACGAGTAATTTTTGCTGCGGTTGTTGTTTCATCTGCATCATAACTTTAAATAATATTTAAATGCAAAATTTGAGAGGAAATAATTATTATGAGGGGCAATACAAACCGCATATATCCCCATAACCCCTCGATATCCCTCAAAACCCGAATAACTATCCTGATCCGCTGATATTTATCTTAAAAACCACCCGAATCCCCCGATGAAACATTCATTGCTTTGGCGCCATTATTCCGGAGAAGCTAAGAAAATTCCCTATCCGTTCCGCCAACCATTCAATGCCCAGCACAGGCGGGGAATTTAAAAATTTTTTAGCTCATTGTCAGACCAAAGAAAATCTAATAATTCGCATAATGTTAATATCCTAATCTAAAAATAAACTTTGTACCCTTTAAAATCAAGCAACGTTCATTAGAGTTGGTAGTTCATGTTTCTTTCGGTTAAGGACGATTCAGTATCGCCGTTTAAGTATAGCCGATTCAATCATATAATAATTACAATATTGATCGAGCAAAAAGTTATGGCCAAAAAGTCCAAATACTGAATCGGCCAATACTGAATCGGCGATTCTGAATCGTCCCCTACCGTTTCTTTAGGGCCCCAAAACAGACGGCAATTTGTTAAAAAAATTGCTAAAAATCAAAATAAACTTTAAAAAATTTTCCTCAAAACAAGTAAAGCGTCGTAGCATGATGAATTGATGAAGTATCTCCAAGTTCTTGAATAGAATGCATTGCCAATTGAGGGCAGCCTACATCAATTGTCTGTCAATTTAAGTCTATTAGCAAGTATGAATCTTAAGAAAAACCTGAATTCCGAATTTGGCAGCCAAAACTGGTCCTACTGTTGACCCGCACAGTTAGTCGCTTTGTGCAACATGCTTCTGTTATTTTTGCAATTTAATCATAGAAAATAAATTTTAACAAAACCTGTATAGGGATCTCTGCCGATTCCGCAATTAATTTTAATGTAGAATGTGTTACTGCAGATGTTGCGTAGCGCTAATTTGCATTTATCTTGACAACTACGCCTTTATTGAAAGTTGGTTTGTGAGTCCTTTAAAATTATATATGAAAAAAGCGAGGATAAAATAAAGAAAACCTCATGTTTGTTTGCATAATTGGATGACAAGCATGCGCTCGATCAGCGCTAATCACTAAATAATGTTTGATAAGTTACGCAAATCAAATCCTCCGATAAATCTAAAATATACTAAACGGTAAGAACGGCCAATCGCACATTCAAAAGCATTTGGTTCATCAGGGGGGCCACAATACGTCGCATAAGCCATTCCATAAAATGAGAGGCAGCACCCTGTAAAATTGAATAAAAGTAAGAACTCCTCGAGATTCTTGTTTCTAACCTGTGCGCTAACACTTCCAACCTGAAATTAACAGTCTTTAAGATAAAATAAGAGAATATTAACCTCCTCGTTGTCAAAACAAGCAACTAGGCGAATATTTTGGTCGGTAGAGAATGCCTGTTCATCGCCCAAACTTTGTACCAGCCCATTATAGATGTGTAGGTCCCCACCAAATTGTCTTGTCTAGATCCAGAAATAAATTCTTCCTCAAGCCCGGTTAAATTCTTAAAAAAATTTATAGTGTCGATAATTAAAACCTTACAGCAGGCTGCGTATCAGACATATAGAGGTCTAAATCAAGAAGTTCTTCAGGCTCACAGCCAGCCAATTCGCCAATAGACTAAAAATGGCCAAAAATAGGAAAAAAATAGCAAATAAAATATAAATGAGAACAAAACCTTCAAAAATATATCATGATGATCGCCAGTAATTGAAATGCCGCTAATAAGCTGATCTTTATCAACTTTCTTCTCATCTTTATTGTTAGTTGAATTGTCGGATGAAACCTGGGCCAAAATTGGTCTCAGTTGCTGTTCAGAGTTGAACTCGAATTTACCTCGATCACTATACAGATGAATCGCCTAAAATAACTCAAACGTTAAAAGTATAAAGTAACAAACCAGGTTTGGAATATGAAGAACTGGCCTCCAAAAATCAATAAGTTTATGCAGAATCTCGCTTTGCGCCCCTCTAAAGATCACTTGTCCAGCAATACTGAGATCACGATCAAACCAAGATCGCCAAACACCACCCCACCATAAGGGTACTTGTAGGCTTTTAAACTCCGCCAACCGCAAAAGCAAAAATAAAAGTTCGTTTCTAAAATTTAGGAATATATTTAAAGCCCGCCTCTAAAGACCTACAACTTTTGAGAGTGAATATCGGAGGGTTTAGAGTGATTATGGGGATAAATACCCAGCTAGGGGGGCATATCGATGGCTTTGGTGGGATGGTGTGGTAGTGCGTCCTACTGTGTGGTAGTGCGTACCATAACTCTGGCCGAGTAGATGTCTCTAACCTCTTTAATCCCACCAAATCCAAAGATATGCCCTTAATCCCTCAATATTCCGTTTTGACATTCCCTTTCAAAATCTGAGGTCTTCAGGGTCAATAGGCTTCAGGGTTAACCCCATTTAAAGAAATAATCTAACAACCTCACTTTTTTATGTAGAATTTTCCTCTAGGTTGTACTTTAAGCCTTTGGTTCTCAAATAGCTCCACTAATCCGGCTGACTTCAAAATCGACTCACACGATTCAACAGCTAAAAAAGATACAAATTATTGTGTCTAAATTAAAATTACCATGAAATGGTGTTACTGATTTGTTTAAAAATGACAGAAAGGCTAGAGCAGATGTTCTAATTTGTTGTTTTACATCTTTTGAAACTGGTTTCCCAACTGATGCCATTTTTAATTTTAGAAAAATAAAACCTAAATAAGATAAATGACAATTTTAAATGGATCCATCAAGTTGGAAAAAAGATAACGCTTATCGATTGTCTCGAATGCTAAAAGATTTAGATGGGTTGGATTAGGTTAAAAAAGTAAAAATAATCAATAAATAATCAATACCTTTACCGCAATTAGTGCAAAATAATGAAGGAGGAGAAAATAGCAAAATTCTCCGGCTCCGGTACAAAATATCGACAGTTAAAATATCGTGGTTAAAATCTCGAATCGGCTAAAAATGGGTTAAATTATCGAAGCGATAAAATATCGAAACGTTAAAATCTCGACAAGGTTAAATAGGGTTAAAATATCGACGCCGATTAAAGGCAGTTGAGTCTGAACAAAATCGGATTTATTTTAGCACTTGCCTTTGTGCGCCGTAGGTAAAATTTGGGAAATTTCAAAAAGATAAGAAGGCCAAGGTCAAAAATCCAACTCTATAAAAATAAAGTAATGAGAAAAATACAGAAATTTCAAGTATATATTGCATTTTTCTTGAATATTTCATGCATATTCAGATATCTTTTCATATATTATAGTAAATATTTTGCATTTTTAGTGCATGAAAATCCTGTCTCTACAGATGTAATATTAAATACTTTACATTCTTGAGGATTGTTATTAGACTTATTTTAAAAACCTATTATTATTCTAATAAAATCGTACAATTTTGCCTTTTGTGTATTGTACATAAGTGCAATTGGCACTTGAAATTTGATATTTCATTCATATTTGACTCTTTTTTATTGCAATTGCTCATGCCATCTTGAAATGTAAAATTGAGTCGTGAGAGAATATAGCCCGTAAAAAATGCCGTTTTTGGAAAAATGTGTTTTATTCGGAAGCTTATCCAATTTCGTGTAAATAAAAACAGCTTTAAACTTTCAAAAAACGTCTGGACGTTCTTATAATAAATGTTTAGGAGAATAAGCATTAACAGATAAATATGGCATTTTTTTGGCGGCGATACCTCAATCCGTTTAACGTATATTATCCAACCAGCCGGTAAAAAAATCAAAATCAATCCGTAGCTTCTCTCTTTTTATTTCTTACTCTTTATATTTACTGGAATTTTGAGCAGAGATTATGGCCAGGCGGCATATTGGTTCTATCCTCATAAAAAGGTCTAGAGCAGTCATTATTTTATGTTTTGCTTTTGTTTATTTCCTTCCCATTTTCCTCAAAATCAGCTCTTGCAAGTTTGTTTGCTTCACCTAAAATATCACTTTTCAACTAATCGCCTCTAATGATGTTCAATCGTTTATTTTTAAATTGAATGACATTCTTTTTAATTCAGAAATTTATCAATAAGTTATTAAATATGCATATATTTAAGATTATAAACTAAATATAATGAACTAATGGATATTATATTTTGACAAAGCTTTGCAAATGTTTTCGCAATTTTATTCCTTAATTTTCCTTATTACTCTATTCTTTGTATTCCATCTACCGACTCTCTGTCTTAAACTGGAATTATTTCAATTTTCTGATGAATTACAACCAAGAATTTCTTTTTTTCAACATCCTATAAATCTCAAATTAGAAAATGCAATGCGTGAACTTCATCGTATAAATACAGATCGGGATACAATTAGTGTGAATAAAAAGCGTAGAGCTTTAAAACGTTAGTTTTAAATGTTAGATTTTGATAAACTCATTTAATATGGGATAACACAATTTTACACGGATATATAGAATTGAATAGAAACTTATTAGTTAATGGATTCAATACTGCAAAACGTAGACATATTTTGGTTCTTGACGCTGGTACAAGCATCAACGGGAGTCGTTGCATAATCAGTGCCGATCAAGCCGTACACTTTTGCGGATTTGCGGAAGAAGGTTCGACAAAAGTATTTATAATTGCTGGATTTAGCTTTTAATTAGTGTTTCGTTTATAATTTAATTTGTTTGTTGGTGTTTGTTTTGGCGTTCTGTTTTTAATGTTTAATACAGTGTCTCTAACTTTTTGAAACATTAAATAGCTCTAATTCAAGCGATTTAAATTTTTGTACAAGGAAATGATTACTCTCTCTGATAGCCCGTTTGCCTTAAAGTTTTTTTAAATATCTAGCTCTCAATCGTCTCAAGCAAATTACATCAGTTAAATTTTTCTTAATTGTTTTAAATTGCCGTACATTTAATTATTTTTCGTGATGTCTTGTTTCTTTAAATTAACTTTCTTATAGTCTTCTTTTCCAGTTAAAAGAAATATTTTAAATTTCAGTAAATGAACCACCAATTCTGCCACATCTTAACGGAATTTGTCAAAAGAGTTTAAAAAGCGAGCGAAATATATGCTATCCTCGCTATGAGGTATGGTATACATTAATTTAAAATTTAAAACTTATTCATTTAAAAGGAGTTGGACAGTAGCTGTACAGATGCAGCAACTAGCAATGAACGCTCGGGTTTAGTCGCTCCACCTGTCATTCCAAATGCTTTGTAATGTGTCAATTAAATTTAGTTATCCTTTTATTTTAGTGTACAAGTGATGGCCTTTGTCCCTCCAGACAATTTAAAAAGATTAATACGACAATATTATCGTAATCATGGAAAGCCCTATCCAAGGAACGAAACTGAAATTTATAGGTCCTTAATTATTTTTTATTTTTAAATCATATTTTAGTGCTCGCTCTTTTCTTTTTGTTAAATACGGATGTGATCCAGGATATGAATTGCAAGATGAGGCTGATACTATGTTTTGCCGTGATCGGGTTTGGGTGCAAACCCCTCCTATCTGCAAGGGGAAAGGTCTTTGTGAGGTGGATAATGGCGGATGTTCCCATTCCTGTTTGCAAATTTTTATCCATTTGACACATGAATTTCTAGGCATCTCATTCGAACAAAATAGAACTTTGGAATGCCGTTGTCCAAGAGGTTTAGTTTTAGATGCGAACGGAAAAACTTGCATCAAACCAGTTCCTAAAAGTTTATGTCGAAAGGTTTTTAACTTTATTTTATGTAACCTTTCTCCTTTAGCTTGCCGGATGCGTTTGTTCACCAGTAGATGAAAAGCAACTAAGTTGCTCTTGTCCGAACGCCGAAAAATGTCTGCTTGTGCATGGACGGCCGAAAGTATATCTGGACCCGCCTCCCGACTACCAAGTTAGATAGTTGTTTCTTAATTAGTTACAAACTACAAGGTGGAACCTGGAGGCAACTTGAATATTACTTGTTCTGCAGTAGCTTTTCCTTTCCCGGAGATTGTCTGGGAACGGGAACAAGAAGATACAACCCGAGGAAGAGCTGATGTTCATCTTACAACTACCGGAACTAATATACGAAGCGAGCAATTACTTATCATTAAACAGGTTCGCAAATGTTCGTTGGTTAAAGTATAACTTTTTTAGATATATAAGAATACTAACTTTACTTGTCATGCTCACAATGAAATCGGCGAAATAAGTCGTCTCGTGAGAGTAGTGGTTACCGGCCCAGGTTCTGCACCGGTTCTGAGGCAATTGACAGCTGGAAGGTAACTGAGATTAGTAATATCTTATAAAATTCTTGACATGGTTTTGAGAACACGTATTGAAGTTCACTGGGAGAAACCTCATGTTATCAATCGGCCACTTACTGCTTATGCTTTATATTTCACCACTGATCCAATGCTTCCTATTAAAAGTAAGAGGATAGCTAAAATCTTATCTAGTGTTATGTTTTTCTTTTAAGGTTGGTCTCAAGTGAATGTTTCCGCACCAGCAATTTCTCACGTCATCAATGGTCTCAATTCGGACACGCTCTATACCATTCGAGTTAGAGCTCACGATTCAATGGGACCTGGCAAATTATCTAATCCTGTTTCTGTGCGCACTCTCCCTCCTGCTATAAGGCCATTTGTGTTTATCCCGGAGGGCACAGAAATACGTGTGGCGCCACGAATACCATTTACTATTAATTGTAACTTGAGCCGAGGCGAACCAATTCCTGATGTAAAAAGTATACTAAAATAGATTAATATAAAATAAAATTATAGATGTATTGGGAGTCTCGTAGTCGGAATATTAGTATTGCACAACAAGGCAGACACATTGCATTACAACACTCTGGATTATATGAGGTTTTTAAAATATTAAGGGAAGTACTATTGACTATTTGATTATTCTCTTCCCAGAATAGTGAATTCTTCTGTGTTGCAGAAAACGAGGCTGGAAGGACTATTCAGAAGGTAAATAAAAATAAAATCCTATAAATAACACGGCATCTTAATTTCAAATTGAAAATAATCGCCTTAACTCTGACTACATTAATGATTAAAATACTTCGCAGATTTTTGTACTGGTAACAGGACCCAGTCAACCTGAACGTATTCGCTATCACACTGATGGAGATACAATTTTCCTTCAATGGGAAGAGCCTCGAATCACTAATGGACCAATTGTTGACTATGAAGTCTTTTACATTCCAAGCGTTGATGCTCATAAACCAGATCAAGAATGGACGGTCCAGAGAAGTGGAGGTCCATCAGAAAGGACGTTAACATTACGTCCTTTACGTGAGCAGACAGAATATATGGTTAAAGTCAGAGCACTGAACAGGAATGGGCCAGGCCTTTTTAGCCTTCCATTTACGGTAAATAGATTTTTAGAGAGTTTAAATAGTCTGAATATTTAATTTTTAGTCAAGAACATGGTTGGCACCACGTCTACCAATAGTTCATACCGTTCCTTCCCATCAAGTTGAAAAAAGGCCAAGTCAAGAAGGTTTTGACGTTCTTTGTGAGGCGGAGGGAGTGCCTATACCTAAAATTCTCTGGTGGTGGGAGAATAGACCCATTGAGGATGGAAGTGGTGGATTTCGTATTGTTGACATAGCGTCATTAGATGAACAGGTCAAAAGCCAACAAAGACTTTTATTTCAGTCAACCACCCGATCAGGAATATTGAAATGCCAGGCATTAAATTTTAGTAAATTTAAAATATAGAAATTTAAGGCAATTAATGAAAGAGGAATATCTGAAGCTCAAATCAAGATGATTATTTTAGGTCCAGGAAGTCCTCCAGACAAAATAAGTGTTCGTCCAGTTTTAGGTGAATCTTAATTGTGTATATGTACATACTTATAAATAGTTTTCAGATGGATTTAGTGTTCATTGGGAGCCCCCCTTAATTCCTAATGGTGATGTACTTGGTTATTCAATTTATTGGAGCAGTAATCCAGACGCTGACCTGGCCGAATGGGTTTAGTTTATTTTGAACCTACGTACATACTATATCTTATTCTAAATTTCAATTTATTATAGTCACAAAAAAATTTTGATTCTAATGCTCGTGGTGCCACCATTACCGATCAGCAGGAACAAACGCCTTATGTCATCCGTCTTCAGGCTTTTGGAAGTGACGGACCTGGTTTAATCTCGCCAAGTTATGAAGTAGTTACTGGCCTGAAGCATATTCCTTTGAATGTTTCCATTCGTATACTCTCGCCATCAGTTCTACCAGAAGAAAAGGAAGGAGGAACTTTAGTTGACCCTGACCAAGCTATTAGTTTTGAATGTGTTACTGATGGAAGACCTCAACCAGTTGTTTCTTGGTCTTGGGTTAGTATATTATAAATCTAAGATTTTAAAGATTTATTAAAGATTCCATTTGGTAATACTAGCGTTGGCTCTTCTCATTTAACGTTAAAACCTGATCCATCTACCTTTCATCGTTTCATTAGTGCCCCTGCAGAGGCGCGAACTTTGACAAGCAGAACTTTGGTTGGTTGATTAATGATAAAAATAATAACAAAATTTGTAGATTTGTGAGGCGCGCAACGACCAAGGTCAAGTCCGGGATGGGCATATTTTTCGAGTATTAAGACCTGGTGGACCTCCTGTAGAGCTTGGTTCTTTAGTAAGTTTTTTCAGAATTACTTGAAGAACTTGTGATTATTTAATTTTCTAGAAATTCAGAAAAATTTTTTTATTAAATTTTATTATTTTTAGGTTGAAATTGACAACAGTATAATACTAAATTGGAGCCCTCCAATTCATCCAAATGAAAATCTAACTGGCTATATTGTTTACATCTCCCCAGATCCTAATCTTCCTCTCGAACAATGGAGAGTGTATGTCCTGTTACTCTTAACTTTTAATAATTCAAAAATAACAGATTCACAGTAGACGCAAAACAACCACAGCTTACTTTACCTCGAGGTGAATTACAGCCTCAAACCCCTTACTATGTTCGAGTATCTGCTGAAAATCCGCATGGCCGAGGCCAGCTCTCTGATATATCCCGCTTTGTGACACTCAGTGGTGCTCCTATTGACGTTCCAACGGATCTGTCTGTCCATGTTGAGCCTGATAATACTATTCGCGCCAGTTGGAGTCCACCCAGCCAACCAAACGGAGAATTAAAACATTACACGGTTGTGTGATTTTTTTTTGAAATTTCTATTTATATTCTTTTTAAAATAGGTTTACTTTATAGCGGAAGATAAAGCTTTAGAGATGCCTGATGCTGATGAAAAATATCACCGCTGGCCGAATGTACAAGTACCTGCAAAAGGAGACGATATTGGCCAAGTAATACTTGACAGGGATACTCACGTTATTCTGCCAAATACTGTATATCGAATAAGAGTAACTGCTTCAAATGAGCTCAGCGAAGGTCCAGCTACACCAAAAACGTTCTTTCGTACAGGATCTGGCGAAGTGGCACCATCATTAAAGCTTGAACCTCCAGATAATCCGGCGAGTGTAAAACCTTTGGAAGACTATTCGGTAATTAATTTGTTGATATAATAATTTATAACGTTTACAAATATAAAATTATTCTTTAGGTTATTTGTGTAGGTACAGGTATCCCAGCCCCGGACGTTTGGTGGACCCTTGGCACAGAAGTTAACCGTCAGCAAGGAGGTTCTCAATTAAGACTTAGTAAGCTTAGCAAGGATATTGTTGCTGTTTGTCATGCGCAAAACAATGCTGGAGTAGAAGAGTTAACTCTCAATGTTCAAGTTAGAGGTCCAGGCACTCCTCCAAATGAAATTGTTGCTATTCCATTACCTTCGCAAATACTTTCCATTGAGTGGGCGCCGCCTGATGAACCCAACGGAAAAGTGTGATTTTAGGTTTTCTCTTTCCAATATTTCTAATTTAGCTAACTGGTTACGTTTTGCATTATGCTGAGGTACCTGATGAGAAGACTGCACCAGCGGATGATGATTGGAATACGGTCCGCGTTGGTCCAGATGCAAACAAATATCAATTAGAGGCTTTAAAGGCTAAGGTATTGCTCATAATTTAAAGAGTCCACTTAGTTTTTAAACTTACAGACGAACTATTGGGTTAGACTACAAGCAATTTCAGATCGAGGGGAGGGCATTATCTCGGGTAAACATAATTATCTAATATTTAGATTACTATATATGTACATGTGTAAATTTGACAATTATTAACGTCTCTAATTTTACGATTTGAGACATACTTTTATTTCTAGACCCAGTAAAGACACGTACACTCCCTTTGGCACCAAAGGCACCAGATGTAATGCCAATTGAAGTGCACCCAAATAATACCGGCAAGTTACATTTCTTAATTGAAATTTACCCATACATACATATTATACAATTTAAGTTCTTGTTAAATTCACACCTTCTGATGATCCAGAGGAGGAGGGCAAAAAAGTTTACACATTTCTTGAATTAAGAATATGTATATTTTAGGTAAAAAGCTATAAAATAATATACACCAACGAAGACCCAGCACTAGAAGATACTAAATGGAAGGAGGTAATTAATATAAACTTAAAAATCTTGAAAATCCTGTTTCGCTTACAGATTATTTGGGACATACCGCAAGGAGTTGATCCGAGTAAACAATTGCAAGTTTTCATTGAAGGTTCTTACTTGGATCCAAAAACAAAGTAGGCAAAACCTTATTCCAATTAATAAGGTTTTTTCTTTGCGAGTTATATAAAGTATCGCAAGGAAGCTCATTAATTCTGTTTGGTCTTAATTTTATAATTCATATATTTTATTTATAAGGTACCATGTTAAGGTGATCCCGATTGGTGTGGTTGGTTTTTGATTTTTCCTTTTACTTTTATATTATAATACAAAAGATCGAAGGTCCTCCTTCTGAATCACAAGATTTTGACACTCAAACTGGTGTTGTTCCACCTGATCAGCCTCTTATTCATGTAGATACGGATATTCTTAAAGTGCCAGCCGGAACAGATTACACCGTTGAATGGTTATTTATGAAAAATGAAATTTAAGAAATGAAATTAATTTTTCAGCTCAGCAAATGGTTATCCCCCTCCCAAAGTATTCTGGACAGATGTTGATGGAAATGTGGTCTGTTTAAAGGATCAAAAATAAAAAAATTAACAGAAATATGAATCACAAATAAACCTTCATTGCAAATTAGTAGCCATAGATAATCAGTCCGTCTCAAACTTAAAGGTCAGCGAAGGTTCTATGCTTCGAGTGTTCGACATCCGCCAGAGCACAGACTATCTTTGTGTGGCTGAAAATCTTGGTGGCAGAAAAGAAACTTCATTCCGCATTTTTGTCTCTGGGCCAGGATCAGCGCCGGAAATGAGTTTATCTATCACAAAGCCAAAAAGTATACTCGCTAAATGGGATCCACCCACTTTGCCTAATGGAAATATCACTCGCTATATTGTTTACTACACACCGCTTGATGATCAGACAATGGACCTCCTTATTGGGCAAGTTCCTGCCAAACCTATTTCAGAATGGATAAGTGCTCATCTTTTGGGACCAGCTGCCACTGGACCAGGCCAGAAGCAAGCGTTGCTCACAGATTTTATTGAGGTATATTTCTCTAATGAAAATTTTAATATTCTTGAATTAAATTAAATTGCTTTTCCTTTAGCCTGATACTGCATATGCTGTTGTGGTTCAAGCAGAAAATCAGGACGGGTCTGGTCCTTACTCCATTCAACATAAGTGAGGATATGATAATTTTTAAATTATTGAAATTTAAAAATAATTATATTTAATCGATAATTAAATATAAATTTACTTTTTCTAAGCATTCGTACAATGTCAAGAAGCAGATCTTCCCCACCTACACATGTATCTGTAGAGCCAATTAATCAAACAAGTGTAGAAGTTCATTGGCGCTTAGAAGTTAAAAATGGCGAAGAGAGTCCAATTGGTTATGAAGTGATTTTTAAACTTTAAATTTTGCTTCAGAATTATTATTTTTTTACTTGTAGATTTACTTCGTACCTGCAGAAAAAGAAATTGAAGAAGATGAGTTGCTTAGTATTCCAAGCTGGACACGTGTCAATGTTCTTGATCCATCAAAGAATAGTCATATGATTTGGAATATGTTTGAGCCAGATTCTGAATATGTTTTCAAAATTAGAGCTTTGTAAGTTTACTCAATTAAACATTTTATCTACCTTTTTGAAGGTATCAAAGTGGACCGGGCATTTTCTCAGAGCCGTAAGAATCTTTTACAACACTAATATATAATTTTAATTATAAAAATTAGTTGTATTGCCAAAACTTTGCCTGATGGAGATGCTCCATTCCTTGTTTTCTGAATTTTTTATTCCAATAATTATCTCATATTATAGGTAGTTTCAGCTGGAGGCCGTGGAACGGAAGGACTTTCGTAAGAACTTTATATTTTTCTTCATTATTTATTTTCAAAAATATTAGCGTTATTCGCCTTTTGCCTGGTAGTGATTATACTGTTTTCTGTCGTGCTAGCGGTAGACCTCAACCTGCTGTTCGTTGGATCCGCGGTGGTGAGATTCCAATTGATCCATCAACTGTTAAGGAGGATGAGACGGGCACAAAATGGTTTGATTTATGTAAAACTTTTGTGCTAGTTTGTAATTTTTAGCTCAAATTAAGAATTTTCTAGAAATTCTATAATGAAACATCTTTAGGTCTCTATCATTGGAAAATTTTACCGAACCTAGTATATTTAATTGTGTTGCTCGAAATCCTCTCGGTGCTGCAAATTGGACAATTCAACTAGAAATGGTACAGGACCTCCGACCGGACTGGCTATCTAAATTAGTGAACCCTGAAGTACATAATGGACAGCTTTTACTACATTTCCCTGATTCACTCCCTGATTCATTACGCCGACCCAATCAATGGACTTTACGGTATTCTGATGATCCAAGCAAAGAGAAAATACTATGGAGTGTACTTGAAAGCGAAGATCGACCTCTAACCGTTAAAACATTTTCATTTTCTTTATATTTTTTTAATTTTTAGAGTATTCCCATTAAAAGTCCTGCTGATCCAATGCAGGTGAATTTAGGAATGTTTTCTCATTAGAGTTAATTTTCTATTCAGCCCGGTCTAACTTATCATTTGGTAATTGAAAACCCAACGGAAGGCGTTAGATCTCCAGTTCTGACATTATTGGTACCGAAAGCGCCTTCAGAATTAAGAGTTGGCTCAAACATAAACGATGAAATGGTATGTATTTATTTAATTCATAAATAATCTGAATGTTAAAAATTAATTATATTTAGGTTGTTGATTTTCGACCAGCAATTACTTCATCTCCTGTTGAACAATATTTAGTCAAGGTATGTTTAACAATATAGTAGATATAATCTCCAGAAAATATTTTCAGTATTGGCCAGCAGACAAGGATGTTAGTGCGACCGTAGCTCCAGAATCTATTATACAAACTATATCCATCCCTGGAGATCAGCCTGTCACTGGCATTCGCGTTCCTGATCTTCCTCGAGATTCTGAATTTTATTTCCAAGCCGTTGCTGTTTTATCAGATGGCCAGGAATTAGCCAGCACTCCTGTGATAATTAGAACCCCGGCGAAAGAAATTCGTTGCGATTGTTCACACGCATGCCGGTTGCTGGAAACTGATTCAGTTGAGGTTAGAATTGAGTGCTATTGTCCTGTTGGATGGCTACTTACTTCAGACGGAAGGACTTGCATGCAGATTGAACCAACTACAGGGCCTGCTCTTGAAGTATAAATTTTCTATTAACTAAATACATTTATATTTAACCAAAAGATTTCGCCCACTTTTGAGCTTCTTCCAGAACAAGCTCTTGAAGGAAAAGTACCTTTAATTAGTCAAATAACTCCTTTGCAACCTTTGATTGAAGTAACCGCTTCTTCGCCGTTACCTACAGATGAATATGGAAATTTGATTATTGCCGATTTAGAGGATCATATTCCACCGCATATTTTACCAACAGATGCAGTTGGACGTGAAATTCGTCCAGTAGTATTCTTCAATGGAACCAAACTTCGCATGAATGAAGACGGAAATTATTTAGATCCATTGGGCAGAATTGTGACCAGGGATGAGGAACAACGGGCATTGGGGCCAGATGGACAGTTATTGAAATTAGATGCCAATGGGAATTACGTCTATCCATTATTAGACAAGTAATTTATTTGAAGCCTTAAGTCTAATTTTCTATTTATTACATAGATATGGTGAGCCAATCCCAACTGATGACAGTCTTCGACCATTATTTGAAGTCGTTGATGAAGAAGGAGTTCACTGGCCAAGTTAGTTTAATCAACTGCTGATAATAAAATATTGAATTAGTTAAATATTAAGATAACATAGGCAATAGCAATAATGAAAAATTTTCAGGAGACAATAAGGGCCGTGTTCTTGGCCCCAACAACCGTCCAATCCCTACTGATATAACTGGACAATTTCTTGGACCCGGTAGTTCTCCACTTCCGACTAATTTCTATGGTCAGTTTTTGATGTCACGAAGAGAAGATTCGGTTGTGCCAACGGATGCACTTGGTTACCCCATTTATCAAGTGGTATGTGTTAGTTTTTCGTAAAAACCATGATATTGAAACTAAACTTAAGGTTTATCCTGATGGCCAACCACTTCCAACAGTGATGTCCGGGCAATTTATTAATCCAGAGAGAGGTGTAGAATTCATGAAGGATGATCAAGGCATACCTTTAGACTCCCAAGGAAAACATCTTAAACAAGACGAGAAAGGGAATTTTGTTTTCCAGCCTGTTATTGATCGTTATCCAGATAAGGATTTGCCCGAGAAAATAACTAAAGAAGCTTCTGTCGAACAATCAACATTACCAACGGATTGGACTCCGGGACAAAAATTTGAAACGGTAATCTTTTTTAAGTTTAAGTTCATTTCACTTTTATTTCTAGACTAAATTGACGCCTATTTCTGGTCGACCGGGCATTGTGGTTGATGGGCATGGACATCCCCTCTCTACAAGTGCAGATGGCCTTTTACTCGGGCCAGATGGTTCCCCACTTCCTACGGATGCAGAAGGACAATTTGTTTTATCCTGGGGACAGGAGAGAGAAGAGCTTCCTTCTGAACCAACAGCTCCTATTTCGGAAATTGGTCCAGATGGATTACCACAAGCAGATGCTGAACGACAACAAATACATCCTGCCTTTCCTGAAAGCAAGGACCAACCTTCGTTGGAGAGTGAGATGAAATGTAATTTGAAAGAAGCTGTTCTCGATATTTTGGTCAGCATACATATATAAATTGCGTTAACATTTTCTCCTTCTTAGATTGCATTTAATAGTGAATTAATTCAACCTTATGGCGAACATTTACGTCGCGCTATGACTGAATTATTGAACCATCTTGACTTAGCTGGTTATATTTTTAGAAATAATTTTTATTTTAAAACAATTTTAGCTGATATTGCACGTGTTGGCATTCTTCACTTTGGTAAAAGTGTGATCATTCCCGTGAGTCTTGGAGGATATCATGAGTATGTTTGCGATAGAGATTTGACGAATATAAACTTTACTTGAATACATATGTAGTACAAAAATATTAAAAATCAATTTCAAGGATTAACCAAATGCTCGACCAAATTGACCGAATGCAATCTGCCTCCTCAGCACTGGGAGTACCTGATGTTTCAGCCGTTTACCATGCAGCCATACAACAATTTAGCAGTTTTGGCCGTAACCAAAACATCCCAAAAATTCTACTTGTGTTTAGTTCAGGAGAAGATATGTATGTTAGAAAACGGGGAATTAAAATAATTTTTCTGCTTTTTTAGATTTTCTGATACTACTGCAAGGGACTTACTTGCTTCTCATGATATTTTTATTATTCTAGTCGGTCCGAGTAGTTATGACTCAGAAATAGCTGAAGAAAGCAGTGAACATGTGCTTGTTAATAGGGTTAATTAAATAAAACACATATTCTTAATCTAATTTATTCAGTGGGAATTGCTGGATGGCAATCGACTTGCCGACTATCTGGAAGCAGCTTGTGCGCGTAAGGCGCTTAAATTACCGAAATCACGAACAAAATTTGTAACCGGGAAAGATACTAAAGAAATTAGTACTATACCGCCAATCATTTTTCCACAAATAGGTATGTGTAAGAATTTAAGGAATTTAACTTTCCTAATCTTTTATAGTACCCAGTTCAATTGATCATTGTTTGGCACTCCAAGCCCGCAGTAGTATCGTTTTGATGATTGAAACTTCCCAAGAAAGTTCTAGCCTACATTCTGAATTAAGACAAGTATAATTCTTAATTATTAATTCATTTCTAAAATTATTTTTCCAGATACTTCTTCAATTTATCAATGAATATGTAAAAGAAAAAAATCCACAAATTGGCATTCTATACTATGGTGATACAGTTGATATTGGAGTTGATGTTGACCAACACAATTATAACGAATTAGAAGATTCGGTTAAGGTAACTTTGAAACCGTAAAGGCGTTACAGGTACTCATAATATCATGCGTACGGGGGTGAAAAATACATCTGTAAAAATAAATTTTAAGGAAATGCATTTTATCGGAGGTGTATCCAATCCTTTGCTTGCTATCCGGACTGCTCAGAAATTGTTGGTCAAACTTGGTACCGACACTATTAAACTTGTTATACACATTCATCGGAACAAGCTTAACCTTGAACATGAAAGCGAGGTAAGGAAAAATACATTTAGATAAATTCATAAAATAAATGGAGTAAAATCATGTTTATTAATTTTAGGTGAAAAGAATCGTAAAATCAGAAAATATTGCTTTGTTGGATCTTTTTTATGAGCGTTGGTCTCTACTCAAAAATTCTGAGCCTTTTTGGAGTCAAAAAATTTGCATGTTAGAGGCGTTAATTGAAAGGCTTGAGAATACTGTACCTGGAGATATTGATAAAATAGTTTTCGAGCATTCAACTGAACAACCACCCAAGAAGACACATCCTGAAATAACTTGGCCAGTAACTACACCTGTAACTATTGAACCAAGGTATGATTTGTGTATTTTTGATTTTCATTTGCTATTTCAGAATTCTGCCAACTGATCATGTGGTTTCGTCCTTTCCAGTATTGGGACCTGATGGTCAACTAAGACCAACAGATTCTGGAGGGAATTATCTTGATTTGGAAGGTTTGAACGAATATATTATATGTCTATTAAACGTTTTACTTAAAAAAACTTTAAGGTTATCCTCTTCCATTAGACGAATTAGGAAGACCGATTGACTCAGAAGGAAGATTATTACCAACAGATTCTCAAGGGCATTTTCTTCTTCATAGCACTAGACCTGATCAAGTTCTTGCTACTCGAATACCACAATCATCTCCATTGCCAACAGATGAGTTAGGGCATGTCTCAAAAGGTGAAAAAGCTATTATAATTTCTAGTAAATATAACAATTTTTCAATTTCCATCAGACCGTGAACCCGAGGTTGGTAGAGGAGAAATGGCATTGCCAACAGATCAGACAGGAAAATTCATCCATCCTGTAATTGACTCTAATACCGGCGAGCCATTGTTGACTGATCAATTTGGAAGGTAACTAACAGAAATGCTCACATTTTATCTGCATCTGTTTAGATATTTGGATATCAACGGTGAATTATTACCAATGGACGATTTTGGTCGTCCATTAGATCCGATTAATGGCCGATTATTACCTACTAATGAATTTGGCCAATATATTTATACTGCACCTACTCTGACCTCGAGGTTTCTTCATTCTAATGAATATATAATTAAAAATTTCCTCATATTCCAGAGTATCTTCAATGCCAGAAATTGGACCTTATCAAAGTCCAATACCGGGGAAACCCAAATTTCCCGTCGACGAATTTAGTGCAGAAAGAATTCCAGTCGTTGACAAATTTGGTTTGTTATAGTTTTGGATATGGAACGTTTAAGAATACTGTTATTTTAGGCAAACCGCTACCTACAGATCAATCAGGACAATATTTGGGTAATTAATTATGATACTTCAAAAATGAATCATATTTATTCTCTAATTCAAATTACATTGAATAGGGAAGACATTTAGATATCTAATAAGATAAAATATCAAAAATAAAAAATTTTCAGGAGATAACAATGAGCCACTGCCGCTGGACAGCTGGTCAAGACCTCTTGACGTGGATGGATTGACTCCATTACCAACAAATAGGCACGGTCAATTTGTATATACTCCTGCCGAAATAACTCCAACAATTTCTGGCCCATTATCTCCTTCTCCCATTCCAACTGATCAATGGGGTATTCCTATCACTCCTGACGAAGGTGAATCCACTATTCAATTGTTGCCAACGGACGGAACAGGAAAGGAAATATTTCCAGTAATTAGTTCTCAAAACGGTATGCTGCTTCCAAGAAACTCAGAAGGTCGTTATCTGGGTGCTCGGAATGAGGTAATGCGCATATTTTATTAATCATTAGTATTTTAATAAACATCTTAGCTAATCCCTATTGACGATTTTGGACGTCCACTAGATTCTCTTGGGCGAGTATTACCTATAAACGAATTTGGCCAATTCATTTATACAGAGACATACAAAGAAATAACCCCAACTCTCATCTATGCTGAGGACATGGATGGACAAAAACAACCAATTTGGCTATCGCCCGATTCTGGCCAACGACGAAGAAATGGAAGTTCTGACGGGCATTGTTTTATTGAAAATTTCATCGAACTTTTGCTAATGTAAGAATTAATCACTTTAAATTAATTCCTAATAATTAATGTTTAAATAGTCGCTAAATAAAATTTAATCTCAAAAATATTCTAATCAAAATTGATGAGCATTTTTAAATAGACACTTTTAGATTTGATACAAGTGCAAACGTGAAGATTCTTGATTATCGGATGATGAAAGAATCGATTAAGGTACATATTAATTGTTGTAAAATCTATATTGTCCTGATTTTCTGCCCAATTGTCTATTGGCCTTTTGTTCTTTTGTCTATTGGTCCTGACCTATTGTCTCCTTGATTGTTTTATCCCTGGCAAATAATATTTGCTAAATTGAATTATTCAAAAAGAAAATTTTAGACTCATCTGGTATGGTCAAATGAGTCTTCTTTAGGCCTTTTACACATCCCCGAATCGATCTCTACTTGTATCAAAATAAAAATATTACGGAGCAGTTCAGTTGAGTCCCGACTCAGTTGAGTCCCGGCCCTATAACTTATCAAGGAATGGTCACTTTTTCATGTTATTGGTATCATTGGATAGAGAATCAAAAGTTCTATAACATATCAAAAAATCAGAATTTTTGACCGATTGATAAAAAAGTTATGATTTAAAAACTAACTTTTTCAAAAAAATCTGATTTTTCGGCACTTTATCGATCATAACTTTTTTACCAGTCGGGCAGGGATTTTGATTTTTTGGTATATTGTAGCCTATTTAATGCCCTATCCAATGATACCAATAACATGAAAAAGTGACCATTCCTTGATAAGTTATAGGGTCCGGGACTCAACTGAGTCGGGACTCAACTGAGGTGTACCGAAAATATTATTTTAATTAAGGGATTTCTTCTTGATCATTTTGATTTGCGACCGAATCTTGGGGTCAGAGTAGGACTCTTAAAATATGGTGATAGTGTTGAAGTTCCTGTTGCTTTGGGCGACTATGACAGTGAAGCCGAATTATTAGCGAGGATTGGTGAAACTAGAAGTAAGTTTTTTTAACATTTTGATAAAGTTGTGCCATAATTTATATTCTTAAATTCATAGGATTGAAAGGTGAACCAAATCTACCTCTTGCATTAAGGGAAGCGGCAGGAGAATTTCAATTATCTGGTAAGCAGTAGTTTAAGGTTAAAAGTCAAATGCCCAAAAAATTTATGCCCATTAATTTTCTAACGACATAGGTGCGGGTGATGCGCTTCGGATAGTTCTTGTGTGGAAAAGTGGCAATTCAAGCGATTCCGATGGTATTCAAATACAAGCGGCAGCTGACACTCTTCGACAGCAATATGGAGCTAAAATTCTGGCTATAACAGCTGCGGGTCATTATAGTAATGGAGATCTTGCCTTAACCGGCGCAGAAGAATTAATATTTGCATTTGATGGATGGAGGGAAGCTAAACCTAAACGATTAGCGGAAGTAGCCGATAAAATTTGCGAGGTTTGCTACTCTTTTCAAAAATAAATAGTATATTAGTTTATGGTGCCAACTTCCATTATGCCAAGTTGGCCATCATTTAGACCTAAAAGTACTCTGCCCCCAAAAATTACTTCGTATCCAAGAGATTGTCGTCGCATTGATTACCCATTAGATTTTATTATTGTTTTGGATGCAGCGAACTTTGATCGTTCCCAATTCAGCAAAATTCTCGAGAGTTTAGCTACTTTGGTAGATGAATCTTTTAATCTCTCGCCTGATGTTGTACGTGTTGGACTAATTGTTTACAGGTTGACTTGTTTTTTGCCTCTTTATTTATAAATGTTCCAGTGACAAAGTTGCTGTTCCGGTGGCCCTTGGCAATTACGAAGATAAGATTGAGTTGTTGTCCAAAATGAGTGCATCTCCGTTATTTTCCGACCCTCCGGCTATTGCTCTTCGTGGTTTGGAGGCAGCTGGTCAACAATTTAGGTTACATTCCCGGCCAAAAGCCAGCCGTGTTTTGTTGATGGTTACTAACGGAAAGCACAGGTAATAAGGAAAATTTTCTTAAAAATTTATTCTTCAATGTTCAGAGGAAATGCCGCACCCCTGGGACAGGAACTGCGAGAAAATCTTCATGTAGAAATCTATTCTGTAGCAATTGGCGCCTCTTCGGAACAATTGGCATCTCTTCAGCGAGTTATTGGGGGTCCAAAACTTGCTGCTGAACGAATGCTTCAATTAGATTCTGTTGATGAATTATCTGATCCTAGTAAACTGGCTTTTCTTCGCCGTTCACTTTGTTCAAGTATGAAAAGTGAAATGACAACTCAAGAATGGAAACATTAAGGAATAAATTTTTAAAAATTCGCTGTGGTATAAACAAACTTTTATTGTTTGCATAAATTTTATTTCAATTAATCTAACCAGTAAAAGCGAACAAAGTTAAAAAACAAGCACGAAACAAAAGAATAAGCTTGAAAATTTATCCATTTTATCTTTTCTTTTTGTTTATCTTTGTCAATTACTTAAATGTTTAGCGAAAAATTTGACAATAAAAATAAAGTATTTAGCGGGCTTGTTCAATTACAACCACTCTTTCTAATCAATATTATGTTATAAGAGTGGTTGAAGTGGGAGACAAAAACGCAAACTACTAGCTAGCGCCTTCTCGGTTCTGTGAAACCCGAGAGAGTTGGCCAATAAAAATGCGAATCGTGGCAAGTGCCTAACTGACAACTAGCTGTCTATTACTGCCATTTTTGTTGGGCAGTCATGAAACAAAGACTTATATTATTCCCGGCCTGAGCGGCTTCTCTCTTCTTACCCAACCTCGCTTGCGATGCTGTACCTAAGGTTTCCTCTCATCAAAGCATAGTTACTACATATTTCCACAAATAAAAATGCGCTAGTTGCGTATGTGTATGTACCTTTGTAATCCTTATTTTTATCGTTTTAGCCATGCTTATCCATTATATTTTTTACCATTCAAATTTTTAATTCTTTTGTTTTCTCAACTTTTCTTAATTTAGGAAGAAGGACAAACATAAAAACTGAGTGAACCAAAAACTTATGGTGACATTCTCCTGAGCTAACGTGCATTTCTAGTATTAATTACGCTGTATCAAACCAAGCATTGTCCAACAAAGCTGCTACCACGGCTTCCAATAATAGCCATAACGGAGGCCGATTTCCTCTTTGCGCCTGGCTTTGTTGTTCTAGCTCTTGCTGTTCGGCCAGCGAAACGGAGGATGGTGTCGGTGACAAAAGAATGGGAGAAATGGAAGAGGAAGAATTTGAACAACAACGACAACAGAATAGTAATGCGGCACAGTCTTCCAATTTTGAAGTGACTGGTGCATCAGGGAATAATATAGGTAAAAAATTCTCTTTTCCAATATTTCGCACTTAAATTTATTTAAGCATCTAGAAAACACTCACCAGGAATGGATTCACTACAACATGCAAAAACTCCTTGTAGAAAAGTATCTCCGACTGTTTCCTTTGGCCCCCAAACTATAACTGCCACTTCTTCAATCAAAGGTTCTCCTATTCTAAGCAGTAGAACAACGAAAAGGAGCACTGTCGATGTCCTTCACCGGTTTGCTCAAGATCTTTGTGCAGTGAATAGCTCAGGAAGACGTGCCAAATTTCACAAATTTTCGTTAGGTGAAGAAAGGTGGAAATGGAATTCTTTGGACGGGAATACTTGTGAGCCTAGGTTAGTTTAAATTTTTACATGCTTTACTGGACACGTATCGGTCGGGCGATTTTTACGGCGTTTTTGCGGACTTTTTTTAAGAGATTAGTTAAACACATTAATTTTATCTTTTTATTGTTAGAACGAGCAAGTCATTGCCCATTTCTGGTCGTCCTTCTTCAGCCCACCACACTCAACATAATCATAACTACCAACATTTAAATAATTTATTACCTGGAAGAGATTTAGTATGTTCACCAACGCCAATTGCGGAAGATGGTCCACTTTCCTGGCAGCCTGGATTTGCTGAAGTATTGGGTATGTAAAATATTAAATACGAATAACTTTTAAATGTATATGTTAAAATAATTAAATTTGGACATTGTAATCTTAGACGTATGTAAATTCATATAATTCCTGTCCAAAATAGGGAACTACCCTTTCTCATCTCTCAACAGCATAAATACTGCCAGCAACCACATACCTACGGCTGTCATCAATTTATTGATTCAATCCCCTCCAATCAATTTTACACTTTCCTTTTCATTTTTTACATTTTTCTTTTAAAAAAATTCTTTATTAAACACTCAAAAACCCATGAATGACGAAAATATTAAGATAACAATTCTTAAATATGTCGTTATGATTTTTTTTATATTTTCTTTGGCTTCATCTTTTCCTTATTCCTTCTTTTTTATTTATTGGCCTCCTTTGTTATTATTATGTCCTGCTATTGTGTCCTTATTCTCCGCATGGAAAGTTATCGAATTTTTCATAGAAAACCAATGATAGAAGGTTGAAAATAAAAAAGTGGGCGAAATAACTACACATGTAATTCCTTACTAAATTTTCTTAAATTCTCCTCGCCTTTACAACAACGTTTTGTCCTCATATTGGGTTAGGGTATTAGCTAAATTACGGACATGAAACTAAAGCGTTTTGTGAAATTAAATTGCCACCAAACCTGAGATTTTATAAATTAAACTCAAGTCGAATAGATTTTCACTATATTTCAATTTATAGTTTTTGACTGTCCCTCTTATTTTCAAAATTTTTCAACCAAAATTTCTGTTTATTCGTTCTTTGCTTTCATAGGCTTACTATGCCAATTTTTTAAATAAATAAAGGGAGGAAAAATTTTTAAAGAAAAAGTACTTAACTTTAGTTTTCTTATTTGTTCATTTCTTTCCTTTTCTTCCACAAACAAATCATTGGCAGCCGTTATTTCCTTTAAACACAATTAAAGATCAACATTTCATTTTCCTCCCTCCTTTCTATTCTTCTCGTTTAACATGTGTTTCCAATTTTTTTATTTTTTCATTTATTATTTCAACAAAAATTTATTTCCAGCTGTTTACTATGTATCTATACATTTCTAAGGGAAGCCGAAAGGTGCGCTTCTCTTGACAAATAATAACTTCAAGCTTCTAAAAAGTTTTCTCCCTTTCTCCAACTTGTCATCAACTTAAGTAATCACAAAAAATGGCCGATCAATTCATCACTCGACTTTCAATAAACACGCCGAAAGGTTCAACTATTCAAGCACCAGCAACTCCGGATATTTCATTAGAAAATTTAAACACTGAAAATCTTCAGAAAGAGGACATATCATTGCCAAACTTTATGCATGATCCTAGCACTCAGGCTGATTTTGCTACGAATGCAGAGATGAAACGTGGACAACAATTTAATGGACCTGTTCGTGAATGTCCTAAAACTAGGAAAGCAAGTTTAATGCCGCCGCTTACTGAAGAGGATCTTAGAATTAGTGGAATGGTTTGTAATAAGAGGATAAGTCTTTACTTTTCAAATGTTTTCCAGGGCCATAAAGATCCAGAAAGTGTTGCCCAACTTTTTGGAGAAGATTTTGCTTCTCGCTTCTGCTTAGGTCCATTACTTTTACCACATGAGATTCGAGATAGCTCCGTGCCTCATGGTGTACCAACTGTCAAGATACGCCGTCGAATGACTGCTCAAAATTCCGTTGATCTTCCGAATGCCGATTCAGTTGTTGCACTTTCACCATTTGCACCAAAATTTCCAAGTGTACCATGCTGCAATACTAAAGAAGAACTTGTTATTTCTTCATATTCTGATTGTGAGCATTCTCCACAACTTCCATCTCCTTCGAATCAATGTCTGACAACTCCTTTAAATTACCCTACAAGTTCTATTCCCGGTGTGGTTCAAAACCCGCCATTACCTTTTCCTGTTGAATTAAAATGGACTGCCGATGGACGAACAAAAATGACATCTTTTGTGAGGCCAAAATCTGGCGAATTCTATTTGGGTTATTTCCTAATTTAATTCTATAAAAATTCAATAAATTTGTTCAATTAATTTAATATGACTTATAAATTTTTTAAATTTTTAACAGATATGGCTGCTTTGCATCCTGATCTCTTGCAATTCCAGCTGGCACTAAACGATTGGGTTAGTTTTTCGTTTTTTTCGATAATATCCCTTTCTTATAGATCAAACGTCAATGTAGGATTCGCGGTTCCGCTCTCTTATTAAGTTCACAGGAGCAAAATAGCACTCATTGTCAAGTCTGCGGTGATCAGCTATTGGAAGTACCTTTACAATGCGTTAGTTAACTATCTCTGCACACTTTAAAATTATTGTTCTTATTTAGGGTGATGCTGACTTTCTTTTTACTCTGTTGAGGGCGGGTGCAAATCAATCTGATAATTACGACAAAAACAACATAAAACATGAAGATCTAAAAGGCGAGGAAATAGGGGCCAATACTTTTGTGCTTGCACGTGTGGAACTCTTGGAGGAGGTATAAATTTTATCTTTTATCCTAACTTAGGTTTGGATAGGGTTTCTATGTTAAAATTTTTAACTTTTCCTCCCCTTTTAGCGCGAATAATTTTTTTATAATTTTAAAGTAATACAAGAGATCGGTTTAGAATCTTTCCTTCTACTCTCACTATGTCTTTCTTGATTGACAAATTCGTGCCTTACTAAATGTTGACATTGGTTGCTCCCACAATTCCGTAACAGCATTGCCTCAGCTGTAATACTTCAAATCTTAGTACATTTATTTCCTGCCTCAAACGAGCATTTTCCCTTTCTAGTTCGTTGTTCCTTTGTTGAATTTCATCCTCCTTGCGTCGGCGTAGTTCACGGCTTAGAATAAAATATACATTAATTTAGAGGAGACATCAAATTGGTTTTTATTGAAACCTCCTACGCGCTGAATCATTATTTTTCCGTCTTCTTTCTTTATAGGCCTGAAAGCAAAAAATTTTTCTGAGCAAAATATTTTAAATTTTACTTCGTCTTTCTTTTCATCAGGAACCGGTCTGCTTGGCCTTTTATTTGCCGAGCGTATCCTCCCTATACCACCTTCCGATGCTGCACTAAAAGCTGACTGTACAAATTTTTGTAGATTCTGGGTTTGGTACGAATGGGAGACGAATGTTGGTATATTTGGAATAGCATATTGTGGAGATATAATCTTGGTCTTGAATTTTAAAATTAGAACAATAAGGGATATTATTTTTGATTAAGATCGTCACAATACCTCTGGTTTAAGTGCCATCATTGCCGGACTTGGTTGGGTAGAAGCAAATGATGAAGACTGTACCGAGGATGGCGACGCGTACAGCGATCCAGAATCGGGAAACCATAAGTTTTGAGCAGTTGCTGAGCCGGAGATCATGTTAATCATGAAAGGGATGAGAGAAAGAATCAAGCACCTTAAATTACAAAAATTTTTTACTTAACCTGACCGAGTTATTCCCCCTTTCTCTCCTGAAAATAAAAGTAGATGGTCTTTTCTTCTTTTAATTTGCCTTAGGCAATAATTGCACTTCGTTGATTGACACTAAATTGCTAAAAATGTTTTAGCCATAGCGATAGTTTAATTTAATGAGTACAAAATTTATGAAAGGAAAAGGACTGTAAAAATAGTAAGGACAAAATGTAGATGAATAAAAAATAACTGATGGATATGTAGGTGGAAGGAGCAAATGGCAAGCTTGGAGTTCTATTTTAAGTCCAAGTAGTAATGATGGGGACATTGGGCGGCACCTAAGTAATCATTATTATGATGAGTGTTGCGACAATGACGGCATTGTATAAAGCATTTTTTCGTTAGTCCTCATCCGTTTTCGGCATTTTAACAGTCAAAGAAAATAAAAGGAAGGGGAGATCGGAAAAAGGCGGTTGCGTAATTGGAAACTAAACAGGGACGGCACAAAAAGAGTAGCAAAGACTTTGACTGTGATTTGAGGTCGTCAAATATAGGCATAAATTTAAGTTATGGGAAGTGGAAATTTATGAAAAAGTGGCTTTGTTTACCTAAATATTTTTTAAATTTAAATTTTAGTCAGTTCGATCCGCTATTAATCCTCTACTTGAAATGCTTAACAACATACTTAATACTAAAATCGGAAATGATCTGCCTCCATTACAAGCCTGTTTCTCATTGGTTGGCCTTCGCTCAAATTCAGGATTCAGTGCCGGTCTTGTATTGGCACATAATTCTGAACAGGACAGATTAGACGAACTTAAATTGCTTGACCCTCATTTGGGAATGCTTGGCACATTGATGACTCTCATGGTTAATTTTATAAAATACCTAATCTTATTTCCTAATTAAATAACAGCACAACATAGAGGAACAGCGTCGGTTAGCTCAACAATCACAAGTTTTCCTGAGCATGACCCAAAATGTGTTTTCTAGTCTGCGTGAGTAAGCAATACATAAAATCTAGTAGCTAATTTTTGGCTATTTTAAAAATTATAAATTCAAAAAATTTCAAAACTTAACTCAATTATTTTTTTCAGAAGATATGCACTTACTTGTTCGTAATATTACAAAGGTTTCTTTTTTATGTTCTAATTTTTTAACTTTAATATTCTTTAGGAAGCTAAGGCGCTGGTTCATGCAGAAATGTAAATAATTTACAAGTTTTACTACTGATTACTAAAAAATTCCATTTCCAGTTGTTCTCTTTTTCTGTTGGACAAGGAACATTCCGAATTGGTAGCTGAGGTTTTCGAAAAGAATGGCACTTCTGAAGAATATCTAACTGAAATTCGGATGCCATTAAATCAAGGCATTGTAGGACATGTGGCAACTACGGGACAAATGATGAATGTGACAGATGTTTATAAGTATTAACAATTAATTTATATGTAGATTAATTTTCAATTTCTTTTAGTCATCCATTTTTTTACCCGAAAGTTGATGAACGAACGGGATTTCTGACTCGAAACATTCTATGTTTTCCTATTAAAGACTCATCAGGTAATTTTATGAATCATGAGCTATTATAAATTTTTCTTTTAGGAAATCTAGTTGGTGTGGCTGAACTTTGCAATAAAATTGGTCGGGATACCTTCACGCGGTATGATGAACAGATTGCTGCCACGGTTAGTTGGTTGATATTTTATGGATTAAACCAATTTGTTAATTGCAGTTCGCTGTCTACTGTGCTATTAGCCTTTCACATGTAAATATTTTAACAATTTAAAATTACGTTTTTTCTTCCAGTGTTTGCTATACCGTAAATTGCAAGAAGCACATAGACGTTCACACATGGCAGCAGAATTGTTGGTTCAAGGATCGACTCTTTCCATTGCGCCAGAAGACATTCTTCGGCTTGTAAATTAAATATTTTGTTTGATTTTTAATAAATAATTATTTTAAGACTGTTAGAGATATTCCTCCTCCACTTTCCTTTCATCCTGAATTTGACAAACTTTGTTTTATTCCTCGCTCTATCGGTTCTGGCGATATTTACGTAGAAGCATCATTGGCTATATTTAGGGTAATTTAGTATGGATAAAAAATTTATTTAATTTATCAGGATTTGGGATTCATTGAACGTTTTCGCCTTCGTCGGCGAACATTAGCTCGGTTCCTCTTGATGGTGCAAAAAGGTTATCGAGACGTTCCATACCATAACTGGAGTCATGCTTTTGCTGTCTCCCATTTTTGTTATTTATTGCTACGAATGAATAAAGTGAAGGATGTAATAGGCGAGCTGGAACGCTTTGGGTTGTTGGTTGCTTGTCTTTGTCATGATATTGGTTTTAAAGTGAATTTTTCATATTTTCTATTTTATTTTATAGATCATCGAGGAACTACCAACGCTTTTCAATTACAGTCAAAAACACCTTTAGCTCAATTATATAGTTCTGAAGGCTCTGTTCTTGAAAGGCATCACTTCGCACAAACCGTTACAATTCTAGGAATGGATGAATGCAATATTTTTGAGCAATTAAATAGACAACAATATTTAGATGTACTTGATTGTATTAGAGAAGTTATACTTGCTACTGATATTGCTGCTCATCTACGTAAAGTGGTAATGAAAAATATTTAAAAGAACAATTAATTATTTAAATTTTCAGGATCGTATAAAACAGATGGCTGAAAGTAAGTAGTTGAAAAATTAGAATTTTCGTTTTACCTTTTTGCCTTTTTAACTTTCATACCTTATTTGTAAAGGTGGATTTGAAAATGGCAACGCTGAACATCGCTATCTGTTTATGTGTTTACTTATGACAGCCTCTGATCTCTCTGATCAGACAAAAGATTTTCATCATTCAAAAGCTATTGCTGAAAATATTTACAAGGAATTTTTCTCGCAGGGAGACTTGGAAAAACAAATGGGCAATAGGTTTTTTCATGTGCCTATTATTATTTAATATTTCCCCTTCAATATCCATATAGGCCGATTGCAATGATGGACAGAGACAGGGTTTACTTTAAAAAATCATTTCTTTCTAACAAAAGATTTATCTAGGCATGCGTTCCAAAAATCCAGATTGAATTTATGGACACTGTGAGTGAATTAGAAGAATTTTTTATAATTTTAATTATTTTTAACAGGTGGCACTGCCAGTTTTTAAGTAACTGTTAGATTTTCTTTAAATTTTTACATTCTTTTAAAGATTCTTGGCTGATTTATTGCCTGAACTTCGAACTACACACGAGTGAGTTAAAATTTTTTGAAAACTTGAAAGGAAAATGATTTCATTGTTAATTTTTCTCCACTTTTAGGGCAATTCTCACCAACCGTCTATGCTGGCATTCCTTAGATCAAATCCTTCTAAAACAAGGCTTTACAACAGGAGGTCTGGAATATCTCAGAGATACATGTTTAGAAGAAAAAGTTTTGATGAATGCTCTTCAAGAACAAATAGCAACCAAAGAGAAGGAAATAGAAAAGGATTTAGAGGACAACAATTAGATTAACTAACTTTACCAATATCCCCGAGCGAATATATAATTAACTACATTTAGGCATCAACATATCAACTTATGAAGGTTTTTCTCAATTTAAATAATTTGTTTAAAATATATTTTTAGTTTGGACAACCTCTTCTCCACATACGGGTCGGCATCGTGGACAGATGAAGGCGAGCAATCAGCCGCCTTTAACTTCCTTTTACCTTTTCTCCTCGTTCCCAATTTTAGTTTGATTTTACTCTGCCAAAGTCATGGTTTTTTACTAAATATTTTCGCATTTTATTATTTGATAGAGTTAATTTCACTTTCATAGATGTTAATTCCTTTTATCAAAGAGCTTTTTCCGTTTTCCTTTTTTCTATCTTACTGTTTCATAAATCCTTTTATTGCATTTTCTAAAGATTTTTTAACATTAAATTCAAACATGGCAAATTTAGATTGCATAAAAGTTGATATTTTTTAAATTATAAAAACTTAACATCACAAAAAACTAATAATCTTCGTTACTGTCTATATTCTTGTCTTGAGAAATACAGTCGAAGAACAGTGTCGGGTTGAAAGCCGATATGAACTTGAACGGCATTTGATTGTCCAGCCATTTTTGATTAAATTTTATTTAGCAAGTGCAACTGAACTTCGCCGTTCGCTAGACCAAGTGCCTTGAAATTTAAAAAGGTTTAAACTTAAACTTTATATTAAACCATAAAGCCATTTTCAGAACTGTTCTTCCATGTTGTGCTACAGTGTATTCTATTTCTGTATTGTTGGTAAAAGTCGTAAGAGTCTATTGGACCAACATTCACCATTACATCAGTGAGGAGATCACTTTTCCAGATGATTATTTGCTCTCCAGAATTAATTGAGTAAAAAATATTTTCATTGCTTAGAAAATGGTTAAGTTTAAAGATTATAAAAAAATACGTTGGGGACCACTCAAAAAGTGTCGATGACATTAATCTCTGGCCTATACTTAACGTTGACCTCGACGAAGAAATAACCTTGATCGGTTCTGGTTCATTATAATTAAAAATAAAAATTTTTTGATCATTTGTTGTACACTAAAAATAAATAAGAATTGCCGCAAAAATTAGAATTTACCGCAAAAATATTTGAAGATACTTGCGGGAATTTAATACTTGTTATTTCAGATCCATATCCTTGGGAAACTTGAGAACTACAATTGTAGAAGAATTTGCTTGTTTTAATATTTGTTGGATTAAGACGAATAATTCTTCCCTTGGATGTTCCAACAAAACATTCAGATCTTCTGACTGCTCCTTCATTGCTTTCATATATGGCCAATGAAGTGGCAAACTCTAGGTAAAAATTTGTGAAGTGACGAACTCTAGGTAAAAACCTTAAATACCTTCCAAATGGTTTCTTTGCCCATCAATATGCCTAAAACATTGTATAGAGGAAACAACCACAAATTCTATCGTTCCATTTCCTTCGCCTTCTTTATTCTCATTTCCATTATTTTTTGCCACGCTATGCAAGACTCGAAGCAGTCCCGATTCATATAAAGAAAATATTCTGGCTAGCACGCTTAAAATAGTGAGAATATGTAAATATGATTAGCTTAGACCTACCCTGCTCCAATACTTTCAGTAACTTCCATTCCTACAATTCGAAAGTCAGCCCAGTTTGAATTACTATTTCTTTTCCACTGCTCCTCGGAAATTGAACAAAAAATAAAGTTTGAATTCATTACTGGTATCAAAACTCCATTCACTAAAATATCTGTTTCCCAAACGATTGATGATCTCCATTTTAGCAAGTCCCAAGCAATTAAACTTCCATCCTTCTATTTTTCTTTTTCAGAAGTATGTTAAAAATACTTTACCAATCCTCCAAAAAGTACAGAATTGTCTGGGGCATATCGAAGAAAGGCAATTTCCTGATCACAGCAAATAAGCCTTCCAATTTCCCGAGTGGTTGCTTCAATGTCGAATTCCGCGATAAAACTTTTCTTATTTTGCATAGGATCTTAGAAATTCTTTTAGAAAGGAAAAAAAATTAACCTAGTGATTCGGCCACAAAGATGCTAATGCAGATTGTCTGCGTATTCTAAATAAAAAAGAAAATGAGTGAATTATGGCCACACAATAGGACAGTAAGACAATTTGTCCTTTGTCCAATTGTCGTGAGTTCAACTGTCCTTAAGTCAAATAAGCTTTTTGACCAGTTGTCTTATTTTCATTTGTCTCACTGTCCGATTGTCATGTCACTGAACAGACCTTAAGGGCGATTGCTGATATCCTATTTTCTTAAAAATTGTTGGATAATATTGGATTTTTTGAATTTATTACCTGAATTTTCTGTGAAAATTGAATTTAAGGATAAATTTAAGCGTCGAGAACTAAATACTGAAGAGACTTTCTCGAGGTTTGAAGGAGTTGATTGTTGAAGGAGGCCAATCAACAGCTTTGTAAATTTGCTGTAGCACTACATATTATTTTTCAATAAAAAAAACCTGGCCAGCCTCTTCTACAAAACGAGCCAGCCCAGCATTTTTCCTATCTTCTGATTTTTGAGAAGTACTAGCTGCTTTGCTATTGTATTTTCCGGTCTGAATCCCCACAGTTTTCTTTTCTATAAATTCGGTTTGACTGTAAGCATTCAATTCCGATCCTTCAGTTTGGGTAAACACCTTTTTAATAAAAAAATATTTTAATGCAAATTTTACTGTATCACTTGTCTTCTGTGTTCATTTTGTCCTGTAACTTCTTTAAAATAATCTACGAACCACTTTTGATCATTTTTTCCATTTTCTTCGATAAATCTATCGCCCTGTGGAATAGCAATTTCCCTTTGATCTGGTATAACTTCCCTTTCTTTATTAATATCCTCTTTATTCACTTTTATCCTTTCGTTATCAATAACATTTATTCTGTTATTCCCTGTCAGTTTTTTGCGCAAAATAGATTCTTCTTCCTTCTCCTCTTCTACTCGATCATCTTTTGTTTCTTCATTCTCCTCCATATCCTCTTCAAAATCACTTTCATAGTCTTCAAAATCATCTTCATATACGATTTCCTCCTCTTTCTTTTTATTCAATTCTTCATCAACTTTTGGTTTATCTCGAATTTTAGTTGTTTTTCTATTTTTTTCTTCATTATTCTTTTTGTGTTCCTTTTTCTCGTTTCCTTTCTTACTGTTTTTCCTTTCTTCCTTTCCATCCTCCCTTAATTTTTCCTTAATTGCTGCTGATAATTCTGATGATTTTCTTCTATTATTCCTTTCATCTTTACTTAATTTATCACTTTTTTCTCCAGTTTTATTTTGATTAATTAGTTGCCCTTTTGCTTTTGGTTCAACAACAGCTTTTCTAAATACAAGAAAACATTAAATACTTTCCATAATTTTGTTTACCTTTGACTGCTAACTGTATTATTAGGAATCTTCTGTTGTTTTTTCATTGATAATGGAAGATTAAGTTACATTTTACTTAAATCCGCGCTGTTCAAACGCTTGTTGCTAGGCAACATACTTTTTATTGTGCGACATTTGAGAACACAACATTTAGGAATCCAACCTTTGAGGACACGACATTTGAGAACCCGACCTCTGAGCAGCCAGCATTTAGAACCCGACATTAAAAACTCGAAGGTATAATTTACGATATGAACCGGATTAGTTAAAGTATTTAAAGGGAAAAATAAAAAATTCAATGTCTAATATAAATTTATTCTCTTTATTATCATTTATTTTATTGTCTGTGTTTAGCTTTAGCTTGCAACAATTGTCTTTGTCTAATTATTTCCCTTCCAATTCTCATAAAATCCTTCAATTTCGCTCTGTTAAGCATCAAAGCAACTCCTTTAGGTGGTCGAATAGATGGTGGGTGAATCATAGGAGTACGGTCTGCACGAGAAACCAGCAAAGGATTTGAAAATTTTTGTACAATCGGTGGAGGTGCTAGGCGGGCAGTATGCGGCGCTTAAAACGGTGTATTAACTTTAATCTTTTTATCATTTTATACCTGCCCTTTTTGGTGCTTGTGCTGTCACCAAGGGATCAAATAAAGGCAAAATAACCGAAATAAAAATTATAAAGAAATAAAGGCGTTTTAAAAATAACATTTATTTGATTTTAGAAAATTGACAAAAATTGAGGTAATGGCAAGTTTTAGAGAAAGATGGAAAATTTGAAATGCTTGAATTGGCCAGTAAAAACTGGCTTTTGTGTAAATTTTGTTTGCCTCACTTTTTTACCGTTATATCTAACACCCACCAAATTTTACAATTTTCACGGTCCGTGTAAAATTAAAAGTAATCAACCCATCTTTCCTCAAACACCTCTTTCCCGTTTTAACTTTTCCAATTCTAGCTTCCTTCCCTCTTGCTGTTTTCACTCTTTAAATAAATTTTTACAACTAAACTGAAAAGGAAAGGCACATTTAACTTTTTTATTTTTATATAAATTTTACCTTTAAATTGTTTTGATTGTAAAGGTTTATTATTACAATTTAAACATTTATTTGATTATATATATTTTCCTAAAAAAAGATATGATTCTATTCAACTCAATTTGCCTTTACTCAGTGTCGATATTCTAACCCTTTTTAGCCGTGTCGAGATCTTAACTTGCGATATTTTATCGACTCGATGTTTTAATCCATCTTTGGCGAGTCGAGATTTTAACCAACGATATTTTAACTGTCGATATTTTGTACCTGAAAACTCTGTTATTTTCTCTTCCTTCACTATTTCGCACTGATTCGGTAAAGGTCGGTTCAGAGCGAAAACAACAACTTTGATCGCGGCCAATCGAGGGCCAGCCAAACTTGTGATTGTTTTTACTTTTTTAGCCTAATCCAATCCGTGTTAATCTTTTATCATTCGAACCCCTCGATAAGTGTTATCTTTTTTCCAACCTGATGGGTCCATTTAAAATTATCATTTAGGTTTTATTTTCTAAAATTAAAAATGGCATCAGTTGGGAAAGCAGTTTCAAAAGATGTAAAACAACAAATTAGAACATCTGCTCTAGCCTTTCTGTCATTTTTAAACAAATCAGTAACACCATTTCATGGTAATTTTTAATACAAACACTAATATATATCCTTTCTAGCTGTTGAATCGTGTGAGTCGATTTTGAGGTCAGCCGGATTTGTGGAGCTATTTGAGAACCAAAGGCTTAAAGTACAACCTAAAGGAAAATTTTACATAAAAAAGTGAGCTTTTTAATTATTTAAATATCTCCCTACATTTTAGAAACGAAACTTCTATTTTTGCTTTTGCGGTTGGTGGAGCTTTCAATCCTACAACTACTGGTTATTCTATAGTTGTTGCTCACACCGATAGGTTTGTTTTGCGTTTTATTTTTATATTTGTCTTTAGTCCTTGTTTACGTGTGAAACCAATTTCAAAGAGGACTTCAGAACAATTTTTGCAGGTTAGAAAGTTCTAAAACTAATTTTTGTTTATTGCATAGGTCGGTGTTTCCCCTTATGGTGGTGGTGTTTGGCGATCTTGGTTTGATCGTGATCTCAGTATTGCTGGACAAGTGATATTTAGGGGAGCTCAAAGTGAAATTCTGCATAAACTTATTGATTTTGGAAGGCCAGTTCTTCATATTCCAAACCTGGTTTTTACTTCAATCTTTTAACGTTTGAATTATTTTAGGCGATTCATTTGGATAGTGATCGAGGTAAATTCGAGTTCAACTCTGAACAACATCTGAAGCCAATTTTGGCTCAAGTTCCATCCGACACTTCAACTAAAGATGAGAAGAAAGGTGATAAAGATCAACTTATTAGTGGTATTTCAATTATTGGCGATCATCATGATATACTTTTGAAGGTTTTATTAATATTTTATTTGTTATTTTGTGGTCCCTATTTTCACCTATTTTTAGTCTATTGGCGAATTGGCTGGTTGTGAGCCAGAAGAACTTCTTGATTTAGACCTCTATTTGTATGATACACAGCCCGCTGTAAGGTCTTACCTATAGACACTATAAATTTTTTAAAGAATTTAACCGGGCTTGAGGAAGAGTTTATTTCTGGTGCTAGACTAGACAATTTGGTGGGGACCTACACTTCTATAATGGGACTGGTACAAAGTTTAGGCGATGAACAGGCATTCTCTACCGACCAAAATATTCGCCTTGTTGCTTGTTTTGACAATGAGGAGGTTAATTTTCTTTTTCTTATTTTATCTTTAGAGCTATTTAATTTCAGGTTGGAAGTGTTAGCGCACAGGTTAGAGGGGAACATAGTGAGAATTCTATTGAATTTTACAGGGTGCTGCCTCTCATTTTATGGAATGGCTTATGCGCCGTATCGTGGCCTCCCCTGATGATCCAAATGCTTTTGAATGTGCGATTGGCCGTTCCTACCGTTTAGTATATTTTAGATTTATGGGGAGATTTGATTTGTAAAACTTATCAAACAAAATTTAGTGGTTAGTGCAGATCAAGCGCATGCTTGTCATCCCAATTATGCAAACAAACATGAGGTTTTTTTATTTTATCTTCACTTTTTACTTAAAAAATTTTAAAGGACTGTCACAAACCAACTTTCAATAAAGGCGTAGTTGTCAAAATAAATGCAAATCAGCGTTATGCAACCTCGGCAGTAACACATTCTATATTTAAAATAATTGCGGAATCAGCAGGGATTCCTATACAGGTTTTAAGTTGTTTTCTATGATTATAAATTGCAAAAATAACAGAAAGTTGTTGCAAGGACCGACCTACTTTGTGGGTCAACAGTGGGACCAATTTTGTCTGCCAAATTGGGAATTCAGGTTTTCTTTTTGTTTTCATATTTGCCAAACTTAATTCTAAAGACAATTGATGTAGGCTGCCCTCAATTAGCCATGCATTCTATTCGAGAACTTGGAGATACCTCATCGATTCATTATGCTACAACGCTTTACTCGGTTTGGAGGAAATTTTTCTAAAGGTTTATTTTGATTTTTAGCAATTTTTCAACAAATTGCCGTCTGTTTTGGGTTCCCTAAAGAAACATGAACCACCAACTCTAATGAACGTTGATTGATTTTAAAGGGTATAAAACTTATTTTTAGATTAGGTTATTAACATTATGCAAATTATATGTAAATTATTCTTGTCCAGTTTCCGATAAATAAACCTCACTAGTTTTTTACTTCCTTGCTTTTTCGTAATTATCCATAAACCATTTAACTGACTCATCTATTGCTTTCTCAAAAGGAGTGAATTTAAAATCAGGCAAAAAAGAGCGAAGCTTTTTGTTTGAAGCCGTTTTCTGTTTAAAAAATTGTAAGAAAAAAAATTTAAACCTTTTAAAACCTTAAATTGGCCATCAGCTTTGCTCGTGTCAAAGATTACTTCACCCGTAAAATCCATTGCCTTGACAATTCCATTAACGACATCTTTAATAGTCACCTCATCTTCTTCCCCGACCGAGAGAATTATTGGCTCGATTGACTTAATTTTGACTTTTAAAATTTTTTTTCCTATTTTCTTTTACCTGATAATCACGAAGTGCCCAAATAAATAGACGGGCCAAATCATCAGAAAATATAAATTGGCGTAGTGGTTTCCCTGAACCAAAAACTGTCAGAGGTGTCCCTTCTTTTTTAGCCAAATAACATTTATGTATGAGTGCAGGGATTACATGAGCGTTTTCTAGAAGATTTGATTCGTCATCAAAAAAATTTTTGAGTTACCCAAATTATAGTTGTCGTGTGATCCGAAAACATTGCAAGGGACTACGGAAGTGTACCTAACAAAAATTTTTTAAGTAAAAAAGGGTGGAAAATTTGAAAAAATTAACCAACATTCTGTTATGTTCCTGTGCATAGCCACGATTGAGGACGTCGATCCTTCAAATAAAAATTTATAAATGACCCCAAACCTTTCAAAATTTAAATAGCCTAGCTTACATCCGTTTAGCATATGAATATCCAAAATTGCTTTCGTGTGGTGCTCCATTGTGTATCTAATATTTTTAAATAAAATAGAAAAATCGGAAAAAACAACCATTGTCTCATCAATTGGATATGTAGTTTTATCAGGAAAAATACACGTAGAAAGGCAAGAAACACACTTTTGAACACCGGTTTCGTGGCAACATTTTAATACATTTTGAGAAATATCCTAGAAGATTTGTAAGAATATTTTCTGGAACAAAAAATTTTCGCTTGCCAAATTCTTCGTGAAAAATTGCAAATTGTGTCGCAAATTGTGAAACAATCCACCAACCATAGCTGCCAGGTTTATAACCTTATTTTGAAGTATATTTGATATAAATCTAATATAAAAATACGTGGGTTGGTTTAATCTTCTCAAAAAGTTTTCGAGTTTGCTCCAGGTCTGTCAGATCACAATCACTAGATCCAACAAAAAACCATTCCTCGTTGGCCTTTTTCTCTCCATTAGTAATTATCTGTAATTAAATTTTAATTGCCTATAATTCTAATAAATTTTTAAAAACCTTTTCAATAGCTTTACCAACTAGGCCTGAACCGCCAGTGACTAATATTCGGCATTGCTCAGGTTTTTCTCCCATTATGAATCAAAAAATGTTGAATGAATTCAAAAAATATGCTGAAAATAATTTCTTTATTTTAGATGTGTGTTGATAATGCCACGTGTCGATGAATATGGAAATGTGCGGAAAAATGAAGTCAATGAAGAATTTTTTTCTCATTATATTCGAGAGATGTTGGAAAAAATGACAACAAAACTACCACGTTTGTAAAAATATTTTTTTATTACATAGTTTGAAAAAAATTGTTTTTCTCTTAGGACAATAGTGTTAAAATAAACATTTAAAGACAGTTTTGATTTAAACTTTAATCTTTATGAATTTATTAAATTAAAATGAAATCCAAAAAAAAAGTAAAGAAAAATCATTAAATAAGGATTTTTATTTTTAATTTATTACACAGGATGAACGAGAGCAAAAGGAAAAAGGAAGAATAAAAAATGGAAACAGGTTTCTCACAGCGCTCAAGATGATTTTTGAGATGCGAGAGCTTGAGGCGTATATTCCTTCCTTCAATTAGCAAATAACCGCTGCTATTAATAAGCCTACCGGAACAGCTAGCTAACAACATCTGTCGCGCAGGATCGATGGTGACACCAAATTGGAGAGATTGTGGAAAAAAGAAAAACTTCTTGACCCACAGCCGCCAATCGCCAAACACAAAATCCACTCTCTTCGCCTCATTTGACAGCCTTAGAGGTTCTTCAAGAGCCTTTTCGCGATATTTGTGACTTTGATTTTTTGAATAAAAGATGTTAGGAATAAATGAATTTGAAATCTACCAGAATAATAATACCAAAACTTTACATTCGGATTATGTTTACAGGCAAGAAACTTCTTTTAAATGTATAAAATTTCTAATTTTTAGATTCGCTCTTCCCTTCGAGAGAGTGCACGACAAGGTTGGGTGGACCAGCCTCTTCCAGGTTTAAATCTTTCCAATCTATTTTATAACAGAAATATTCTTAAGAGGTATTGGTATCACTCAATCACAGTTTCTCTCCTTTACTACGCATTTGTGCGACTTTTGCAACGTTTGATGCGCGACCGTCAGCCCTTTCAGCTTCGTGTTCCTCTCATCGTTTGGAACTTTGTATTGGCAATATTTAGTTTTGCGGGACTTGTTCGCTTCTCTGAGGTTGTTTTGCCTGTCTATTTTTACCTTTATTGTGTTTAGGATTTTCTTTACAACTTGACAAAACATGGGCTGGTATATTCAATTTGTCATTCGTGTAATCCGGACAGTGTGGCGGCCTTTTGGTTGATTTTTATGTTTAAATTAAAAAATTTCCTGACTAGGTCATTGTTGTTCGCCTTCTCAAAAATTGTTGAATTTGGTGATACTTTATTCATCGTGCTTCGAAAACGGAAACTCATTGTTTATAAAATTTTTAAAATAACAATAAATCATTCAAATTTTCAAGTTTCTTCATTACTATCACCATGCTGCAGTATTTGTTTACACTATCCATTCTGGTACTGAACACACCGCTCCAGGCCAGGCATTCATTTCGATGAAGTATTCTTTTTTTAAATTAGTTTAAATTCTTTTTTAGTTTCCTTGCCCACTCCGCTATGTATTCGGTTTTTCTTTTGATTAAATTTAAAATAATGCCATTTATTGCAGTACTATACAGCCAAGTCTTGTGGCATAAAAGTTCCAAGACCTATAGCTATGGCGGTGACTAGCATCCAAACAGCTCAAATGTTCTTGGGAGTTGCTGTTTCCACATTGGTTCTGAAACTGAAGCTTTTGGACGGGTATAGGTAGGAAATCTTAATTTGTCACTTAAACCGTTATTCTTTGAATTTCGTCATTTTTGACGTCAATTTTTAGATGCCAGCAAAGCTGGGCCAACTTAATATTAGCATTCGCTATATATGCCAGTTTTGCTCTTCTGTTTGTACGCTTCTTCGTTGACGCGTATTTGCATCGCAACCGAAAGCAAAAAGAAAAATAATTCGAAACAGCTATACTAATCTTGTGCTGATTTTTAAAATGAACCGGATATCTGATCAACACACTAATTACAAAAAAAAATTCTTCCTATTTTTTATCGAAATTTTATCAATTTTATTTTTCTTATATACACACCTATATATTTATTTTCAATCCTGGGAAAAAATTTTTCTGCCTGAGTACTTAAAATCCATCTCTTTTGTGTGCACAACTCGCATTTCCTCATCCATTTGTGTGCCTTTTGCTCCCACTCTGTTTTCTTCCCGCTGCCTGGCCGAGAGCATTTTGATGGAGACAGCCGCGACGTTGGGATGGGCCACCCATTGATTTTCCTTTGGCTTTTTCTTCTCCTCTTATCCTTTGCTCCCTAGTGACCGTCCCCGCTTCGTTTTCTAGCTGTATAGAGCGCTGAAAAATTTTACCCAGAAGATCGAACCCTTTATTTTTTTAGTTATTTTTCTGGAATGGTCCTGCCGTGGACTTGGACAGAAATTCCTTTATTTTATTTCTTTTCCTATTTTTTTTATTTTTAAGAAGTGGAGTTTACTTTAGCCTGCATTTTTATGGTTGTCGGTAATTTCTTTCCAAAATTGTTTGTGCCACACTTACATTTCCCCTAAAAATTTTCACTTCATTTGTAAATAAAAAACATTTTATAGTGACTTTTCTTCAATTTTAAAGTCTAGCAATTCATTATGATTTAAATATTATAAATAGAAATTTCTTCGAATTTTAAAACAACATTTTTTAAATGTATTTTTGCTTCTTGTCTGCTGTCGCCTTCGAAATTTCCTTCCATCCAGAAACTAGTCAATTCCAATTTGTTGACAGCTAATTGCTTTTTTCTTCATCAATTAGCTTTAAATTTTCTATTAACAAGTGGCAAATAACCCAGATTTTTCTATTAATTCACCAAGTATGGTTTCTCCGACTAATCCAGGTTATTTTTTTAGAAATTTGTAGGCGTCCAAATTACATATATTTTAGTCCAAATTTAATTTGGCCGGCTAAATTCAATTTGGCCGGCTGAATTCAAATTTACCGGCCAGATTAAATTTGGTCTAAAATGTAACTTGGAGGCTGACATATTCACTTTATGCTTCAAAAGGTTAAGTGATTGTTTTTAATCATTTTATGTGATTTTAAGCCAATAAATTTAAAAACTTCGCCTCCCTTTAACCATCTTCAATTATTGTCTATCTTACAGACGATATTAGAAACAAGTTAATTGCATATTAAAAAACTGAGAAAATCTACATATTATTGGAGATGCAACAAAAAAGCGGCATTTTGCCGAAGGGAATGTGAACCAGAGCCTAAAGAAAGTGTCCAAATTTCCTTTCAGCCTTTTGCACTTCTAAGTCCATGAATATGAGAGCGAGAGAAAGCAAACATACAAAATCCCCCTCACCTCTTGACGTCACTAGCGACAAAAAACGATGGTGTTACATCCTTTTGTCGCTGACCTAGGTCTATGCCGCTTATTGAGGGAGGCAATGCTAGAAGAGGGAGTATGTATACGTGAATGAGGAAGCGCGTTAGACGTGTAAGACCGTATATGAAGACGAAAGTAAAAGGAAGGAGGACCGATATAAATCGATCCACCCCTCTTTTTTGCTTTTTATCCCTTTTCTCATTTTTCTTTCGCTTTCTGCGTCCAAATTGCTGCCAGCTTTCAAATCAAAGTGAGTGAAAAAGAGCGAAAGTGGACGGGAGAGTGTGTTCGAAACTGTGTGGAAATGAAAGAAAAAACTGAGTAAAATTGTGAGATGAAAAGGATACATAGGAGAGAGCTGTCAATACCGCTCTTGCTTATCTTTCGATCACCCCTCCCCGTTTTACGTTCTTTTTCCCATCACTCATTCGATTTTTAATTCAATATTTAATCCTGTCATTCCTATCGATATACTTTTTATACATTCTATATTTGTAAATTCACGTTAATCGGATTAATTTTAAACTAGAAAATTTTTCACATTTTATCAGTATCATTTTACATTTTTATCATTTTTTCCAAAAATTTGGGCCATAATGACGTTTGACATTTTTCCAAAATTCTATTTTTGGGCATTTTGTAAATCGTACTGTTTTACACTTTCGCAATTCACTTTTTGAAAATATTCGGCATTCGAAATTTCAAAATGTAAAATAACGTAATATCAAAACATTAAACGCCAAAATCGTATATTCGACAAAATGTTACCTATTTCGCTATAAATTTCACTGTTAATACACTAATTTTTAAAATTTCTTTTAATTATAGTTAATCAACAGCCTTCTGCTTCTTCTGGGCAGTTACCACCTTCTCTGCCTCCCATAACAATCCCCCAACCCAGCAATTCCTTCTCTGCAAGACAAGTAAAACCACAGATCAAAACCAACGTTGCGGTGGCTTTCTCGGAGTGTAGTAGCGCACAAAATTCCCCAACATCTGCCTGTTCATCAACTGGTTATTGTCCATCTTTCCGGCATCCGGGTGTCAAATCGGCGGCGCGAATCGCCGGAACATCGCAGAGCCCAATGCGCTCTTTATCAAGTGCCTCTGGTGGTAAATTTTAATTTATTTCCTAACATATTAAAATTTTTATTTTTAGGTCTTTATTTGAGTGCTCCTGGTAAAATAATTCTTTTCGGTGAACATGCAGTTGTATATGGACGGGTAAGCATTTCAATCAAAATTTATTCAAAAATTTAATTCTTAGACTGCAATCGCGGGCTCTATAGATTTGCGCACTTATTTGTCTCTTTTTACCTCAGCTGATGGACGCATTTATTTGTGTTTACCTGACATGAATATTGAAAAGGTTTTGAGTTTTAAATTATAAATTTTCAAAAACAAATTTTTTAGACGTGGCTATTGAAAGATTTGCAGAGAGAAATCTCCAAACTTCCTAGTAAAATATTTTATAAATTCTACTATTTCAAATTCATTTTTAGATGATCTTTTTCTGCTAGCAGAAGAGCCTCCCTCCCTAGAATTAGTTGTCCCTATCGCAAAAAAATTATCTGGCGCTTCAGAAGAACAAAGTGGTGTACAAAATTTAGCAATTCTTGCCTTTTGGTATTTACTCATCGGTGTGGTAATCCGACGACGGTTTGTTTATTTTTTATTTGCCTCTGGGTTTTGTCCTTTTTACGTCAGTGGTTTGACTTTTTTCTATTCTCCATCCTTTCTTAGGGCCTTGGATATTCAACAACAACAAGAAGAGAATGAGCAACAACAGAATTTAGACGATGCTTCCTGTTCATTACCACAAACCGATGGATCTAAAACTTGCCAGTTACATGACCCAAAGACCAAGTCCGTAAAGCAACCTTTGTCTGTTTGGTATGTCATGCGGTGGTTGTGTTTTTTTGTTTTTTTCTTTCTATTATTTTGTATTTTTAACTTTTTGTCAACTAATTATTGTCATTTATGTTGGTTTTTATGTCAAAATTTTTGGAAATTTTTTTCTCCCATCATTAACTTTTTTTATTTTTAGGGATCTCCTAGCAGTCAAAGTCACTGTTCGTTTTAAACTCCCCTCCTGTGTAGGACTTGGATCATCAGGTTAATTTTAAAAAATTTTTAATTGTTTAATTTCCCTTTTAAGGAGCGTATTGCGTTTGCATTGCTACGGCATTGCTTCAAACTGCTGGTTTAATACCCCCTTCATGTGTTCCTACAGACTCTGAGGATTCCTCAACGTGGGATGAACAACACCTAGATATGGTAATTATTTGATTTTATTGGGATTTTTGATTTTTAAAGATCCGGAAATGGTCTTCAGCAGCAGAATCTTTAATTCATGGTAGAGCGTCAGGACTTGATGCGGCTATTTGCACTTATGGTGGAATTGCAAGTTATATGCCTGGAAAGCGACTAGAAAACTTACAAAAGTTTGTGACGTTCAAAATTTTTATAAATTAATTTTTTAAAGTATTCCCGACTTGAAAGTAATTCTAGTCAACTCAAGGGTTGAGAGGAATACTTCACGAATGGTGCAAACAGTTAAAGATAATTATAAAAAGGTTTGGATTTTTTATTTAGTAAAATTATATTTTTCCCATATTTTTAAAGTATCCAGCAGTTGTTGAACCTATTTTTGATACAATTGATGCATTAGCCTACGAAGCGGCAAAAATACTACAAAGGCAATTCTTTTTACTAAATACAACAGATAGAGGAGGAGGAGGGGGAGAGAATGGTTCTTCATTAGAGAATGGTGGACGTTCAGCAGCGCTAAGTCCTCAAATTACTTTGACTGACGGGCCCGATTTTGCATGCAATAGTGTTGGAAGCCACCATCAAAAAAATCTTCAGCCCTCTTCTTCTTGTGCCGCAGGTTCAGGTGGTGGTCGCTCTCCCTCATTAGGCGGAGGTTCTTATGCAGCTGGAGGCAAGCGCGGTTCAAATGCCTCAGCAATTAGTGGCGTTTCTGCTGGGACAACACGAATAGAAAGAAGCGAATTAACAGACACTTTTGACCGACTCAATGAGCTTTGCCGAATAAACAATCAACTACTAATTGCACTCGGTATTTTTTTTTGCATTTAATAAATATGAATAAGCAAATTAAACCAAAAAAAATTAGAAAAAAAAGTGTATAAATAAATTTTAATTTTTTTTTCTTTTTATAGGGGTTGGACATGCTAAAGTTGATCAAATTAGCACACTTCTGTAAGATAACTTTAAAAAAAGATGTAAAAGGTCAATCATTTTTCAGTGGAAGATACGGCATCTACCCTAAAATGACTGGCGCAGGTGGGGGTGGATGTCTATATGCGTTTTTAAAACCAGGTGAGATAATTTGGAGTTTAAATAATTTTAAATCTATTTAAAGAAACGTCTCAAACTCTGCTTAATATGATTAAAGACGAACTTCGCAAAGATGGCTATGAAATGTGGCAGCCAGCGCTTGGTGGTAAGCATTGCTTTTTAAAATATTTCAACTAATATTCCCATAATTTGAAGGCCCAGGCGTTTTGCAACACCAAAATAAACCAGAATTGTTTGCTTCTGCCTCCAACAGTTCAAGCGCCTCAAGCACTGGAAGGGGAAGTAGTTCTTCAGCAGCAGTACCTGTCTATGGTGGAATTTCTTCACGTTCGAACACGCCTGCCAGTTCTCACCAGTCGACTCCGGCTGTTCGACACAAAAAATAATTCATTCCTAACCCTTTTTTTAACCCTAATAATTTTTTTATAATTTTCTTGTAGGTTTAGGCATTGTTCTTTTTTCCCCTTTCCTAAATTTTCATGCTCGATTACCGAGCAAAATGGCGCTCCTCCCTATTTAAGTGCCTTCAAATAATATTTTTATAGAGTTGAGCAAAACTGATACTTAATGGGAACACAAAATCGAAATTCAAACGTCGACGAAAATATGAATCGAAGTACCCAGTCTTGCTCATATTTAATTTTTCACACGTTCCAAATAAGAAAAACATCCTATGCGAAATAATCTTCTTAATTAAATAGGATCTAATTTTAAATATTGTATGTATCTACCAAACGGCTATAAAAAATCCTGCTCTAACACTTGACAATTTTCATTGCAATAGTTTATATATCTCCCACTTTGTAATCAGAATAGGTTTACCCCTCTTTTTTGTTCTACCCCCATAGTTTATTCTTCTATATTTCTACCATTTATTTGTTGTTCGAATAAATATTCTAGTAATGAATGGACGTTTAGTGCCATGAAAGTACTACCCCTGGTAAAAAATGCAATATTCGTGTTTCCAGGATTTTATGGGATGCTCAAACTTTAAAAGGTACAAATTATTTTATTTTAGGTCTTTTAAAAAAATATAAAATTATCATAACTTAGTTATCAAACAAAATATCGAAGCCATTCATTTATATTTATGAGCAATGATCAGAGGAGAGAGCAAAATTTGGTTCTTGCCTTCTGCGCGGATTTCGCCTCACCATCCGTCTTCTTGTCCAAGTGTTCGTCAATATTTGCTTCGGTGCCAGAAATTTTTGAGTCTTCGTTTCCTAAAATCAAAAATAAGTATGGGAAAAATAAGTATGTATAACCTTTAATTGAGCGGTCCGTCACTTCCCCCAAAGTTTCCAAATGAGGAGAATCAACCAAAGGTCCCTCAGTCTTGTTCTCTTCAGTATGTTTGTCATCCATTTCCATACGAGGAGAATCAACCAAAGGCCCATCCGTCTTCTTGTCCAAATGTTCGTCAATATTTGCCTCAAATCCAGAAATTTTCAAGTTTTCGTCCTCTAAAATTAAAAAATAAATATGGCAAAAATAAGTATAACCTTTAGTTGCGAGGTCAGTCGCCTTCCCAAAAATTTCCGAACGAGGAGCATCGACCACCAAAGATTCCTCAGTTTTATCCTCTTCAGTATGTTTGTCATCCATGTCCATACGAAGAGAACCAACCAAAGGCCCATCCGTTTTGTTGTCCAAATGCTCGTCAATATTTGCCTCAAATCCAGAAATTTTCAAGTTCTCGTCCTCTAAAATTGAAAATAAATATGGCAAAAATAGTTTAGTTTCGAGGTCAGTCGTTTCGAGGTCACCTTTAGTTTCGAGGTCAGTCGCCTTCCCAAAAATTTCCGAACGAGGAGCATCAACCACCAAAGATCCCTCAGTTTTATCCTCTTCAGTATATTTGTCATCCATGTCCATACGAAGAGAACCAACCAAAGGCCCATCCGTCTTATTCTCTTCCGAATGTTCGTCAACATTTGCCTCGGATACGGAAATTTTGGCGTCTTCGTCATCTAAAATTAAAAATAAATATGGTAAAAATAAGCCTAACCTTTAATTGAGAGGTCAGTCACTTTCCCAAAAATTTCCAAACGAGGAGCATCAACCACCAAAGATCCCTCAGTTTTATCCTCTTCAGTATGTTTGTCATTGTCATCCATTTCCATACGAAGAGAATCAGACAAAGGCCCATCCGTCTTGTTCTCCAAATGTTCGTCAATATTTGCCTCAAATCCAGAAATTTTCAAGTTCTCGTCCTCTAAAATTAAAATAAAAATGGCAAAATTAGGTATAACCTTTAATTGCAAGGTCAATAACTTTCCCAATAATCTCCTGAACCAATTGCTCGTCTTGCTCAGTAGCCATGTCAGATACGAATAAAGTCAATAAAATAAGTCAACCAAATAATTGATTCCTAAAAAATTTTAAATTAAATGTATTGCCCTAGGGGATTATTAATTTTTTATTTCTAAAATGAAGTAAAAAGGCAAATCATTAAGCGAATCCTGAGAGAGCAAAAAGTGTATACAGGAAAAATATTTCCGGTATTAGCGTTACGTAGTTAAATAAAAATATAGAAATTAGAAAAAGTAAGCTGTCAAATGGATTTTTATATGTCCATTTTTCGCAATAATAATGTCAAAGGTTTAAAAAATTAAAAAAATAAAAAGTAAATTTGATCAGTTTTTTTAAAAATGAGTAATGTTCTTAAGCAATTTGGTCGAGGCTTCCTGAATTTTCTTCAATTTAAAGAGGAAAATGCTGGATGGAATAAAATGAAAAGGAAAGTAAATAAATAAAATGAGAAAGAATCGATTTACTTCCTAAGCAAGTTTGTTTTTTGGGTTTTTGTTTTTTTCCACAATTATTGAAAAAAATACTCTTAAATTTCACTTGCCCTAATGAACAAAGAAAACAAAGATTGATTTTTACAATGTAAAAGAAAAATTTAAAACTAAAACATAAATAAAATAAAAGTGACAAGTAGATGAACATAAATCGTTCAGATAGCAAATTTTAGATTTTAGATTTTCAAATCTAAATCCATTTTGAAAAAAACGATTTGCCAAATAATTAATATTTTTCTCTAATTTGAATTTCCACTGTCTTTTTCATTCTATCATCTCTCTCTTTCTATAGTGTTCTTTTTTACTTCTCGTTTTTCACATTTTGCCAAATCCATATTTTGCCAATAAGGGTAAAAACTTACATTTTGTCAACAACCTTTTTTGACAAAATGTAGGGTTTTAGCGTTATTGGCAAAATATAATGTTGGCAAAATGTGGAGAGCCCTCGAATTTTTATAAAAAAATTTTAATATCGCCCGTTCAAATTTTTAATTTCAGTACTCTCGTTCTTAAGTATAACTATTAAAGAACGTCAAGAATTGAATAAGCAGAATAATCCAATTTTCTTCCGTGACCGGACAATCCGTCAGTGGACAATCCGGCAGTGGAAAATCCGTCAGTGGACAATCCGTCAGTGGTTGGACAATCCGTCAGCGGACAATCCGTCAGTGAACAAATTCGTAATTCCTACCCATATCCAAACTACAATGGCTAAAAATTTTCATGTTTTCGTGCGGGGGATTATCAGAGATATCGAAAATTTGGAGATTAACGAGGAAATCGGCAGATTTAACTGGATTAAAAGGATATCATTGGATTTGGAGGATATTCGGCAATTTGGTTGAATTAAGCAATGTCGATGGATTCGGAAGGATATACTGGATTTGAATGGATTAGATTTACATGATTAACGGATGGGATTATGTTGGATTTAGATTAATATTGTAGGATTTTGTGAAATCTCTGAATAAGAGAGATTGTTTTTGGATGAAAATCAATGGAACATGGTCCAAATCCTCTTAATCCGCCTATATCCCTTGATATCCCACTTAATCCCCGAAATTCATCTAATCTCACTAATTCTTCGATGACTATCATAATACTGCAAAGTTTGTATATTCCCCCTAATAAAAGAATATCTTTAAAATCCCCGATGTCTCCCAAATCGAATGATATCCTTTTAATCTAGCTAAATCTGCCGATTCATCGTTAATCTCCAAATTTTCGATATCTCTCATAATCCCTCACACGAAAACATGAAAATTTTTGGCCATTGTAGTTTGGATATGGGTAGGAATTACAAATTTGTTCACTGACGGATTGTCCACTCACGGATTGTCCGACTACTGACGGATTGTCCACTGACGGATTTTCCACTGCCGGATTGTCCACTGACGGATTGTCCGGGAGCCTTTTCTTCACATTTCCTTTGTTGCTTCATCTTCCTCTTTTTCTAAGATTTTTCCATAATTTAATCAACTTTCCAAATTTGTGTCACATTCTTAACTATCCATGCATAAATTTAAATTTGTTTTATGTTCCACGCTTTTTCGCTTTTCCCTTTTTGGGAATGAAACAATTTGCTTAAATGACGCTTTACTAAAAACTTTGTTACTCACCACTCTTTCTTGCTTACTCAAATAGAACCAAAATGCACTCATTTTATTACCCTCTTTGACAAAAATAGAGTCCATCATCTTCTCTTTTATTACTTTTTTATCCCATGAGAAATGGATGGATTTTTGTTTAAATAACTAGCGAAAACAAAGAATAATACGTATTTCTTTCTTATATTGCACAATTTTCTTTTGAAGATTATCCGACAAGGCGACACTTGCGAACCGAAATTTGCGGACACGCAACAGATTATTTTAACACATATCTAATTTTTTAACAAAAAATGCCGAAGGAGGTTATTCCGAGAGAATTGCATTCAACTGGGGGAACAAGTAAGTAAAAACTTTAAAATATTAAATCTCTTTAAAACTAGACTTTTCAGTTCCGCTTCCTGGAGCAGCAAATTCTCCTCATTCCCGTGTTGAGCTTATGTTGGAAGCCAGGTAAATTATACTTATAATTTAATCCAATTTGCCTGTTCAGAGGCCTACAAGACTTGGATATACTCTCCAAATCCGATCCTATTTGCATCGTCTATTTGAAGGGACTTGGATTAAGGAGCGATGAATATTTTGAAATTGGACGAACTGAAGTGATTTATAACGATTTGAATCCAAAATGGAATACCAAAATACAGCTTGACTACTTTTTTGAGGTATTCTTGCTTTTTGGGGATTTTTGTCTTAATTTTTTTTATTTTTCTTTCTTAAATTTTTAAATAAGACGAAACAAATTTTGAAATTCGATCTTTATGATATAGACAACGAGAACACTGTTGATTTATCAGGGCATGATTTCTTAGGTTTTATTTAATTTTTAGGGTAAATTTTAGTTTTAAAATTTTAGGCAGTTGTGAATGCCATCTTGCCGACATCTGTGCGACATCGGAAGATTTTTTGCGTCTGGATTTGAGGTTTTTTGCTACTTTAAAAAATTTTTTTGAGATTTTATTCTTTTTCAGAAATGGAAAGAAACAAAAAGGTGTTCTGCTTGTTCGAGCCGAGGAGGTGGATAATGGTCAAAAAGAAATTGTCTATTTGGTTTGCCATGGAAAGAGGGTTGCTATCCCCCACTTTTGTTGCTCCTGTCTTTTTTCAATTGATCCTTTTTTGGAATTCCATCGGATTTATCCAAACGGATCGTATGAAACATTTTTTTAATTCTCAAAAAAAAATTTTTTAGAACGCAGTTGGTGCATAGAACTGAAGTTGAAAAGAACACAATAAACCCAGAATGGAAGCCTATTGAAGTGAGCGTGAGACATCTTTGTGAAGGAGATAAGAACAGGCAATTTTTGGTTGAATGTTATGACTTTAAAATTACTGGAAAGTTTGTTTATTTTTATTTTTCTCCCATTTAAAAAAATTTTTTAAAGTCATATTTTCCTTGGTTCTGCTAAATTAACGGTCAATCAATTAACCTCTTCAAAAAATCAAAGCCAAGTCATTCCTCTTGAAAAACAAAAGAATTGTGAAAAGGGAGCCATACAATTCCTTCAAGCGACCATTAATCGAGAATTTACTTTTTTGGATTTCATTAAGGGAGGGTATGTTTTAGAAGGAAAGTGTAAAAATAGTTTTGGCATCAATTTAGAATGCAACTCGAATTTGCAGTCAGCATTGATTTTACAGCATCGAATGGAAATCCTAGAAGCCCAAGTTCTCGACATTACGTTGATCAGTTTTATCTCAATCAATACGAGCTTGCGATCAAATCTGTGCTTGAAATATGCGAGGTAACTAATTTTTAAAGCATTTTGAATTGACTAACTATTTTAGCATTATAACACAAGCAAGTATTTTGAGGCATTTGGATTTGGTGCAAAAATAATTCCGAGTCAATATGTTAGCCATTTTTTCAACTTGGTAAGTATATTTATATTTTTTAAAAGATTGTTTTTAGAATATTGAAACCAACCAATCGGGAGTATATGGAGTAAAAGGAGTTATGGACGCTTACAGGAATGTATTGAGCCGGGTTGAACTTTATGGACCTACAAATTTTGAACCAACGGTGCGCACGATGCTAGAAAAGTGTAAAACTTTCCCGAGAAACGGGTCGAGATATCAGGTTTACTTTATTATAAAAGAATGTTTTATAGAAAATTATACCCCAACAGATTCTGTTGATATTAACTGATGGATTAATAACAGACATGGAACGGACAAAGTTGGCAATAATTGAGGTATTGACTAGAACGTTAATTTTTTTAAATTTTTCTCGATTTTTTAGGCATCTGTACAACCGCTGTCAATTATTGTTAGTCCCTTCAAAACTTAAAAATAATTCATTATTTAGATTGTGGGCGTTGGAGATGAAGATTTTGCAAAAATGGATGAATTGGACTCCGATGAATGTTTACTGAGGCATGGAAATTACGTTGCCAAACGTGATATTGTTCAGGTTCATTTTAATTTTCTACTCCTTTCAATTATTCTTTTAAATTTTTAGTTTGTTCCTTTCCGTGATTTTTATAGTGCTGTTCGATCAGTTGACAGGTTTTTTGGATATTTATTGTCAAAATAACCATTTAAAATTTTTAAAGTAGAATTTCTGAACAGCAACAAATGCAGATTCAAGTTGAACTGGCCAAGGTTTTTTCTTTTAAAAAATTTGAAATTCAATTTTTTAAATTTTTCTAGGCCGTGTTAGAGGAAATACCATATCAAGTAACGTCGTATTGTAAAGCGAATAAAATTCAGCCATTGAACGGTTAATTAAAGCAAAGCTTAATGGAAGATGACCAACGATTCTACCAATTGAACCTCATCATTTTTATTCGACTTAATCTGTCTTAAGTTCACTTGCCATTAATTAATAATGTACTTATAAACCCTAAAATTATAATAGCTCAAAATATTCCAATAAGTATGACAAAATGTAAATTCTTTTTTTTTATTAAAAGATGGGACTGCCAACTATCTTTTTTTTAATTTTTTTCGGAAAACGTCTACGAGAGGGATGATAGTTGGCAGTCTTTGATTAAATATATAATTCCGTCTTATCAAGATAATTTTTTTCTTAATTTTAAATAATAAAATCATATAGAAGTAGGGTATTTTAAAGGGGGTGAGTTTATTTGAGATTAAAAATCTAAATGTTAGAAAGGAAATGAGGTCATATTTTGGTGCTATGTCAGCACGCGCTATTTTAGTAGGGCTATTGGGAAATTTCTGCATGAATATCGAAAAACATAGAAAATTATGTATAAGGAGCGGATCAGTATGAAGTCCTTAAACCCAAAGGAATCCAAAAAAAACATAAAAACCCAGGAAGTGAGTATTACAGGGACTAATGTAAGACCGAAATTCGAGGCATTTTCTGGTCGAATATCCTATGCCCGACCCAATCTTTCGGACCAAGTTGGTTTACTTGGGCAACCCTAATAGGGTTAATAAAATCTAATTCCATTAATCCGCCCCTTTACAAAAATTTAAGATTAGCAAAGGAAATGGTAAGAACTAATTTTTATCTTATAAAACCAAAACCTACTAACCATAAATCTTTGATTTGATGTGCAAGTTGGTAGAGGGTGCTTATTGCTGCACATTTTTTGGTTGAAATTTAGAAAATAAAAATATTCCAATACCAACTGCTTATAGTATAAGGGCTCAAATAAGCGAATAATATAAAAAACTTTGGAAATGAATAGCGTGTATTATAGGGAAACGAGTGAATTATTAAAATACATATTATTGACCGTGTGAAGTAGCAACATGCTCCTCTAAAATCTGCATTGGTAATTGTCCCGGTTGGCCTTGTTGCTGAACAATAACCATTTGGGGTTGACGAGAAGTAACCATTGTAGTTGTAGTAGATGCCATAGAGCTCTGCATGAGACGCTCTGGTGACTTCTGATCACCCATCTGAAAATTAAAAGAAAGACTTGTCTTTCAAAAAAATTAAATCAACCTGGCCAAAAAACTGTTTCCCACTTCCTATCAATTGTGACGTTTCGCTTCGGTAGGCTCTCATTTCCTAAAATATTATAATAAAATTCAAAATTGTGTAAATACCTCTGCATATCGTTCCTTATCTTCTTGCGCCTTTTTCTCAAAAACAATCCGTTCATCATCTGATAACGCCTTCCAACGCAGACCAAGTTCTTGTGCAATCTGACCAACCTTCCATTCTGGGTGTTCACCAGATACTTCTTGACGTTTATCATTCGAAAAGAAGAAAAAAGCAGACCTAAAAAAGAAAAGTTTAAAGCACTTTGCCGTAACATACAAAGCTCGCTTCGGCGCATTTGGATCCTTTTTGGCACGCTTCTTTTTCTTAAGCACATCTTCACCTCCATACGCTGCAACTTCGGCTTGGTAACGTTCAGCATCCTTTTGTGCCAATTCAAAAAATCGCTTTTTCTCCTCGTCCGTCATAGTCTTTAAAAAAGTTATTGAAAGAAAAATTAAAATTAAACCTTCCATTTCTGCGAGCATTTCTTTGAAATTTCAGTCACTTGAACACATTCATTAGGATACTTCTTTTTATGTTCCTCTAAAATATTGATGAGATTAGTAAAAAATTTTAAAGGCTAAATCACCATAACACATTTTGACAAAAAATCCATAAGGCGAAGTTTTCCCACGAACCAAAGGTCTCTCGTTGTGATGAACAACACTAAAATAAGATTGAAAGAAAAAAATTTAAGGCAAATTAAATCAGGAAATGAAACTTACCCGCCACTAAAAGAGCTCTGCGCAGGTCGCTGTTGCGGTACTAAATGATGGATAATTTGCTGAGGCTGCTGAACACCGGTAACGCATGTAGGTTGTTGTTGAATTGTATATTGTCCACTTGGAGTATTCACAATATAAGAGTTCGTCATCTTAAAATCCTTCAAAATTAAAAAAGAAATTACGTACAAAATGGAAAAATATCGAAAAATTTCAATTTAGAGGGCAAAGGTCATAAAAAATTGACCATTATGAACGTAAGGTCCTTGATAATAGTTCTGGTTTACAATATTTAAGAAGTAGATGAATAAGTAGATAGTTTTATCTAAAACGGTAACCTTAAACAAAACTTATTAGTTGACAGCTGGTAAGATTATGTTCGCAAAAAACTATTTTGTGACAGTCGGTATCTAAATCGCTCAAGATTGCAGTGTCTCCCATGCTTTTATCTATATTTCTCATCTACTCTCATAGAATGCTATGCTATTCTCTTTTCATGGCTTCGCAAAATCAATAATTCGCTCTCTCATATTTCACCTATAACATATTTTGCCAACAAGAGTAAAACCACACGTTTTGCCAATAAAGCTTCGTTGAGAAAATGTGGAGTTTTATCCTTATTGGTAAAACATGGTATTGGTGAAATATGATAAACGCAAAATTTGGCAGCTTGAGTGCCACCGATTGAGAGCGAATAACTGAGTAGCGAGCCCGCACGGATTAGGGAACGATTAGACTTGATTTATCTTTTGGATAAAAGATACCGCTTTGCCGGAGGCTTTCAAATGATATGAGTTACTTGAATCGAATCAAGGAATAGAAATGTTAATGACGATCAAATCTGCTTGGCGCTCAAGTGGCCTTTTTTATAGAAAAACATTTTGCCAATTTTTAGAATTGTATTAATTTAAATTTTAAAATTTTTTAGTGAAATTCGAATTTTTTGACAAAAAAATAATTCGAATATGTTTCTTTTTTTTCTTCTTTTTATTTCTTTATTCGATCCCGATTTAATTAGAATGTCTTTAGATTACGTTTCATTAAAATGTCAGAATTTTCTACATCGGCTCGAAATTCTCGTAGTAGAATTATGCATCCAAAATCTAAAAGAATATTGCGAATCATCAAAATAGAGGATGATGAAGATCAGCCAGTACAAACTGAACGTTCGAGAAGCCGAAGTATTTCTCCATTAAGGTATAACCTCGAGTTGTACTCCTGTATTTTGTATAATTTAGAAATAAGCCAACCAGATTTTCCAAGTTCCAATCCCGTCGTCCACCTTGTCGTGATTATTATGGAAAAGGGTATTGTCTTAGAGGTGAGCTTTTGTTACTGCTGAGTTTTTGTTTCTACAATATTTCTAATTTAGGATACAAGTGTAAATTCAATCATGGCGCAATGCCTATTGTTGTGAACGATTCCATGTTGGAAAAGATCAAGGTCAGTTACCTTTACTGTTGAAAATGAAATAATTTTAAGGAGAGTCCAATCTTCAATCCGAATCCATCACCTCCCGGACTTGAAAATTCGGATGATGAGATGGTTGTTGAAGAACAGCGTAATCAACAACTTCAATCACTAATTGGAATGGCCTTTACAACTGGTGGCTTTGAGGCATCTCAAAACATTGTTCAGTTAAATAATGGCTGTTATTTGCCTGAGTTTGTGAATCAACCAACGCCAGCAATGCAAACGTCTTCGAATTATTTGTACAACTACAACAACATTCCTCCGCCAACTCAACCAACATTTACGGCGCAGCCGGAAACTTTGGAGAATGAAGTGAAGGAAAATGCGCCTTCAATTGAAGAATTAGCGGTAGTTCAGCCATTACTGATTAATGATGACAAGAATGAGAAGGATACAAAATTGTTGCAATTGAGCCGTTTGAAAGGCGAACTGTATGAGAAATTGGTTGAGCAGCAAAAGTATTTTTTTAATTACATACTCTTAACTACACACTCCTAATTTTTTAACTCCTAATTTTTACGTACAAACTCTGTTTATAAACTATAGTCGGGATCCCGACATAAAATCGGGATCGGCGTTTTGGAATAATGACCCCGATACCGATCCAGGCTCGTATTGGGAGGATTAAAAACCGGGACTAGGATTTATCTTTTGGTCTCAGAGTCAGCAAAATCGGGATCTAAAGAAATCCGGGACAATTACGCCCGATCTCGACCGGGATCCCGATCCCGCTCAACCCTAGTACAAACTCCCCAAACTCTTAACTACATACTCCTCATTTCTTTTTAGGTCTTTACTTCTCAAATTAAAAGATGCTGAAGGTGAGAAGACTAAGAAACAGTTGAAAGAGTTGATTAAACGTGTGGAGACGCTGATGCTAAAGACGAAGGACGAGCTTCAAGAACTGTTCAATTCGGCTGATTTGAAAACTAGAGAGGAGTGATCAACTTAAATTTCTGGAGAATTTTAACTGTTAGGCGGGTAATTCTATTTATATTTAATATATTTGTTTGTTAATGATCTCGAAACTGATTTTGGAAATCTTCAGATTTTTATTTAAAAATTTATAAAAATTTTCTGAAGAAAAAATTTTATTTTTGTTTGTCAACATTAATCACTTTTTTTATTCCTCGATATTCTTAGAGAGAGGCTATTAGTCAATTTAATTCTTGATGATACATCGAGGGAAAATAGGGCATTAGTTTAATGACAGCTAATTGTAAAAATGTTTTGTCAGTTTAATCGTTGGCCTTTTTAAACTTGGGGGGAAATTATTGAAAGAGCACAACATTTCTACTTGTCACTGATGGCAGGAAAAAGGGCATAATCGATCCTTCGGGCAGGGAAAATGTTAAAAACGCCGGGTGAATGTGCTGCTGTTTATCTTTTTATTTACAGCCATATCTCGGCAAAATTCTATCCATTTTGTTTATTCCATCGGCTGTTTTCTCATATATCGTTTTTATTTCCACATTTCCTTCCATTAAACAATTCTTTAACATCTGTGTGTAATGTATATGGGAAAGGAGCAAATGGGCGGGGAGGAATCTCTCAGACTTGGGAGATTGGAGGCAATAAACAATAGAATTTGTGGCGGTGACTGATAGCATTTGTGCTCCTTATAAAATGAGCCTGTGTTTGTCCCAGCTCATCAGTTTTCACTTTTCATTCAATCAACAAGCCTACTTACTCTCTTAATAAACAACAAAAAAATGAGCCGTAAAATCTTTTTTGCCGCCATCTTGGCTATTATTGCTTTTTCGGCAAATGGAGCCAGCAACCTCCCAGCTTTGGATATGGCTTCGATTCCTGATGAATACAAGGGTATGAAAGGCTACAATTGATAAGATTTCGTATAAAATTAAATTTCTCAGATTTGGTCCCACCTGAGGTTACAACTTTCTACAACGAATTGACCGAGGACGACAAGAAAATCTTGAAAGAAGTCGCCGAAAAGCACAGCGAATATGCAACTGATGAAGATGCGTTGAACGCTTTGAAGGAGAAGAGCGAGAAGCTTTACACAAAGGTGGCGTTGAAATGAAGAATAAATTGAAGTTTAATAAATTCAGGCAAACGAGCTTCGCAACTTGGTCAAGGACAGAATTGGCAAACTCAACCCTGAGGCAAAGACATTCGTCGACACCGTAAATAAAATGATAGAATTCTTTTAAAATTTATTGAATTTATTTAGATAATCGAAAAACTCAAAGCTCTTCGCCCCAAGAAGGATGAGAAGCCAAACCTCACTGAACTCCGAAAGGAAGCCAACGAAATTGTTGAGAAGTGGGTTTAAATGAGTAGAATGACAACTTAAATTTTAATAACTTTCAGATTCAAGGCTTTGTCTGATGAAGCAAAGGAATCTCTAAAAACCAACTTCCCCAAGATCACCGGCGTTATTCAAAGTAAAAATTAAAAAATTCATTCCTCAAATAAATTCCCTTATTTTTAGACGAAAAGTTCCAGAAATTGGCTCAAAGCTTGTTGAAACCAGAAGGCGCCGCTGCACCAGCCTAAATGAGAGAAGAAAATGCTTTGATTCGCAATAGCAAGAAAAAAAGAAAAAAATCAGATTTCTTGCCCACTTTTTTTTTATTTTTTATATAAATACTTAATTTTCTTTTTTGATCATTTCTCTAATATTTGGAAAATTTAAAAAACGATAAAGATTTGAATGTAAACATGTTTTTTAACACCTGTTGATTAACAATTGTTAATTAATTGGTAGTAGCTTTACTTGAGATATCTTGCAAATTAATTAATTAAATTGTTTTTATTTATCCTCAAATAACAGTTGTCCGGTCCGATCCCCATACTTTTCTCTTAAGAATTAATAGACCCCAAAATCCATGCAATTACCTTCTACCGTACTTTTACGTTTTGACTTTGACCAAATGAAATTTGGTGAAATGAAATTAACATTTTGACATTTACCATTATGATTTTTGTCATTTTGTCTTTTCGTCATTTCGACACGTTTGAGACATTTAATCGCAAAAATTTTGGCACAAATGACGAAATGGTTCTAATTTTAGCATTTTACGAGTTAATTTACTACTCTTTTATTTCCAGTTTTCGTTTACTCTTTCTGCATCAAATTGGATTTTAATTATCTTTTGCGTAACTGCGCAGTTATTGATTATACCATTTATAGTTAATTTGTTAAATTTCTTTAAATATTTACATATTTTCTTGAGATCAACCCAGAAGGTCAAATTAGCCAGTAGGTAAAATACAAATATTTGGACAGTTAAAGAAGGTGATCCTGAGTATTGATTTGACCTTCTGGGCCTTGACCTTCAGGGCTTTGATCTCCTGGAGTGGACTGGGTTGGACCTGATATTTTCTCATTTTTGAGGACCATTTCTGACTATCTATTTTCTCGTTTTCGATTATTCTAATTAAAGTCACATTTCAGGAGTTCTATTATTTTTAAAAGTACTGGCCAGTATTATAAAAAACGGGCAGTCATATTATTTTTTGCATTGATTGTCATTAATGCTCATCAGGGTCTTATCCCAGACACCATTATCTAGTAACAACAAGAACAGTTTTTTCAATAGAAAGTTTATTGTTTTATTTGCACTTGGTGGTGCTTCAGTTACAGCTTTTTGGATATATCGAAGAAATATTTATAAATTTATGCAAAACAGGAGAAAAGAGGATAAAATGAATAGAAGGTTAATTTTTGTTTGGGGGTTTTTGGGACCTACTTTTTCCGATCTTGTCGTAAATTTGGGGTTGTCTGCCCTGTTGAATTTATAATACTGGCCATCCTGCACCTTTAATCCTAGAAGGAAATTTTGCTGTTTTCTGTCTTACAGGATGATTTGGTTACCCAAATAAGTTTGCGGACTTATATTATGGTCTCATAATGGTCAGAGTATCAATACATTCCCACTCTCTTCAATAAGTCGGTGATGTACTCGTGTGGAAGAAATATTGGGACTTGAAATGGTTTTCTTTTATATTTTTGTATATCTGACCATTATGAGTCCGCATAGATGCCCGCAAAACTGGCTTGGGATAACCGACAAGTACTCGTTTTTATTAATATTTTTTAAAAAATTCTGCCAAAAATTGTCCGCAAATTTAGTTTCCCGCGTCCTTCCATCCCATTTAAAACTCGCGTGGAATCACCACGACCTCCATTAATATGTACTTAGTTTTTCGAAGGTTAATTATTTCCTCCGGAAACACGCTTCCCAAACAAGGTTAAATATGTACTCCGTTTCTGGGAAAAGTACAACGGCCTGCCTCATATTGCTCGACCATCCTCCCATCTTTTATTGACTGGGAAAAGTTTTCACCTCATTTCACTTGTAAAAATTTCCCTCAAACAAAATGTTTTTTTTTGAATTTTTCCACGTTAAGACGTTTATATTTTTCTTAATTTATTTTTCTCTCATTTTCTTATTCCAAAAATTTTCAGTGAACAAATGGAAAACAATATTGAAACAAAAATTGTCTCGTCAGTCGAAAATTGTTCTTCCAATTCGACATTTTTGACAAACTCTAATGAACCAATCAAAGAAAATTTCGTAAAAATTGGTGATGATCAGTTGGAAAGTAAAGAGTCGGCGGCGGATATCAAGGTAAATTTTTATAAATATTTTTATGCACTCTTTTATTTGTTCAACTGTCAGAAGCCAGACATTTTGGAAAATGAAGTAAAGGCGGCGGTCAACAATGAGTACAGCTGTAGTACTAGTGGAGGATATGCCAATAATGAAGAAAAGGAAAAAATGGTGGAGGGCTCGTCCTCTTCATTAAATTGTCAACAATATGTGAGTCTATTAAACATTTTTGTATATATAAAATTAGAGGTTTAATTTATATTTTATTTTACTTAATTTATAATATTTTGCTCGACATCCTCCCATCTTTATTTCATTAAAATTGAAAAATTTTATGAGATCACCCCAGAAGGTCTATACTTGGAAGGTTAATAAAGGATTACCCCTGGAAGTTACCTCTATTGTTCAAATGATGTGAACTCTATATATTTGTGTGGATAAGCAGGGATTTGGGCAAATTGAGGATTTGTGGGTTATGGGGATATCAATTTATTTGTTCAGATTAAGAGATTTGTTCGGATTAAGGGGGATTAAGGGACATAAGTCAGGAATTCCTTCGTCAAATTGTTAGATAATGCAAAAGGGGGCAGAAAACGAATCATGATCTTGAGTTTCCTTTACTCGCCCAAATATTTGAAGTTGACCTTTTGGGTCATTTAATCATTATCGAGTTGTCCTTCTGAATGTTGATCTTCTGGGACGGACCCAAAGAATTTTTTACATAATTCATTTCCTTAATTTTATACAAAAATTCCCATTCGGTCATAAAAGTTAATAAATAATCTTTAAACAAAATAAAACACAAAGAATATTGTAAGAATATTTGAGAAATTTCCCAATCAGTCTTTTTTTACTTATCGTTTTGCGCTCCTTTCCTTCTCCCTCTTCTATTTTTTCTTTCCACGCTGCTTTCCCCCTTTCATCCTTTTTTTGTCTTTTACACCCCAGACTGAAAGAATTCGGCATCAATCACCAGAGCACAACGGCTCGCCTCATATTGCTCGACATCCTCCCCATCTTTTTTCATTTTTGCAAAAAAAAAGGGGGGGGGAAGAAAGGCAGTTGTGGCAACAGGGAATGAAAGGGAGGGGGGAATGGGGAGGGGTTGTGAAAGAAGGCAAATAAAGTAGGGAGTATTTTATATTTTTGCTCGCCGATCGTTCGCATAGTAGACGACTGTGTGGGTCCTTTCAGTACTCGCCATTCATTTTTTTTCAGCTCAACTAAAAATAAAATATACCTGGCTGTCCTCTCTCTTTATTATGGCCCCCCCTTTTTTAACCGTTGTATCCAAAAAAAACTATTTTTAAATTGTTGGCTTTCTTTGCTTTTTCTTTTTCTCTCTTTCTCGATTTGACACAAGTTAAAGAAGAAAAATGGTCACGAATTATTAAGTTTCTAGAAAAATCACCATTTTTCTTCTTTTCTACTCCTTTTGCCTTGTTGGCCTTTTTTTTGTTGGCCGACGTTTTCTTAACATTTTTATAAATATATAATTTTTGTTTAATTTTCTTTCCTGATTTTTAGAATTTTGAGCAAATCATTCAAGAACATAACTCACAACCAGAAATAGATTGGACTGTGGAAGCTGAAAAGAAAATAAATAATAAAGAGGAAGAAGAAATACAAAACGATCTGAAACACTTGGAAAAGATTGAAGATCAAACAAATAATCAAAACACAAAAATGATACAAGAGGTAGATCATTTTTTTTAGAAAATGATGATTTTTGAATAATTAAATTAATTTGGCTCTTGTCCAGATTATGAGTCCAATTGTCCTTTTGCACGTCCAATCAATTTTTTTTTGGGTCCAATTTGTGTCGTAAAAGTAGCCGGTTCTGCACTTGCATTAGTGCATAAAATCTATTGGAATGGAAAGAAGACTGGACCGAAACAGGTTAAAACACGCCGAACCGGATGCTTAACGACATAGATGGCACGCATAAAATCTATCGGAATTGACGCATAAACTTTTCTTTAGACGCAAATGGTTGATGGACTTATAAAGGTGCAATTGGACACATAATCTGGACAATAGCTTAATTTCATTAAAAAATTCAATTTTTTAAGCAAGCAAACCCAAAATCTAGTTATATGGGGCGTACAAGTACAGGAAGTGTTGGACGTCAACATCCGGTTAATAGTATTTGTATGTGTTCTCGTTGTGTTGAACAACTTAACGATTTGCATTCTTCTCGAGGTTATAAGAGTTCTGAGTCGCCTCATTCTACGCACAGTGAGGTAGGAAAATTTTGTAAAAAAATTTTTGGACATTTGATCTCATAATTTTATTTTTGGACATTTTATCCCAATTTTCTAGGGTTCTGCTGACAGTGGTCGTGCAACAGGTCCTTTAACGTCTTACAGCCCGTTTGCCGATGAATATGGTCTTCAAACAGAAATATTGCCAATTTATGAATTTGAAGTGGAAAATACTCTTGTTGGATTGATTATTGGAGTTAAAGGAAAGACTATTAGGGTTTGTTGATTTTTATACTCCCTTTATTTTAATAAATGTTTTTTAAAGGAACTTTGTTGCCGTGCTGATGTTAGAATGTTAATAAGGCCTCACCATACTCAAAGCAAATACGATACACATCAAATTTGTTCGGTGGAAGGACGTCGTGAAAATATCAACAAGTAAGTCTAGACATTGTTTATTGCAGCTGTTTAAACAAATCTGGCTGAATTTTGCTAAAATAATAATTTTGCCTTTTTTAGATGTTTGCACATGATCCGTCTGCGATTTCCTCCATGTCGTTTTCCAGGACTTAATTTGAAGCCAGTGCTTCCTCCACCACCAACTACTTCAGCTACTACACTTCGTGGAGCGCCTACTGCTGTATTTTTTTAAAATTTGTTTTTGGTTTAAAAAGCTTGATTTTTAAGCTTACTTTAACCGAAGGATTGTTAAGTGAAGTTTATATTTCTGCCAATGTTTCTGCTGGTCATTTCTTTTTGCAGGTTAAAAATTTTGAGTGAATATTTTTGGTTTTTATTTTTTTGTTTCCTTACAGCTGCCAACGCATTCTTCATTTCCGTCTCTGACCGTTTTGGATCAATATATGCTTTCGGTATATACTCAACCTGGTGGTGCTCCAGACCTTCCAAAGCCGTGCAATGGTTCCTTTTCTAATTTTTGAATTTTTTATTTGATTTTTAGTTGGTGTGTTGTGTGCAGCTCCAGCTTATAATGGATGGTTTCGAGCGATAACTTTGGCATATGAACCGGTTATTTTTTTTTGATTTTATGAGAAATATTTTTGATTTTAGGAACAAGATGAGACATTGGTACGTTTTGTTGATTATGGAGGATTTGCGAGATTGCCACGAGCTGATTTGCGTCAAATAAGGTTTATTTTTTCTAGCTATTTTTTCGATAAAAGCAAAATTTTAGGACTGATTTTATGACGTTACCGATGCAATCAATTGAATGTTATTTGGGGAATGTTCAACCTGCTGAAGGTTTTTCATTTTGAATTTTTAGGGAAAATTTTATTGTAGCAAATGGTCAATGGCATGAAAAGGCCAATGAGTTGTTCCAACAATTGTGCGTTTCAAAAGTTATTCAAGCAGCTTTAATTGGTTATAGTAGGCAGGATGGAATTCCTTTTGTTGAGTTATATGTTGTGGATGAGAATAAAAAGGTTTTTTTTAATAAATTTTTAAAGAGGGAGGGAGGAACGGACATTACGCGGTATTTCATTATATAAACTGATCTTGGTACATGGCCACTGGGTCTCGGGGATAATACATTGCCCTATAGAAGGAAAGATTTTCGATATGTTCGCACACATTTTTTGAGAGGTGGGGGAGGAGGGGGCGAAAACTTTGATTTTTTTTATTTTTGACGTTTTTTAGAGTATTCGCATCGATCATATTTTAATGGAGCTTGGGTATGCAAAGCCAATGGATCCATCAATGATTGAGCGTGTTGATTTATGATGAGATGATGATGAAAAGGCGAGATAGCGCAGTGCGTTTTTAATATTTATTTTTATATGGTGAGAGGTTTTTTTGAGAATAAGAAAGGCTAAAAATTAAATGATTGATGAATAGAAGAGAAAAATAAGGGTGGCAGATTATAATAAAAAAATTTTTTAATTTTGTGGGGAACTGATTTTTCCTTTTTTCCATCAAAAAAAATTTTAAGGCTCCTTTTCTTTTATTCTTTATTATTTTTTTTTCACATTCTAGTATTATATACCATCATTATATTATTTTTGGCACCAAAATATATTCCATTCTTTGTTATTTGTTTTGTTTTTCCTACTTTCCGATCATACATATTATATGCAATTTGCCGTTTTCTAAGCAAATATATTTTTCTTTAATCTATCCTCAATTGATATATTGACACCCGGAAGATCAAATTTAATGAAATTAAAAAGGATTAGTTAATGAATTTGTGGTTCGCAAATGTCGTGGGTCCGAAATGTCAGGTTCGCAAATGTCGGGGGTCCGTACTGTCGTTTCCGCAAATGTCGTTTAGCCCAGAATAGGTCTTTTTATTCAACTTAATATTCAAAAAATATTTTTTAAATTTGATTTTCTAGGTTTATCATCTACTTTATTATGAATCGTATTTTAAATTGTTTTTGTTTTTATCGGTGTTTTCCTATTTGAATTTGAATTATTTAAATACTACTCTACTTACATTAAAGGAAAATACCGTTCTGATATTATAAAAAAGGTGCTTATTTTTCTTGGATTAACTAATGTTCGTTTTGAATTATTAAGGGATTTTAATATTTTTTATGTTTATATGCAAATAGTACATTGTAGAGTTTAAATGGCCCTACCTATTTGACGATAAATTCAATAACGTGGGTAGCTGTAAAGGATCCATGGGGTGACATTTGTGGAAGAACATTTGTTATGTCGTATTCGCAAATGTCGCTGTCCTCAACTGTCATACCTCAAAAGTCTGGTTCTCGGCACTACTGAAGAAAAGGGTGCTTTTTATGCGGACTTATTTTGCGGACTTTTTTTTTACTTTTAAATGATTCTTTTTTAATGTTTTGCATAATGTTACACACCAAATCATTTTATATAATTCTTTATTTTGTTTAAATTGTTTTCGAAGGCAAAAAAATAATCTTCTCTTTATCAATGTCTCTTGTTCCAGGGCAAATAGAGGAAGGAGAGCAAGAAGAAAATCTGACCTTTATGTACAATATTAGGTAAGAAAAATAATAGGGGGGAAGGCCTTTGACAGTTAGTTGCTACAAGTAAAACTTATAAAGGAAAGGAAAAGTCCGCAAAATAAGTCCGCAGAAAAACACCCTTTTCTTCAGTAGTGCCTGGTTCTCAATTGTCGGGTTCACAACTGTCGTGTCCACAAAAGTCGTGTCCACAAATGTCGGATTGGCAAACTGTCCCAAAACTTCGGATAACCAAGAATCAAGCTAAAATTCTACAAACTATTTGCAGTTAACATTTCTATAAATTATCTAGAAAACCAAGCCCTTTAATTATCCACTCATTTCTATGCACTGAAAATTTCTGCTTGCACTTGAATTGGACGGGCAACCTTTACACGGGCAGATATTTGTTATTAGACTTACGTCTAAGTTGTTTTCTGCCTAAATTTCTATTTACTCTATCCTATCCTTTTTTTTTAGTATATTCATGACAATTTTTTCCTCTCCCATTTTTTAGATAAATCTTTTTTGGTTCTATAATTTTTACTTTTTTTTTGATGGCTCATTATGTCGTCTATTCTCTCGAGCTTGAGGGAAAATATTATGAGATGAAGGTTATAAGATTGCCCCATTTTTAGGCGGCATCTTTTAGTGTAATAATTTTGCCTAGGTGGGTGATAAGGATCTTTTTGGGAGGTAAAGAATTGAGTAAGGGAAGGTTGAACCTTTTGTATTATTAAATTTAACGAATGTTTTTATGCTTTATATCGTCATAAATAAACAACAAATCAAAACAAATGTTGTTAAAATAATTTAGGAGAAAAGTCAAATATGTTGATTTTTGTTTCGTGATTTTAGACTTTCGTATTAAGGAAATAAAAATTTAATAGCAAAAATTGACTTTTCTAGTGCGAGGCACTTTTAAAGGAAAGGCAAAGAATTAAAGATTGCAAAAAATTGATATATAAGGTATCGAAACAAAAATAAAATTTCGATGTGTGGCAGGCATTTTAATATGCTTAACCCGAAGCATTTTTTCCGGAGTGTATTTTTAAATCAAAAAAATCATTCGAAATTTAAACCTTTCTACTCTTTTTTCTACCATTTGAGAAATTTTGTGAAGAAATTGAGGACACTTTGAAGTCGCGATCGTTTGGCTGGTGGCGGATTTGAAGCCTCATCAGCAACATCTTCAGGACGATCTTCGAAGTAAACCCTCTTAGTAGACGATGAAGGATAAGGATAAAGACTTGATGTAGTACTTAAAAATAAAAATTTTAGTTTAAAAATATCAAGAAGGTCAAATGACCCAAAAGGGCAAATCCAAATATTGGGGGGTCTCAAGATCAAGAATAAACTGGTCTGCTCCCTTTTGCCCAATCTTACAAGAGTAAATTTCTGTGTTGTCCCTTAATCTCAACAAACCCTTCTTTAACCCAAAAATATTTGGATTTGACCGTCAAATCGACCTCGGAGGTCAAGAAATATTTTGATTGACTTTTGGGTCAGTTGACCTTCTGAGCCAATCCTTAAGAAATAAAATTAAATTTAAAAATAAACCGATTAAATCCTCCACCAAAATCTTCATTTTCTGTCCTACGCCGTTTAACCCCAGCACGAGAAGTTGACATTGTGGAAAGAATTGACTTTCTAACATTTGTAGATTCAACAATTTGTTGACGAATTGATGTCTCCAAATAATAATTCCTCTTATATTCCTTTAATAATCCTTCTGGCTTGTCAGGAGTTTCAGGCGGTGTAATTGATTTTTGGACCTTTTGATCAACTTTCTGATCATCTTCCACATCTTTTGGCAACTCTTCTTCATTCACTTCTTTTTCCAAATTTTTTGCTTCAGAATTTTGATGTTTAACCTCTTCAACATCGCTGCTTTCACCATAATCATGACCATTCTGTCCAGGCTCGCTCCCACAGACTGAGGAGCTGCTAACTGTTTCGACTGCATTCAAATGATTAACCATTTCAGGTACAACAAAGCCGGGACCAGTGAAATTTACTTAAAAATAAAATTGATTTTGCGGCATTATTTAACAGAAAAGAACCTGGCATATTCTTCCGAGCAGAATTCATTCCTTTGTCAAAAACTCCATCAAAAAAGTGAGGAATTTTTTCGCCTTTCAATCTACAAGTATTGTCTGTACCAACTTGAAACATTGCAAAAGGATATTCTGTCAGTTGTTTGCAAACATCAATATCTACACTACTCTCTAAAATGTCGGGATGATCTGATGGAATTCTATCGGCATTTAATTTGATCTAAAAAATAAAAATTTGGAGCAAAATTATTGGCTTAAAAACATACGCAAACAATAGAAATGTTATCAGCTCGAAGGCCTCCCCATTTACTTAAAGCATTTTGAAGAAGATAATGTGAATAATTGATTGAACGGGATTGCTAAAAAATTAGAATTTTGGGAAAAAAAGTTAAAAAATTTAAACGTTTCGCTTGTCGATATCATGCAAAATCTGGACAATTGATCGAAAAGTGACAACATTTGTAAGACCATCCGAACAAAGCACAAGAAAATTGTCAGTGCTCTTGAGACGAAAAACATCAACATCGGGTTCTGGACTGACCTAAATTTAAAATGTTTTTTCAGTTTTTCAAAAGAAAAACAAACCACAAATTGATTATTATCAGGATTTAAAGACCAAAAATCTCCAAGTGAACGTGCTACTGCCAAAAAAGGAATGCATTCTGTAGAAGTTGAACGTCTAACAGGGCCACGATGACCACGAATCGGCCGCTTCCAAACTACCCGAACAATTCCCTTAAAAGCAAGATTGATTAAAGAATATAAAATTAAAAAAAAAGAAACCGCTTTTGAGGCTACAGCTCCACCTGCTTTTTCAATTCTTTCACGTTCAGAAGGTTTTTCAGGTTTGTGATCTTCCGTAAGTTTTGCATCATTAACTAATTAAAGAAAATATATAGAAAAATAAATTATCCAAAAAATTACATCCAGCAGCAGCTTCATCAAAATTAGCCAAAATTATAGCAGAATCACCGACATGTCCAGTATAAAGTTTCCCATTTCGAATAAAAGCAACTGTTGCAGTTGTACCAGCAGTGCAAGGAAAGCCTTGAGTAAAGAAATACGGTAATTCCAAGGCTGGTCCCCCCCCTTTTTTTCCTTTCAATTTTTTTTTATTTTTTAAACTTTTTAAAGGAAATTATATATCGTTCGAAAGAGCTCTTCAAGCTGAGTAGAACGGTACTAAATTTATCGAAATCCGACTTAAATAAACATAGTTATGACCATTTGTTTTAATCCCTTTCAACATCACAAAAAGCATGTCCATCGAGGATTTAGCTTCATAATTCTGCTCAGAATCTCCAAATCGAACCGATCATAGTATCATTCTACTCAGCTCGAACAGCTCTATCGAATAATATATTGTAAATTATATTTCAAGAAAAAAATCTCAAAATGGTCAGAGGAACAGAAAAAAAAGGGGGGGACCAGCCTTGGAATTACCAGAAATACAAATAGTTTTAAAAGTCCGCTATAGATAACGGAAATGAAAGTTTACCAGAAACTGTTGGCGGCCACATTTTGGCAACCTTTTGCATGTCGTGATGTGTTTGCAAAAACCCTTCTCTTATAGCAGCAAGAACCTGTTGATCATCGTCGGAGAAGAATGCTTCATTGCCCTTAAAATTTAAAAGCGTTGTTTCGAATTCATTTTAAAGTAAACTTACAACAACGTTATCAAGTAAATTTTGACAAGCATATTCACTCGCTTGTGGCCCTCCATGCCTAGAATATTAAACAGAATTAAAAAAATCGTTAATAATCTAGTTACTGGTCCATAGAAAAAATGAGCAAGAAGAACGAGAAACCGAATCCGACTGGCAAATATCGAGATTCGAAACAGATAAAATTTGAACTCGTGCTTATGGGAAATATTGGGAGTTGGAATGCTCTTCTTGCCCTTTCCAAGGGCCATCAAACCAAATGTAAACATAAAACATAGAACAATACCCATCATATATTGCAGCAAAAATATAATCCAATCGCCCATTAACATCTCGCCCAACCTCCACACTAATTCGATCTTCCATGTATTTACGCCCACCCTTAAAAGAAATTAAAATGTTAAAAAAATTTCAAATTACCTGAGCAGAAGCAGCAGAAATTTGAAATTCTGAAGAAGGAAGGTCGTCAGCTAAACGATCTTTTAAGAGTCGTTTTTTACTCGGTGACAAACTCATATCCATATTTTCCATTATTGAGACAAACTAAAAACAGAAAATTTGATAAGTTTTAACGAAATTAGGAAATGTTACGAAAAATAGAAAATGTAAACAAGAAATTTTTTTGTCTTTTTCTCTCTCCAGCTTATCTCTAATTTCTTTGGCAAAATGTATTTTTTGTAAATTTTGTGCCAAAAAGAGTAGATATTCAAAATTGGAAATTGTTTGACACTTGAGTAGGGAACTTTTGAGTCTGAACTAGAAATCGGCAAGATCTCATTTTGGAGATCTCATGAAGTGATTGAGTTTCAAAAATCGACCTTGAGGGATCCCACAGGATTAATCCCGTAAATCCCGGTGATCCCGTTAGTCGCTTAGAACGCGGGATCCGGGAAATCCTGTAAAATCCCGGTCTGAACTAAATGAGTCTTTTTTTGATTTTTTAAAATTTTCTTCCGCCATGTTAATGGGTTCTCTTAATTTTGGTCTCTTTGGGTTCTCTTTATAATATTTTTTCAAAAAATTTTTAGTAAAAATTTATTAAGAATGGAGAAATGTACTGACAAATCACCCATTGACGATGACTGGAAACGCACGATTGAATTTTTACCGGATAACTGTTTGGAACACATATTTACTCATGTCAATCTCTACGAAGATTTCAATTCTGTTCTTTTGGTTTCCAAGCGTTGGAACCGTTTAGCTTTGGATACCTTGCGAAGAATGAAGCGTTTGTTTAGAGAATGTACTGATTTTTCTTGGTAAAATTTGACTTCAAATTTAAAATTTTAAAAATTTAAAAAGGCGTTTTATTGAAAGCGACAGTCTTCTTTCTGAAAGATGTTCACATTCAGTATGTTATCATCCTAATGAATATGTAATTTATATGTTTGGTGGATGCAATAATACATATACTGCTTTTAATGATCTTTGGCTTTTTGATTTGGTAAACTTTTTTAGTATATTTTGGGCTAAAGGGCTGGGGTTTTTTGTGCTAACATAAGTACAAAGAGATTAGGAGTTAGAGGTTAGGTTAGTTTATTATCCAGGGGTTAGCATTTAAAACACTTACTAGGCGGGGGTTTAAGGTCTATCAAAAGGTCAAGCAGCACCTCTAACAATAAGCTCATGTCATCTGTAAGTGGTGAGCGAAAGCCTCTAGCAATAACTGCAAGGAGGTCGTAGGATCGATGCCTGCTTGAGGCTAAACTTAACTCTCTTACTTTAACAATAAGAAAGAGACCAGATTTAGGCGTTTTACTGCTCAAAAGGGAACCTTAACTTGTATTTTCCTGAATTTCATGTCCGAAGTTCTCCCTAGGCCAGAATAACGTTCCCGAAAATTTTCTTTTAATTCTTTCATTTTTTAGAATACTCATGAATGGGAGCGTGTACTTATTACCCGTCATCCAATGCCTTCACCAAAAGCTTTAGCCACCATGGTTTTGTATAATGATAATTTACTTTTATTTGGAGGCTTTTCAAAATCTTCAATGAACCCAATTCATCAAACTAGTACATTTTTTAATGAACTTCATTTGTACGATTCAAAAAAGAATTGCTGGGAAGAGGTTTAAAAAGAATTTTTACAAAAATAATTTTATTTGGGATCGTTATCAGCAAAAATTTTTCCGCAAGTTTAATCCGCAAATTAAAAACTTTGTCCGCAAATTTAAATTCCAATAGAAAATATTTGTAAATTCATTCGTTCATAATGAAAGCATCAATTGTGTGGAGGGTTACGTCCCCAACCTGAAAATTTGAGGGTGGGGGTTCGATCCTTTTTGGGAGGAAACATTTTTAAATTACTCAAAACTCGTCCAAAATAAGGTTTAAAACGAGGTTCTCACGTACAGCCATTTATTTTTCAGATTGTTTCTGAAAACACTGCTCCACATTTAGCCGGACACACAGCCTCAATTGTTGGGAATTTTATGCTCGTTTTTGGTGGTTCAATGGGATCTTCATACAACAATAATGTTTATGTTTTGGATTTGTTGAGAAGAATTTGGAATATGCCGTCAATTCCTGGCCCTTGTCCACCTCCTCGTTATGGCCAGTCACAAATACTTTTGGACAACAATCATTTGATTATAATTGGGGGATGTGGGGGACCTAATATGAACTTTTCTGATGTGTGGCTATTAGATTTTGATCTGTTCGGAGATTCTGAATGGAAATGGACTCAATTGAAGGTTTTTAATTTTTTTATATTTGGGCTTAAAATGGGTCTCACCCTGAAGACTTATTGACGTTGAAGACCTTCACTTCAAATGCCTATGACTCTTAAGACCTAAAGGTTTTGAAAGGGAATATCACAACAGCACACCATAGGTTCTAGAATACAAAACTGGGTACTTATCCCCTTTAATCACTTTTAATCCTTCGCTATTCCCTCTCAAAATTTGTAGGTCCTCAGGGTCAATAGGCATTTAAGGGTTGATCTCCTTAAAAGAAAATTTTTGTTTTCAGGTTGAAAACCAAGAATTAACACCCCCATATATGTGGTGTCATCGAGCTTGCAAAGTTGGAACTAACGCTGTAGTTGTTAGCAGACCAATTAAATCTACTTGTGCAATGCGGGGAAGTGAACCTGAAAAAAGTGGAATTCATCGAAGACGAACTTCTTCTCAATCAACAACTTCGTCAGCAGGTGGTGGTAGTGGTAGATTAACTTCCCCAGATTCTCCGTCGGATAAACGAGCGGTAAAAAATTTTTTTCTTGAAAGTTTGATACATATGAGCTATCCCAAACCAGTTTTTGTGGATATGTGTAGGCGGACGCATAATGGTCTCTCAGAGCATCCATACTTTCAATTTCTATATTCAATGTATTCGAGAAATTAATATCCGGCCATTTTGAGTCTTTTTTTTATATCTGACCAGTATGAGCCCGCATATGTATTCCGAAAAAAACTGGCTTGTGAAAACTCACAAGTACCAAGAAATTTTTATTCTCACGTTTTTAGGTGGCAGCAGCCTTTTGTGCAAGTTCTGCCGAACAATTACATCAACAAGTACAACGGAAACGAGGCAATTCCCAACGAGATAAAAAACCTATTTTGTTGACATCAAGATCCCTGGATGACCAGGTTAATTTTTTAAAAATATTTTTGAATAAAAATGTTTTCAAAGGAACATAGACAAGCAAACGGAATTCCGCCTTCCTCTTCTTTTGCCGATCTTCAAGATAATGCAACCCCGCAAACGTCAAACGCTCATAATCCTCGTTACTTAAATACACCGTCAACTAGAGGTTATAACGAATTACAGAGAGCATGCTCAATTCCTACAATAATTGTGGGGGAAATTCCAAAATTGATAGTTACGTCTACTACAGAACCTTCAACTTGTAGTCAAAGAATTCCTACACCAAATCAACGGTTTGATTTTTATATTGGGATGTTGATGGGTCCTCGGTTAATGTTATTATGGTTATACCCTTGACTGGTCCTTCCTATGCTGGTTCTTTATGTTTGAGGGGTTATCCGGGGATTATCCCAGATAGAAGGTGCAATGTAGACGAAGGTGGAGTGGGCTAGAACAGACGAAGATTAAGGACTAGCCGTCTTTCTACTGCTCTAATCCCAAAATCGGTAGAATGTTGGGGAAGTAACCCTTCAGGGAAAGTAGCTCTTAAGTGACCTCTCAAAAAATTATGTCTGTGGCCGTGGTCTGCTCGGCTATTTAAATCATTTTTAAAGCAGCGTCAAGTCTGACATTTGTCTCAACAAATCTTCAAGTCATCCAAAGAAGATGGAAATTGATGAAAATGAAAAAAATAATTCTGCTTTAGACTCTTCTGATAACAGCTCAAAACAAGAAATTTCTGAGCATGAGATGGCTGTCCGAAATTATTATATTTCTCTTGTAAAAGATGAACACAATAGACTTTGCATTGTAGAGCCTTCTGAAAATCTTGGGAATATGACTAGTAGACTTGAAGAATTTCTTAGGTATTAAATATTTCAATAAGTACAAATTTTTAAAATTTAAGTAACTGCATCCCTTATCTCACAAAACAAGAACGTTTAGACATTGTTGAAGAATTTTTGGCCAACAATGATGAAAGCAAAAAAGAAGAATCTAGCTCAAACCAATCCAAAGGTTTTGCAGAATTTATAGACATAATTCAACAATTTCTTTAGGATCAATCCGTGACCTTCAAAATCGTTCGAGAGCTTTGTCTGGAGATAATCCATCCCCTTCGTCCAAAAATGTAAATTCTTCCGCGCATTGTTCCACCTCTTTTGGACCTTTTTATGGCCGACAAATGTGTGTATATGTGTTGAGACTTCAAAATATTTTAACTGAACAAAAAGCCAGGTTTCTTATTTAAATATGATGGATTTAATGTCTAAAATTCAGATGGGAGCAACTGCCTATTGAAGTGAACGCTCCAGAAGATAGGTAAGTACAGTCAAAGCGATGAATTACGTCACCCTTCGGGTGGGTCAAAATTTGCCTAGGTCCGAGGGGAAGTAACGTGGGAGAAGATGACGTTATCGAGGGCTTTCGCTATATTATTAGAGTATTTTCAACTTTTCAAAAAAATTTTTTAGATTACTTCATTCATTAATATCCGGCCGTGGTGAACTTATTCTTTTCGGTAACTAAAAATATGTGGAAAATATAAAAAGCACATTTAAAAGGTGGAATGAACAGTGATGGAATTGGAATGGACTGTTTAAATGTTGGAATGGAGCGATACACGATGAGTGCAGAAACTTATATCTTAAGGCCGAGATATAACGAAATGTAGAATTTTTGAGGGCTTTATAGAATATAAGAAATAAATACAAAATATAGATAAATTGCAAAAAAAATATGACAAATTATACTTAGAAAATACAAAGGTTGGCGGATCCCGGGAAATCCCAGGACCTAATGTTCGAACCACAATTTTTGGATCTGATGTGAGGGGTTCCAAGGGAGAAGCTAGCGGGGGGCTTCTCCCTTCCCCCGCCACATTCCCTAACACGAATTCCCCGTAAACAGTCCCCGCCACGTAATATCGAGCCCTAATCCTAACTTTTTTGGATCCGGATCCGTCAACCTTAGACAACAAATATCTCACAAACCATTATAAAATTGTTTGTCAGCAATATGCCGTTGATTAGATAAATTTCTGAGCGATTGTCCATTCACCTGCGATGATAAGTCTGGATTATAATTCAATTGAAGTTGAACCGCTTGTTGATAATTATTTAACCAAAACTTTAAAAAAATTAATTAGACCATAAAGGTTTGAATTAAAAAAAAACCTGTGGAAATTGCTGATAATAGTTGGACATGAGCGACTGTTGAAATTGATAATTCCCAATCTGTTGATGCCCTATCTGTTGATGTGAAGTTACAGGAAAAGTTGGCAGAGGTTCATAATGCTGCATTAGGGTTGTTTAAATTTAAAGGCTTGTCTCGGAGGATGCACTCTCGAGAGGGAAACCTTGCCATGGGCGTCCCACACATGTCCATCGATGTCTCTTCTTCCCCCGAGGAACAAGGGTGGGACACCCTTAAAGGCAAGGATGTACTCTCGAAAGGGGACACCCTTGCAATTTTAACTCTAAAAACCTGTCCATTAATGATCCTTTGGCCATAAGGCGGACTTGGCCCGGAACAAACTTCACTTCTACACACATTGCCAACATCATGACTAAGCTCATCATTCTTGCAACTAATTCTGTCCCTTTAAGAAAAATAAAAGTTTAATTTTAAAAAATTTAACTTTAAAAAGAGCTTCTCTAATTCATCCCTCTCTTGAGCTTGCTTAAAATGCAACGAATTCAATAGAATTGATGAAGTGCTTTTTTCATCCTTTGCTCCTTTGTGATGAATCGCTGCAAGCAAATCATTTCCATTGTTAAGAGGCATATTGAAAAACTAATTTAAAAGTAATTTAAGAAGGAATAAACTCTCAAAAATGATAAAAGAAAAAAATAGACTGGATTAGGAAACCAGTTTAGGATGAAGAAAATAATTTTTAAAAAATTTAAAAAAATTTTAAAACTAAAAAACAATCAACAACTATCACAATAATTCTTTGTATTTTCCTTCAGCGGCGCCTTTGAAATAATCAGCAAACCAACGAATATGTTCGTGTTTCTTCTAAAAAATATTTTTTAAAACTGAAAATTTTTAAAATTAAAAACCTCTACAGACATGTACGGATTCTTTGAAAGACCGGTAAGTACAAGTTCCATATAATGATCAATAGCTTCAGAACGTGGAAGTTTATGCTTTGAAAGTTCTGCTTCAAGAAAGACGTGGTCGACAAAGCTGACCTAGAAAATATAAAAAATTGTTACTGGTGTAGAAATGAGGCCACCCAGGTCTACTCGAGAGGTCGACTCCCTATTGATCAAATGACCCTAAAGGCAACTCCCAATAGATCAAATTACCCAGAAGGTCAACTTCAAATATTTCCCTATTACCCACCAGAATATTTAGAGTTGATCTTCTGGTAATTTGGGTGGTCATTTAATCAATGAGTGGGTCATTCAATGAACAGAGAGTTAACCTACTGGTGTGGACCTTATGTTCTCTTAAGCTTACATTGTCCTCTTCTCCAAGCAAATATTCATTATCAATTGGATAGGGCCACATCTTCCCCTTCTTTGTCCATTCAATCTGTTCTTCAAGAATATTACGCGGTCCCAAACCTCTATCCAACAACTCCATTTTTGCATTGTCCAACTGACGCCAATATGGAAGTTGACGTTCCTCAAGTTGATCTACTTTATTGAAAAAAATACTTTTTGTTGAATTCTTCTTTGAAAAAAGCTTCTCATATGTTGGTTGAGGGACGGTGGCTTCCCTTCTCTTTCTATTCTTGTAATGGTTCTTCATAAGCTTTTCATATTCCTCGTAATAATCAGTCGCGTATTTTGACCTTTAATGAGAAATTTAATGAATTTTTAAGAAATTTTTAAAAGAAACTTGATCTCCTTTGATGCGACGCCTTTTAATAAATGTGCCAAGTCATCTATACCTTTAAGAGAAGCCTTCGACATTTTGCTAGTCTTCGAAAAAAATTTTTTCAATCTAGAGAAATAAGTTATTTTTTTGATATCCCTTCTCTCCTAGTTTGACTATCAGAGTTTTCCTTAAAATGTACATAATGGTCAGAATTTCTTTCTTATCCAATTCCAGACCATTTCCCCCATGGAATTTTCAAATGAAAGACATTAATAAATAAAAGGAAGATCCGATTATTATATACATCTTAAGGAAAAATCTGAGACACAAACTTAATAACAGAGATAACCAAAAAGTACCAAAAATAAAATTAATTTTTAATTAGTTAATAGACTGAATTACTTACAATGAAAAAATAACTTTTAAAATGACTAACCACAACTTTATCATCTAAAAATCCAAAGAATAAAAAAATTACTGATTGAATGCACGAATTTTCATAATACAAAAACTAACTTTATTTTATATTTTGTCTCCTATAAATTTTTAAATTCCTCGCTTAATAAAGTCAACACCCTTAGCAATTTCTTTCTTCAAATCAGGAATTGCCTTCTCAATTAATTGCTTCTCATAGCTCGAAAGCTCGCCAAGAGGAAGAATTTTTTCCTTAATAGGATTAAAAATGAAGGTGTTTAAGCTTAAATATACCACTCCCTTTGGACCGAGTTCAACAGGTCCAGCAAAATATTCAAGTCCTTGCACGACATCCGATCGAACATAGGCACACTGAACACTTTTCTGTCCTTTCAAAGCATTTACCAAGGATCCAACAAAATATTCTGCTGCCAAAGCCATTGACAACGTAGCAGAACCCTAAAATATGTTTTGATATTCTTCAGAAATTTAATCAGTATCTTCCAAACCAATTTTTGCGGACATATCACGTGGACGGGTCAGAAATAAAAAGTATACTCCCCATATTTACCCCAAGTCATCATTTCCCCAAATACATCATCATGGATGCTCTGACCATTATGAGTCCGCAAAAACTGGGTTGGGAAAACCTTCGAGAGCATTAATCAAAAATCTAAACTTACAGCGCCAGCTTTAGCCTTAACAACTTCAGTTCCAGCCTCTTGAATACGCTCACTCAATGCCTTTATTTCTCCATCGCTAAGTTGAACTTTCGGCTGACATTGGGAAAGTAAAGGCACAATAGTCACGCCAGAATGTCCACCAACTACAGGAATTTTTGTCTTTGTAACATCAACATTCTGAATTTTATTAGTTTAAAAAATGAAGAAAAAAGGCAATCCTTCGGAAGTATGATCCCTACCAAAAATAAATTTAAAAATCCTGTAAACACATTTTCTAGGGTAATTTTTGGCTTGACCTCGGTCGATATGCACGGCTTTGTCCAGTGTCAAAAACCTTTCCGTGGAGACCACATTTTTAGACTGGACTACACTTCTGAAGGATTGGTTTAAAAAACAAACCTTTAATTCAGAAACAAAAGTCTGGGCACGAACAACATCAAGAAGAGTCACTCCAAAAATCTTTTTTGGATTATAACAATCGTTATTTTTATAAACTTCAGAAGCGATAGGCAGATTTGAATTCACCGGATTTGTAATTATGCTAAGAAAAGCATTGGGACAAGCTTTCGCTGCGGCTTCAGCAACATCACGAACGATTGCGGCATTTGTGTTAAATAAGTCGTCACGCGTCATTCCTGTGAAAAGAAGGCTGAGTCCACCTCATAAGACCTACACCCTGAGGCCTAATGACCCAGAAGACTTAACTTCTAAAAGGGAATATCGAGAGATTGGTGTAATTGAAGGAGATAGAGACTCATCTAGTGTTAAGGTACTCACTGACAATACTACCGGGCCATGGCTTGGGTACTTATCTCTAAAAAGTTGAGTATTTTTCCCTCCTAACCCCTCGATATTCCCTTTCAAGAGTTCTAGTTCTTCCGGGTCAATAGATACTCGATGGTGTAGGTCTTCAAGGTGTAGGTCCAAGGAGTGTAGGTCTCAGGTATCCCAGAGAATAAAAAAAGACGAAAAAACCTGGCTTTCTTGGAACACCAGCAGGCACAACTACAACATCGGCGTCCTTCAAAGCAGCAGACAATTCGTTAGGTCCCATATGGGCAGTGACCTTCGCAGGAGTATTAATATGAGAAAGATCGGCACAGACTCCTGGAGTGCCAACAATATCATATAAAGCCAAATGCGCAATCGAAGCATTCTTTTTCAAAAGAAGAGCAAGAGGTTGTCCAATTCCTCCACTAGCACCAACAAGCGTCACCTAAATTTTGAAGAATTATCCCACTTAACCATAATTAATAAAAAAACCTTGACAGCTGAACTAGAATTGCGCAAAGATTGAACAGAAGTTGCATACTTTTGAAATCCCAAAAGGGATTTTTGTAAAGTCAAAATAGCACGTGAACCAGGCATGCTCGCAAGCGACATTTCTACTAAAAATAATTAAATTTAAAAATAAGGACAAATTTAACAAGTCAATTTGGCGAAAAAATTAGCTGACATGAGGTTAATTGGACAGGGAATTACGTCAAATTTGAAAAAGAAATGCTACCATGAGTTTTCGACTAAAAACGCCTCAATGCCCAATTGTCCCCAGTCCAAAGGTCTTTTGTTCAATTGTCGTTAAAGCATTTTTCCCTCACGTTCATTCCCAAAGTCTCTCGTTTCTCTTTTTCTTAACTTTTTTTTGTCTCTCCTTGTTTTATGTATTCCCTGCGAAGGAAAATGTCAAAGTGTAATTAAATTTATTCAAACAATTTGCAAAAAGACCAAATGCTCAAGTGCTTCTATGATTCATTAAAAATTCACTTTTTGAATCATTTAATGAGGTTTGATTGTTCATAGGTAGGGAACGACATATCAACGTTTTCTTAAGAAAAAAAAGTTGATTTAATAATATCAACAATTATTCGCGAACAACTTTTTTTTAAATACATAACGCCAGAACAACGTTAATATCAACGTTTTGCGCCAAACAACTGCGAATCAACGTTTTTGTATCTTTTTTTCTCTGCTCTGCCATTATATTTCTCTTCTTTTTTTCTGTTAATTTTCGTTCGTGTAGTCTCTCCTTTGGAATTTAAAAGAATTTTACGAGTAGGAATTTTTTTATTAAAATTGAAAAAATATATAAAACAACAAAATTTTATCCATCTTTAAATAATGATTGTAATGAAGTGGAATTTTGTTTGAAGTTTCTTTCCAAAATTTTAGCAAATCTAGCTTATGTCCTCCCAAATTCTTACATCCAGTTTCATACTGTTCCATCTCAAAATCTAGTCCTTTCTCGGCCAAATCATCGTTTTTAATTTCTGTTTGTAACTTTTTGAATAATCACGACGAAGTTTTGGTTTACAAATAATTTGTACATCCCATGCAGCCTTGAAAAAAATATTACTTATACTTATTAATTTAAATACTAGGGTTGTTGGCAACCGATTATCAACCGGTATCCCCGGTTTTCGGTTTTTAAAATCGCCAACGACCCTATTAAATACCTTAAAAAATTCTTCATGAAATACAGACCTGAGTAATTTAGTACTTCGACATTCTCTTGTTCTCTCAAGAATCCAATCAAACCATACTTGTAAATCATATTCAGAATCCACTTTTGGCTAAAGCTGCTCTGACTAAATCATCTCCTCTTACTTCTCCTCTCCAAGCATTTTCCAATTTGATCATTTCTATCATTAATCTGTTCATTGTACATTTATTTTCGGCCTAAAATTTAAATTTTCTAAATTTCAATATTATTTTTTACCTCAAGTATTTTCAAAGGTGCTTCCAACATTGAAACAGTTTGAATATAAGCTTCAAAAAGATTTTGCTTGGAAAAAATTCGTTCCATTCTCTCTGTGTGATTTCCAGAATATTTGTTAACAATTTCTTTAAACGATTCTTTATCTTACATTAGATCCCTCATCAGTAATAAAAACGATTTTTGACATGTCAAGCCCAAGATAGGTAAGATTTTTGTTGACTAAATCAGATATATTTTTTCTGATTTTGGAAATGTCTCCAGGAATTGGAAGACACGAAAGTACAAACATTCATTCCATGATCGTCTACTCTTCGGACTTCCTAGATTAATCCTTTAAGGAAATCGGATTTTCGACGTTTCGATGACGGTGTCACAGGTTCTTCGAGATCGCCGCTTTCGAATGCGACTCTTAATTCATTTTCAAATTCATCCATCTAGTAAGAATATATGTGGAAAAATCCCTAAAAATTACAGAAAAAAGACTGAACATTTATAAAAATGGAAAATTGCAAATTCCAAAGGAGAGACTACACGAACGAAAATTAACAGAAAAAAAGAAGAGAAATATAATGGCAGAGCAGAGAAAAAAAGATACAAAAACGTTGATTCGCAGTTGTTTGGCGCAAAACGTTGATATTAACGTTGTTCTGGCGTTATGTATTTAAAAAAAAGTTGTTCGCGAATAATTGTTGATATTCGCCGCGAATCAACGAAAACGTTGATTTGTCGTTCACTATTCATAGGTCATTTTCTTGTAAATTTTTTATTTTTCAGCCTCTTCTCTTTTCTAATTGACTAATAGAATGAATTCTTATATTAAAAATGTGCAATTAATTGGCTCTGGCGAATGTGATTCAAATAACACAATTGGGACTTTGCATGTTTTAGGTTCGATTTTACTTTTAGGGTTGCCATTTTCGAGTCGGTCGACGTTCGAGGGTTTTTTTCGGGCTTGTTTTTATTGGAACGGGCCGTTTTTATTTTCATCGAGTCGAGCCTACGAGTCTTTTGTGCCTAATATCATCTGCGCTACTTGATCTTTCGGGCCGACTCGAGGCCTTCTTGGCAACCCTAATTACTTTGTTTAATTAACTTTTTAATATTTTTAAACAGGTACTCATTTAGTTTTCAAGTCGGATTCTTCCAAAAAGGAGATTTGGGTTAGCCTATTTTTAATAATTTTCTAAAGATTTTTTTCAGGTAGTTCACACACTTATTGGCTCTGTTACTAGAACCCCTTCTACAATTAATGGTTCACAATTGTCTATTCGCTACAAACATTTTCTGGTGCTTCTATTTATTATACCCAAAGATAAGGACTGCCAATCCATTTATGAAACATTGACACGTTGCAGTAAATTAGGTTTTTTTTTAATTTTTTATTCGGGTCAATTTTGATAATAGTATTGTTTGTGGAGACATTTTTTTCTCGGGGAACTAGAAAAAAGTGGGACAAACTGGTAATCTATAGGGCTGGCAAAGACGGACTCTAGTCCATGAGTACCTTGTTTTTTGGGTCAACCAGGCCCGTAGGCATGGTGTAGCCTCCCTCCCTTCCCGAAAATTTTTCCTGGCTACGGACCTGAAGTCTACATTGGGTGCGTGTAATACTCACAGCACCGTTGTGGACTGTTGTTCTGATTAGTAAAACTGGGCTCTTAGAACTGGGCTTAGTCAGTCCATTAGGTGCTTTGGGGAATTGGAGAATATTTTAAAAATGTCGTACCCAACCAAGACTATTACTCAGTTTTTAATTTCACTAGGCAATATAAACGAACTATTCGCCTTTTCAATCAAAAATGACAGAGATGGAACAGCCCCGCCTCCTTGGAATTATCTAAATTGGGACGAAGAATTTGCCAGACAAGGAGTCAGCAATGAATGGAAGGAATCCAATTTCAATTCAAACTATTCTTATTGTGATACTTATCCAGAAAAGTTGTGGCTTCCGGAGAAAGCAAGCACTCAAATGTTAATTGGCTCTTGCAGGTTTTTAGTTACATATTTCGTTTCCCTCCACCACCAATTTTCCTTAACATTCAATTCATAGTTAGAATATCTAAAAACTGACCATTTTGTACATCAAAGAAAAATTGGGTGGTGGGGGGGAAACGATTTAAGCATCTGTTTTTACCGGTTTCTCACTATTTTGTTTTTAAGGTTTCGAAGTCGTGCTCGTTTGCCAGTCTTAACTTTTTTCTATAAGCACAATTCTGCTACAATATGCAGGTAATTTTATAAGGGAAAAATGGACTTATTCTGAATAGATTTCAAGTTTAAATATTTTAGATCATCCCAACCCTTATCCGGCTTTAGTGCAAGATGCCTAGAAGATGAATGTTTAATTGAATTGATAATGTCAGCAAATCCCTCATCTTCCACCCTTTATCTTATTGACACACGTCCACGTGTAAATGCGGTAGAAATTTTTTTGATTGAATAAAAGTTTCAAATTAATTTTTAGATGGTCAATAAAGTCCAGGGAAAAGGTTTTGAAGATTCCAAAAATTACACAAATATTCAATTCCATTTTTTTGACATTGAAAATATTCATGTTGTCAGATCCAGTTTAAATAGGCTTTTGGAAGGTTTTTTTTTAATTTTTTTGAAAAATTTTTTAAAAAATTCTTTTAAAGCTTGTCAACGGCCACAATCAATTACTCAATATTTAAAAGCTGTGGATGCTTCTGGTTGGCTAAAACATTTGCGTGTTCTCTTAGAATGTAGCTTTTTTATTGCTGAATCGGTTATTAGAGGAATTTCTTGTGTTGTACATTGTTCAGGTTTTTGTTTTTTCTTTTTTATTTTTTAAATTGATTTTTGTTAGATGGATGGGATAGAACATCGGTAGGTTTACAAAAATATTTAAAAATTGTTTCATTTTAAAGCAAACAGTTTCTTTAGCCCAATTGTTGCTTGATCCATATTATAGAACAATTAAAGGATTTCAGGTAAATCTGACGCTGGTCTAGTTTATTCGTCCAATAAAGCTTTATGAGTCAAGTAAAGCTTCACAAGTCCACTTGGTCTCAGTTTTTTTCTTCATAGAACTCGTAAAATTTTTTCGAACTCGTGATTAGAGTTGCCGTTTTCGAGTCGGGCCGACGATCGAGTCATTGTTTTCGGGCCTCGTTTTTATCGAGTCGGGCCGTACGAGTCTTTTTCGGGCCAAGTATCTTAGGCCCGACTCGATATTTCGGTCCGAGTCGGGCCATTTTGGCAACCCTACTCGTGAAGCTTCATCGGTTTCATAAAAGTTAATTCGACTCATAAACTAGACCCCAGAGCCTCACATTTCATTTAACCCTATCAAAAATTTTTTAAATTTTTAGACTTTAATAGACAAGGATTGGCTAGGTTTTGGTTTTAAATTTGATGATCGTTGTGGACATTTGGGAACAATTTCTGAAGAAAATGAAAAGGAGGTCTCCCCAATATTTACTCAATTTCTTGATTCTATCTATCAATTAATGCGACACAAACCAATGGCTTTTGAATTTAATGAACGCTATTTAATTGAATTAAATGAAAATGCTTATTCCTGTGTTTATGGTCAATTTATTGGAAATTGTGATAAGGATAGAAAGGTTTTTTTATTTTTGTTAAGTTTGGTCTTGAAGGGTGAGGGGCAATTAACAAATCCACTGGTATCGCTCTTATCCTCTCCAAGTCCTCGATATCCTTTTTAATTCTCCGATATCCCTTGTAATCCCTTTTAATCCTCCGATATCCACCCAGTTCCTAATCTCTCTTTAAACCATGAGACTCGATTGACTCAATTTTGTTAATACGGAGTTTTCCGGTCGGAGTTTTACCCTAACACGAATTAAAGTATAATAAGGGACCCTTGTCCGTAGTCTTCTGTCCTGGAATCAAATGAATGGGACTAAACGTCTCATTCTTTCTTTAATTTTTTTAAATGTGTAAACTCCAAGATATTTTTTAAAGGATCTTCGAATAACTACAAAAACCTTGTCTTTATGGTCATTTATGGATAGCAGAAAGGATGATTATACAAATCCATTTTATAATCCAGTAATTTTTATAAAAGTTTTTTGAACATTTTTCTACTTTCAGGCAGCAGATTTGTGTTTACACGAGGGCAAGCTACAGCCTTCATCCTTTGTTGTTTGGTCTAATATGTATAATCAATTTGACATTTCTCTTCACCCAAAAGAATATTTTCCTGATTTGGCAAATGAAGTAAAACAACATCGATCTTTATTGAATGAATTAAATGAAATAAAGGTTTCTTTCTTTTAATTTTACTATATTTTGGGTCGGCGCCTACATTTTTACGTCGCCAGGCCAGGTATCCTGTTTTTCCCTTTAAACAACCCTGGCCGGAGTTCCAGAAAACCCTGATTTTATCAAAATACTCGGTTTCTGGGTGCGGAGCCTGGAAAATCCGGTTCAAGGCTGGCCCGGTTCGAGGATCTGGATACAGGGCCCTGCAATTTGAAAATGATGAGCTTGAGCTCATTGGCTGGGATCAAATGCTCATTCCCTTTCTATTTTAAAAAATTTTATAGGAATTAAATATTTCTGCTTCTAATTATACTCCAATATGGCAATCACAATTGGGTGTAGATGATTGTTCTAATCTCAATTGTGGTAAAGAATTTATTTCAAGACTTGAACGGCGTTTACATTGCTATTTTTGTGGAAAAATATTTTGTAAAAAATGTTGTAATAAAATAGGTGAAAATGAAAGTAGTAAAGAATCGACAAATTCTCCTTTAATAATGTTTGCTTGTAATGAATGTAAATTAAAATATTAAAAATTTTCTTAAAGATTTTTTTTAATAATTTTTTTCTGTTTATTTTGGTGACATTTCTATCAATATTTTAATTTCTAAAAATTTTTTTTTTACTTTTTTTATTTGCCAATTAGTTCTGTTGAATCTTCAAGGTTGTTTGATTCTGTGTGATTCCCAACAATGGTAAATTTTTTAATTTAATGATTTTAAGATTTTCTTTTTTAGAGTTCTACCCTTCAATCATATTTGGACGCTGTTCGTAAGTCGCTTGAGGCTGCTCTGTGTATTAGGCAATTTGGATCTCAAGTTGTTGAGAGGCATAATAAACCTGAGGTTTGGCTTTAAAGTTAATTAGAGCAGGAAATGGTGTATGGTTGTTAGTCATCTCAAGTTAGTGGTTCGAACATCCAAAACCTGGGTTGGTGTTGTGGCGATTTTGGTGGGTTTGGCGTTTCGGCGGTTTTTATGCCTTGATATTTTGGTGACTTTGGGGCTGGTATTTCGACGGCTTTTGGGTTTTATTTCGGTGACATGCCCACAGTTTGGTATTTCGACTGCTTTTGCTCTTTCAGCGTGCTCCCAATTTAAATATTTACTTTAAAATTGACTCGATATTTTTTCAGGTTGAAATTCGCACAAGTAAAGAAGTCTTGCTTTGTCCTATAACAATTTCTCGTAATAAACAAGAAAGAGTATTCATCGAGCCTTCAATAAATTCTGTTAGAATAAGTATTGGAGTTAAACAAGCAGACGAAATTGAAAAAATTCTTTGTAATAAATTCTCAAAGGTTTTTAATTTTTTTTAATGAAAGTAATTAGATTTGAATTCAAGAGCCTATTCATGGGGGGCTAAGTGGGGAGTGCTTCAGGTTTCGTCTTTAGACAAAATTCCGCCTTTTTGGTGTTTGTCTTTCGCCTTAATCTGTTTGGGACACCCCTGGTTTGCTCCTTCAAAATTTTGGCGTTTGCTTGGCGTTCCGAACTTAAATTTTTTATCCCCCAGCCCCTTGGATATGCCCTAGTTAAAAATTTGTTTATTAAGTTCATGTGCCAACGTGCGGACAATTTTATCATTTTGAGGCGAAAACCACTTCCTGGATATGATATTAGTTTTTTAATTACAGCTACACATTCTGAAGTTATGTATAAACAAAAATTGATTGATTTTTTGATCCATTTTATGCAGGAAATTGATAAGGTTTATTTTTAGATTTTGAAGAAAATTTCTTAAAAATTTTTCTAGGAAATTAGCGAAATGAAATTGGCTTTGAATGCGAGGGCACGAACTTCTGCTGAAGAATTTTTGAAGAGATTTAATTGAGTGGAGTGTTAATTTAGTAGTTGCGAAGCTTAAAAGTGATCGAGGACGGGGAAGGTTATTGTAATAGTTTAGGAAAGTTTTCTCATTTTCTATGATTGGGGAAAATATTTTTGAGGTTTAGGGATAGAATATCCATCCTTCTAGTATGCAGAATGTTTTAACGTGATTTAAGATCTTTAGGAGAAGAAGAATATAGTAAAGCATTGTACCTGGGATATTCATAGTATCAGGGATGACAGTCAGGATGGGTTACCCAAAGCTCGTATTTTTTTTGATCTGAAACCCGGTTGTGCCCCTAACCCTGTATCTGCTTGTGGAGAACAAAGCGTCTATAATAATTGCTATGAGTTTGGTGGGTTCAATTCTTGCCCTATTATGCATCGTTCTTAAGGCCTTTAGGAACTCTGCGATGGTTTATGGTTTGATGCTTTTAAGTTTCGTTTTTTCCGAAAATTTGATAAAATCAGACCTTTCTCTTATTTACCTAAAAATTGTTTTTACTATTTATATTTAATTTTATTGTTTTTATTTGATATGAATATTATTTAAAGCTAAAAGAGATACATTGCCTTTTATAATAAAAATGTTTTTCATAAATATTGGATAGCTCAATTAAAAAAAATTTTTTTAAAGATGGTTTTCGAACCTATTAATATATTTTTTTTAATTTTTTCCAACTTTTCTCAATTTTTAGATCAATTTCTGATGGTCAAGATGACTTTAAATTTTCTCCAGATTCTGTCATGCCTTCCCTTAATTTGTTTGACTTTTGCCTTTGAAATCAAACCACAAAATCAAGAAAATGGTGCAGTCCAAGACACTCCTACTTTATTCTCTGTAGAAGGAAAATTAACTATTCGACCAGAATTGCAGCCAAAACCAAATGTTTTTGGAGATATTTATATTTCTTTGGATTATGGAAGATACCAAGGATTTGTCAGGTTTTTTAACTGATTAAATAGAGCCTTGACTGGACCGGAGATGGGCCGGGTTACCAGTGATACCTGGCATTTTTTTTTGTCCCGAAACCCGATTTTGGGAAAATTTGAAAACCCCAGCTTCTCAACTCGGTCTATCCCTGGACCATATACTACCGAAGGTTTTTTGGTTTTTCGGTGGATATTCGGGCTTTAATATTGTAAAAAATATTCTTTTTTAGAAGTGACGGAACTTTCAAATTAAATGACATCCCAACAGGCTCTTACATTATCGAAGCTATTAGTGTAGACTACACTTTTGAACCATTGAGGATTGATATAACCAACAAAGGGAAGATTAGAGCGAGAAAGTTGAATCTTTTGCAGGTTTTTATTTAGAATTTGTCATACTAGACATATCATTTTTTAGCCCAACGTTGTTGTGACTATGCCATATCCCGTTAAAATGACTGCATTGCATCCAACTCAATATTTCCGAAAGAGAGAGGAGTGGCGTGTGACAGATGTACTCATGAATCCAATGGTAAGAAACAGGATTTTTAGTGTCTTCGGGTTTCAAGTCATTGATACAACCAACAAGGAGATTTTTTGGTTAAACCCAACTCGTCAACACCCTTTCCGCTTATTTTCCCGGGCGGCGAATTGGACTCGTGGTGGACTCATGGGCTTGGGTGACTCCGACCCTCTACCTCAGTTTTCTCCGATATCCTTTTCCGTTTATCTTCCAAACGTGTAGGTGAATTTTATAAGAAGCTTGACCGAACCCCCAAAAGTCCTTGAAATACCAAACTCTGGACACCTATGAGTGGACCGCTACATAACGAGGACTCACCAAATCTTGTAGACTCTTTCTATTAACACGACCAATTTCAGATTATAATGCTAATAGCTGCTTTTCTTCTGATGGTGATTACACCAAAATTGGCTGCTCAAGACCCACAAATGCAAAAGGTTTCTCTTCTTAAATCTTTTTTATATTTACTTTTTAAGGATATGCAAAATTTGCAATTACCAAAAGTGGATATGCCCGATATGGCGGATATGTTGGCCAATATGTTTGGATCATCTAGCGGCAAAAAAGGAAATACACGAAAGGCGATTGCATCACAAAATACGAAAAGGACGACTCGATAGTTTTTTTAATATTTTTAAAAATAATCAGGTATTTTGGGGAAATTCTAAAAGGGGATAAGACTTAATCATTTTAAAATTCTTATAATCTTTGATACTTTTTGGATATCCCCCACCTATTAGTTTGAGTCTTAAAGTTTCCTGGTAGTGGTTTCGGACACCCCTTTTCCTCTACGTTCCAAGAGAGGAAAACACAGACATCCTTCCTCTACGTTTAGGGAAAAAATTATGGAGGAAAAGAGGGGGCCTCAAACTAGGAGAGGGTATCCAAAAAGTAAACCATTTTTCTGCTGTTTCTTTTTTTCTTACGATTAGTCTAACAATGAGCTATAAATGTAGTTTTGTATAAAAATAAATTCACGAAATTGCAATTTTATGCCTGTTTCTTTAATTATAGTCAATTACAATAAGCAAAGGAACAATTATAAGGACTGAATATTTGGGCTATTTGGACTTGTTTCAAGTCGTGTAATTTTTCAGTTCCTCGAATAATTGCCAATCTTACAATTTTAGGGAATGTTAAAAGCAATTTTTTAGCAAGTATTTTTCCAAGTAATCATTTTTAAAAAGAGGGTAATCCAGAAGGTCAAATCCAAATATTTGGCGGGTAAAGGAGGCTAGCAAAAGGTTAAAGCTGGCCTGCTCCTTTTTGCCTTGCTTGATAACTGCACGAGAGAATTACCATCTTATGTCCCTTATCCGTCTTTATCCACTCAAATCCTTGGATTTGACCTTCTAGCTTATCACAAAAGAGGGAATATTTTCGAAAAATTTTTTTAAATGATTACCTTTTTAAAAAAATTTAAAAACAAAACCTCATAAGGAATATATTCAACTCAATTAAAAGTTTCTTCCGCAATCCTAGCCTCCTCTAACACAGTTATAAACGAAAATGGCATAAATAAATGGCCTGTTCCAGCATAAAATTTGCTTTGAAATTCAACCCTAAAAAATTTTTTACGGTTGAAAAAGAAATTTTAAAAAATACCAATGAAGACGAAGAGCATGTAAAAATGCTGAAAGTCCTTCCATTAAAACAAGAATGAAGACTGTCATAGTTGCAAACACCAGAAAAACAAAGTACGTCAGTACAGCGCCCAAATAACCTCCTTGAAGTAATCCCATACGAAAAACCATTGTCCAGAGAACATCGGACAATTCTAGGAAAAAATTGTTGGTACTTTACTATTAGGTGGCCAAAAAGTCCGCAAGTTTTGTCCGCAAGTTTGTCCTTTTAAGGAAAGACCTGACAATTATTTATCCTCTTAAAAAAATAATTTGCGGACAAAATTTGCGGACTTTTGGGCCATATAATGGAAAAGAACCAAATGGTTAAAAAATTTAAAATCTCAAAAAATTTACGTGCATGAGCCAAAGAAAGTGCCCAAAGACGAAGATAAGAAGCAGTATGAGAAATACAACCAAGCGCAAATTCAATTGTATGAATTGCTTGATAAACAAAAGTATCACCCAAATCAAATTCCTTTAAATCCTTCTTGGGTGTTGTAGTTGAATTTCCTCCATGATGAATAACTTCAGCACCATCTTCGCTTAAGTTGGCATGGACACTCTGTTAAAAAATTAATTTTCCAAATAAAAAATTTAAAAAAATTTTGGGGATGTAACGGAATTTTAGAAATTGACAAGAAGACAATAACAGATAAGAAGACAATGACAAAAAATATAATAAATAGAGGAACAATAAAAAGAACTCTGGGGGTGGATGCTGAAACATAACAGAAACAATTTTAATAACCCAGCAAAATATATTGTTAGTGATAAAAGGGTACACCCCCAACGTACCGCGAGCTCAAATGTACCGCCGAACTAATAACTAAAATTTATGAAGGCCGAGACGTCTTGATATGGTTCGATTCAGCCTGTCGAGGTTCATCAAGCTAAACCAGGGCGCTCCGGATTCGATATTTTTTAACTAATTCATAGCTCTGCGGTACCTTGGGCTTGGGGTACGTTGGCCTGCTCCCGTTATAAAAAAGTATAAGCACCACAAGCAATGAAAAAAGAAAAAAGAGAGGGAAAAACAAAAAAACCAACCACCAAAAAAAAAACAAAAAAAAATACTGACATTATAATTTTGGAGGCTATCAACATCAACAAATCCTTCATCAAGCACTTGTGCCCCTCTTTGCCTTGGAGGAATTGTTGAGGCAGCAAAAGTTTGTTGTGTGCCATGTAAATTCCTCCTCCTACTAGCATCCTTGTGTTGCCTCCATAAAATTAAAGGTTTCACCAACAACATCACAGGAATAGCCAATAATGCAAAAACCAACAAACAAAATTCCGTTACACCCTGGAAATTTTAAGAGAAAAATTTTTACCAAATTAGTATGACCACCATATAAACGTTGTTTTTGTTGTTGCCAAAGCTTGTAGGGCTTGGCAAATAACATGACAAAGATGCACCCAATAGAAATGGGAATGAAAATTGATTCGAAAAAACCCTAAAAATTTGAAAGAAAAAATTTGGACCTAACCCTAAACCCGTTTGTCAAGAAAAATTTTTTCCTTAAATTTAGGATAGAAAATTCGATACACCTCTCTTCAGTCCCGACTCAGTTCAGTTCCGGCACCTATAACTTGTGAAGAGATGGACAATTTTTCATGTTCTTGGTATCATTAGATAGAGAATTAAGTACACTACAAGTTACCAGAAAATTAAAACTTTCGACAGATTGATAAAGAAGTTAAGGTCGATAAAATGTCGAAAAATCATCTTTTGAAAAAGTTCTAGTTTTTAAATCATAACTTTTTTAATCAATTAGTCGAGAATTTTGATTTTTTGGTTGCTTGTAGTGTATTTAATTCTCTATCCAGTGGTACCAAAAAAATAAAGAAGTGACCATCCCTTCATGAGTTATAGGGTTGGAACTGAACGGAGCCAGGACTGAACCGCTCTGTTGAAAAATAAATAGAAAAAAAATTCAAAACCTGTCCAGGATACCAATAATTTAGATGACAATTTGGACCAGGTTCTCTACTCTCATCGTCTATCGTAAATCCAGTTTTTCTCGATTTCATCATAAACATATTTATAAGCCCAATAAGTAGAGAAGGTGCACATCTAGCGCCTGGATAATAATTTCCAAGAAAATAATAATGTCCCTTAAAAATTAAAAAATATTTATAGTAATAAATAGGGCTGTCCAAAACAAGAAAATGCATGCAAATGCATGCTTTGTATGCGAGTATGCCTTGAAGTGAAGAGTTGGAAAATGTGTTTGTACGTTGGTACGAGGACGTTAGGGCCCGGTTCTTATGGAGAATATTTGCAATTTCGGCCCTTTCATGCATATTTGGCCCTCTTATGCATATTTCGGCCCTTTCGTGCATATTTCAGCCATCTCGTGCGTATTTGCATGTCGGTGCATATTTCGGGAAATTTTGCATATTTTGATGTTTTTGTCCATATATGCGCTTTCCGAGCATATCCTGGACACCCCCAGTAAAAATTTACAAAAAAACCTCATTATTAAAGAAAAGCCATTTTGCTACAATTTCCAAACAGAGATAAACAAAAATGCACGAAAGAAATATAACTTGTGGAATAAAAGTAAAATTAATGTCCAAATAAGATTCTGAATGTCTTTAAAAAATTTTATTTGTAATTTAAAAAAAATTAGAAAATAAACTTGAAATTATAATAACTCAAAGCAATCCCAAACGCCATTTGACTAATTCCAATAATTACTGAACCTTTCATTTTCATTGAATTTAAAAAATTTAGTTTGTTGGTTTCTGCCAAATTCCAAATTGGATCGACACCAAAAGGGTATGGCGGAGATGACTAAAGTAAATTTTGATAAAAAAATTTTTCTTAACGTCGAGTGAGCATATTTGATGTCAGTACAAATTCGATATATTTTTTGGAACCATTCATTAGACCCCAAAATATGAACGACAATAACTCGGCGGTGCGCCTTTTCCAGTTTGGAATTACTACTGCTTTTGGGGGTTTGACTTTTTTACGTTTTGACATTATGTCATGCTCCGTGGCTCGGCCAAAGCATTTTCAAAAAACGGATATCACTCCGCAATAAGAAGTCGGGAGTATCAAAATCGTACTGACAGTTAACACAATGTTCCCTTATAAATAAAAAAACAAACATAAGCAATATGTGGAGGAAGTACAAGCATTTTTTCAGGATCGTTTGTATACTTATCATATTCATCAGTAGCACCCCATGAAGTTCCAAAGATGTTAAATGATTTGCTAAAAACATCATTGTAAATAAAACCAGTGTAAATAGAGAAAAGGCCCATCAGAAAAATTACGTAACGACCAGAGAAAAACATTTGGAATATCTTTAAAAAAATTAATGAAAAATTTTTTGAAAATTAAAATTTAAAAAAACCTCATCATTAATCCGAGCTGCTTCCAATCTTTTCTCTTTTAATACAAGGTACAGTCCAAAAAGAAACATAATTAATCCGTGGCCCAAATCACCAAACATTAAAGCAAATAAGAAAGGAAAAGTAATCATTGTGTAGGGGGCTAGAAAAAATTTTTTTTGAAAAAATTTTGAAATTTTGAAAGAAAACCAGGATTTATTTCTCTATAACTAGCAATTCCATAAGAATCCACAATATTTTGAAAACCACGAGTAAATTTATTGGTTCGATGAAAAGTTGGAGGTTGCTCTAAAGTTTCCATTTTGTTAAGAATTGATGGCACTGAACTTCCACTTTCATCCTTTATAGAAAAATTTTTTTGTAGAAATTCAAAACATGAATGTCACGAGTTACCAGAAACCTGAACCTGTTCAATTTGACTCCCTGTTCCACATAAAAGTTCCTTCCTATAGGGCTTTCCCGCTCGCCTCCATTAAAATGAACTCTCCCTTCCACATAGAGGAAGGGATCATGAAATCCCTATAAATCTCGTGATTTCCCTAATAATCCTCAAAATCACTGATTGCTCCAAACCGTTCATATAAGTTAGGCTTTTTGTTCGAATTTTTAACTGATCGATACCCGAAGCCCGGACATTTTTTCCGATACGAAACCTAATCAGAAGAAAATTTTAAGAATCTAACCCGTGACCCGTTCCGACTACTCAACCCATGTCATCCCTGCTTCCAAAAATAAAAAAAAATTCTTTCTTACACTTCCACGCTTTAATGCCAATTGAATTCGATCAAGTTCAGCAACTGGACACCAACATTCAGCAATTAAACATTTTTGAGTTACATCCAAATTGAATAAATTTAAGGTGTGATAAATTGCTTTGACTTTTCTAACTTTTGTAAGCCAAGTACGAACATTACGAGCAGCAGCGACCTTGAAAAACAAAATTTTAAAGTCAAAAATAAATAAAAAATTAAAAACCAGAACACGATGCCGATGATCTTGAGTTTGTCCCAAAACAGTTTTTAAATCTTCTATACGTGTCATAACACCAATAGACATTTCTCTTCGTTCTTGAGGAGAATCTGGACATGGATATATTGTCGCACGAAAACTAAAGGAAAAATATTTTTTAGTTAAAAATATAGGGTCATCCCTGAAGACCTTGACCCTGAAGAACTACTTTTTAAAAGGAATATCGAGAAATTGAGGAGGATCTCTAACCCCATATCGAGGGTCTCAATCCCCATCAGACATGCACGAAACGTTTCGTTTCGTTTCGTTGTTTCGTTAGTTTCGTTATGTTTTTTCCTGTTTCGTCTCGTTTCGTGACGAAACAGTTTTTAATTTGTTTCGTTTCGTTTTGTTAACGAAACACCTGTGTTTCGTTAACGAAACATTACCTATTTTCTAGACCAAAATATTACCCAAAAACTGAAAAAATTTCCCGGTAGGTGATGAAATTTCAAAAAATTTTTGCCTGCGGCGCTGAAATCTGGATTTTAAGCGCCTACGGCGCATGATTTACTTTTTTTTGAATTTCCCGTTTGATTTTATGTTTTTAATACGCAAAGTTCAAATCCATTCCAGATTAGGCCTATAGAATGGGTCTACCTCTTAATGCCAATCCGGGGCGGGCGCAAGAGAGAATGATCATGAATAAGGTTGAAATGGTGGTATAGGAAATTAGGAGTGAGTAAACGCGATATTGGTGGATTTGGAGTGTTTAAAAAATTAAATTTAAAAAATGTAGAGAATCAGGAACGGGTTATTAGAATAGTAATTTCCGATAAAATTAATTCCCGGTGGTTTTAGGGAATCAGGATTCGGGTCGGTGGGAGATCAGTGCTGTGTCTTGGCATTTGTTGGCTTAAGCTCCGGCTCCGACCTTTCTCAAACATTGGTTCCGGCTCCGGGCATTTCAATTTCTTGGCTCCGGCTCAAGCTCTGAGGTTTTCTAAATCTTAGCTCCGCCGTAGCCCGACTCCGGCGCTAGCTCCCAGAGCCATAACAGCACTGTCCTCGATATACACAGTTGCTCAACATATAATTCGATTGGAGCCGATTTGGCGGAACTAAAGCTGGTATAGTGGATTAGGCGGGAACACGCGAAAATTTTGGAGCTTGGGACCAAAATTTAAGGTCCCACAGAGCTATAAGATCATATATATGTCATAGCTGGCCTATTAACGTGTTTAAAAACGTTAATTAAGAAAATAAAACCGTTTTTCTTAATTTTTTTGAAAATTACAATGTTTCGTTTTGTTTCGTTTCGTTTCGCTAAATTTCTACTGTTTCGTCTCGTTTCGTTAACGAAACGATTTTTAAAAAATTTTGTTTCGTTTCGTTTCGTCTGAAAAATTTTTGGAGTTTCGTGCATGTCTGATCCCCATCAATCACACCAAATATCCATCGACTCCCTCCAAATCACTTGATATTTCCTTAATAACTCTTTAATCCCTCGATAGCCCCTTAATCCCTCTAAATCCCCAGATATTCCCTTTCAAAAGTTGTAGGTCCTCAGGGCCAGTAGGCAGTTGATGGGGACTATAAATATTTAAAAAATTATACCCTTCACAAATCTTTTTCACTCTGCTTTTCAATTGATCTCCTTGAAAAAAGATGATAAAGACAGCCTTTTGAACTTCTAGCCCAGTCATTGTATCACTCAACGGTTCAGTAATTTCTGCTTGTCGCAAAAATACATTGCCTCTACAGGCCCGCCAAAGAAGACGTTCAAAGGCCGGTAAACGCTCTCGTTGGATAACACCAGCAACAAATCTAATAAACAAAAAAATTAATTAAACAAGAATACTTATGTCGTTTCCATCCCCCGTCCAATTTTTTATTTGATGTACAAAATGGTCAGTTATTCCTTCCTTGCATAATCTCAAATTTCCTTCAGCTCCCTCAGCCTCGGTGGCTACGTCCTTGGTAATTATTGAAATTATACCAAGAATGACTGACCATCTTGTACATCAAGGTAATTAGATAGGAGGGAAACAACATAAATAAAAATTAAAAGTGCAAAAGTGGTGGTGCAGTAATTTTAAAATTGCTCAAAATTAAAAAAAGAAAAACTAACTTTAAATTTCCTTTGGAAACATGTGAAGCATCGCCTCTATCACGAGGAATCAAACTAGAACCATCATCCAAAAATTCTTCTTGTGCCAAAGAGTGAAGCGCTTGACGTTCGCCTTCGTTCTTTAGAAGAGAATGAAAATGTGGGAGTTTTTGAAATTAAAAAAAAGGGAATGGCTTGCCGGCAAGTGCAAAAATTAGAAAATATGAGAGAGAATGAGGAAGGAGGAGAAGTATGGGTGCTTTGACCATTATAAGGCCATTTTGCTTATGGTCCGCAATGGATAACCCACGTACCAAGTTTTTTTACAAAAATATAAAGATACAATATGAAAAAATTGTCGTGTTAATCAATATATGGGCTGTTAATTAATTCAGAAAAAATTTAAAAAATTTTTTAAATGGACAAAAACTGCACCACCACTTGACAAAAGACATAAATTAATCAAAAACTAACCCTAATTTCAAGCGCCCTCTAAATTCAATCAAATGTCCACCAGATACAAGAAGAGGCTCCAGTTCGTCAAGAGGAGTCTCAATAACTGTTTGTGGCCTTTTGGGTCGAATGGAACCATGAAGACGCCCAAAACTTTTGTGTTCGTATTCGACCTTGATGAGCATATTTAGAGAAAATAAGAAAAAAGAAGGAAACAATTCAAAAATAAAGACAAAAAATCCCCAAACAAATGTAGAAAAAGCGAATTTTGACAATTTAACAAACTCAAAAAATATATAAAACTAGTGAAAGACAATGAAAAGTGTGCATTTTCGAAGAATCTGTTATCAGACTCTCCCATAAAAAATGCCGGCTGGCCATAGAAAAACACAAAAAATCAACTAACCTCATCAAAAAACTGTTGCGTCTTTCTAAGAATGTGTTTAAGCTCTGTCAGTTCAGCAAAATTTTTCCGAAGCATTTCCTCATTTTGGTTGACTTCACGCAATTCACTTTCTAATTTATCAAAGGTTGCCTAAAAAATAAATTTAAAAATGAAGAAAAGGCCCTTCCGAGTTATCCTCAAACCAGTTTTCACGGATAAATTAATGCGGACTTATAATCATAATGGCTCATAATGGTCAGAGAATCCATACTTGACCTTCTGACCATTATGAGTCTTTGTCATACTGCCCATTATGAGTCCACTTTATCTCTGACCATTATGAGTCCGCAAAAATATGCACGCAAACCATGGTCTAGGATAACACACAAGTCCCGAAGAAATCAAACTAACCCCCAAATCAAACGTTTCCCTAGGTAAGGGAACTTCCGTATTCTCCCCAGTATCGACCATTACAATTCCATCCTTCTTTATTTCGCGTTCCAAAAATCCTAGAGACAAGATTTTAAAATTTAAAAGTATTTCTTACTCAATTTTCGTTCCATTTCGTCACAATGACGAACTTCTCTAACATATTTGCGTTGAAAAGCGTTGATTTCAGCATTTAACTAAATTAAAAAAGGGGTAAAATTTCGTCATATTAACCATATTCTGATTCGGACAAATAATAAGTCATTTGAAAGTTATTCGGTTTCACCTATGGACTGAAGCGACATCTGAAACTAAAGAGAGGACCAAGGTCGCTTTCAGGGCAACCAAGGCCATATTGTTTGTCCGAATCGCAGACAGGCGATATAACGGAATTTTTAATAGAACTTGAGTAAGAATTTATAAAAAATAAACAAACTAACATCTCGGAATTGCACAAGCCCAATTTCGCCAAGTTCAGCAACACATAAATAAGCCGCTTCGTTTTGAAGAAACAACTGAACCAAGCACCTGAAAACCAAGAAAATTTAAAAATAAAATCTTTTTGAACATACATTTCCTCGCTTCGGTGTATTGAATTCATTGTTGTTAAATTAATTCAATAGAATATGGCCTAGAAAATAAAAACAAAGTAAAAAAATATCCAAAAATGACAACAAAAAATAAACATCTTAAAAATTCCAAGACTTTTATTTACAGACAATAATAGAGAAGAAAAAACCGATAATTGGTTAGACAGGTAAAAAGGGAAAGAAGGCTGGACGTGTCCACAACATCGCGGCGGATGTAAAACGTGGACTATAAGAAGAAATTGGGCACTCAAACTCATTAAAAACCTGGCACTGAAACTGCTGCAACTCAAATAAGAAAAACTGTCTTACTGTCTCTCTTAAGTCTAGTGCGCTATTTCTCAATAATTCGATGTCTTGTTCTCACGTGTGAGATTTGTTGTTGCCCATTTAATCGCGCGCGATTCAGACAACAAAAGACTGTTTTCCATCTCTCTTAAATTAAACATACTATTTTTCAATAATTCAATGTCTAGTTTGCGTAGCATGAGATTTGTTCATGACCATTTATTCGCGCAGCAATTCAAATAACAAAAAGGCTGTCTACCGTCACTATTAAATTGACACACTATTTCTTAATAGCTCAGTGTCTATTTTCGAGACATGAGATCTGCTTGAAACCGTCTAATCGCGGAGAAATTTTCCTTTATTTCTTTCATAATACTATTTTCGCCACTAGACAAGCGAAAAAGATAGTTTTGCGAATAAACGGCTGCACGACTAAATGGGCTGTTATTCAGACAAGAATGGCGTAAACAAGCTTTTTCCAATTTCACCAATACCACAGTTTGCCAATAAGGGTTTAATCCCACGTCTTGCCAACAACTTTGTGGCAAAACGTCAATTTTAGCTTTATTGGCGAAATATGGTATTGGTGAAATTTTTAAACTGCAAACAAGTTGTCTATCTCTAACTACTGTAATTAGAGAAACGAAAAAATAATTTATGTCCTATGCGGAAGTATACTTGAGTCTAACTTTAATTAAATATTTCTAGAACTATTTTTGGAGTTTTTTGTCAACCTTTTTTCATTAAAATTTTTTAATTTTTGTTAATTTTCAGTTCTGTTATTAAATAACTAAACGATATTGTGTGTTTTAAATATTTTTTAAACTTTGGCTTTAGGCCCATACTTCTCTACCGTTTTCTAGTTGACATCAATCTATCAGTATTTTATAAATGGCTGAGAAGCGAAAATTGTTGAATGAAATTGATAAGTGTTACAAAAAGGTATTTTTTTAATTTTAAATATTTTTGGGGGAGAACCTTGACACTTTAAGGGCCTTTGACCTTGAAGACTTACATCTTTTGAAAGGGAACGTCAAAAGGGGATATCGAAGGATTTGATGGGATTAAGGGGATATCGAGGGATTTGTATCATCGAAGCGGATAAGGATGAAGGGGATGGATACTCTCCCAGATGATACACAGACAATACCTCACCATAGTTTCTAAACTTCACAACTGGGTACGGTTGGGTCTTATCCCATTGACCCCTCAATTTTTTTTCAAAACGTGTAGGCCTTCAGAATCAAAGGGCTGGGTTGACCCCATTTTTAAATTAACTTTTTATAAGATTGAGGAAGGCTTTGAAATTTTTGATGATATAATGGCCAAAATGACAGAAGCAAATAGTGAAAATCAACGGGAAAAGTTTCAAGATGACCTCAAAAAGGAAATTAAAAAGCTCCAAAGGCTAAGAGACCAGATCAAAGGATGGCAAAATTCCTCGGAAATAAAGGTTTGTGTTTATATTTTTAAACAGATTAGGGGAATTTTTAACTTTCAAAATTTCAGGATAAAGATTCTCTGTCTAAATTTCGAAAGTTGATAGAACAAAGGATGGAAATCTTCAAAGACGTTGAAAGGGAGAACAAAATGAAGCCTCATAGCAAACAAGGTTTAACTGCTGAAGACAAACTTGACCCGAAAGAGAAGGAAAAATGTGATACAATTGAGTGGCTGAATGTTTGTTTTTCAATATTTAATTTCGTACCCCCTCCCTTTTATTCCCTTCCCAAAATGACTCAAAATGGTCAGATTTCTTTTATCGACTTCACACAATTTCTAGGTGGCTGGTAATTTTTTTACTGACTCACAGGGTGAAGTTGAGATAGATTGAGTCTGAAAGAGGAAGTCTGACCGTTTTGAGCCATTTGAAGAAGGGACGAAAAGAGGGGGTACGAAATTGAATCTTACCTGTTTTTTTGAATTTTTTAAAATTTCTTTATAATTTTTTCAAGTGTCAAATTCGTAGAATTCAAGATGAAATTGACAGGACTGAATCTAAACTTGAAACTCTTTCGTCTTCTGCTGATACCGGAAAGAAAAGGGGTAAAAAAGAAGATGCCAAAAAGAACGAAAAAGAGGTTTTTTTTTGAATTTAAAAAAAAATATTTTTTTTAGAAGGCTGAAGAATTGCGAAGGCATTTGGATAGAGTAAAGTTTCATCTTTTAAATTTGGAAGTTTGCATCCGAATGATAAATAACGAAAAGATTGAAATAAAGGATGTAAATGGAAAATTGAAGGAACCTTTGGAGATGTACATTGACGCGTTGGACCCAGAAAATGATGATGATCCGGAAAGTTTGGACCCAGAAGGTTTTTTTGACTTTGTGTGGATTTTTGAGAATTTTTTTTTAGACATTTACGAGGAGCTTAATTTTAGTACTTATTTGTCGCAACTTGGAGGAATTTCAACAAATAGCGTTGATGACGAAAAAGGACCAAATAATGATACTGGTTTGTATTTTTTATTTCATACCAGGGATGTCACTGGTTGAGGAAAAAGTTGGGCCAGGCTTCAAAATTTTTTTAGGATCGGGTTTTGGGTGAAAAAAGTTCGGATTTTGGAGCTCTGGTTGAGTTCAGTTAGGGGGATTGAGAAGGGAAAAGTTCGGGTCTAGTTTTGGAAAATTCCTCGGGCCAGGTTTTGGGTGCCTCGTGACATCTATGCCCCTCATATCTTTCATAAATTCCAAATTTAAGGAAGTCACAAATCCTCGAGTCCATCTCCCGATTATTGGTCTAAACATCAAAATGGCGGAGAACTAGACACTTCTTCTCATGAAAAATCGCCATATGTCGGGAATGTGAGTACGCGTTCTACTTCCGAATCAGCCTCTTCACATCGTTCGGCAGTAAGCGGTGGTGGTGCTTCTTCCGTCACTTCACTAAAACTTACTCGGTTAGGAAGGTTTGTGTTTTTGATTGGTCTTAGCGGGTACACCTTAACTTACTCGACGACAAAGTGTCGCCGAGCTATAACCTTGTTTAAATTATTGAATCCGGGACGCCTTGTTGTGGTTGGATGCTCCTCAACGAGCTGAATCAGACCATACCAAAACATCTTGGATTAGATAATTTCGAAGGGAGTTATAGGCTCCGCGGCGCATTGGCATCACAGTTCGTTGGCCTGTTCGCGTTCTTGCGTGGGGGAGTTCTCCAAAAAAATTTTCCTTTTTTATAGAAAAAAAGATTTTTTTTCCCTTTTCAGTCAGGTTAGCAATTCTAGTTCTGTTTCATCTCCATTGCCTCAAACACCGCCTGCTATCCCAGGGATTCCTTATAATTCGGTTGCCGCGGGGAAAATGCATACACCACCAGTTCAATCAACTGCAGCAATGGCAATACATCCAATGCATCAAGCAGTAACAAATACGGCTTCAACACCAACTGCTTCAACATCAGCAAATATTTTAGCTTCTCCAAAAACAACATTGCCGTCACCATCCGCCGTAGAAAATACTTCAAGTAATGTTATTGTCCAACAACAACAACCTCCATCAACAATTCAAGCACCTCCAACAGTTTCACCTGTAGCTGAACTAAAAGAAGAAAATGCTGTTTCATCTTCAGGAATGGCATCAACAACCTTAATAAGGACTCGATCTTCTTCTGTTACATCATCTACAGCAACATCTTTACATGAAGAACCGAGTCAATTTTCTACTGTTGTAGGAGGAGGAAATTTGACGTCATCACCAATAACTTCAAAAGCTCCTTTACCTTTAAGATTCAATTCTTCAGCTGCTGCTGGAGGAGGAGCAACAACATCTTCATCATCAAATCCATCGCCATTCTCATTGCCAACATTCATGTCGGCGGCATCTTCTGCTCCTCCGTCAACAACAACACCAGCAGGGAGAACTAGCGATTTATCTACACCTTCAAGAAATTCTGAACAACACCAAGAAAGTCAACATTCATCAAATGATGTTGGAAATAATATAGCTGATACTACTGAATTTAATGGAAAAGTTGCAAATCTTCTTTACAATTCTTCATTTGGTAGTCCAATGATTACACAACAAAAGAGTAGAGAACCACAAGAGGTTTTTCTTTAAATTTTTTGGTAAAGGGACTTTTACTGACCCCTTGGGAAAAATGAGAAAGAAGTGCACTTTCGATATTTTAGAGTTTGATAGTAGGTGATCGAGTCTGTGAGTCCGAATATGAACATAAAATTTAATTTCGAGACCAAATTTTAAATTTAAATTTAGCGTTAATTTGACACGATTCTTCGGACTGCGCCGAATGGTTTATGCTCATATTCGGACGATTACCTACTGGCTAACCTTAAAATATCGAATTTTTGATTTTGATAGGAGACCTTGACCAGATTCCCGACATTCAAGGTCTTAGCCTTGACCGTTAGCCGATCTTTTAATATCGAAAATTTCTTTTTTCCCACATTTTTTCTATGCACCAGTAAAAGCCACCTGATTAAAACTAACTCTTTAAAAAATTTTTTCCATTAAAGGCTGTTATCCAACCATGGTTAGGTGCTTCTCCTCTTGGAATGGCTCCAATAAACGAAGAATTGAGTTTCCAACTGCAAATGTTAGACGCAACACAGACACGTTGCCCTCTTCAAATGGACTCGGAAAAGCCTAGAAGTTATCTGCCAAAAATGCCCTGTTCAACACCACCTTACTATCCTCAGGCACCTTTACCAAATGCAGATAGCCTTGAATATTATCTTCGACTTTCTGTTGAAACTCTTTTCTTTACGTTTTATTATATGGAGGTTTTTTTTGGATTTTTTTTTTAAATTTAATTTTTTTTTGTCTCTTTAAGGGTTCACGTGCACAATTGTTAGCTGCAAAGGCTTTAAAAAAGCTTTCGTGGAGGTTTCATACAAAGTATAAATTTTTATTTTTAAATTATTTTCTGATTGAAAACCTTGAGTATCGCGGTATATTTGGGGCCAAATCTTCTTAATGACCTAAAATATATTTTAATATTTTAGATATTTAATGTGGTTTCAAAGACATGAAGAGCCTAAACAAATAACTGATGATTACGAACAGGTTTTTTTGATTTTTTCTTTGGTAAAATTAAATTTCGTACCCTCTTTCTTCCCTTTTCCTTCCTCAATACTGGTCAGACTTAAAAATGTGCTACAAGCCGTCGGTTGAGGAAAAAGCCGGGCCTGGTTTTCAGAACTTCCTCAGGATCGAGTTTCGGGTCGAAAATGGGTCATGTTTTGGGTAACCCAACCCATCCCTCCTAGCTCTTCTTTGTAGAATCTATGTTCCTGTATTGGGGGTGTAGAACTGGTGCCCAAAGTTGTCGCAAAAAGTTCTAGTAAAAATCAGGGCTGGTTCTTCACGACATAGTAGAGACTAAAGTGAGGTTGAAGAAAGAAAAGCAAAGTTTTAATATTTTGAGGAAGGAAAAAATGGGAGGAGATGGGGTACACGAAGTACACGAAGTTCAATTTTATCAATTTTTCTTGTTTCTAAAAATATTTTTCCTCATCTTTTTTTAAGGGAACCTATGTTTATTTTGACTTTGAAAAATGGGTACAACGGAAAAAAGAGCAATTCACATTTGAGTATAAATACTTGGAAGATAAAGATTTTGAATAAAATAAAAAAGAAAAAAAAAATTTTTTTTTGTGTAAAAAAAAATTTTTCTAGTGAAAATTTTAATGAGACTTTTGGCTTCTCGTTAATTTTTTTAATTATAGTATCTTCCCATATTTTATGTTTATCTTCTCGTTTGTATTTACTGCCTGTTTTTTTGTGCATTGCTTGACAGAAAGTGAAAGACATGTTTAGTTAAATTTTTAAAAATCCTGTGGTTTGTGACAAATTGTCGTGTCACCGCCTGAGTGACCAATGCGCTACTGGCGAATTGTCTTTTGTTGAATTGTGTATTTGATAAATCGTTCTCATATTTCACCAATACCACATTTTGCCAATAAGGGTAAAATTCCACGTTTTGCCAAAGTTTTATTTGCAAAATGTCGTTTTTAGCCTTATTGGCAAAATGTGGTATTGGTGAAATATGGTTTTCCTTGGTGAATTGTTGGTATTGTGCTCGTCTAATGTTCTCTTCGATTTTAGTGTTCTTTTTTAAAATGTGTTGAGAAGCTGTTGGGGTCACTAGAGTCTTGAGTGCTGAACTCTTTCTCTTCGGTGAATTGCTGGCACTCTAATGACCTCAATCTGACTTATCGAGTAGACGCCATTTTTGCAAAAGAACACTATAATTGAAGAGAGCATTAGACGAAAGATTATTATTGATTTTTATGAACAAAGGTTACGGCCACCTAGATGCTAACCAAGCATTTTTCTTTTCCTTTTTTTGCTTAATGTAATTTACCTTTCTTTCTGTTTTAGATAATTTTTCAATTTTACTTTTTAAAAAATGTCTGACACTTTTGGATCTTATCAAAATTTTACAATTGTTAAAGCGGTTGTTGATGCTGGAAAAGAAACAATCGAAATTGGCGAAAAAATTTTGGGGCAAGGTTTTGTAATTTTAATTTTTTTGAAAGGATGATTCACTCTACAGCATCTAAAACGGGTCCACCCAAGAAGACCTACACTTTAAGGACCTTTAACGCAGACCTACAACTTTTCAACGAGAATATCGAGGGATTAAACCCCCCCCCCTTCTATCGAAATAAAGTGTCCAGTTCTGTATTTTAGAACCTATGTTATGATATAAGTGTTAACCATAATCCTATGTGAGTAGAGTTGATGGGTGGGGGCTAACTTAAGGAATGCCAACTCGAAGAACAGACAACTCAAGGAAAAGAAAGTCAATGAACGACCAATCATTGAATATTTTAACAATCAGAATTTTTCAAATTTTTTTTAATTATGTTTTTTAAATTCAGATTTTTCAAAAAATTGTGATTTTTAAAATATTCCATGAGTAGGTCGTTCATTGACTTGCCTTTTCCTTGACTTGTTTGTTCCCTTTAATTGGTATGTTCCATGAGTTGGTCGTTCCTTGACTTGTCGTTTAATGATTTGTCTGCTCCTTGAGTTAGCCCGACACGGAGTTGAGATGCCTTTCAAAAGTTGTCGAGGGTCTTTTGAGTGTAGGTCTTCCGGGTTTATCTCTTTAAGCGGTGTCTCGGGTTTGAACCTGCCCGACGGCTAAACTCTTGACAAACTTTCTATTTACTTTTCTAGTGCACGAAGAACTTGGGGATTTGATGTATTTCCAACAAGAAAATGACAAATGTTTTTCTGATTTGGTTAAAATTTCAAAAACGATGGAGGGGGAACAACAGAATTTAACATCAAAAAGTTGTGTGAAGGGGTGTCACGTGTTAAGAAAAGTCGAGTTGGGTTTCTGAGCAAAAAAATTAGATTTGATCATTCTGAACAAAATTCTGAAGCCAAATCCTAGCTAGAAAGACATTTTTTCCCGCTTTAAGGGATTAAAATAAATGGTCTTAACTTTGTTCATTTAAGTCAGGGGGCGATTTCCAAAGTATTACCGTGACATCCCTTTGTGAACTTTTCAGTTTTTTCATTAATATCTCTTTTTTTAGTCTTAATTAATAGTTGGGACAAAAAACAACATTTTCATTTGATTGCTAAGCTTCAGGATAAATTAAAAGGAATGAAGGAGGTGTTCGAAAAAGAGGAAAATGTACATATTATATGTTTTAGTTCTTTCATTAAATTTTTTATTTTAGGAATATTTTAAAACTCAAGAAGAGGTCTCAAATATGAAAATTCAATTAAATCAAAAACAACAACAATTGGTTTGCATTTTGACTTAGGGTTGGCGGAGTCCGAGAAATATTCGGATATCCCGAACTGAAAATTTTCGGATACCTTGTTTTCGGGTCCGAATCTGCGCTTCTAACAGTAAGTTTCAGATTTCCTCGTACTCGTAGTTTGTACTACCCTTATTCTGGGCTTTTATTGGCTCTACTTTAGGGCATGCGTCCCATCAGAGTATAGGCGTCTCAAAAATAGTATAAGCAAACAGTAGTCTGCACGTAACTGGATCCCACAAGTCACCAATGGCGCTAAAAATTAAAGGAATCTGGGTCCTTGATCTTCCAAAATTCTCAAAAATTTCGCCTATAATGCTGGAAAGTTGAGGCCTAATGGATGCATATAGATGAATTAGGACTAATTAACAATGGATTTAGAGGGATTAACAAGATATCGAGGGTTTTTTGGAAGGAATCTGAGTCCTAAACTTTCCAGCATCGTACGAGAAATTTTTGGGAATTTTGGAATTCGGAACCGCCAACCCTATTTAAACTTATTTTTAACATTTTTTTCATCTCTATTCTTAAAAATAGGCAATTCGAAAGGCGAGCATTCGAAAGTCTCCAACTCCAAAAATTACCACTCGAAAGCCTCCAGCTTTAAAACCTGTTACTCGTAGTTCTGTCTCTCCAGCTCCAACTTCTGCCATTCAAACTCCTACTCCAAGAATGTCAAAGACTATGTTTCCGTCACTTTCTACTCCAAAACTTACAAAATCTATTTTGAAGCCAACAACCCCAAAACGTAAACGTCATGCTCCTTCACAATCTCCACCACCAAAGAAACTGCCATTAAAGGAAAGAGATCCGGATAAGGTTAAGGTTTTTTTAATAATACTTTGGTTTACACCTCGTCCCCTCCCCCATTTTTCCGTTTCCCTGACCATTTTGAGCTTTTGGAAAGAAATTCGAAAGAGTTCTTCAGTAAGGTCGAATGCTCAAGGGATTAAAACAAACGGGGGCACTTGTGGGTTATCCCAAGCAATTTCTTGCGGACATATCTTTGTTGACTCATAATGGTCAGGTATGAAAGGAAATCATCCAAACTCCCAATATTTCCCCTAAATGGCCACAAAAATTTCCACGGATACATTGAAATAGTAAGAGTAATTGTCAACGCTCTGACCATTATGAGACAATTTTGATTATTAGTCTGCATAAATTATCCGCAAAATTGGGAGAGGATAATCGACCCTATCCCGAAAGAAGGGTCGAATCGTTTTTTTTCATTACTTTTTATTAGTTTATAAAAATGGTCATTTTTCCTTAGAATTGATGTATGTTGATGTTTGCCTTAAGGAAAAATGGTGACAGAGGTTAATTTTTTATATTTTTCCTTGTTTTTGTTTGCTGGGCGGACTCGGAGACACAAAACACGGACGGATCAAGACGGACAAAACACAGACGAACACGAACAGACAAAATACAGACGGACCCGGACAGACAAAACATAGACGGACACGGACGGACCCAGACAGACAAAACACGGACGAACTCGGACAGACACGGACAAACTCGGACAGACAAAACACGGACGAACTCGGACAGACACGGACAAACTCGGACAGACAAAACACGGACGAACTCGGACAGACAAAACACGGACGAACACGGACAGACAAAATAAGGACGGACACGAACGGTCGGACATGTGTCCGTCTGTGTTTGGTCCGTCCTTGTTATGTTGTCTGTGTTCTTCTTTCATTGTCTGTCCTTCTCCATTTTTCCTTAAGGCAAACATCAACATACATCAATTCTAAGGAAAATTGACCATTTTTATAAACTAATAAAAAGTAATGAAAAAAAACGATTCGACCCTTCTTTCGGGATAGGGCCGGATAATCCACAAGTACCCAAACGGTCATAACTTTGATGCTTTTTTAAGTCAGATTTTGTTGATTTTAGGGTTATTCGACTTATATCAGCTCGTAGAGGACAGTAGAGGTGGGTCGGAAATGACGAAGGTGCCGAAATATGGCTCAAAAAACGGAAATCGGAATTCTGACCCACCTCTGGTTGCCGCAAAGGAAATCAAGAAAAAATGGGGGGATGTAAACTAGAGTATTATCATAATTTAAAATTAAAAAAAATTTTTAGACAATGGAAACCGACAATGACAACGATGCTGATGACTCATTCAATTTTTGGAATGATTAAATTTTGAAGAAAAATTTTTGTTTGTTAAAAATGCTCCTTTGACTTTCCGGTTTATTTTAATTTATTTTTTAGGTAAAAGTTGGGTTTATGTGACCCCGTTTAGCCATAAAATTTTAATTTCTAAATTGTGTCGGATTTGGGTCCGGGGTTCTAAATAAATTGAATTTTAACTCATATTCGGACCCAGCACACTTAAAATTACCTACCGAGGGTGTGGGATTGAGTCATTAAGGATTGGCTCTGAGGGGGTGGGGTTGGCGCCAAAACGACCCCACGCCCTAATGTTAGTCCCTGGGTCTGCGCCAGGGGTGCCTTTCATCTGTCACCAAAATTTCGCCTTTTTTGTCTTTCGCTATCTTTCGCTTTTTAAAATCACTTTGGCACACTCTCCTGTTTTACCTTCTGGCAAACTTCTAAAATATTAAAAAAAGCACTTCCTCATTTTCTGGGGTAAATGAGAGAAAGGTTCACACAAACCCAACTTTTACCTTATTTTAATTTAATTTTTGTTAATCTAAATTTTAAATATAAAATTTAATGTTTATTTTGAACAATTAGGAGAGATTTAGGGAGTCTTTTTTAGGGAGAAGTTAAAGACTTGATCCTTTTTAAAGGTTTACATTTCTGTATTTGATCTAATTCCACAGCCTTTAAGTTAACTAGGGCCTCTATTTTAGTTTGTCTTTGTTTGCTTGTTAGCCTATTGCAGAGGGGTGTGCGCAAAAATTTTGACGAAACGAAAAACGTTCACACATTGCCGGGAAAAAAATCGCGCATTGCCGGAAATATTATTAATCTCTCCCTTCTATTGTTTAACTTATCTAAATAAATCTTTTCTTTTTCCCAGTTTTAATATTTTTAAAAGACCCCCAACCCCCTTCTATCCTTCTTCCTGTGTCGGAGGCGTTTTGGCGCGGCGCCGTTTTGGCGCGTGACTCAAAAATGACACTTGTGCGAACCCTAAATTTATGAAAATTTCCTCAAATTTCTTTAACATCCTATACTACCTCCTCTAAAAATTTCAGAATATTTCATCAAATATTGCTTAGATAAACTTCAAAAATAAGGTATTTTTTGGAGAATCAACAATATTTTTGGTCATAATTTCTGGAATTCTGGTTCAAAAATTCTGAAATTTTTGGATAACTTAGTTGAGGATATCTGGGTTATTAATGGAAAATTTTAACTTTCTAGATGAGCAATCCACTGTTTTATAAGCTCCCGCGCCAAAACACCTTCGCGCCGTAACGGTCCCCCTTATTCCCCCTATTTTCTTCCTTTCCCCTTTATTTTCCCCCTTATCTCGCCATCTATCCAAAACAACAAAAATATCCTTTTTAAACACATTCCAAAATTTTTCTTTATATTTTCCCTATTTAAAATGTCTTTAATTTTATTTATAAAATTATTCAAAAAATGGAGTCACCCTTTGAAAAAATAAATTTTGGGAATTCAAAAAGTAGTGGGGATTCCAATACTTTTTCCAAAACTTGTGTTATTCTTGGCCGCGCTAGGAACTCCGAGATGGAGAATATTGTTAATAATAATAGTGGGGGAAAGACAAAAGAAATTAAGGTAAATTGGGCTTGGAAGAAAATTTTTTTGAATTTTTTTAATTTTTAAAATTAATTCAGCCTTGCTACAAATATGAACAGACTGGAAACTTTGTTCATCCTAAAAGTACTGAGAGGCCTTTCAAAATTGTTTCTAGAGAGCTGCCGTCGAGTGAAGGTAAAAATTCTCTATTTAAGGTATCCTCGTTATAAGAGACGATTTTTCCAACTAAAGCGCGTTTTGTGGGTGGGGGTTAAGTTTGAGTGGTGAGTTGCCTTAGCTAAACCTTCTATTTAAGGTACCCTCCATTATAAGATAAAATTTTTCCAACTCTAGCTTGTCTCTTATATAAAGGTCCAACTTTTAAAAAAATTTTCAGTTTCCGTTTCTCTTTTAATTTCTCGCAATCACAATGCATCAATATCAGCGTCTTGCTATTTTAATTCAAAACAACAGCAATCACTCCCAGCAATCCGGAAATTCAATAATAATAATATTAATGAGAGAAATTCTTCGTTTCCTTTAAAAACTCCCCGATTGAAAATTGTGGAAATTCCTTTTGAAGAGAAAGAATTAATAATTAAAGGAGCAAAATTGGGGGGAGGAACAAGTTCTCCAAGTTATATGCCTACTTCGCCTCCAATTTTTACTTGGCCAAATTTTAAAAATTCAAATAAAAGTGACAGTACTGGGATTGGATCAAGCTGTTAGTTTTTTGATTTTTTTAAATTTTATGTCCGCAAAAAACTGCGGAAATCCGCAAAAATTTTGCGGATGTCCGCAATTTTTGAAAATTTTTTGAGAATTAAAAAAATTTTTTTAAGTATCAGTTTCTTCGAATAATTCATCTAGCGGCGATAGCGATCACCACCACTTTTTCTCTCAAAATAAATCAAAAGATTATCGTGTCATATCGTTAGATGAAAAACCTAATCCTGGTCGATTAGACGATTTTGTGCCGGAAGTTGAACGTGAAAACAATGAAATAAAACAAAGAGAAAAGAAAAAAGAAGGTAAGTGAATGGAAAAAAAAGTCCGCAAAAAATTGCGGATGTCCGAAACTTTAAAAAAAACTTGCGGACATTCCGCAATTTTTAGTAAATTTGCGGACATCCGCAACTAAAAAAATTTGCGGACATCCGCATAAATTTGCAGATATTGAAATAAATTTTTAAGGCGAAAACAAATATCAACAAAAATTTTACAACTTTCCGTCCTTAAATCGTAATTATTTAAATATTTATGGGGAAAATAAATGGTCAGAGCCTAGAGGAAAGCTAACGACTGAAAATGGCTGTGGGAAAAAGGTAGAGATTATTAAAAAAAAGTCCGTAAAAATTTGCGGACGTCCGCAATTAAATTTTTTTTAATCTTTTAAAGAAAGAAACAGCTCCTTTGGAAAGAGACGAATTTGGAAGGCTAGTAATACCTTCAAACGAATGGAGAAAATTTCTGGCTGAACAGGTTTGGGGTTTTCAAAGACTTGAAATTAATTTTAAGATTTGTAGCGTCCAAGCAGTAATAATCGAATTAATTCACAACTTCAAATAGTCTTCAGAAAAGATAATTATACCAATTTGTGAACAAAAAAGAGAAGGTATTTTTATTTAAATTATTTATTGAATTTTAAAAAATTACGAAAAATTTACAGAAAAAACTACATTTGAAAAAGAAAATTAGTAGAGGCTGTACATAGAATATAAAGAACAATATATTTATATGATTATCAATTTATAAATAAAAATAGAATATAAAAATTATAGTATATAAATAGTACAAAAATATTTTTAAAAATTTTGTAAAGTAAAGATACAGAAATACAATCAATTTTTGAAAAATAGAAATAGTTTGCAGTCAACAGGACTCGAACCCATGACCTAAATAAGGTGGAACTCAACAATTTCCAACTACACCAAGGAGACAACTTATTAAGAAATGAAAATTTCTATCCCTAAAATTAGCTCTATTAAAAATAAAAATTGTTTCCCTTCAAAGGGACTCGAACCCAGGTCCCTTATAAGGGGGAACCCAACAATTTCCAAGTACACCAAAGATAACACCTAATGGAAACTAATTAAAATTAGCTGTAAATAATTCCGAAATGTTTAGAAATAAGAATACTATAAGGGACACGCCCAAGTAGGCGCGCGGCCAAGTAGGCGCAAAGCCATAACTACCTGAAAAATTTATGGACCTTAACAATTTGGGTACCAATCTCTTTATCTCGTTGAGAGGAATCGTTTAATACTAAATTTGGTAAGATTCGGAAATTGTGAAGCAAGTTATGACTTTGCGCCTACTTGGCCGTGCGCCTACTTGGGCCGTACCCATACTATAATTATTAGTAAAAAATTAATTATAAAAAATTAAATTAAAAACAACTGTTCCAAGCAGCAAGCACACTATCCAAAGAATTTGTATTGACTAGGTTTGAATCCAATTTTTCAAGAAATATTTCCATTGTAGTTGATCCTTCCGATTTCGTCAAAATTTTAATTTGAGATTCTGGATAATTTGTAGGTAAAAGTAGAAAAAGTGTTGTTGAAGAAGAAATAGTTTGAAACTAGAAAAAAAAATTTTTTTGAAATTTTTGAAGATAAAATTGTAAAGAGTTAACAGGGGAAGGGAGAGCTATATTTTTAAAATATTTTTCAAGAGGGAACTATTGCGGATAGAAATTTGCAGATAAAATTTGTGGACTCTGAGAAACATACTCAAAAATTAAGGAAAATTTTTGAGGAAAAACCAAGGACAAGGAACACAAAAAAAAGATCCCAGCCAATTTTATAATTAAATTTAAATTTCCAAACCTTTTTATCATCCTTTCGAGAAAATTTAACATACAAAGCTGGACATTTGGTTGAAATTGGAACATGATTCGAATCAAAATCAAAAACAAATCCTTGCTGTAAAGCCATTCCCAAAGCTGCAGAAAGCTTTGAATTAAGCGCAAATTCAGATCCATCAATACATTTTATTTTATAAATTTCTCCAGCAGGTTTTTCAGGAGTCGAAAAGGCTAGAAAAATAAATTTCTTCCATTAAAAAAGGCAATAGTGCCGTTTCCCCCGTAAGTCTTCGAGGAAAAAAGTTTTTGCCAGTGCGGGAAAAAATTTTAAAAAATTTGCAGATATCCGTAAAAATTTAGAAAACTTGCGGACATCCGCAAGAATTTAAGAAAAATTTGCGGACATCCAAATTTTCAGAAAAACTTGCGGACAACTTTTTCCCCAGTGCGACTGCATCTTCGCCACGACAGCTGCGAGTGAGCACAGCGAAACGGCACTAGTACCATAAAATAATTAAAAAAAAATACATTCTGCCATAGATTCAAGCAATCCACGCTTTACTGGAACCTCACCAACATCTTCTTTTTTAACATCAATTCCTCTCTTCTTTGGCGCTTCACTTTTCTTCTTTTTTGCCAAAACTTCTTCAGGAATTTTTATCTGTAAATGTCTGACATCTTTCCAAGGATCCAAAAATAAAGGTTCTTTTGGCATTTCACGTCCAGTTGCTTGCGCTGCTTTCAATTTTCTTGCTGCAAGCAAAAAATGTCGAGCAATATCGTATTGTTCTTTGACTGTTTGTACGTTTGCAAGAAGCTTCTTTAATAAATCTCGAGTTACCGGTCTAAAAATGTAGTCGTGAAAAATAGTTAAGATTTTTGTCCTATGTTAGTATATCCCCGTATGTCCGCAAATTTTTATCCGCAAATGTTTGTCAGCAATTTTTTACTTTTCCCTCCTCTTCCTTCTCTCATATAGTGAAGAAGAACTCGTAAAATTCTGTCCAGAGGAAAAAATATGCTTCGGGTGAGCCCTAATAGTTCCCTGAGATTAAAGAGGATTAAGGGGGATATCAAGAGATTTGGAGGGATTAAGGCAAATCGAGAGATTTTGAAGTGTAATTGCGGGCAAACATTTGCGGACATGCAGGAACAAATATTAAAAAATTTCTTTAATTACCCTCCTTTTCGTGTTCCTTCCATCACCTGAATTACATTGGTTAAAGAAGATTTTAGCTTCATCTCTCCAGGTTTATCAATATTTAAACGTTCTAATAAACGCTTTACATCTTTTTTGTGTTTACACAATTCAGATAAAAGTCTTTTATATTCAGGATGTTCAGCTTCAGTTTGTTGTTGTTGGGAATTTACGGAAAGTGGGGTTCCTGCTGAACGCGGCAGCTGATGATCAAGAGTGTTTTCTAAAAAAGGAAATTTTAATAAAAATAAATGAAAATGGGCATCCATCTCAGAAGGTCTGCCACGAATGATTAACTCTCATCCAAGCAAATTAATCTTAACCCCCTCCAAATCCATCTATATCCCCCATAATACCCACAGGTCCAAAATATTCGGAGTTGACCATTAAGGTAGTTTGATCAACAGAGAGCTTACCTTTTGGTAGTGAGTTGACCTTCTGGGTTTATCTCATTAAAAAAAATATACGTAAACGAGCTCCAGTCAAATTATCGACTACTACAGGATTTGGAGATTGATCTTCTGATTTTATGGATGGATGACTCCCAGGATCAAGATGTTGAATAAGCTGCTGAGAAGTCTTCCCGCTTTGAATTCCAAATCCTCCAACATTTGATTCAACCGAATTGGAAGGAGTTATTTGATTGTGTTGTTGTGAAGAAATTACTGGAGCTACAGGAATATGTTGTCCTCTTTGCATTTGATGGGCTGCTGATTGTTGCTGGAAACAAAAGAAAATGTTAAAAAAGCAGAAAGGTATTTTATGGACATCACCTCTCCTCCAAAGTTAGGTCCCAAAATTATTTGCTCCTTTTTAAGACGTACATGATGGTTAGACCTTCACCCCATTTTTTGGTTGAGGAAATGACAAGAAATTTTGGGACTCAAACAAAGAGAAGGGAGGGAGGGATATCCATAAAATATCGTCAAAAAACCTGAGATTGATGTTGAAATTGTTGCTGTAAATAAGGCTGATTAATAGGCATTGGATGCATAGCAGCACCCCCACGAACTGTTTGTCCCCCCATTGTTGTAGGCATATACATTTGTGAAGGTTGTCCTGGTGATTGACCAAAAGATCCTTGGCTAGCTATTCGTCTTGAATTTTAGAAAAATCAAAAAATAATTTAAAGAAATAAAATAAACTGAATGTGCCCTGGTTGTTGCATCACAACTTGTTGACCAGAATAAACCGCTCCTCCTGCTTGCGTAATTGGCAAGCGTTGAGATTGAACAACATCTAAACAGAAATTATGGTACTTGTGGATTATAACAAACAGTTTTTGCGGCATTTTATGCGGACTCATAATCATAATGGTCTCATAATGGTCATAGCATCCATACTTCTTCGATGATTCGATAAAATGATATCGACCATTATGAGCCCGAATAATCATGTCGGCAAAAACTATTTTGTTATAACCCACAATACCAGAAAGTGATTAAGTTTCAAAAAAATGTAAACAATTAAAAAACAAACTCATAGGCATTCGCACTCCCATTCCTCCTTGTTGTTGCATTTGTTGTTCAAATAAATGTTGCTAAACCAAATAATTAATTTTTAAATTAAAATTAAAGTAAAAGAACCTGTTGTTTAACCGCTTCGTGAAGTAATAGTTTTTTACGTTCTTGATTAGTTTCACTCATAATCTGGTTCTGCATACTTGGTGGGAGATTATGGAACAAATCTCTAAAAAACAAAGTTTTAAGTATAGAATGTCGGTGATCGGGAGTGTCAGGGAAAGGGCCTCCTCGGGGCGATGTCGGGGTTCGAATCGAGAGGTCTCCAAAAATCCTATGGGTCTTGGTTTTAGAGATTTTGTTTTAGATTTTGCTTGATAATTTAGCCGGGGTGGGCATGCCAGGGTTCGCACTGGTTTTTGTCAAAAAATTGGCGGGGGTTCAGATGACGGAACCCAATTTCCAAGTCTTATCTGAAATAATTCAAAAAAACCTATAATTAAGATGCTGATAATGTTGTTGTTGTCCATTAGGATCATCACCTCCCATACCCTGCATTCGAACCATTACATGTTGCGGTTGATGAACCATATTAAAAGATTGTCTCATCTGTTGTTGCGGATGTTGTGGTGGTTGTTGCTGACCTCCTGGCTGATTTGCAGCCATTGAAAGTGGCTAAAAACAAAAAGTAAAAAATTAAAAAAATTAAAAAACCATTCGTTGATGTTGTTGCTGTGATCTCATCCTTTGTTGCATATAAAAATGTTGTTGTTGTTGCTGTGCTGCATCGTCATAATTCATTGTTGCGCAAAATAATTAAAAATAAGTAAAAATAGGCAAAAAATAAAGAAAAACTCTCTAAATAACAAGAAAGAAAAAACAAAAATTAAACAATATAAGAGTTCAAAAAACTCGAAAATGTGAAAAAGTCAATAAACAGTTCCCATTATAATTTTATCACAGCCAAAATCATTTTTTAAAAATATTATGCAAAATAAACAGAAAAGATAATAGGGATGTTACGGACCGAGAGGTCTCAAGGTTTCAGGCCGAGTTTAGGGTCAAGTTAGAAGGATTAAGCAGGCCTTGGTCAAATTTTGAAAAATTTTACTCAAATCGGACTTCGAATAGAAAAAATCCGGATTTCGGATCGAGTCAGTTAGAGGAACTAAGAAGGAAAAAAGTCGGGTCGGGTTTCGTGTCGAGGAAAGGTCAGAGGTCGGAACGGGTTTTTGGAAAATTTTACTCGGATCTAGGCTTATGATAACCCGTGACATCCCTTAAAAATAGATTTATAACAAACTTGTGTCTAATTAAATTTTCAAAGCCTTAACCTTTGAATTAATTTGGTCTCGTGAGAATTCTTCTCGAAGACTCAGTGTTCGTCTAATATCATTTTGTGACAATATTGCCGTTGATAGAAGAGAATTATTTATTTGCTCTAATAATTGTATTGCTTCATCCAAACTTTCACAATTTAATAAAGTAACAATCTAAAAATTTTTAAAAAATTAAAAAAAAACTTTTAAAAAATTTTGAAAAAATTTTAGAAAATTTCAGAAAAATTTGAAAAAATTCGAAAAAATTTTCTAAAAATTCAAAAAAAAAATTTCAAAAAATTTCAAAAAAAATTTTCAAAAAATTTTTCATAAATTTCAAAAAAAAAAACCTCCTTCCTTACATTAGAAAGCCGACTATATTTTTCACGAATATTCCAACTTGCTATAGAGCTTAAATAAGACGATAATTCTCTAAATTCTTTATCAAGCAAAAGAGCACCAAGTCGATTAAAAGAACATTTAAATATTACTCTTTCTAATTGTTGTGCTACTTCACCAGCGCAACAAGACACCAACATCTTTAAAGAAAAAATTCAAAAAAATTCAAAAAAATTCCAAAAAACCTTATAATTTTCTTGCACTAAAAGCGTCTCAAAGCGTACCAATTGCTTGTCCAATTGTAAAATAAAATTGCTCATAAAAGGATCATTTATTTCAAAATCGGCCAATTCTTCATCCGACAAAATATGTGAAAGTTCAAGAAATTCGTCAGCACTAGAAAAAGGATAAAATAAAAAAAACTTAAAAAGCGTGACAAAGCAAAAACAGGCCCAAAAAAGACTTCGGTCTTGCTTAACAAAACTCAGTCCAGCCGGGTAAAGGACTTATTGGCGCGATGTTGTTCCAAGCTACGGAGAAGACTATATAAAAGCCAACCTAGGATGACATGAATAGTTGTTACTAAAAGGGCGAGGTTATTCCAATGCAAGTCTGGACTGGATTTTGGTAAAACTTTTGCCTCCCCGAGTTTTGTTTGGACCAAGTTTTGGAAGATCTACTTTTGCCCCACATCCAAAAATAAATAAGAAACCTCGATTTAAGTTTAGTCCTAATTGCTGCATCACAAAGCTTAACGATTCCAAGATTCGCATGCTGTTCTAAACGTTTTGTAAAATCATCTAATTGACTAACAGCATTTTCGAGTTTTTTACTCTCTAGAGGGGTTATCTGGTAAAATTAAGAATAATTAAAAAAATTAAAAATAAAATCAAACCTGGCTCAAATATTTCTCAAAATCCTCTGCTAATCCCAATTTTAGAGTACAAATACATTCAACTGAACTACGCATATTATTAAGTCCAATCAAAAATGAGTTTCGTTGCTTCTCTATACTGTTGACAGAAGTGTCAGTAACAACCTTGCTTTGCTGCAGAACGGCGGTGTAAGCACTTTGAGCAGTTTGATATGCTTCTGTTGTCCATCCACTGCTTGGATATCCTGACTAAAAAATTTCTAAAAATTTCAAAAAAATTTTTCCGAACCTTAATTGGAGCACTGATACATTTGAAAAATTCAGTTTCGAGTAAAGTCACCCCATTGTTAAGCATAGCACAAATACAGTCAATAGAGGAAGAACTGATGGAACGACGAATACATTTGCGCACAATAAAGAAAACATCATCCAGAAGAGAACTTAAAGAAAGAAAAAATTTGAAAAAGTCAAAAATGTGAAAAAATTCAAACCTAGTCAAAGCCCCATCCTCAACCGTGTCCATAGAAATTGCTTTTTGAACAGAATTGGTCATATAATATTGCTCCATTAGCACATAATTACCCAACAGCTCCTAGAATATTTTTAAAAAAATTTAAAATAACACGTGAAAATTTCCTTGTCCCTTAATCCACTTTAATCCGCCCAAATCATATTTCACCCGCCCAAATATTTGAGGCTGACTTCTAGGGTCATTTTTTGACTACTAGGACATTGACCAACAGAACGTCGACCTCCAGGCCACCAGGGAAGTCAAGCTATTAGTGTTGACCTTATAGGATGGGCCCCTTAATAATACCCCAAATAAAGTTTAAGCAACCTGCATTCTCGTGTTCAAACCAGATCGATTCAAAACCAAATCCAATTTTCTATCCCTTTCTTCACGTTGCTTCTTCATTTTTGCAGTGTATTCTTCCCGTTGTTCTTCACTTTCAAAATCTCGATGTTCATCAATTAAAGGGTCATCCAAGTCATTCTTCCCCGAAACCTCATTCAACTCATTCCCTTCACCGTCCTTCTTTTTCCTTTCCAAATCAACAGACCGATTCAATCGACGCTTAAGAAATCTCCAAAAAAGTTCAGCACGGGTATGCATTAGAGTAACTTCAGAAAGGAGCAAATCAAGCTCTATTGGGTTAATTCGTTCTGAAAATAAAATCAAAAATAAGAAAAACAAAAAAGAATAAAAATAACCAGTCTGCGAAAACCCATCTGTGTTGAGTAATACGCGTACCTAAAAGAAAAAATTGAAACTAGTATGATGCCGTTCACTTAACTATAAACTCTGAAACACTCCAACATGTGGAAAGAACACCAGAATTTGTGGTTGATTCATTTCCCCAACTTTGGTATTTTATGGCTACGGGGCTAGTCCTACTAGATTTTTTGGGTGACACCAAATGAAAATATTCCAGCGTTTTGGGATTTCGGAGCGTTCCCAATTTATGAATATAAATTTAAAAAAATTACTTGGTTAGCCAATTCTTGAAAATGTCGGTTCTGCAAAAAAGCATCCAAAATTAAACTTGTCTGCTTGTCACATTGTGGCTGTATTATTTCAATTAAATCCAACATTTTATCCTGTCCATAAGCACTAATAATAACAGGCTGACTCAATTCAACCAATCTAGCGATACCTTCAAAAAGCATAGTTAAAGTATCAGCAAAAAGAACATTTTTTCGATTATCGTCTGTTCCACCGGCCTAAAAATAATTTAAGGAATAAAAATGTGGTACTTTTGGGTTATCCCAAAGCAGTTTTTGCGGACATATTTATGTGGACTGATAGTGATAAACACAGATCGGACGAGAGAGATTTCGTCGGAAAATCTCGGTTATTGAGAATCGAGATTCTTCGAGATGTCAACTGAACCGATCTTCGATCTGTTCGGAGATGGGACAGATCACTAGTGTCCAGTAACTTCCAAACCGATCTATAATCGTGATGGTCTCATAATGGTCAGCATATCCAAAATTCCATTCCTCTATTCATTGAATTCAAAAAAGTGAAATCTGACCATTATGAGTCCTTTACGCTGGCCATTATGAGACTTTTTATAACAAACATTATGAGTAGAATAACCCACAAGTTCAAAAAATTTTTTAGAAAATTAACCTGCATAATTTTATAATTCTGTTGAGAAAGTTCAGCAATTTTATCACAAATATGCGATCCATATCGTTTTAACCCACTTTGATGTTCATTTATTAACGGGAAAAGTTTGAATAAACGCTCCATTGTCGAAACATCACCCTTTGCTTTAGCTTCGTCAAATTTTTGTTCAATCTGTTGTTTAAGCTCAATCGACGCTTGTCTTAATATATCATAACAATTTTTGACGGAATATCCGGCATCTACAAAAATTTTATTATTAAAAATTGAATCAACACAGAAGGTCGAGATCAGAAGAACAAACGACTCTAAAGGTCAATCCCCAAAAGGTCGAATTAAATAGTTAGGAGGATGAAAGATATGTATGTATAGATTAAGTCGGATTTGTGAGCATTAAGAGGGAAATCGATGGATTTGAACGGGTTAAGATGGATCTGTTAGGATTAAGTGTGAACTCGATCCTTTTTATTCGCCCAAATATTTTGATTTGCCTTGTGAGCTTTGACAGAACCAAAAATTTCTTACTTATGTTAATCAAAGCCACCAACCTTTAACATCCTGACTATCGCTCATTTTGAAAACAATCGAATCCAGCGTCAAAAATCGATGAATATGGCTGGCTGCCTCCTCAAAATTACCATCCCTAATTGCCTGTTGTACACCGTTTGCACAGGTCCCCAAATCCCGTAAATCACTAACATGTTGCAAACACTCAACAACTCGACTCTTTCCCAGATCCAATGCTGCTACACGCTTTGAAATATTTTGGGCAAGACCGGAAAGTGCATCCAATGAATTTGATAATTGACGGGCATCGGCCTCTGAACGTTCAAATTCAGCATTGACACGTGCTGCGCATTGATCGAAAAAACGTTGAAAGTTGGAGGTACCTAAACACAAAGGAAACATAAGGAGCCTTTAAAGTAAGGCTGTCGGTTCTTAGAAAATCTTCGGAAAAAAACCGAAGTTTCGTATATCCAGAACGAACCAAAAAAATCCCGATTCTTCGGCCTCAACGACAACCTCGTTTAAAATTAAAAAATAAACCTAGAGTCCTTTCCGTCTTCTTCAAACCATCAACAATGCATTCAGTCAACCTTTCTTCCTCTTCTTTGGCGATACAGAGCTCAGCACGAATATCTCTAGCTATAGCATCAAGCTCTGAAATATCTGCAGAATCACATTCTTCTTCCAATTTTGTTGGTTTCCAATGAAGTACCTTTAAATAAATAAGTTTAGAAAAAAATATAAAAATATACTTCTGAGGCGAACGATGACATTTATAACAAAATATTTAAAAATGAAGTTCGAAATTTCAAAAAAGCTGAAAAATTTTCTGAAAATAGAGGCAACCATATTTTGCCAAAAACATATTTTGCCAATAAGGCTAAAAACTCACGTTTTGTCAACGCAGTCCTGTTGACAAAACACAGCTTTTAGCCTTATTGGCAAAATATGTATTGGCAAAATATGGTATCGAAAAAATTTTAGTAGAAAAATAAGTCAGCACGTAAAATGAAGAGAGTGGCTAAAGAAAGAAAGAAAATTAAAAATAATACAGAATGCCAATAAATTATTGGGAAATTTTCAAAGAGGTAAAATTTATAACACCAATTGCCAAAATGTACAAAGCTTAAATTCTCCATTTTGCGATCTTTTGAATTTATCAAAGCCTCAAGCTCAAGCCTCGAGATGCAAACAAGGTTCTCCTTTTCTCTTTTTCTAGTTAATCTTTGTTTTTTACAGTCGCATTTCTTCTCTTTCAAAAGTCACGCCTCGTAATAATCGTGCCGAAACAAGAAACAAAGCAAAGGATGAATTAAGAAGAGTTATTTATTCTACTGATAAATGTTTTGTGCGGAAATGGTGGGTGTTTTTAAGATGCGGTCGGACCTCACTTTAAAGCATCCTCGAGGGAGAAAGGTGTACTAGAACGAAGCCTTCTTGCCAATGAGACTCGGTACCCCGCCCCTTAACCCGAGTTACGAAAGTATTTTCCATGACAGACGTAATCCTAAGAATTTTTAGACCTTGGCTTGACCATATTACAAACCAGAAAGAACCCCGAGGAACCATAAGAAAATTAAGTCACGTCTTGGGACCAAAATCATGGGCGACCCTATAAATTTGTGTTTTATGCATCTAGGTTGTTTCCCCACCCACTGGGAAGAATATTTGATATATCTTTTAGTGAGGTCCGACCGAACTTTACTCAAAAAAAACTTTTAAAATTAAAGGGAGAAGAGATGGGTACTTCTCAAAGACAGCAGCATTAGTATATACAAATGGGTTCCAGGTTTATTTTTTGAACAGCGAATTTTTTAAGTTATTTTTTGCAGTCTCTTCAAGCAGTGTAGTTGCCCCAAAAATAGTCGCTCCAAAAATACCCAACGGGGAATGCGAAAATAATGATGAAACTATGCAAAGTGCAATGTCTATTGAGAATAATTCGAATGAAGAAACAAGTAAGAAAATTTTTTTGGGTTTGTGGGTTATTCCAAACCCAATTCCCGAAATAGTTTTTGCGGATGTATTTATGCGGACTCATAATGGTCAGTTATAGGAAGGAAATCAGTACAGTTCCCAATATTTCCCCATAGCAATTATCACTTCTTCAAAACATTACTTTTTTAATGAATAGAGAGAGGGTAAGTATGCTCTGACCATTATGAGATCATTAAAAGCTTTGACCGTTTTGAGACCATTATGAGCTTTGATCATTATGCGGCTTTATAAAATTGACTATTATGAGGCCATTTTGGTGTTGGTCACTATGGAGCCTTAATTTGCGAGACAATCAGAGCTCTGACCATTATGAGTCCTTTTAAAATTTCCGCAAAAAGATTTTATTTTTCTAATTTTATTCAATTTTTAGACCTTCGAGCACTGCGTGATATTGATGAAGAAGATTCAAACGCTGCTGTAGATTTTTCAGATGCTGGAGTTTTTGACAGCGATTCGCAAACATTTGATAGAATTGATTATAAAAATGCAAGTTCAGCAACAACCGGCGCAATTGATTTTAGTGGTATGCGAAGTAGAGAGGCAGATAAAGGCCAGGCGAGCCTTACAGAGGATGAAGATAAAAATGAGCCAGGGTTTGCCTTTTTTCATTCTAATTTTGGGAGATGAGGGGGGGGGGGAGTTCTTGAGGAATTCTTATGGTAGACTAGCTTTGGAGAAGTTTTTTTATATCTTTTTTTGTGTCCCTTCGGTAACTTATTTTAAAAACGGGAGAAGGTTAGCTTCAGAAGCTTCCCGGCTACGCCCTTGATACCACTTAAATTTTGCGCGCACACCATTTTCGACCCCTGAAATCGACCCACTGGCTACACCCCTTTAGCTTAATACTTACTTTATATATTAAAATCCATACATTTTTCTAATATTTTAAAAACAAATTTTTCAGTGTATTTCAACTTGGATAAGTCAAAAAAATTTTTTTCTGAATCAATGTGAATTGGATGTATGTATTTATTTTTGGTTTTTTTTTTGATTTTTCAACTTTAATATTTTAATAAAATTTATTAAAAAATTTTTTTTTAATTTTTAAAAGTTACCTTATTCGAAGGATTTTTTTAAAATATTTTTTAAAAATTAATTTTTGTTTAAATTTATTTTTATATTTTACCGCATTTTCCACCTAGCGAACTCTAGGGGGTTGTGATGATTAATTTTTTAAAAACACCTACAACCAACAGAGTCGGCTAGACGAGAATTGCGTTTTCTTGGTTTTGTTGTTGTTTTGTAAAATGAAAAATGCCGTGGTACCTGTTATAAAGTGCCCCTTTGGATGGGAATTGAAAATAGAATGCCCCCTCCATCCTCTCTATAATAGGGTCCCCCTCCTATTTAATTGCCGCCCCCTCTAATATAGAATACCCCTCTCTAATAGAAAGCCCTCTCCATTTAATGCTCTCCCTCTAATAGACTCCCCCTCTAATAGAAAGCCTCCTTTCTAATAGAATATCCCCCTCTCTAATAGAATGCCTCCCTCTCTAATATGCCCCCCCTCTCTAATAATATCCCCCCCCCTCTAATAAAATGCCCCTTGGAAGTGATTAATAAATAGAATTCCTGGGTGTTCAATTAGAGTTAATACGGGATATTTTTAGGGTCAAAAATTTTCTTGGGAAAGAATTGAAGAAATAAATAAAATGACCAGTCAATTTTAGTAAATCGTTCTAAACTAAAAAAATTTTTTTGATCCAAGAAAAGTTTAAAGTAAAAATGAAAGGAAGGGAAGGATGATTTTATATTTATTTTTCAGTTGACCAGAGGAAATAAATGGGCAGTTTTAAGAGCAATATTTTTAGTTGAAAATAGCGCCTGTCCATTTCTCTCCCTTTCCGAACTCTTGCTTAAATCTTTGATTTATTTTTAGTAAGAAAATCGGTTTTATATAACAGCTGTTGTTTTTGGGGAAGAGAACGATTTGCTAATAAATTGTGGAAAAATAGGGAGGGGTTTTTAATTTTTTAATGTGACATGGACAATATTTTAGAAGAAAAAATAGGGGGGGGTTAATTTTTGGAAAGGGAATGGGGTTGGAAAAAATTTCTGTAACGGGGGAGGGTGGAAAAAAATTTTTTGGAGGGGGAGGAGGTTGGAAAATTAAAAAAAAATTTTTGAGGGCTATGGGTTGATAAAAAAATTTTCAAAAATTTTTGTGAAGGGGGTTTGAAAAAAAATTTTTCCAATAATTTTTTTGAGTGTACTGGGTGGTGGTTGAATTCTTGGAAAAAATTTTTTGATTTCAATTTTTCATTTAACTACAAAATATCTTTGATTTTTTCAGATTTTTAGAGCTTAAAAATTTTTCTAAAAAATGCTTTCATAATTTTATAAATGATTATTAGCAACGATTTTCGACTTCAATTTTATGAGGAGCTTAGAAAGGATGTGAGGTTTTCTTTTTTTTATTTCAACTTATTTTTTTATATTTTAAGCATATTCTGATTATTGTAAATGCTGATGTTGATGCCCTATGTGCAACTGCTATTTTGACTGTAAGGAGGTTTTTAAAAAAAATTTTGGGTCTGGTTCACAACAGAAAAGTCCGCAAGTTTTGTCCGCAAATTAGGAGTCAGTTAAAATCATGTACAGGGAAAGGAAAGGGTTTTACGAGAAATTAAGGCTCTAGTCAAATTTATGAGTCGTATGAACCTTCATGTGTTCTGTGACTCATATAAGCCCTCAATGGTCTTACAACCCTTCTTTGGGACTCATAAACCCTCATTGGACTCATAGGACCGACACGAGTTTTCCTTTGGACTCTCAAGCCCTTTTGGGATTCCCAACCGCATATGGGTCTAATAGACTTTCATGGAACTCATAAGCCTTTATTGGACTCATAAAACTTTATTGGGTCTCAAAAACCCTCTATTCTTCAACTTGCGGATTTTTCCTGTACTAAAAACCTTTCTAATTCTTCTAAAAAATTTTATTTTCCTAATTTTAGCATTTATTTTCTTGTGACGAAGTAACTTATACACTTATTCCGGTTAATTCAATAGAAGGATTGAAATCTACAATTAAAATACATGGTAAACAGACAAAAAATATTATTTTGATGAATTGTGTTGGGTCAAATTCTCTGCTTGGTTTTGAACTTCCTTCGAATGTATTTTTTAATTTTTTTTAAATTTTATTAGGTCAGGGGGGGGGGGGTTAGGCGCCTCGCCAGGCTAATTAAATGAGGACGCCAGTTTATTTTTTAAGTCAAGGGTTTTCGGGCGATCTTTGAGTTTGGTTTTTAGCAGGACGATGCGGAATCAAAAAATTTTTATTTTGTTTCGGACTGAGGCGAAATTTCGTGTTTTTTATTCCGAAATTTTGTAAAAATTCTATACGAAATTTTTTATTTTGTTTCGAAACAAAATTTGAACAAAACGAAATTTTACCCATCCCTGATCTCCTATAAACCCTCTTACCTTCCCCAAAAAAAATTAATTTTTTAGGTAAATTTCTGGATAATAGAATCAAGAAGGCCAATTCATTTAGACAATATTTTCAATGTTGATTCTATAAAAGTTTTGACAGAAAGTTCAGAATTGCCTGAATGGAATGTCCCTGATGCTAATTCTATTTATGAACAGGAAGAACAATCTGGAAGTGAAAGTGGGGAAGATGAAGAGGAGGAAGGAGAAAATTTGTTCAGTGATGGAGAGGAAGGAGAGGTTTTTTTCATTAAATTTCAGTTAATATTTTAATAAAAGCCTTGGGCATTTGTTTTTCAATGGGCAGGGGCTTCTATTAAAGAGGTGCTTCTATTGGGATATTTATGGTATATTGGTAAAGTCTGCAGCTTTTTGTGTGTACGGCACAATAATTTATTTGCGTACATTTTTTGACTTGCGGATAAAACTTGCGGACTTTGCCTGACTTTGCCTTAGATGTTATTAGCTCTGGGCGTTTTTTAACTATTATTGAGTGGGTTTCTAATTGGGCATGGGCTTCTATCAGGAGGTGCTTCTATTACATAGAATATTTATGGTTATTTTTTATAAAATTATTTTTTAAGGAGAATGGAGGCGTTGAAGAACTTTTAGAAGAAAATGACCAACAAAGTCATCAAGATGAAAGAAATTCATCAATAACTAAAAGACGTGGAAAACGCAAACAATTGGCTGATATAATCGCTAGTAGAACACTAAAAAGACAACGGCGAACCCAATGGAAGCGGGCAAGAGGGACGATTTTGTGGGAATATTATTTGAAGGTTTTTTTTTAGATTTTTTGGGGGGATTTAAGTGATTGAGAATCCAGGAGATCAATCCTCTCAATTCAAGCTGGAAAACACTTTTTAGTTTAGTGGGTTATTGGGGTAACCGTCCGGTCTGGTGAGTTGTGTAACATGTCAGAGGGGTCTCAGGTTCGACTCTTTTTGTTGGTAACTGAATCATTTTTGCTTTTTAACTATTTAAATTTATAAAATAAACAAATATAAGGAATTTTCGAGCTTCTAGAATTTTTTATGCTTTAACGGGGGTGTTCTTTTTGACTATGATTCTTTCCTTTTTTCCATTTTTTGCTTCCTTTTTTAATTTTTTTATTTTTTTCTAGTCTTGGTATGCTCCACCGGTATTTCTCTTACCAAAAATTTTTCACATTTTTTAAAATTAGATATCAGTATTTATGCTTGAATTGGCACATGAATTGGGAAAATCTTCAGCAGAAATAATGTGGTGTTCTGCTGTTGGAATTAGCAGTCAATTTATTGATCAAATTATTTGTGTGGAAAAATATACTGATGTATTTTTTTTAAGTTTTTCTTTATTTTTATTAAATTTAATTTAAGATTTGTGCAGATCGAATGAAACCATTTATTTTAAAATTTGGACCAAGACAAGGTGCTTTGACTGATCAGAATAGAAATCATTTGACTGTCAGCTTTAAAGAAGAGTTTTGTTTTTTTTAATTTATTGGTGCCCCTAGGCATTGAACATGGGTCTCCCGATACGTAGGCTTTAATTACTTTACCAAAAATAAATTTTACCCTGAGCGGGTTCGAACCCATGACCTCACCCACCATGAAAGAAACACCTAACCAACTTAACCAAAATTTACCTAGCTTGGATTGTTAGTGTGTTGAACCTGAGTCTCCCGAAATGGGTGAGTTAACCACTATACCACAACGCTATAAAATAAGATTCTACCCTGAGCGGGTTCGAACCCATGACCCTCCTGCCTCACCCACGATAAAAGGAAAAACCACTTACATTAACCAAAATTACCTAACCGTGGAATAGAGTATATTTTCTTCATTTTTAGTCTAATTTTGCCTCTATATTCTCGTTGGACACTTTATGAAAGTATGCTAAATGAATCTCATTTTATTTGTGAAAGCAAACTTTGGTCTCAACGAGGAGAGGATAAATTTAAAGAAATTCTTGCAAAGATTGGGTTGGAAATTTTTTTTTAATTTTTCAAAAAAATTTTTTTTAGTTTAACCCTCGCTGAATGCCGCCAAAATTTTGAAGTAATCAAAAAAGATCGCCGTTTGGAAATTTTTAAAATAATAAAGGAATATTTAAATAAAACCTTTGCTTCATTCAATACAAATTTTGGATTTAATTCGACTTATAATGCTGTTGATTTTGCTAGAATTTTAACAATTAGATTAGAGTGGAATCAGTCGGACAAGGTTTGAAATTGAAATTTTTATGAATTTTTTTGGGAAATTTTTTTGGGAAATTTTTTTAATTTTTTGGGAAATTTTCAGAAATTTTTGAAGAAATTTGAGAATTTTTTGAAAATTTATTTTAAAAATTTTGCGAAATTTTTAGAAATTTTTTCACAAATTTCTTAGGATTTTTGAAAAAATTTTTGAATTTTCCAAAAATTTTTTTAGAATTTTTTTGATATTTTTTCAATTTTTTTTATAATTAAAAAAAATTTTTACAGCCTGACACTGAACTTAGCAGACGTTTTGAGTCAACAAACGAGATTTTGAGAGAATTTTTCAAGACTGGAGGACGTGAATTACCCCCTCTAAAGCATTCCGTAGAGCTTTACAAAATGGCTTTGAAAAGTTTAAATGAATTGGTTAAAAGGTCAATAGCTCAAAAACATGTAGTTTTAATGTCAAGATTTTTCCTTCTTTCGCTTTCTGATCAGGTTGATTTTTGAAATTTTTTTTTGAAAAATTTTTTAAATTTTTTAAAGTGTTCAATGCTCGGTCTTCTTTCTTCAAGGCATTTTCTCTTTTTATTTTTTCATTCAGTATTGCGTGCTTATGTTTCCACGGTTTTTTTCTGATTAAAAAAAATTTTTTTTTAATTTCGAAAATTTTTGAAATTTTTGGAAATTTTGTGAAATTTCGAAATTTTTTGAAAATTTCTAAGATTTTGAAATTTTTAGGAAATTTTTGAAAATTTTGGAAATTTTTTGAAAATTTCAGAAAAGTTCTTGAAAAATTTATAAAAAATTATTTTCACAGAATCCAACCTCACGTGGAACCAAACCTTTCATTCTTGTTTTTCCCTTGTTGGGTGAACATTCAGGCTGGTATTTGATATCCGGGGTTGGTTACCTTTTAAAATTGAAATTTTTTCTAAAATTTTTTAGTTAATGCCTTTAGTCGAAATAATGGCTGATACAAGTGGAAAAAGGTTTTTTTGAATTCTATTTTCATTAAAGTTGAATTTAAAGTGTAATTGGAAGTGCATTTAAACACGTCGCAAGAGAAGCAAATATAGAAATTCGACATACTTTTGATTCAAATGGTTTGTGGATTTTTTTGTTTTTAAATAATAGGGATCAGATATTCTCGGGGTGAGAAAAGAGTTGGGGTGTGTTTAGGGTTTTTTTAAATTTTTCGGATGGTTTCGGGTCGAAAAAGTCCTGATTTCGATTATCGGGTCTCCATAACCTGAAATATTCCTGCTATAGATGGGTATATCTTTCATTTATAAAAATTTTTTTCAGAATTTGGGACTATTGTTTTAACTTATTATCAGTCCTACCTTTCCTTTTATTGTTTTTTTTTTCTAAATTTGGGATTGTTTAGACTTATAGATCGGACTAGTTTTGACTTGCTCAATTCTTTTTATTTTATTCTCACCTATTTTTTAGTTGTAATGATACGGGCATTGGATCGATTTCGCTTTCTTAACATTTTGGAAGCTCGATTTGAGTCTATTTAAATGTGTATTTTTTATTATTTTTTAATTTATTTTTTAATTTATTTGATAAATGTGTGTGAGATTTATTTTATTTTTGCTTCTTTGTTTTTAAATTAACTAAAATATTTTTAAAAATTTTTTCACGTTTTTTAATATTTTTTCCTTACATTAACAGAAAATTCAAGGTTTTAAAAGAAAAATGGCAGCACTTCCTGTTCGAGCTGACTGGCTTAAACTTTATAAAGAATTATTGAGAGCAGGCAGAGAGGTTTTTTTTGTTAATTTTTTGAGAGGGAAGGGAAACTTACTTTGGTGGTCCTACGTATGGTTTTTGAATTCTTACGGACCTGTTTATCGACAACATCGGGCTGGTTTTGGTGTCAATCGACACGGCTCTGAGGGCCACCCCTGATCAGCTATATCGGAGTTTGGCCCCAAAGCATGTTTTTTCCGTTTCCTTTTTCAGTTTCCCCAGTACAGCTACAAACATTTTGCCCGTCGACGTGTCCGTGACTATTTTGAACACTCGAGGACTGAGAATTTAAGTGAAAGCAGATTGGCCGAGGTGTACGAGGTTATTAACAATATTTTTAATTTATTAATTTATTTTTCTTTGAAGGAAGGAAAGAAGTCGCTGGTCAGTTTTTAGAAAATACTGAATTTGGGTTCATCCCAGAAGGTCAAATAACCATAAAGGTCAACTTCAGCGGGTAAAAGGGACTCAAGATATTTTTTGGAGGTCATATCCTCCCTTTTACCCTATCCGACAATTGCACGAAAGATTTTCTGTCGTCTGTCCCTTAATCCCAACAAATCCGTCTTCCGGTAAGTTCACTTTATGAGTTTTGACCTTCCGGGATCCATTGAATTTTTCTTTAAAAATTAATTTTTAAACAGTTGGCAATTCGAAGGCAAGCACTGATTTCTACCCTCTATCCTTATAGGCCGTTGGCAGTTGAAAACAGAAATAAAGAGAAGGAATAGGGAGACTTTTGATGATTGTTAGTTCTTTTTTGGATTATGTGACGGTTATTTTTTAAATATTTTTTCTGAGAATTTTATTTTTGCTCTTTTTTAAGAGAAAGAATTCTACCTCGAAAATTAAATTTGAATTTAATTATTATTCCTTTAAAAAAATTTCAAAAATGAAAATTATGAGTAAGGGGCGTACCCAGTGGTCGCATCCTTTAAGAATTCTTAAAAAAATTTCGTAACCTAGATTTATGAGGCCAAGACTTATTTTTATAACCTAAGGGCCCCCTCCACTCGTTATAGCCCCCTCCTTCCCTTTAAAAGAGCCCCCCCCCCATTTTTGACATAGCCTCCTCCTCTCACTTGGGATGCTTCCTTTAATATCTCACTTTGTTTCATTCCTCTCCCCACCCTTTGGTATAACTTTGGTCCCCACCTTTGGTTCCCTTAAAAAATTCCGACCTTTGGGTACGGCCTTGTTAAAGAGACCGGGACACTTAGAGATCAATAATATTCGTCTAAACTTATCTCAACGAATCCCTCTTTTCATTAAAATTACCTCCTCCATTTTGTTGATAATAATTATGAGAATCTCCCCAATCCGCTCCGAAAGGATTTGTTGAATCTATTTGAATTCCTCCTGTCTGTCCCAAACTATAATTTCTAATTTTTGGTAAAGGTTCAATATTTATAGCAGTTCCAACAGCTCCATAACTTCCCTTTCTTTTTCCACCTTCCTCAAATCTTCGGGCTTCGGAAGCTTGTTCGGCACTCCAAACAACTTTTTCTTCTTCGTCCTTTGGTTCAGCCCATTCCTGTGGAAAGATAGAAAATAAAAATTTTAGAATATACCAAGGTCGTATCGAACTTAGGGGCTTAGAAATGAACAAAACAAATGGATTCTTTAAATTGCGGATTTTTAAAATTTTTTTCGGACAAAAATTCGCGGACTTTTAAAATTGCGGCCAATTTCGGGCATGTCCTCCTCTCCATAAATCCACCCTCTAGATACTCCCTCGAAACATTCTCAAAAAAACCTGTAATTCTCCAGAAGCATAAACTCCATAAAACGTAATTCCAGTAAAATGAATCATTGAAGCCAAAAGAAAAACGGTTGTCCAACCATTTGGATTGCTTCCTTTTGCAGTTAATGATTCAACGACAAAAGGGCATATCAACCCAGCTAAAGTGCCAATTCCATTGGAAAATCCCTTAAAATGAATTTAAAAATTTTTTTTAATCCGCAAATTTTTGTCCGCAAAAATTTTGCGGACAAAAAACTTGCGGATTTTAAAAAATTTAAAAAACCATTAAAATAGCAGCATAACGAGGAGCAATATCCAAATGATTAACATTAAAACCAGATATTGCAAAACCGCTACAACCCACAGCAAAAATCAGAGCTGTCATTGCTGTACGTTCACTTTTTGTGTAAGCAACAACGAGTAGGAAAAGTGCTTCACAGCCAAATCCTGATGATTAAAGAATTATTTTTCTTTTTTGCTGTCCGCAAATATTTTGCGCACAAAAATTTTAATTTTTCGAAAAAATTTATCCGCAAGTTTTTTGCGGATAAAAATTTATCCGCAAGTTTTTTGCGGATAAAAAATTGTCCGCAAGTTTTTTGCGGACAAAAACAAAAAAATTATGAAAAATTTCTTTACCTCCACAATTAAAAATTTTGCGAACAGCAGTTGTTGAGAGTATTTTATTTGAACGAAGATAATCCGCCATCCTTCCTCCAAGTAGTACAACACAACCCTTTAAAGGAGAACTTAAATTTTTCTTAAATAATTTTAAAAATACCATAACAGCATGTGGAAGGGCTGCAATGAATCCACTCTAAAAAATAATTTTAAAAATTCAAAAAAACTTGCGGACAAAAACTTGCGGATTGTCCGCAAGTTTTTGCGGACAAAAATTTGTGGATTTTTAAATTTTTTGAAAATTTTTAAAAAATAAAAATTAAACTAACATCACTAATCCTCAGTCCTAAAACATCCCTCATGTATGTCAATTGGTTTTGGAGCAGCAAATAAAAATTCCAACTTCGAGCGAAATTGGCAACAATAATTGCCCAAACAGGCTAAAAATTAAAAATTTTATTTTATTATAAAATTATTTTTTACTCTAGAAGTGAGTATGGCACGCCAAGGAATTGTGCTCAACTAAAAAAATTTAAATTAGAAATTTTTTTAATTTTGTGTAAAATAATTTCAAAAAAATTTGCGGATTGTCCGCAAGTTTTTGCAGACAAGATTGGCAAAAATGGACCTCATCCTCAGAAACACCCAACAATGATAAGCTCTATTTAAGAGACGATTTTGGTTAGCTACTCACTAATATCATCGTTTAGAAAGCTCGTTCCACATCCTTAAAAGTTTCTGCTCCCCTTTGTGCTGCCTCCTCAAAAAATTCTCCCCATGGCCCTCCCCCACTTTAAGACACCCTATTTTCTAGTCCCAATTTCCCCCTATTTTTTAATTAAAAAGCAGCAAACTGTAGGCTGTGTTTGTGATACTTGTCCAATACTTGTTTCTATATGTTCCTTCTCTTTTGCAGAAATTGTTGGGTGAAAAGCTGGCCTTTCAAAAGTCAGGGAAAACCAAAAAATGCTCCACAGAACACCAGCAATTCCATAAATGTAGAAAGGGGCAGACCAATGAGTATAGGAAACAAGCCATGCACTTATTGGAAGACCAAAAACTGCTCCAGCATAGGAACTTGAAATTCAAAAAAATTTTCAAAAATTTTCAAAAAAAATTTTTTACCCTGTAAAAGCAGTCGTTGCCAATTTCGATCTTTCTAGTGGAGGCGCCCAATAACGCCAAACACCTTTAAATATTTTTTGGAGAGAGTAAATCAACTCTAAATATTTAAAAGAAACCATGCATTGCTGGATAGGCGAGACCCTACAAAAAATGAGAAATTATTTTTGAAGGAGCTATTTGGAAGGAAGGGTCCCATAGCTTTTTTCAGTGATATCAAGGGGGTGTGTAAAAGCGATAAAAAACGAATTACGAAATTCAAAAGGCGATTTAAAAGCGAAATATCAAAAATGCGAAAATTCGGCGAAATGCGAAACACCAAAGGTGAAAGGCGAAACTCAGGCGAAAGACGAAACAATAAATAAGGAGAAACACGAAAAAGGCGAAAAAGGCGAAACTTAGGTGAGAGACGAAACGGCACGTCCATGGAAGGGAAGCCAATTTGCCTACCACACAGAAAAATTTGAAGGGACTCTTCCTTCCAAATAGAGCACATTTATTAAATTAACCTGTACTAGTCCTTGAGATATCTGCACTATAGCAACCTGTTAATTTGATTTAAACTTATTTTAAAAATAAAAAAAACCATAAAATCAGAATGTGAGTGAAAAGAGTAGGGCAATAAAAGGTTGAGAAAAGAAGCCCCTCCAATCGCCAATCCAAACATTCTTTTTATGAGAAAATTTATAAGAATATTTGAATTAAATAAACTTGCTTATTTGCAGGGAATTTGGCGGCCTAGAAAATTTTTGAAAAATTAAAAGAAAAATTTTTTTGTTCTATTTCCTATCCATGTTGACAGAAGGATAACTAAGGGATTGGGATATGAGGGAAATCGTGGGTATGAGGGACGGGTGGGATATGTGATAAGAGGTAGGGTGAGGTCGGGATATATGGGAAAGAGGGGGAAGAGGTCGGGATATGTGGGAAAATTGGAATATATGGTAGGGTTGTCGGATAGTTGGAAATCCTCGGATACCAGAACCGAAAATTTTCGGATATCCAGCCTTTTTCGGATCCGGATCCGACAACCCTAATATCTGGGAAGAATGTGATAGTGGGAAAGTCGGGATATATGGGGAAGAGGTTGGGGATATATGGAATGTGTGGATAAGAGGTTGGGGATATGTAGGAAGGTTGGGATATGTGATAAGAGAGGGATACGTGGGGAAGGATTAGGACATGGGGATAAGAGGTCGGGATATGTGGGAGGGGGGTGTAAGAGATGAAAAATAATTGTGAAAAGAGTTCAATAATCAAAAAAACCTAACCAAAAATCCAGCAGGTATTTGAGTAATTAAATATCCATAAAAGAAGGAAGATTCCATCACTCCTAATTCAGCACTAGTCCAATTAAAAGAGTGCTTCTTTAAATAACTTTTTTTAATTCTCAAAATAAATTTGTTTTTACGTGTTTTTTGCCCCAAGGATCATAAAAATCTGAAAAAATTTTTAAAAATTAAAAGAATAAAAATTCCAAACCTCTAGACATGTGATTTTTAGCTGCTCCAAAATTACAACGAATTCCAAAAACAATAAGAAAGCCCAGATTTGCAAGAATTGCTAATTGATTCTAAAAAAGATTAATTTATTCACGTTTGAGTTAAACCAAAATTTTGACTCCTGGGAAGAATCGAACCTGCTACCCCTTGACCCAAGACTAACCAACTAAGCCACAAGTACCGCACTGAAAGGCGAGTAACAGCCTTTGTCTATTTTAATCTGCTGTGAACAATAAGACAGAGAAATCCAAAGATTCTACAAACCTAGTCTTGGACGTCTCTAGAAACTCACGAACCCCAGGAGTAACTGAATATTCCAGCAGGCAGTCTAACCCTCGGAAACAACTGGCAGGACCAGTCATCCCTACCAAAAATTTTAAAAAATACAACTCACCCTTTTTGAGCATCTACATAGCCTAGAATTCTCTATAAACCTCAAAATAAGATTTGTGTGAACATGTAAACTATCAATTCTATCATTTTCTTCGTTTAAATTTTTGTTTGTCAAGTCGTTTAGTTCAATTTTAATATTTTCATTTTTCTCAGTTTGTGAAGCCCAAGCATTCCCACTTGTTGATCCAGAAAGTTTTTGAGTTCCAGAACCTTTTCTAGTTGTGGTAGAAGTCGAGGAACCGGCAACATGCCGTTGGGTATTCATTTCTGGAAAAAAATTCTGAAAAAAATTCTGATTTTTTTCAGAAATTCTGAAAAAATTCTGAAAAAAAAAAATTCTGAAAAAAATTCTGATTTTTTTTCAGAAATTCTGAAAAAATTCTGAAAAAAAAATTCTGAAAAAAATTCTGATTTTTTTCAGAAATTCTGAAAAAATTCTGAAAAAAAAAAATTCTGAAAAAAATTCTGATTTTTTTCAGAAATTCTGAAAAAATTCTGAAAAAAAAAATTCTGAAAAAAATTCTGATTTTTTTCAGAAAATCTGAAAAAATTCTGAAAAAAAAATTCTGAAAAAAATTCTAATTTTTTTCAGAAATTCTGAAAAAATTCTGAAAAAAAATTCCGAAAAAATCAGAATTTTTTTCAGAAATTCAGAAATTCAAAAATTCTGATTTTTTCAGAATTTCTGAAAACAGAGGAAAAAAGGAGAGATTAATTTTGTATTAAAAGTACAGAAAATTAGTTTTTTGAGGGAAAAAAATAAGAAGAGGATATTAATTTCAAATCTCTTCCCTTCCTCTTTTCCTTTTTTCTCTCATCCCTTAAATATTCAAAGTTTTTTTTTTGCCTAAAAAAGACAAATTAAAAATGGAAATTGACTTTAAGGATGTCAACGTGAAAAAAGAAGAGTTTTTTAAAGAAAATTAAAGGATTGATGTGCCAAGAAATTAGGGGGAAGGTGAAGAAGGGGAAGAAAAAAAGGAGGAAGGGAGGAAGAAGAGAGGTGTTGTTTGGTGCTTTTCATTTACTGTTTTTTGTTACTTTATCACTTGTAAATTAATTTGAGTTGACGTGCTTTAAGAGGAGTAAAAGAAACTTTTTTAAAGGAAGTGAGGAATTTGATGGATTTTAAAGAAAAGGGTTCATAAAGGTAAAAAATTTATTTTAATTTTTAAAACTTAGTTGGGGATCAAATGTCCTTAGTGGGACCAAATGTCATTTTATCGCGAAAAAACGCCAAAAACAGCTAAAGAAGTTGAGGACTTGATGGATTTTAAAGGTAAGGGTTCGAAAAGGTTAGAAAAATAAATTTATTTTAATTTTTAAAACTTAGTTGGGGACCAAATGTCCTTAGTGGGACCAAATGTCATTTTATCCCGAAAACTCCAAAAAACTCCAAAAACGGATAAGCAAAGTCATTCAACTTGTTTTTGGATTGTTTGCCTAAACTCTCGTTGCATAAACCATTAACAGGTAAAAAAGGCCTTAAAAAGCCTTTAAAGCCCCAAAAGCAGAAAAAAAAGTCCCCAAAAGCTTTTGAAATGCATATTAAAAAGCAAACAAGTGACGGCTTTTCTCTCTCAATAAAAAATATACTTTTAAGGATTAATCGGAGACCCTCCCTTCCCTATTTAAATATCTCTCGTTGTCAAGTGCCACGGCTGACTGAATGACTTTTTTAATATAATAGGGGACGGAAATTGCTTTTTTTGAGACTCAGCGGGGGGAAAATAAATAAAAATTGGTAAAGGTATTTTTCTTAAGAAAAAAGGGAGGGGAGAAGCCAATTACTCGGGCATGAAAAATTAACGAAGTTTTGAGCAAAAATGGTTTTATACGAGTAAATAGAAAGGCAAAAATAAATTTCTTTCGTTTAAATTAAATATTAAAGTGGAGTGTCAATACATAAAATATTTAAATTAAAATACTTTCCAGAAGATCAACACAAATAATGTTTTTAATGGTGAGGTGATCTTCTGGTTCTGGAAAAACCAGAATTTAATTAAAACATGTACGGAAAAATCAGAATTTAATAAAAACATTTCCGTAAGAATCAGAATTTAATTAAAACATGTACGGAAAAATCAGAATTTAATAAAAACATTTCCGGAAAAATCAGAATTTAATAAAAACATTTCCGGAAAAATCAGAATTTAATAAAAACATTTCCGGAAAAATCAGAATTTAATAAAAACATTTCCGGAAGAATCAGAATTTAATTAAAACAATTCCGGAAAAATCAGAATTTAATTAAAACATTTCCGGAAAAACCAGAATTTAATAAAAACATTTCCGGAAAAAACAGAATTTAATAAAAACATTTCCGGAAGAATCAGAATTTAATAAAAACATTTCCGGAAGAATCAGAATTTAATAAAAACATTTCCGGAAGAATCAGAATTTAATAAAAACATTTCCGGAAGAATCAGAATTTAATAAAAACATTTCCGGAAAAACAGAATTTAATTAAAACATTTCCGGAAGAATCAGAATTTAATAAAAACATTTCCGGAAGAATCAGAATTTAATAAAAACATTTCCGGAAAAACAGAATTTAATTAAAACATTTCCGGAAAAATCAGAATTTAATTAAAACATTTCCGGAAGAATCAGAATTTAATAAAAACATTTCCGGAAAAATAGAATTTAATTAAAACATTTCCGGAAGAATCAGAATTTAATTAAAACAATTCCGGAAAAATCAGAATTTAATTAAAACATTTCCGGAAAAATCAGAATTTAATAAAAACATTTCCGGAAAAACAGAATTTAATAAAAACATTTCCGGAAAAATAGAATTTAATAAAAACATTTCCGGAAAAACCAGAATTTAATAAAAACATTTCCGGAAAAATCAGAATTTAATAAAAACATTTCCGGAAGAATCAGAATTTAATAAAAACATTTCCGGAAAAACAGAATTTAATTAAAACATTTCCGGAAGAATCAGAATTTAATTAAAACAATTCCGGAAAAATCAGAATTTAATTAAAACATTTCCGGAAAAATCAGAATTTAATAAAAACATTTCCGGAAAAACAGAATTTAATAAAAACATTTCCGGAAAAATAGAATTTAATAAAAACATTTCCGGAAAAACCAGAATTTAATAAAAACATTTCCGGAAAAATCAGAATTTAATAAAAACATTTCCGGAAGAATCAGAATTTAATAAAAACATTTCCGGAAAAACAGAATTTAATTAAAACATTTCCGGAAAAATCAGAATTTAATTAAAACATTTCCGGAAGAATCAGAATTTAATAAAAACATTTCCGGAAGAATCAGAATTTAATAAAAACATTTCCGGAAAAACAGAATTTAATTAAAACATTTCCGGAAAAATCAGAATTTAATTAAAACATTTCCGGAAGAATCAGAATTTAATAAAAACATTTCCGGAAAAACAGAATTTAATAAAAACATTTCCGGAAAAATCAGAATTTAATAAAAACAATTTCGGAAGGATCAGAATTCGATTAAAACATTTCCGGAAAAATCAGAATTTAATTAAAACATTTCCGGAAGAATCAGAATTTAATAAAAACATTTCCGGAAAAATCATAATTAAATCAAAACATTTCCGGAAAAACCAGAATTTAATAAAAACATAATTTAGTTTAAAAATAAAAATCAAAAACATATTTAGAATCAAAAATTAGGGTGTTTTTCAGGCAACTTCGCTTAACTGAACACTTCGACAATTTGGACATTCACGCAAATCCATCAGTGCAATTCGCCGCGGATGTATTGAGCAAGGACTGAAAAAGATGAAAATTTTTTGGAAAAATTTTTTAAATTTTTCTTGCCTAAGAACCCGACCAATTAAATCATGACCACATCTGAAAAAGTAAAAACATTTAAAAAAATAAATTAAAAATATTCACCTGCGACAAACAACTAAACAACTAAGTCTTTCACAAATACATTGTTGCGTAACACCCTTTGGATTAGCGCGAAGGGCGATAGGCGATGATGAACTTGAAGAAGTTGGTCGTCGCTTCTGAACAACTATTGCTGGAGAATTTTCCGGAAAGAATTGTTTTTGTTGGGGAACAAACATTTTTAAGAATATTCTGAAAGAAAAGTCAGAATTTAATAAAAACAATTCCGGAAAACAACAATTAATTGTTCCGGAAAAAACAGAATTTAATTAAAACACTTCCGGAAAACCCGAAACAATTCCGGAAAAACCAGAAATTAATAAAAACAAGATCCGGAGAAATCAGAATTTAATAAAAACATTTCCAGAAAAACCAGAATTTATTGAGAATTTCCGTAAAAATCAGAATTAAGGGTTCCGGAAAAACCAGAATTTAATAAAAACAAACTACCACCAAACTATTTAAGTAAAAACATTTAGTAGTTTAAAGGTACAAATAATAAAAAAAAAGATGAAAAACAAATCAATTTCCCTTGCTTTGTTAGAAAGTGATAGGATTTTGCGGGGAGTAGTAGAAGAATAAATGATGAATGGAGTAAAGAGGAATGTTATATGTAAACATATTTTATTTAGAATTTTTTTGCAATGTCGGAGGGGAAGAGGAACAACAAGGAAGGGGGGGGGGGAGGGGTGGGAGAAGAAAAATGAAAAAAATTTTTTGAAAAATTTTTGAAATTTTTTGAAAATTTTTTTGAAATTTTTTCAGTTAAAAAATTTATGCACAAAATCTGTCTAATTATTAATTCTCCTTTTCTCTTTCCTCTTTAATATTCTTTCTCTGCGTCCCCCGTTTAAAATGTTCCAACTTTGGAGGATCTGGAAAAGCTAATTCTCTGCCAGCCTGTTTAAATATGTAACAAATATTTCCATTTATTTTTTCTTGGCAATATTCCTTAAATTTTTTAAAATTAAAAAAATTCTTCCAAAAATTACTTCAGTATTTGAAATATACGAAAAATCATTCTTAGCACATATTACGCTGAATCGAGCAAGTAGAGTGCGTTCTGCCAATGTTTGTATATTTCGTTTTAAGGTAGTACTGTCACGTCCTCGAGCCTGTTTATTTTTTAGATTATTTAATTTAACTGGGTAAATTCATGAAGGATCGATATCTCAAAAAAGTATCGACTCGATAACCTAGATTTTGGAAGATCTAGTCTTCAGGACTGTGCGCCATGACGTTTCGGCGTTTTGGGTCATTTTGGTCGATTTTGGCGTTCTGACATTTGGTGTATTTTAATAATTCGAAAAATTGGCGTTTAGCTTTTGGAACGCCATGAGAAATTATTGGCGCACAGCCCTTCACGTCCTCATCTTGGATCTAATTTTTAACTTGGCCTATTTTTAACTCCTTAACCTCCCTAATCTCTCCATTGGAGAAAGAAAAAGATTAAATAAATTAATTTTGCCTTTAAAATTATCTGTCTAAGCCTTTCACTGTTGCATTTATTCTTTTCTGGATCTGCCAAAGCCAAATCCACAATTTTATTAGCTTCTCTTTTCGGTCTCCATTCTCTTCCACTTCTCCCAGTTCCTTTACGTTTCTTTTCCTCTTTGTTTGGGTTTAAAGGTGTTAAAAATCCGTCAACTAAATTTTTATCAAATAGCATGTCTGTGGAAGTTCCTTGAAGCATTTTTGGCAAAAATTTTTGTTTTGGGGCAGCTTTGGCTTTGCTTCCACTTAAAGGGGAAGATTGGCGTGTAGGACAGGCGCATTGACGAAAACGAGAATTTGAGGAGAGTAGAGATTTTGGCTGATGAGTTGAATGGATTAATAATTGGGATTTTGATGGAATAAAGTGAAAAATTGAAAAAATAAAAATTAAAAAAATTAAGGGAAAATTTGGCATTATGTTTATTTTAATTTTTAATGTGCGCAAAAAAACGCCAAAAAATATTTATTTTGTAAAAGTGTCAAAAATGGGTGTTTTGCATTCTTTTTATATTAAAAAGTGAAGAGACTCATCTTTGTTCGTTTTTTAGTTTCTAACCCGGAAGTGTGTCCTCAAAGTGCAATTAATATTAAAAATAAAAATCATCCTCCTTTTTTGAAGCAAATCTTCAACTTGAGTTGATCATGCTGCGCGAGTTACTTTTCTCCTTTTATTTTGGGTTTTCTGAATAAAAAATCAAGTGGCCATAAATTACCTGAACCTGTTTATACGAAAAATGAAAAGCTCAAGTTCCAAAAAAAAATTTTTTTTTGACTCCTTCAAGTGTGCGCAAAAAACGCCAAAAAGGTATTTTTAAATTAACGCCAGAACTTTCCGGTAAACAAAGATCAGAATTTAAATTTTAAAACTTTCCGGAAAGGGGAGAGAACAAAGAAAAAAAAGGAAAATAGAGGAAAATAGTAGAAAATACTAGAAAAAACACTCAACATTCTTTTCCCCTATATTTCTCTGACCTTTCATCACATTGAGGCTTAGATTAGTCAACAACAACAAACCAAACAAAAATTTTTTTTATTTTTTGCTCTCGTTTCCCTACATATTTTTGTTTATATTTTTGTTTACAATTTCTATTTTTCCTATTTTTCATTTTCTATTTTTCCAGTTTTACCGCATTTGCATTTTTAAGCATTCTCTTCTAGCGTCTCTTCTAGCTTTCTAGTGAACAATCCTCAAATTAATTTTTTTGTTTGAGGGAGAATTCTCCTCCAGTTAATTTAATTGTCTATTAGAGTACCTAGAAAATTCGATTTTTATTTAAAAATTTTTTTTTCATTTCTTATCCAATTAATTTTAAAAGCAACTCTTTCTAGTGTCAATTTAATGGCAAATCAACTCGGAAATTTATTATTTTCTTCCACACCTGGAGAAACATTATTTACTGCAGCTTATCGAGAATTAAGGGTGGGTGGAATTTATTTATTATTTCAACTGGTTTGCTTTGAAGGTAAGCAAAAATGTTTATAAATCGATAAGCAGTTGGAGGGTTGAAAGGTCTTGTTGGGGTTCGAGAGTAATTGACCCAGACCGATAATTTTATTAGTTGGGCAGACATTAGAGTCTGGGTTTTTGGGGGTCCTTTTTTTCTGTCCTTTGAATTTTGAGACTCTAAGTGAATTTTGCTGGCAATAAAATTTTCTCTTTTGGACACTAGAGTCTCGATTGTGGGGGCAATGTTTTTCTGCCTCTTGAATTCTGAGACTCTAACTGTCAGAAACGAACTTTGCTGTTATCGGTTGACTGGTCACTAGAGTCTGGGATTTTGGGGCTATATTTTCCCTTCCTCTTGAATTTTGAGACTCTAATGGTCGAAAGTGAACCTTGTTGGAATATCTATCTGACATTATAATTTATTACTTTTGAAGAATTTTTATCGTTTATAAAAAAAGGGGAGGAAGAGAAAAATTGGTTTTATAGATAGCCTTCTTTTTATTCATCACGAGAGTGTTTAGCAAATTCATTTTTATTTGACAAACAGACATTTAAAAAATTTTTTTTATCTTTTCTCATGAAAATTTAAATTCTTTCTTACTTTTAAATTGTAAAAATTATTTTCTTTGATTTTCTGAAGAGATAAGATCGAAAAAATTGGAAAGTTGGCGAATACATTGCTACTTTTCCGGAAGTTGCAAAATTTCCGGAAGTGATGGAAATAGTAGGGAAATGAGGAGAGGTTAGAGAAAACTCTCCTCATTTTCAATATTATTTTCTTTATTTGTTCTGCTTTCAAATTGCTACAATTTCCGGAAGTGATGGAAATAGTAGGAGAATTAATAGAGGTTAGAGAAAAGTCTCCTCTTTTTCTATACTATTTCTTCTTTCTTTGTCTATTTTGTTTATATCTTGATTTTTGATCTAAAGGAGGTGGATCTTCATTTGTTGACCTTTTTTACACCTTTTTACGTTTATTTTGTTACACTTTGACTTGTGATTAGTGGTAATAAAAAGCACAATAAAAATCAAAGATAACAACAAAAGGTGTCTTTTAAGAGTAAACAACTAATATTGGTTATCTTTCCACCTTATTTCTAAAATTAGTAATTTTCTCATGATCTTTCCCGTATTTTGTCCTTTCTGATTATTCACTGTCCTATTTTTAAGAAAATAAATATTTAAAAATGTTATTTAATTCTTCTACTGCTTCTTCCGTATTAAACCAATCGTCTACTGCTGATAAATTAGCTAATAGAATGCAACGCCTAATTTCGACGAGTGAAGTGGGGAAATTTTTTTAATTCCTTTGGGGGATAAATCAAAATTATAAACTTAAAAAAAAATTTTTTCAGAGTTCTGAAGAATGGAAAAGCTCAACAAAACGAGAAACCTTTTCTTTGTTGAATCAGGAATTGGATCGATTGTTGAAAACTGCTCCGGCTAATAAGGTGTAGTGCTTATTATTTTAAATGTTTTTGGGAAACTTGTTTTCCGGAAACTTAAGTTTTGGTTCTTAAATAAATAAATTCTGATTTTTCCGGAAACTTAAGTTTTGGTTCTTAAATAAATAAATTCTGATTTTTCCGGAAACTTAAGATTTAGACACTTCCGGAAACCTAAGTTGCGATCGTAAATAAAATTAATTCTGGTCTTTCCGGAAACTTAAGTTTTGCTTTTTAAATAAAATAATTCTGGTCTTTCCGGAAACTTAAGTTTTGACTCTTAAATAAAAATAATTCTGGTCTTTCCGGAAACTTAAGTTTTGACTCTTAAATAAAATAATTCTGGTCTTTCCGGAAACCTAAGTTTTGACTCTTAAGTAAAATTAATTCTGATTTTTCCGGAAACTTAAGTTTTGGTACTTAAATAAAATTAATTCTGGTCTTTCCGGAAACTTAAGTTTTGACTCTTAAGTAAAATTAATTCTGGTCTTTCCGGAAACTTAAGTTTTGACTCTTAAATAAAATAATTCTGGTCTTTCCGGAAACCTAAGTTTTGACTCTTAAGTAAAATTAATTCTGATTTTTCCGGAAACTTAAGTTTTGGTACTTAAATAAAATTAATTCTGGTCTTTCCGGAAACTTAAGTTTTGACTCTTAAGTAAAATTAATTCTGGTCTTTCCGGAAACTTAAGTTTTGACTCTTAAATAAAATAATTCTGGTCTTTCCGGAAACCTAAGTTTTGACTCTTAAGTAAAATTAATTCTGATTTTTCCGGAAACTTAAGTTTTGGTACTTAAATAAAATAATTCTGATTTTTCCGGAAACTTAAGTTTTGACTCTTAAATAAAATAATTCTGGTCTTTCCGGAAACTTAAGTTTTGACTCTTAAATAAAATAATTCTGGTCTTTCCGGAAACCTAAGTTTTGACTCTTAAGTAAAATTAATTCTGATTTTTCCGGAAACTTAAGTTTTGGTACTTAAATAAAATTAATTCTGATTTTTCCGGAAACTTAAGTTTTGACTCTTAAGTAAAATTAATTCTGATTTTTCCGGAAACTTAAGTTTTGGTACTTAAATAAAATTAATTCTGATTTTTCCGGAAACTTAAGTTTTGACTCTTAAGTAAAATTAATTCTGGTCGTTCCGGAAAGAAACTTAAGTTTTGTTTTTGTTTAAAACTAATTCTTGTCTTTCCGGAAACTTAATTTCTATTACTTCTGTAAGCTTAAGTTCAAGCTTTAAATGTCTTATATTTCCGGAAAACTTAAAAGTTTTGCTTCTGTTTAAATTAATTTGTTTTTAAAGGCAGAGGACTGGAAAAAAGAATTTGCAAATTTTAAATCTCTCTTTGTCCGCTTTCTTCGCGCCAGAACTGTTATAGATTGGAAGTTTTAAATTTTAATTAATTTTAAAAATAAATTAAATTTTTTAGAGAAGTGCGCCCTTTACAGGAGGAGTTAATTATTCCCTATGCTCAATTAAATATGGTTAGAGGGCAAAAGGAGATTGTACGTGAATTGCTGAGTTCTCTAGTTGTCGTAAAACTTAATGGAGGATTGGTAATTTTAGTGAAAAATATTTTTTAAGAAAAAATATTTTTAGGGAACTTCAATGGGCTGTAAGGGACCAAAGTATGTTTTTTTGAGGGGATCGACTCAGGAGGTCAACTGATCCTGGAGGCCAACACTCTAAAGGTCAACTCTCTATTAGTCAACTGATCCTAGAAGTCAGCTCCAAATATGTTGACCATCAGAGAGTTGGCCTATAGGGTGTTGACCTTTTGGGAGTTGACGGATCCTGGAGGTCAACACCCTATTGGTAGCTTGATCCTGGAGGTCAACTCTAAATACGTGGGCCATCAGAGTTGAGTGTTGACCTATAAGGTGTTGACCTCCGGGGAGCTGACCTCTTGGGGTGTACCCTTTTTAGAGCAAACCAAGATTTCTCAAAAATTTTTTTTAAATTTTACAGGTCAATGATTTCAGTGCGCAATGACCTTACTTTCCTCGATCTGACATTGCAACAAATTCAGGTACTTGATAAAAATCTGAAAAAATTTTCTTTTCCCCAAAGAATTTGAACCGTGAATATGATGTCAGCGTGCCTTTGGTGCTTATGGTAATCTTAAAAATTTTTTGTTTTTTAATTTTATTATTTTTCAGAACAGTTTCAACACTGACGAGGATACTCAAAAATTGCTGAAAAAATATACAAATGTTCATGTTGAAGTAAATTTCAAAAAAAAATTTTTCTAAAAATTTTCCTTCAAGGTCCACTCGTTTCCTCAATCCAAATACCCGCGAATTGATAGAGAATCTTATGTTCCTATTGCACGCAGTGTTGACGATAATGATATTGAATGGTAATTTTTGCTTAAATAACCTTTAGGAATTCCGATATTCCCTGGAACTTTAAGTTGGGACTATTCGAGGATCTTCCCAGTCCTCTCCACTCATTCTTTCGACCTTACTTTCAGTTAGGGTTGAGCCCCGTTTCCCTTAGAATTCCCTGGGGAAGCTCGCGGAGGGCTCCGAAAAATCCCCGCAACTCTGTTTCCCTGTAAGATCACACCCTACTTTAAACATAGGGGAATCAAGCTAGAAGAACTTCCTTTCTTAATTTGTCCTAACTTACTTAATCCTTCTAATCTTTTTCTATTTTTTAGTTGGTATCCGCCAGGACACGGCAACTTCTACGAATCTTTTTTGGCAAGGTTTAATGTCTCCACATTTTCTTAAAAAAATTTTTTTATTTTTAGTGGATTACTGGACATATTTTTGGGTCAAGGAAAGAAATATGTTTTCCTTTCAAACATTGACAATTTGGGGGCGACGGTTGATCCAAACATCTTGAATTATATGACGAATCGTGACTCTGAATTTATTATGGAAGTTACGGACAAGACGCGAGCTGATGTTAAAGGAGGCACATTGTAAGTAGAAAAGGATGTTTTTGTGGAGTGAATGAAGGGGAGGGTAACCCCGGTTTGTCATCACTCGGTTTGCAGGCATCCTTTTTTCTGATTTATCCAGTAAGATTATCGGATCAGAAAAAGGGCGGATAGGAAAAAGGCTGGATATCCTTAGATGTCCCAGGATCCACCAACCTATTATCCATTGCGTCTACGAACAGGACAACCTGTCGGATAATTTTCAAATTTTCCAGGATCGAATATGAAGGACGTTTAATGTTACTCGAAATTGCGCAAGTACCACCGGATTATGTTGATGGTATGAATCTGGAATTAATTACTATTTATTAAAAAATTATTTTTAGAATTCAAATCGGTTAACAAATTCAGGTTAATATTAATTTTTATTTGTAGGGGTTCTGGGGTTGAGAGACCCAATAATCCTTTGGGAGATATTTTTTAGTGATTTTGAACTGATTTTAAGCCTATTTTTCTTTTAGAATATTCAACACCAACAACCTTTGGGCTAATCTTGAAGCAATAAAACGTGTTGTAACTGCTGGAGAATTGGATATAGAGGTTTTTTTTAATTTTCAATGATTTTATTCTAAAATCTCAAAATTAAGGTAATTGTCAACCCAAAACATTTGGACAGGGGAGTAGATGTAATCCAACTTGAGACGGCAGCAGGTGCTGCAGTAAAATGCTTCAAAAATGCTTGCGGTATTTTTTTTAATTCCGGGGTGACCCGGTCCGGAGTTTTCCTGGTTAGAACCCTGAAAAACGGATTTAACCAAAATTCCTGATTTCTGGGCCCAAAAAACTTTGCTACTGCTCGGTGTCGAACCAGGCCCGGTATCTGGGGGTTTTTCTTTTAAGGTGATCCGGGACGGAGTTTTCGGAGTTAGAACCCCCGAAAAACCTGTATTTAATCAGTATACTCGGTTTCTGGGCCCGAAAACCCTCGTTCAGTCCCTGTGTCAAGCTCCTAATGTTTACAATAAATTTATAAATTTTAGGCATTAACGTCCCTCGATCACGCTTTTTGCCCGTCAAGAAAACCTCCGATTTGCTGCTACTAATGAGCAACCTCTATGACATTGAAAATGGCTATGTGACGCTCAGTTCTCTGCGTTCTTTCCCAACTACTCCACTCGTTAAATTGGGCAGCTCCTTCGATAAAGTCAAAGAATTTTCAAAAAGATTTCAAGGAATTCCTGATCTTTTGGAACTGGATCACTTGACAGTTTCAGGCGATGTTTGGTTTGGAAGGGATGTGACTTTAAAGGTTTGTTTAATTGAAAAATTCCGTCATATATCCCGGAAACCGATTCAAACAGTCAATAAGTTATTTGAATGAGCTCGTCGAGCCGAGTCGATTGGCACCAAAATTAATCTTCGATCTTAATTGTAGGCCAAGTTATGGGCTGATAATGGTCAATAAATGTAGTAGAGAGGGAGTCAGGCTACCCTAAAAATGAGCTTGGTTCCCCTATGGTTTCTTGCTATTGAGGGGATTGTATCTTGGCCCTTAGTTGAGACCGAAGCTTAATTTTGGTGTCATCCGACTCACATCAGCTTGACGAGCTCTTTGAATGACCCATTGTTTATCTGAATCGGTTTTCGGGGACATATGACGAGATTTTACTACATCAAATTTTTAGGGAACCGTAATTATCATAGCCAATTATGGTGATCGAATTGACATTCCGGCCGGAACGGTTTTGGAAAATAAAATAGTCTCAGGGAATTTACGTATTTTGGACCATTAATTAAAAAATTAATTAAAAACTAATTAAAATCCCTAATTCTGTTAAATTTAAAATAGCCAAACGATTGGACATTTTGTCTATAAAACCTCCCCCAAAAAATTTTTTTCAAGTAATTTTTGAAATTTAAAGATTTTAATAGCTAAAAGCCTTCCTATTCACTTTGTATTTTGTCAAATATTTATTTAATTTGTAATAATAATTTTAAAAATAAAGTTCTGACATGAGTGGAATTTTTTGTATTTTATATAGGGAAATCATTGGGCCTTTTCACACAAGTAGAGGAGGAAATTTAAAAAATTTTCAAAACCGACCCATTTTCCCTCTTAATCCCTCTAAATGACCGACCTGACACCCGCTCCGACGTTAATTGCGACTTTTTTCTGGACTCGTGACATCCCTGTTCTGTATCAAAATGTTCCCTGGGCCTCCCAAAAAGGGGGGCTCCATACTCAAGAGGAGGGGAGAACCTCCAATACTTCCTAGAAATATAGGAGCAAAATTTATTTAAAAAATCATAAAAAATTAAAAATATACACATTTTTAGCAATACTTATCCGATTTTAATTTCGCTCGTCGATTCAAAAGAGTTTCATGTAAATCACCCTCCCTCTGTGCCCTTTTCACTTCAGATTTGTCTGCAACATTATAACTGATGCATTTGTTTTTCAGTTCAACTCGTGAATGTTGATACATTTTACTGAAATATTTTTTAAATATTTTTGAGGAAAAATAAAAAGCATACACATAAGCAGTTTCACAATCAGCAGCCTTTTTCTTGTCGTCAGCAGTGAGCCAATCTACGGGGCCTTCCTTTTCTGTATTTGTTCGAATCTGAAAATATTTATAAATTTTTACTTTATAGGCAAAAGGGGATTTTCTGATATTTTGGGGATAGATCCAGAAAGTCAAATGACCCTGAATGTCAACTCTGAATATTTAGGCGGATTAGGATGGTTTTTTTGAATAAGGGAGAGAAGACGGAAATGCTCTCGTGCAACTGTCAGAAAAGGTTAAAGGGAGCAGGCCAACGTATTCTTTAGCTTGAGCCTCTTTTATCCAGCCAAATATTTGGAGTTGACCTTTAAAGTCATTTTACCCCCTGAGTGGATTCATATTTTGGAAACGGAATCCATTAGACAAACAATAAAAATTCATACGTTGATAATTTCATTGGCATGCGCTGTTTTTGAACTCACATAAACATAGCCGTCATCATCCGGTGCAAGTGAAAGAAAAAATCCATTATGGGCAAGCAATGCTGACTTTCCCTTTAAAACAAAAATGTTAAAAAATTAAGCAGAAAAATATATTTACATCTTGAAATACAACACCAAAGCGTTCTCTATCACCTATAGCGTCAGCAGTCGCAATTAGGCAACCTCCAGAATCGAATCCAACATATTTTCCAAAACCTGTTTTGAGGCTGAAAGGAGGGGTAAATTTAGGGGTAATCATAAAGCTCAAGTCTAACCTTATTTTAGGCTCGTCAGGGCATTTAATCAAAGATAAAATCTCTTCAGGATTAGGAGGCTCTCCATGACACACATGTCTAGCGCCAAGAGTAAATTTGCCGTTGTCCAGAGCAGACAAATAACACTTTGAAAAATCCCCATGTTCAATAGCGATATCAATTCCTCCCTTCAATTCAGATTCGTTTTCTATTCTTCTCCAGCCGCCTAGAATATTAAGTAGAGTAAGGCAAAATCGCATTGACTGGTTCCGTAACGGGATTGAGCTTCATAAAATCGAATGGGAAGGATACTCGGGATTAATCCCGTATATTCCGGTTTTCACTTAAACCCAGGACGGGATTTCGGGACAGGGCCATGTAAAATCCCGCATGGGATCCCTCCCGTGCCTTAGCCTAATCCTAGCAATAACTTAAACTAAAATTTAAAAACCTCTTTCTTCAGCATCCTCGTCAATCTTCGATGAACTAGCTTTGGCATTCTTCTCTGTATTCTTCTTTGGCTTAAATCTAAATTTGAATAAATTGATTAAAAAATGAGAAAACATCCTTACAATTGCTTTTTCCCTTTCAATTTTAATACTCCTCCACGATAAACGCCTGAAGACATTATTTAAATTTTTAATAGGATTAAAACTGTTGAGAAAATGGAAGATTTTTAGCTTGAGGACAAATAAAAAGTTGATGAAATGGATTAAAAATTAAGAGAAGATTACAAAATCTCTACAGACAAAATGTCAAGTAAATAATAAAATGACGTTTCGTCTTAAAGCAGAAAGTGAAAGAGACAGAGAACGAGAAAAGATAATGTAGTTTTAAGAGACGCACAGACACGAAATTTTTTGACATTCTCGTTGGTCGTTTCATTGCGAATATTTCATCGCACCCAAAATATGGCGACAAAAAGTCTCAATTAAAATAACTTCTAGAATGTTCCATTGTTCTCTCGCAAATTCTAAGGAAAAGTTATTTAAGAAGACGCTGTTGTCATATTCATACTTTTTCATTTTTTCTGTGTAGTGGAAGATTGCAAAACGAGAAGCTTTTGCTTACTATAAAAATCATTTTTCATATAAAAATCATTTTTCATATATTCATATAAGAGAAAGAATTTTCTAGATCTTTAAATCGTCACTTTTTCTGTTAACCATTTCGTTTGACTATTTAAGGGTTTGGGGTTGTTTGGGTTCTATTTCGGTGGCTTTTTGGATATTTTCGAGTTATCCCCCTTCTTTTCTTGACTATAAGGATTTGAGTTTTCGTCATTTTTCAGTCCCTTTGACTTGCTTAAGTTTGGGGTTGTTAGGCCTCTGTTCTGTTGACTTATCGGATATTTTCGCGATATCCCCCTTATTTTCTGACTATATAAGGATTTGAGTTATTTTCATTTTTGCGTTTTCACACTTATCTCACTCCTCCTAATCGTCTAAACTTTTCTAATTTTTCAGCTATCATTTTAAAAAAATCTTTTAAAAATGTCTAAAGCTAACGCTGTCGGAATTGATTTGGGAACAACTTATTCCTGCGTTGGTGTATTCCAGCATGGAAAAGTTGAAATCATTGCTAATGATCAAGGTTTGTTTTCTGAACGAGTTTTCGTGTTCTAACTTTTTTTCTTCAGGAAATCGCACGACTCCATCGTATGTTGCCTTTACGGACACCGAACGTCTGATTGGCGACGCTGCTAAAAATCAAGTGGCAATGAACCCGTCGAATACTGTTTTTGGTATTTTCTTTTATTTTTTGATAAAAAAGTCAAAAATCATTTTCAGACGCAAAGCGCTTGATTGGACGCAAGTTTGACGATCCGGCTGTTCAATCGGACATGAAGCATTGGCCGTTCAAGGTTATTCAAGGAGAAGGTGCTCGTCCAAAAATCCAAGTGGAGGTTAAAGGTGAAATGAAGGCGTTCTTTCCTGAGGTTTGATTTGGATTTTACTTGGATTGAGTTCAATTTTTTGGTTTTTAAGGAAGTTTCGGCAATGGTTTTGACAAAGATGAAGGAAACGGCTGAGGCGTTCTTAGGCCAAACCGTTAAAGACGCTGTCATCACTGTGCCAGCCTACTTTAACGACAGTCAACGTCAAGCCACAAAGGATGCTGGAACGATTTCTGGACTCAATGTTTTGCGTATCATCAACGAGCCAACTGCTGCGGCCATTGCTTATGGATTGGATAAGAAGGGCCAAGGCGAGCGAAATGTTCTGATTTTTGACTTGGGCGGTGGAACTTTTGATGTGTCAATCTTGACTATTGAAGATGGTATTTTTGAGGTCAAGTCGACTGCTGGAGACACTCACCTTGGAGGCGAAGATTTTGACAACCGAATGGTTTGGAGTTTTTTAGTTTTTTTAACTGAAAATATTTTTTAAGGTCAACCATTTTGTTGCTGAGTTCAAACGTAAGCACAAGAAGGACCTTGCCACCAATCCGCGTGCTCTCCGTCGTCTTCGTACTGCTTGTGAACGCGCTAAGAGGACTTTGTCTAGCTCTACTCAAGCGAGGTTGTTTTTGAAAGTTTTTTTAGACCTTAACTTGAATCCATTTTAGCATTGAGATTGACTCTCTTTTTGATGGAATTGATTTTTACACCAACATCACTCGTGCACGTTTTGAAGAGCTTTGCGCCGATTTGTTCCGCAGTACTATGGATCCGGTTGAGAAATCAATTCGTGATGCTAAGATGGACAAGTCTCAGATTCATGACATTGTTTTGGTTGGAGGATCTACTCGTATTCCAAAAGTCCAGAAACTGTTGTCGGACTTCTTTTCTGGCAAAGAACTTAACAAGAGTATCAACCCGGACGAAGCTGTCGCCTATGGAGCTGCTGTTCAGGCTGCAATTTTGTCTGGCGATAAGTCTGAGAATGTTCAGGTATCTTTTTGAGGGGTTTTGGGTCAAAGACTTGAAAAAATTTTTTTTAAAGGATCTTCTTCTTTTGGACGTTGCCCCACTCTCGTTGGGTATTGAAACTGCTGGAGGTGTCATGACTCCGTTAATCAAGAGAAACACGACTATTCCCACCAAGACTTCTCAAACGTTCACTACTTATTCTGACAACCAGCCTGGTGTTCTTATTCAGGTTGGAAAAAATTTTGAAAATTTTAGGACGATTCGGGAATTTTGGAAAACTTCCCCTTTTTAAAGGTCTACGAAGGTGAACGTGCTATGACTAAGGACAACAACTTGTTGGGCAAATTCGAGTTGAGTGGAATTCCTCCTGCTCCTCGTGGTGTTCCTCAAATCGAAGTCACCTTTGACATTGACGCCAACGGAATTTTGAATGTTTCTGCCCAAGACAAGTCGACTGGAAAGCAAAACAAGATCACCATCACTAACGACAAGGGACGTCTTTCCAAAGATGAGATTGAGCGTATGGTCCAAGAAGCTGAGAAATATCGTGGAGAGGATGAAATTCAGCGTGATCGTGTTTCTGCAAAGAACGGCCTTGAGTCTTACTGCTTCAACATCAAGCAGACAATGGAGGATGATAAGGTTTGATTTTGAAGTGATAAAGGGGGGAATGGGTGTCTTGGGGGTGGGTTTTCTTGTTTGAGGATAGGATGGTTTTTTTGTGTTGGGGATGGATTTGGGGATAGGAATGGGCTGACTTTTGTGTGGTGATGATGTGGGGGAAAGGATGGACTGTCTTAAGAGTGTTGGGGATGAAATGTCTCCTTGGGAAATAGGCTGGGGCTAGGTTGTTTTCCGACCCTTCTGTCTTACTTTTTTGAATCAGGCAGGGTCCACCCTCTTGTAAGGGACTTGTTTAATTCTTCAAAAATTTTTCAGCTCAAGGACAAGATTAGCGAAGACGATAAGAAGAAGGTTTTGGACAAATGTCAGGAAACGCTCTCTTGGTTAGACGCCAACCAGACTGCTGAGAAGGAAGAATTTGAGCATCATCAAAAGGAATTGGAAGCTATTTGCAATCCGATCATTTCGAAGCTTTATCAATCTGCGGGTGGTGCTGGAATGCCTGGAGGTATGCCTGGTGGAATGCCTGGAGCTGGTGGTATGCCAGGCGGTGGTGGTGGCGCTGGTGGAGCTGGAGGTCCAACCATTGAAGAAGTTGATTAAATTGAGTATCTCTTCTTTTTTGATTATATTCCAATTATATTTAATGATTTTTTTTTGAAAACATTCATATAAAGACCTTGACTCCCCTATCCTCCTACTCCCCCCACATATACACAATTTATCTATAAAATTGTTTTTTCGATACAATCGTTATGTTTTTTGAGTAAAATTATTTTGTTTTGTTTAAAAATTGTGTTTTTTAGGGTTTAGCGTCCTTTTTAAGTGAATAATGGAGGTATCTTTATTTTTTCCGCCAAGAGGGGTCGAACCTTAGCCACTGCTAACTGAAAAGTTGGGGATTATCCCACTACACCACTTAACACTGAAATTTTTTTTGAAGAGCGAGGCAGTAGGGTAAAAATAGGATGTATTAAAAATGAATTTCCGCCAAGAGGGGTCGAACCCTCGTCTTTCTATCTGAAAATCAAAAATTATCCCACTACACCATCTGAACAATTTTTGAAATTTGGGTTGAATTTTTAAATTTTATGGTTTTTAGGATGTCTTCCCCTCTTCTCTTGTAATTTTCTCTTCAATAAGCGTGGAGAAACACGTTACACTTTTTTTGTACAAAGAATTGTTTATTGATAGTTTGAAGTTTGTATTATTTGTCGAACGAAGATAAATTCTTTGTCATTCCCCCCAAAAAATAGTTTATAAGGAAATAATCTGATTAAAAAATAAATATTTTTGTTACTTTTTAACAAAAGGATTAACATTATAAATTGACTAAATTTGAGAGAATTCCCCGCGAAATTTTTGTATAAACTTGGGAGACTTGGGGAAACTTGGAAGACATTTTTATTTTTCTTCTTGTGAAGGAAAATGAATAAGAGGCAAGATGAACAAGGTTTTTTTTGTCTTTTTAGTGGTTTAACTGTATTTTTTAAGTGTTGTCCAAACAAAATAGCGTTGGGTTGCCTACTGTTAAAGGTGCAAAACTTTCCGATGCAATAAATGTAAATGTTGTAAAAGCACTTGAAGAAGGAGATTATCAATATGCTAGGTATTTTTTAAAATTTTTTTGGAATTTTTTTAGTCTTTTAGACCTTGTTTTTAGCACGGGAAAGTGCAGGAAGTATTAAAAAATAATTTTCCCCCAAGAGGGGTCGAACCCGCGTCCCTTCTGTCTAGAAAATTGGGGATTATCCCACTACACCATGTGACCGTGAGACGTCTTTTGAGCCTAGAGAGAAAATGAGGAGTTGTTAAAAAATGATTTTCCCCCAAAAGGTATCGAACCTCCGTCCCTTCTGACTAGAAAATCAAAAATTATCCCACTACACCACACATTCATTAAAATCTTTTTTGAAGGGGAAACGGGCGTGATGAAGAGGGCATTAGAAAAAAGTTGTAAAACTAAATTCAAAAATTTTTAAAAGGGCGTTATGTGAGGATAATACAAACTGGGAAATTGAATTTGAAGGAAAGAAAACTAAAGTATGGAGCCGCAAATTGCCTGATTCTCCACTTCAAATGTACAAATCAAAAAGTGAATTTAAAGATGTTCAAGCTGATGTCTGTTATGATGTTTTGCAGGTTTTTTACGTTGAAAAAATTTTTTTTAATTAATTGAATTTTTAAAGGATTCTGATTATCGATATAAAGTAGGGGAATTTTATTAAAAAAAATTATTTTTGGTTAAGTGGGATAAGTATTTGATGACTACAACTCGAATTGGCTATTTGGATCAAAACAATGATGTGTGCTACTATACAGGTTGAAAAGTTTTGAAATTAAAAAGAAAGTAGGGTTATTAAAAATGATTCCACCTAAGAGGGCTCGAACCCTCGTCCTTTCTGACTGAAAATTGGGAATTATCCCACTACACCATCTGACATTGAGATTTTTAGAAGAGGAAGAGGGCGGGGAGAATAAAAGGGTGTATTTAAAAATGTTTTCCCCTCAAAAGAGGTCGAACCCCCGTCCTTTAAGACTGAAAATTAAAAATTATCCCACTACACCATCCTTTTAAAGTTGGTTCTCTTCCACCTTTTCGCAACCGTGATTTTGTGTTGCTACGTTCGTGGGCTGATTTAGGCAAAGAAAAGTTTATTTTGGCACATTCTGTTTGGCATGATGTATTTATTTTTATATTCTTGTCTGCAAGTCAATTGTCCGCAAAAAAAATATTTGCGGACAATATTTGCGAACGAATTGACAAATTACTTGCGGACAAATTTTGAGGACAACTTTTGCGGACTTTTTTGCGAACAAAATATTTGTGGAAAATACTTGCGGACAATATTTGCGGACTTCTTTTACAATATCTTTTCATTTCAGAAATTTCCACCAACCAAAGACTACATTAGAGGAACAGTTTATTTAACAATTAATTATGTGAAGGCTCTAGAAAAAGGATGTCAATTTACTTATTTAACACTGGTTGACCCTAAAGGTTTTTTTTAATTTTTTTTAAATTTTTTTTTAATTTTCAAAGGAAAATTACCAAACTGGCTAATTAATCGAGTAACAAAAACAATCGCCCCCAGACTTTGTAAAAAACTGAGAAAGGCGTGTCTAGGCTATGACCGGTGGAAGAGGAAACATAAAAAAACTGAGGAGAACAATTTTTGGAGAATTAAGGAAATGAAGGTTATAATGTTTTTTATACGGTTGGACCTCACATTAAGATTGACCCTTTGGGATGAAAACATTTGGGCTGAAAATTTTATTTTATAAATAAATAGGAGGAAGGAGCGTCAGTTTTGGGTATGTCTTCGGAGCAGGAATCACAATTCTGAAATGTCTGGAGCCGGATCCAGTATTGGTAAGAGGCTGCAAAACGCTACCCAGAATTTTCAAACACCTAGGATGACTCGGGTAGAGAATAAAGTTGTTTCGGGGTGGGTCGAGGTTTCAAAATTTTCTTCAGATCGAGTTTTGGGTTCGAAAATGTCCGGGTTTCGGGGCTTAAACTGAGGGTAATCAGAGTGAGTCCAGACTGTGTAAATGTATTTTTAAGGATATGACGATCCCAAAATTGGAGTTGACTGATTGTGTGTATAAAGGTGAAGAAATTTCTGAAGAGTGGCCTGATGAAAGTGGAATACAACCCAATGCTGTTGATGATGAAGAAAAGGAAGAGGAAGAAGAAGATGATGAGGAAGGTGGGAAAAAGTAAAGGAAGATCATAAAAGGAAAATGATAAAAGGTTCGAATTTTTAATTCAATTTTTTACTCACAATCAGCGCCCGCAAATACTTGCGGACAAAATTTAAAAAATTGAAAAAAATTTTATCCGCAAGTTTTGTCCGCAAAAATTTTGCGGATTTTATTTAAAAGTACAAAATTTTTTAATAATTTTTGTTAGGCCATTTAACTATAAAAATAGTGAAGATAATAAAAAATAATCTCTACTGGAAAAAATTTTTTGAAGGAGGAAATATTAATTTTCCCTTTAATATGTGTTCCCCTCCCAATTTTTAAATTTGCCTATTTTTCCAGATTTTTTAAAGTAATTTTCCGCTATTTTCATGAAGCATTTTTTGAAGCATTTTACACACCTTTTTACATTGTTAGGAAGGGCAGGGCACAATTTTCTTTTTTTTTCTGTTCGGCATCGATTGTGTCACCTCTTTGAGAGGTAAGGGAAGGGGGAGTAGTCTTGTTTAATAACAATGAAAAGCTTTTTGCTCCCCCGGCAGGTTTTCCTGGGCATTTCCCTTTGATTCTCTGGAAAAGATGAAAATTAAATATTCATTCTTTTTGCCATTTTTAATTTTTTTCTCTTGTTTCATTTTAAAAATAGAGGAGAAAGAAGAAAAAATTTTTAATCCCGGCCAAGCAGCTTTATTTTAAAATGAGCTAAAAATTAATTTTGAATGAATATTCTTCTTCTTTGGTTTCTTCTGAAAGGAATTTGTTGTTTTGAAAAAATGGGGTGGATGGAGGAATTGTCAAGTTCTGTTGAATCTTGGGGGTATAGACACTTGGAGGTTTTTAATTTATTTAAAGGTCCGCAAATTTTGTCCGCAAATTTTTTATTTTTGCGGACAAATATTGCGGATAAATTGCAAAATCCGCAAGTTTTGTCCGCAAATTTTTTAAATTTACTTGCGGACAAAACTTGCGGATTTTGCCTTCCATTCATTTATTTTTTTTTAAATTTTAAAGCAAGAATCAGCCCCTGAATTTTCTGTAGATGACATCCGTCTTCGTGCTTTTGTTCTAAGAGAGGGAAGAATGCCTAGAAGAAATACAAAAGACTCGGAAAATAATTCCCTCGATTTTGAGGAGGAAAATAAATTATTTAAAAAACGACTTCCAATAGAAGAACAGCAATTATTTACTGGACATAGAAGATTGGTGGAGGAAATTCTGGAAAGTTATGATCCTACAGGTTTTTTTTTAAATAAAAGGGGTTCTTTTTCCTTCCAGCTTCCAAAAAAGTCCGCAAGGTTTGTCCGCAAGTTTGGCTATTTTTTTATCAGAGGATTTGCATCAGGGATGGGTCAGGATGAGAAAAAGTCAGGCCATGGTTCGGTGCCGGGGATGGGAAGAATCCTTAGAGATTGGCCGGATCGGGATTGGGCAAGTTCCTATATTTCGGAAATTTCCCCTTTCGGAAACATCTCTTTTGCGGACAGAACTTGCGGACTTTTTGAGACCATAAAGGAAAGGGACCGTTTTTTATTTTTTAAGAATTATTTTTAAGTTCACCCTCGTAGAGACTTTAGAGAATCAACACGTGTCAATTTAAGCATGTCTCTGTACCAAATATTGGAAGTGGTTAGTTTTTTGAGTTTAAGCTTTATTTACTTTCCGCAAGTTTTGTCCGCAAATCAACTTGCGGATTTTAGGTTCCAAAAGTCCGCAGGTTGACTTGCGGACAAAACTTGCGGATTTTTTAAAAAATTAATTATAGGATGAACGTAAACAAAGCATTGTTGTGAACGTGTGGATGGTATGTGGGGGCAGGCCCGTAACCAGGATTTTTTTTCGGGGGGGGGGGGGGGGGGAAAGGGGGAAAATTTTTTTTGCGCCAAATTTTTGGCGCCGAAGGCGCCAAAAATTTTTATTTTCAGCGCCGCAGGCGAAAATTTTGAGAATTTTAGAAGGCCGTAGGCCAAAAAAATTCACTTTTTCGGCGCCGCAGGCGCCAAAAATTTGATTTTCAGCGCCGCAGGCGAAAATTTTTTAAATTTCAGAGGCCGTAGGCCAAAAAAATTCACTTTTTTTGCCCCAGCCCTTCCCCAAATTTTTCCCTTTTTCCCATTTCGGGGGGGGGGGAATTCCCCCCCCCCACCCCCCCCCTGGTTACGGGCCTGTGTGGGGGAATTTATTTAAAAATTTTAATTTCTTCTTAAGGTCCAAAATTGGTTTGATGAGGTATTTCTTTGTTCTCCCTTTAAAAATATTTCCTTCTTCAAAAGTTTTTGGATTGGGACCCGAACAAATTCGAAATGATTAACAAAACGATTGTGCCTTATCAACAAATATGGGTGCCTGATACGGTTTTTTTTTAAATTTTTTAAATTTAATTTCTGCAACTTTTGTCCGCAAGTTTAAAAAAAGTCCACAAATTTTGTCCGCAAATAAACTTGCGGATTTTTGGTTTCAAAAATGGATTTGGTTCCAAAAGTCCTCAAATTGACTTGTGGACAAATTTTGCGGACATTTTTTAATTTGCGGATAAAACTTGCGGACATTTTTTTAAACTTGCGGACAAAATTTGCGGACTTTTTTTGAAAGTTAATTACTGGGTGAAATATATTTGGTACTACTGAAGATTGTGGGGCTCTTTCTGCGGACTTTTTTTGCGGACTTTTCCTCCCTTTCTTTCAAATGTATTTTTTAAAGTTTTGGTTGTTTTGCTTGCAGCAAGTTTTGCTTGTAGCAACTAACTGTCAAAGGATTAATTTTTATGTCAGTTTGAAAAATGTGTTCACCATTGATTTAAACATTATAACGATTTCAATTACTCGATGAATTTCAACAATGGATCACTGATCTCGGAAATAAAAAGAACATGTGATTGTGGAACAGAAATGCGGGTACTTTCAAACCTTGTCCCCCCCCCATTATTTTTCTTACCTAAGATTGTATAAAATGGTCAGATTTCCTTCTTCCTCTCTTTCCTCTATTTGAGCTTGGCATATTCAAACAAGACATTGTTGATAAAGAGAAGATTAAAATTAATTGTTGTTCAATATTTTTAATTGAGTTGTTCAATATTGAGTTCAATTTATTTTTTCAGTTGTTCAATATTTTTAAATATACACAAGAATGTAATGTTTTTACACAGAAATTCATAATGTTATACACCAAATCAATTTTATTTACTGCTTTTTTTGTTTAAATTGTTTTCGAAGGCAAAAAAATAAGTGTATGACTATAAAAACTAATCTTCTCTTTATCAATGTCTCGTTTGAATTTGCCACAGGGCAAATAAAAGAAGGAGAGGAAGAAGAAAATCTGACCTTTATGTACAATCTTATGTAAGAAAAAGAATAGGGGAGGGGCGTTGACAGTTAGTTGCTACAAGTAAAACATTCAAAAGAATGTGAGGAAAAGTCCGCAAAAAAAGTCCGCAGAAAGAGCCCCACAATCTTCAGTAGTACCATATATTTTTTTAATTTTTTGGTGCTTTACAACTCCGAAAAGATGGACAGAAGAAGTACTGAAGCTCTTATGAATGCGATTGTTGAGGTTTTTTTTTGAAAAATTTTTTGGTTAATTTTTTTAATTTAAAAGACTGGATATTGGCGAGTTAGTTACTTGAATTTATTTAAAAAAATATTTTTTTGTGGTTAAAGAAGGATGGAAAAGGAGCGGCCGTTCAATTAATGTTTCCAGCTATTTACAAACTTAGCTGTCGGATGAATGTGTAAGTGAGAGGAATTTTATTAGACTAGGGGAACTTGGAAAAGTTTAAATTAAAATCAGAATTTTTGTTATTTAAGATCAAGCTTGAGTTCTGATTTTTTAAGTTTTAAAGGAAAAATTCTGAAAATCAGAACCTGAGCTTAAAACCTTCTAAAGTTTTTTTTTCTGATTTAAAATCAGAATTCTGATTTTTAAAGATTAAGCTTGGATTCTGATTTTAAGTCAGAGTTCTGGGTTTTTAAGTTTAATTTTGAGTTCTGCTTTTAAAACCAGAATTCTGTTTAAGTTCAAGCTTAAGTTCTATTTTTCTTGTCAGAATTCTGAAGTTTGATTCTGATTCTAAATCAGAATTCTGTTTTTAATTTCAAGCTTAAGTTCTGATTTAAAAATCAGAATTCTGGTTTTCTAAAGATAAAGCTTTGTTCTAATTCTAAGCCCGAATTCTGTTTTCTAAGTTCAAGCTTAATTTTAGGCTCAAACTTTATTTTAAGCTCAAATTCTGATTTCTTTTCTATTTTAATTTTTTTGTTTAGCCGTTTCTTCCCCTACGATCAACAGGTTTAAAATTTTAATTAAAAAATTTTTAATAAAAAATAAAAATTTTTAAAAGAACTGTAGTTTCATCATCTCTTCTTGGACTCATGATAGCGCTACAATTAATTACCATTATGAAAGGCCAACAGTTAATTTATTAAATTTTGCCCAAAATGATGAATGGACTGTTATCAGCTTTAATTTTGAGAGAATTGAGGTTTTTTAATTTATTATGTCCGCAATTTTAGTCCGCAAAAAACTTGAGGATTGAAAAAATTTTGTCCGCAACTCTTTTGCAGACTTAAAATTTTCCGTAAAATCCGCAAAAATTTGTCCGCAAAAAACTTGCGGATTTTAAAATTTTTTAAAGGAAAATTCGCAAAAATCTGTCCGCAAATTTTTTGCGGATTTTTTAGATTATTTTTCGAAATCCCCTTGAAATTTTTAAAAATTTTTTAGCAACAATTCAAATGTTGTAAAAATCCGTGGACTATGCTTTATGCTCATCTGGTTTATTTTTTTTAATTATTTAAATTATTTTCTCTTTTTCCGGTTATTCAACGCAAACCGCTCTACTATATAGGTATAATTTTTAATTTTTGAGAGTCCGCAAGTTTTGTCCGCAACGCATAAATTCGGCCTCGAAAAATTTTTTCGAGGAAATCCGCAATATTTGTCCGCAAAAAACTTGCGGATTTTTTAAAAATTATTTTACGAAAATAATTTTGGGCAAAAGCTTTTTTGGGTCTTAACCGATTTAAATAACTTTTACGGATAAAAAGTTGCGGATTTTTTTCCGAAAAGTGTCCCAATTTTGAATTAATTCTACCAATTTTTAGTCAATTTGGTACTGCCCACTTCCATCATTACAGTTGTTGCAGTCACTGGATTTTTTACACCTTCTTCAAGCAGCAGCGAAAGAGATGAAAAGCTTTATTTGGGAATTAATACTGTAAATATTTTTGTTTATTTTTAATTTAAAAAATTTATTTTTTAAGTTGATGACAATGATGTTGATGCTTTTGATGGTATAATAACGTGGAATTTTTGCGGATTGATATTTGCGGACAAAAATTGCGGACAAAGACGAGACTTGCGGACAAAGACTTGCGCACTTCCACTAGACTATTTGCGGATAGTCTCTAGACATTTACGGACATCCTTTCGACTTTTGCGGACATCCCTAGACTTGCGGACATCCACTCGATATTTGCGGACACCTGCCAGATTTGCGGACAAAAATGTTTCTTAAATTAATTTCAGAAAGGAACTATCCGGCGAGGAAGCCCCTCCTCGAAATCTGACCCCTGGATACTCCCCTGGCTGAAATATACCGCCAAATATCACCAAGTGTCTAGGCCGGAATATTGAACGTGTCCAACAAGTCGTTTAACCCATTTAAATAAAATTTCAGTTTTGTCCGCAAAATTTGTCCGCAAAATTTTCTTTTTATAAAATTTATTGGTACTTTTCCGTTATGACGTAATACCCAAAATTAATGTTCAAAATGTCATATATAGGGTAGAAAAAGGTGCTGAGTCGAACGGTACCACTCTTTTTTCACGTAGATGCCTGTGGACCGAGATATAGGGCTCGAAATGGTCAAAAACCATAGGAGGAGTGAGCTTTGCCTACGCTCCATAGGCTTACGTTGACCATTTTGAGCTTGTTCATCTCGTCTCAAAATCAAGATTATGAGCTGATTTTGGTGTCATTTGACTCAGCTCGAGGAGCTCTTTCAAATGAGCTATCATCCAAAAAATCGAATTTTTCACCCCAAAATTGAGCTTAACAGCCCCTATGGTTTTTGACCATTTTGAGCCCTATATCTCGGTCGACAGGCATCTCCGTGAAAAAAGAGTGGTACCGTTCGACTCAGCACGTTTTTCTACCCCATATATGACATTTTGAACATTAATTTAGGGGGTTACGTCATAACGGAAAAGTACCAATTTATTTTCTAATTTTCATGTGACAAATCAAATGCCAAATACTTCAAGTTATGTTCCTCTTATGAGCTGGTTTTTTTAAATTTTCTTTGAAAACTTAGAAAAAATTTTTTAAAGGTATTATATGGGAATAATTGGAACTTGCGTTTTTGGCACTTTAATTGCTACTTTTGTACTTTTTATTCATTCCCGCAAGGTTTGTTATTTTAAATAGAATTCTATTTGGGGGGTGGGGATCTTCCCTTTATTAAAAAAATTTTTTTAGGGGGGGAAGTCCGCTGTAGTATAGGCCGTTTCAGAATTTTTTGTAGTCTCGAGGCCATATTTTGGACCATAACTTTTTTGAATTTCTACCTTTCCGAATGAATATTATATCATTTGAAAGCTCTGGATGTGTGGATTATTTTGTCTAACAAGACTGATTTGATCAGATCAATCTACCAAAAGTTAAGGCCGAACAAGTGCGCGTGATCGATATTTTTGAGCTTTATTCGGCTATAACTTTAAGTAGAATGATCTGATCAAATCAGCCTTGTTAACTAAAATAATCCTCAAATCCAGAGCTTTCGATAGATATAATAATTATTTATATAGGTTGAGAATCAAAAAAGTTATGGCAAAAAATATGGCTACGACTGAAACGGCCTTTACTGCTAATTTTTTCGGGACAGCCCAAAAAGGCGCACGGCCAAAACGGCGCAAACCCATAATAGACCTCTTCGGTCGCGCCTTTGTGGGCTGTACCCTTATTTTTCAGTCATTAATGCAATTACCACCTTCTGGGGTGCTTAATTACTTCCTTCTCCGTCGCTGGCTTTGGAGATTCATACTTGAACCCCCTTCCGATTTAAAAGAAATATGGGCTGAATATGGGTTGATTAACAACAACGTTGAAGATGACGGGAGAGAGAAGGCTGTGGAGAAATCAACAGAAGAAAAACAATTTTCTTTGCCCAAAGGAAAACTGGCAGCCCGTGAAAGTTTTACCCAAACAAAACAGCTAGTTTCTGCCACAAAACAGATTGCCCAAACTGCAAGTAGAACTGTGGGGAGGGAAAGGAGGAGGAGGGAAACGATTGATGAGGCTGCTGATTTTCTTTCAAAGGTTTTTTAAGGAAAATAATTTTTTAAAAAGTCCGCAAATTTTTTGCGGACAAAAAAAGTTGCGGACAAAACTTGCGGACTTTCGCCAAAAAATTCTTTTAAAAATCTGCAAGATTTTTGCGGAAGGTTTTGCGGACATCAAAAAATAAATTTTAAAAAATCCGCAAGTTTCTTGCGGACAAATAATTGCGGACTTTCTTTCAAAAAATTTCTTTTTAATTTTAAGGGAGTTTTTGGACATCGAAAAGCAGAATTCCACAGATTACAAAAAGAAATAAGAAAGGGAAGTCGAATATGGGTTGCTGGAGGAGGCCGTCCAAGCTTGAGATTTATGAAAAGGCAGAAGATGATGAGAAGGTTTGAAGGGAATTTTTGGGGGTTTATATAAAATCCGCAGAATTTTTTGCGGACAGCTTTTGCGGACTTTTTCGTGAAAAATACATACTTAATTTTAAAAAATCCGCAAAAAGTTGCGGACAGAATTTGCGGATTTTTAACCAAAAAAATAATTTCCTAAAAATGCGCAAGTTTTTGCGGACAAAATTTATTTCTTTAAAATTTCTCTAGGTGTGCCTTGGAATGGGAATTTCTGGCCAATTGTATAGATCGCTGTCTTTTGGCCTTTTTTGCTTGTATGACAGCCTTTTTCTTTTCTTTATTAGCTTTTTATGAACGATGGATTGAATTGGGGTTACATTTTGGGTGAAGAAAACTAGTTGAGATTTTTTAATTTTAGTAAAGATTTTTATTTTTTCTTTTTTATTGTTTCGTCAATTTGTTTAGATTTTTGAAGTATTGTTTCTTCTCCTGTTTGTCCAGAAAATGGTTCTTCCATGTTGCGTGTTTCCTGTAAAAATTGTTTATAAATAGATGAATTATTAGTCCGCAAGTTTTTTGCGGACAAATTTTGCGGATTTTGTCTAATTATGTCGTATTTTGGTTATTAGGACATTTTTTCATGTGACACTTTGTCGATTTTTCCTTATGGACATTTTGCCATTGGGCGTTTTGTCACTAGGCCTTTTGTCATTATTATAGAGTAGACCTTTTGTCACTACTACTACAGAGTGGGCCATTTGTTACTCTTTGCCGATTGGCATTTTGTCTGTCTTACGGAATGGCCATTTTGTCTAATTGGCGGACATTTGGTCGTTTTTACTATTTGGACATTTTGTCTAATTAACGGTTGGACATTTGGTCGCTTAGACATTTGGTACCATTATGTCCCTACCTTATTCTGATTTGGATGATCCATTCCTTGAAAATTCTGCCAAAAGTCACTGCTTTCTGTTGACTGTTTTTGTTGTCCGTGTTCAGGATTTGACTCGCTCAAAGAAGGCCAATACCCGGCAGTTGGACTCCCAGCAATTCTTGCTGCTTGCATGGACGGTGGGTATTTATTTTGTTGCATTGAACTTCCTGTATGTTCACCTCCCATTTGGACAGGTTGCTGGCTGTGGTAACCCGCATTAGGTGCTTGATATGGATGCTAAAAGGAAATTATGATTATAATTGACCCAGAAGATCGATGGGGGTTAGATCAAATTTACTGCCAACCCAGAATATCACCTCGGAAAATATCAACTCTTAAACTCTAAAAAATCCGCAAATTTTTGCAGACAAAGTATGCGGACCTTTTCGTGAAAAAATAAAATTTGTCCGCAAACTCATTCAACTAAAACCTCCCCAAAAGATCGAAGGGAGCTAAATCAATCTTTCTGCCTACCCAGAAGATCACCCCAAAACTTATCAACTTATTTAAACCCAAAAGATCGACACCCAGAAGATTATTTAAAAACTAAACTAACCATTTGCGGACTTTGTCCATAACCCTGAGAAGGAGGAAACTTATTGTCTCCACCAGGAAATGGCTGTTGTTGTTGCCATACTTGTGTAAACGGAACAGGGCAAAAACAACAACAGAAACAACAACGATCAAAGGGAGATGAAGAATATGTGGAGGCTAAGTGGCCATTTGACGGAGTTTGCCAGGCTTGTTGCAAATATTGGGCAGAATTCAGAGGGTAATTGATAAAAAGGAAAAATAGGAAAATTAAAGACAAGGGAAGGGTCATTTTTAAGCCTAAAATTAAGGTACGGTATTGCTACAGTATTGCGGAAAATTCAGGTTATTTGCGGACATTTTTGATCATTTTGCGGATTGATTTTTGCGGACAAATCCAGAACTATTTAAATTAGGTCAGGGGTCTTGTAGTTATAAAATATGAGAATACAGTCATATTTTGGAGATACAATACCCATCACGGGTCTTTAAAAAATGTCCGCAAATGTCGGCTGCGCAAGTGTCGCTCTCCTAGAATTTCTAAGAAAAATATGTAAAATATGAAAAAATCTGATTTAAAGGTCGGGCTTTTATTTATTTTATTTCTTCCTTAATTTTTAGTCATCAATACAAACAATCTAAAAGTAAAAACACGCAGGAATTTCCAAGTCTAAATCTGTAATACTACAAACAATTTATGCGCATTTAATTAATCTGCTTACTTATTTTTGTGTTGCCTATTTTTATTTTTTTCTTGTTGTTATAAAAACAAAACACGAAAAAATTTGTAGTTTTATTTTAAAGTATTTTAAGTAAAAAATTGAAAGAGAATTTAAAAATATAATTTTTTGTTGTTGAGTCTCTTAGCTTTGTGTGAGTCATATATGGGGGGGGGGGGGGATTTAGGAGAAGTTAGGGGAAATTTTAAAAGCTAGGGGAATTAAAAAAAAACAAGGGCATGTTTTTCAAAAAAAAAATTAAAATAATTTTAAACAAAAAAGAAATTTTAAAAATGGACAAATGAGCTTAAAAATAGGCCAAATAAACCATCTTCACATGATTGGATTCGAACCTTGATAGATTTTTGGATGGAGGCGGAAACATTCACGACTACACCACGACAACATAGGATAATTTTAAATAAAATAGTCCCATATAGAAATGAAAATAATAAGGAAAAAATATGAAAACGTTGCTAAATTAATTTTAAAAAGGGAACCAGAAATTTTTATAAAATTAAAAAGACTCAGCAAAAGAATTTAAAAAAAATACCCAATTTGAGGTGGTTGTCTTGATATGAATTTAATAATAATTAATAAATTAATTAAGAATAAATAATTTTTTTCACAATTCTGTGGACATTGCAGGTCGTTTAATTCCATTCTAAATTTTTTTTAAGCATTAAAAAAATTTTTTTAATCTAAAAAATTTAAAAATGGACCAAATAAAGTCATTTTCCCACCAAAGGATTCGAACCTTCATATAAATTGAGGGTGTAGTCACCGTCCCTATCCACTTGACCACAAAATAGGAGCATAAATGTCTATCTCGAAGCCATATTTTGGGCCATAACTTTTTTGATTCTCAGCCGATTTAATTAATTTTTATATCAATCGAAAGCTATGGATTTAAGGATTATTAGAGCTACCTGAGTGGATTTGATCAGATCACTTTACAAAAAGTTACAACCGAATAAGTGCTCGCAATCGAGATTTTTTATATTTATTCGGCTATAACTTTAAGTAGAATGGTCTGATCAAATTAATCCTGTTAGGTAAAATAATCCTCACATCCATAGATTTCGAATGCTTTAATAATTATTTAAATCGGTTAAGAATCAAAAAAGTTATGGGCCAAAGCATGACCTCGAGACTGAAGAGCTTACTGACTGGGGGGCTCTAAAGGCCATAAAGGACTTTACCAAGGAAATAATATTTAAAAATAAAATTTAAAAGAAACCTGAGTATTATTATTAAAATAAAAATTATTTCCTCCATCCAAACTTTTTACTGGACTTTTTAAAATTTCTTCCTTCTTTTGTTGTTGTTGTCTAGGTGGATATCTACGCGAAGGACGTCTAAATGGAGGCCTTTCTATTAAATTTAGATTTTTTGGTTGTTGATATTGCAATTCATTATTTTTATTTATTGCTTCATATTCTGTTCTTCCTCTTTAATTTTAAAAAAATAAAAAAATTTTTAAGGGAATTTTGGGAAGAGAAATTTTAAAGGAACAAAAAAGGCAGTTGGTTCAAATCCGCTCAGGATGTTTTTTTTAATTTTATCGAAAAATGATGAAAAAATGTCATAAGAATCAAATTTATTCTGATTTAGATGGTTAAGGTTTTTCAAAAAGGCTCTAAAAAATTTTTGAAAAATTTCCAAAGGTTCCGAAAAAATTTTTGAAAGATTACCTAGGGCTCCAAAAAATTGAAAATTTCCCAAAGGAAAATTTTCGAAAAACCAAGGGCTCCAAAAAATTTTTAAAAAAATTCCCGAAGGTTCCAAAAAATTTCCGAAAAATTTCCAAGGGCTCCAAAAAAATTTGAAAGAAATCCCAGCATTTTCCTACCTCAAAAATCCCCAAAAAATAAATTTAAAAAAAACAAACCTATAACGAAAAGTACTCCCTAACCGAAATAAAGGCGAAAATATTTTTCTATTCATTCCATTATTTCCAATAAATTTGAGCCTAAAAAATGTATGAAATTCAATTGCACATTTCCACAAATTTTTTGCTGCTCGACTCGAATTTGTTTGAAAAATAAAAGTATGTAAATGAACTAATTGTTGTTGTGGTGATTCTTGAGAATTTTTTGAATTTTGTATTTCTTCTTCCACAACTAAAGTTAATCGACGACCACGAAAATCGAGACGTTGAACCTTTTCCCAGAGGAAAAGACCTAAAAAGAAACTTTATTAATTAAAAAATGATGAAAAATTGGCCCAAATAATCGAAAAAATTGATAAAACACCAAAAACTTTCGTCCATGTATCTTTGGTGTAGTGGGTTAAATTGCTATAACCCCAATAGGTTGTGGGTTCGAACCTGGTCAGAAAATTTTTTTAATTTTTAAACTAAAAATTGGCACAAAATAATCAGAAAATTTGCTGAAATTTCGAAAAATCTTCGTTGATGTCTCGTTGGTGTAGTGGGATAAATTTATAACTTAAGTAGGTTGAGGGTTCGAACCCGGTCAGGAAATTAATTTAAATTTTTAAACTAAAGATTGTTTAAAAGAACCAGAAAAATTGTTGAAATAACAAAAAAAATTTCTACAATGCCTCGTTGGTGTAGTGGGTTAAATTTATAACTTAAATAGGTTGTGGGTTCGAATCCGGTCAGAAAATTTTTTAAAATTTTGACCGAAAAATAATGTAAAGGGTCAAAAATTTAGTGGGCTTGGACCCAATTCATTTCTGGTTAAGTTGGTTACGGTTTAATTTTTTTAGGCAGGGTCTTGGGTTCGAACCCGGCCGGGGTTAAACATTTTAAATTTTTTTGGAAATTTATTTCAGAACCTAATCCCTCCAATATTAGCATTTTTAAAAATAAGAAAACCTATTTTCTGCCTCCCATCAAGTACTAGCATTCCTTGCGGACTTAAGCCAAGTCTATATTCACAGCCATCACGTCCTTGAACATTGTGCTTAAATTGTAAAAATTAAATTTGAAAATTATTAAAAGGATCTGAAACCTAATTAATTTTGTCACCAAAAGTTAAATCCGAAAATCTTGCCACAAATTAAGATCCGAAAAAATTTAAGTCTGCAAAAATTTAAAATCAGCAAAAAAATCGAACAAAATAAACGTCTGCAAATTTAAAATCCGCAAAAAATTAAAAGTCCGCAAGTATCGTACGCAGACTTAAAATCCGCAAAAATTTTAAATCTGTAAATTTTGTCCGCAAATTTAAAAGTTTGCAAATTTTGTACGCAAACTTTGTCCGCAAAAATTAAAAATTATTATTCAAAAAATACCAAATCAACTCCATATAAAGGCAATTTCCTCGCCTTATCCAAAAAAGCAGCCTCAGCCCGACAAGGATTCATACCTTCAAGTTGTTTATCTGCCCATTGCCGAAGAATTGCCAATTCCATTTGTTCATTTTGTAAAGGGTGGAAACGAAATTCGGAGGCGAAAGTTGAAGAATATGTGTGGGGATTGAAGTCCCCAAATTCGGCTAAAAATGAATAAAATTATATGAGGGAGAAGGGTTGAAGTCCGCAAATCTTGTCCGCAAAAAAATTAAAAGTCCGCAAAAAATTAAGTCCGCAAAAAGTTTAAAAAAAATCCGCAAGTTTTGTCCGCAAAAAATCAAAAGTCCGCAAAAATCGAAAAGTCCGCAAGTCTTGTCCGCAAGAAAAATCCGCAAATCTTGTCCGCAAAAATATTATATTTCTGCAGACAAAAGTGCATCCAAAAACCCATCGTGGGCTTCAAAAATAATAATTGACCTGCGGACTTTAACAAAACCAAAAAAAAGGTTTTTCTCACATTGAAGTCCCAATGCAGCCAAGTAGACAGCTACTTCAGGAGGGCAATCCAAAAAGCCTATTTGTATATCCTGTCGCAATTGCACAAAAAATAAATATCTAAAATAAAAACTTTGAGTGGTTTTTAATAGGCAAATGAAGGGAGAAAATTTAAAGAATGTTGTCTGCAAAAAACTTGCGGACAGTCCGCAAAAAACTTGCGGACAATGTCGCAAAAAATTGCGGACAAAACAACCCAATACTTCCCAAGGGGTAAAAAGGAAATTTAAAATCTGAAAATTTTTTATCCGCAAAAAAATTTGCGGACAGTGTCCGCAAAAAATTGCGGACAAACCGAAAAAGTAGATATTAAAATATAACCTGGTTAATTCATCCTTTAAATTGACCGGATCATTCGAAAAAAATTTAACACGAAGCCTAAAACTGTAAGGAGGTCCAAAAGGAAGTTGTTTTCGTATCCTCTTTGCAGGATCTAGCCATTGCCGTACTTGCATATGATCAATAAATTGTAAACCAAAATAGTCTCGCTCAATTAATCCGATATGGGCAAATACTCTTTGATACAATTCTTGGCCCATAGCTGCTTTCTATTTAAAAAAGAGGGAAGAAATTAAAAAATTTTTTTTTGAAAAATTTGCGGACTAGATTTGCGGACAAATTAAAAATTGAGGGTTTACTGACCTAATTATTAAAATAATAATTTTTTAAAACGCTTTAACCAAGCAGGAATCGAACCCATAACTCTTTAAAATAAATTTTCTAGAAAATAAAAAAAGATTTACCCCGGCAGGGTTCGAACCCATGACTCTCAAAAAGGAAAAATCAAACCGAAACCGACTACACCAAAATAACACGAGTTTCTTTCTATTTTACCTTAGCAGGGATCGAATCTAAGATGCTTAAAAATAATTTCGGTACTTTATGGATATGTCACCCCCCTCCTATTTTGAGTCTCAGAGTTTTCCTTAAACGTAGAAAATGGTCAGAGATTATTTCTTCTCCATGTCAATCATTTTTCTTTCTTCAAGCAAAATAAGTGAAATGTGGTAAATGTAGAAACGAAATGAGTGAAATTTAAGTACAAAATATGTGAAAAGGCAAAATAAACCAGCAAAATACTTGAAGATGAAAAAATGATTGACATGGAGAAGAAAATAATCTCTGACCATTTTCTTCGTTTAAGGAAAACTCTGAGACTCAAAATAGGAGGGGGGTGACATATCCATAAAGTACCATAATTTCTCTATAAAATAAAAAAGATTTACCGAGGCAGGGTTCGAACCCATGACCCCTAAAATAAAAAAATCAAACCGTAACCCACTACACCAAGATAGCACAAATTTATTTCTATTGAAATTTAATGGTCTTTTACATTTTACCAAAGAAAAGAAGTCAAAAAGGAAACCACAATAAATTTTTAAAAAATAAAAATTGAGTTTTGTCCGCAAATATAGTCCGCAAAATTGTATAAAAATTAAAAAAATACCCCAATTAAAATATTCAAATCGCTGTTATCCAATAATTGAACTCTGCATTGACAATGAGAATGTCTAATTGAAGTTTCCTTATTCCTTGGAATGGAAGATGAACGAGGTTGTTGGTGTTGAGAACGATTCTTGGATTTTGTAAGACGCTGACTAAGAGTTCGAAGAAAATTAGTTGCCATTCTATTCTCTAAAAATAATTTTTTAGTGGTTTTGCTTGGGTAAGATGCAAACTTAAGACCTCTAAAATAAATTTTCTAGAAAATAAAAAATGACTACCCCGGCAGGATTCGAACCCACGACCCCTAAAATAAAAACAAATCGTAACCAACTACACCAAAATGACTCAAATTTATTCCCACTCGGGCAGGGTTCGAATTTGAGACCTCTAAATTAATTTTTCCATAAAATAAAAATTATTTACCCCGGCAGGGTTCGAACCCACGACCCCTAAAAATAAAAAACCAAACCTTAACCAACTACACCAGAATAATCTCCACTAAATTTCTCAAATATTAAACGTTGCAAAAAACTAAAATTTGATCAGTTAAAAATGGAAGAAAATTAAAAAAAAGAAAAAATGAGGTCGGTTACTTGTGTGTGTCAATTTTAGTGAATTAAATAACAAAGGTAAAAAATGCACAATAAAAGGGGAGAGAGCAAGTTAAGTGAATTAAAAAAGAGAGAAGAAAAATAAATTATAAATTGATTTTAGAGAGGTACTTGGGTTGTCTTTAAGAAGAAAGGAGAAAAAGATTCTAACCTGACCCTAAACAAAGGTGGGAAAAAATTTAAAAAAATTTTTTAATGTTGCAAAAGAAGAAGAAAAAAATTATGTAAATTAGCCCTTAAAATAGTAGGCGAAAATGACAAAAATTGACTGACTGACCCAATTTAAAAATGACCATTTTGTAATATTTTCAGTTAAGTGACCAAATGACGGGGAAATATTTTTAAAAAATTGGTGACACCAATACATTTGACCAATTCCACATATTGCCAATAAGGCTAAAAACTCGCGTTTTGTCAATAAGGCGTGGTGGCAAAATGAGGTGTTTTGCCCTTATTGGCAATATGTCGCATTGGTCAAATATGGGAAGAGAAGTTAGGTAAGCTCTAACATATTTGACCAACTCCACATATTGCCAACAAGGGTAAAATCCTGCATTTTGTCACCAAGGCGTGTTGGCAAAATGTGTTGTTTTACCCTTACTGGCGAAATGTGGAATTGGTCAAATATGGGAAGAGAAGTTGGGAGGCTCCCACATATTTGACTAGCTCGACATATTGCCAATAAGGCTAAAAACTTGTATTTTGTCAACAATGCGTGTAGGCAAAATGTACTGTTTTTGCCTTATTGGCAATATGTCGCATTGGTCAAATATGGAAAGAGAAGTTTGTTGGGTTGTCTTTTTCGGGATTTTTTAGGAAAATTTTCTAAAATTTTTTCTAAAAATTTTTTCAGTTTTTAGGCTACAAAAATTATTTTTTTAATAAAACTATGGACCTTAATAAAACTCCAAATATTTCAATTATCGAAGAACAACTAAATTCTACCACATTTATTTCCGAATGTCCAGCAACCTGTAGCAATGAGGGGAATACTTTGGAAAATTTTTTTATTCGGTCTTACAGAACTTCAGGTTTTTTTTTAAATTTATTTTGTTTATTTTTGTATATTTTTTAAGGAAATGAGTCTTCCAGTAAATTGTCTAGACTTTCTATTATTATTAGACGCTCTTTAAAAATTGGGACGAGAAGAGGAGATGGGCAAGTTGTTCAAGAAAAGAAAAAAGTTGTGCAGGATAAAGTGGTATATTTTTTGATTAATTAACTGGCTAAGTATGGGACCTACTCGAAATGGTATCAGTGATGTGCCTTTCTTTTGCTGAATTTTGCCTTTCGCTTTTAAAAGTGATTTCGGCATATCTCTGAACTAGAGATCGAGCTGGGTGTGGATCAAGGCCTGGGTTTTCCTGTCCAAAGAGTCCAGGCCCAGGCATTTTTTGACCTTCCTGGGGTTTTTCTGGGCTGGGTTTTTCCTGGACTACAGGCCCAGGACCTGGACCAGGTCGATAAATCAAACACGGAACCCAGGAACAGGCCCAGGCTTTTCAAAAATCTCGATCTCTACTCTGAACTGTATAGCAGGGATGAGCTGTCTTCCACCTTCCTCTTTCGTTTTTTAAAATTCGGAATGGCCCATTCCTGCTGTACTGTATATTTTGTATTTTCGGTATCATTCGATTGGATCTGTCCCTTTTCGGAATTCGGTCTTCAAAAATTGGGTATTTTTTTGGAGGACTGCGTGTGTTTTCCTCTCATTTTTCTTATTGAAGAGAAAAATGGCAGGGTTTCAAAGCACACTTTATTTAAAAATAATTTTTATTTTTTGGTTGCTAGGTAACGGGAAGGTATAAAAAATAAGCTTAAAATCCGCAAAAATTTTGCGGACATAATTTAGTAAATTTGAATATGTTTGATGGGTCAGGTAAGTGCCACAAATTTAATTTTTTAATTTTATTTGAAAAAATTTTTTTTTCAAGTCGCCTCCATTCACTGAATACACAGATCTCCGACCAGAATATTTTATTGTCCCAAAATATGGAAGCTTTGATTTTTTAAATAAATTGGTTCAAAATAAACAATTTGGACAGGTTTCTTTTTTTAAAATATTTTTTTAATTACCGTAAATACTCTAATATAAGCCAGGCACTTAAATTTTTAATGACTGGCTAGGCTTATATTTGTGAGGGTGCTCATATTTTTCAGCAGGGTCTCCTTGGGTGGGTTTCTATTAGAGAGTGGTTTTTTATTAGAGAGGCGGCTTATGATTTCAATGAGTCTTCTCGGATGAGCATGTTTTAGAGAGTGGGCTTTTATTAGAGAGTGGACTTTTATTAGAGAGTGGACTTTTATTAGAGAGTGGGCTTATATTAGAGAGTGGACTTTTATTAGAGAGTGGGCTTTTATTAGAGAGTGGGCTTATATTAGAGAGTGAGTTCTTATTAGAGAGGCTTATATTAGAGAGTGGACTTTTATTAGAGAGGCGGCTTTTATTAGAGAGGGGGCTTTCATTAGAGAGCTCAAGGTTCCCCTCGGGTAGGTTTCTACTTAATAGAGTGGGCTTCAATAGAGCCGAGAAAATCTAGGAGCATTTACGTTATATTTTAATTTTTAAAGTTGAAACAATTCCTTCGTGAAAATAGTTGGCCTGTGACACATGAAATTCGCAAACATTTGTGGGAAGTATTAATATCTTATTCTGATAAAGAATTTGAATCTTCCAAGTTTTTCTATCGAGAACAAATTGAATCTCTTCTGAAAAGCAAAGGTTTGAGTTTTTAATCTGATAAAATTTAGGGGGTGACATTTGGTCCCGCTTAAATAAAAATATTTTTTGATTTCTTTTCAGTACAAAATTTCCGTCCTGCCTTTCTTTCTGAACCTGGAATTGTTGTTTGCGATCATGGATTGAAGGAAATTGGTGTTATAAATTTACAACGACTTTTAATTGTAAAAAATTTTCTTTAGATTTTCTATTTAAAACTTGCAGACAGTCCGCAAAAAATTTGCGGACGTCTGTAAAATTTTTGCGGACAGTCCGCAAGAAATTTGCGGACTGTCCACAAAATTTTTGCGGACTGTCCGCAAGTAATTTCTTATAAAACTTTTTTAAAGGTAATTGAATACGCCCGTCCAGAAATTCGTTTTGTCCCAATTCTCTACCCTCTTTGTGCCGTTTTTCTTCATTATCACCCTGTGGATGTTGCTTTTGCTTGTATTAATCGACTTTTGGCGCAGGTTACTTGAAGAAATTTTTGAAATTTTTTTCTATTTTTTAGGGCAACAAATTTGTTTTTCAGTCAGAAATTGTAAGAAATTTTTTTAAGAAAATAATTATTTCTTTAATTTTAGGCTGTTTATGCTTCTCGATATACACTTTTATCTATGCTGAAAGAGTTTAAGGTTCGTTTTAATTTTTAGATATATTTTTTAAACTTATGCGGTAAAGTCCGCAACATTTATCCCCAAATCGAGAGTTGTGACCTGCGGATGAAATTTGCGGAAAATCCGCAAACGCTTGCAGGGAATCCGCAAAAGACTTGTGGATGAAATTGCGGACAATCCGCAAAACATATCATGAGGACATTTTTCAAGCAATCCGCAAACACTTGCAAGCAATCCGCAAGATACAGAATATGACTTGCGGATAAAACTTGCGGACATCCGCAACTAAAAAAAATCTGACTTGCATATTTTACCGGCATAATTTAGAAATTCTCCTATAATCCTTTAAAAAAGTTCTTTTCCAATTTAGAAAAGAGTCTACAACAAATTAAAAAAGAGATTGGGTTCAGAAGAAAATAAAATTGTTGAGTTAATGGCTAATTGGCATTTTTGGATTTTCAAGGTTTTTTGTGGTTTTTTTTATATTAAATTTTTAAAATTTTAAGTGTCTTCCTTTCCCTTATCTTGTTCGGTTGATTGACTGCTTTCTTTTTGAAGGTTTTTTCAATTCTTTTATTTTATGTTTCCAAAGGTCCGCAAATTTTTGCGGACAAATCGGAAGGACCATCAAACAGTTTCAAACCACTACCTATCTGGAATATAACAGATATCGTTTCCAGTACTACCACAACTTAAGACCGGGTTGACATGATTAATGGTCACACGAGAGCCCAGATCGATATCTCGAAAGATCTCAATTCTCAATAAATGCGATTTCTGGTCCCGGAATAATCCTCTTTCTATGTTTCGTCCATTCATCATTTATTTGGCCAATAAACATTCTCAGACTTTCAAACTGGTTCGAACCCACTACTTATCCTGAACTAACAGACATCGCTCCCACTAAACCAAACCGCTGATTAACAATTAAAAAGTTGTCCGCAAGTTTTTTGCGGACAAATTTTTTTCTGCATGTTTTTTTCTTTTTTTTTGGCTACAAAATTTTTTCATTGTTTCGCTCAAAATTCAATTAAATAAATTTTTTAAAGGTCAAAAAATGTTGGCAAGAGCAGTTTTAACAATTCTGTACCTTTGGCATAAACAACAAGTATATATTTTAACTAAAGGGGGTTTATTAATATAATTAGTTTGAAAATTAGCATCAAATATCAAAACAAAATAATGATACGAATAAAGTGGCTATGGAGGATAAATTGAATCAATTAAATTTTGAGGTTTTTTTGGAAAATTTTTGTTGAAGTTTTTTTCAAAGATTTCTTCTGTTGCTTCCAAAGTTCCTGTTTCTGTACAGACTTTTTTGGATATTGGGTAAGGGAGAGAAATTTTTTGTAATTTATTAGGCTTGATAATCAGCTATTTTACAAATTAAATATTTGCGGACAAAACTTGCGGACTTTTTAAGTTTGTGGACTTTTCTATATTTTGCGGACACAGCTTGTGGATTACATTTTTTAATTTCCGTGGAAAAAACTTGCGGACGACATTTTTTTAATGTTGGGACAAAACTTGCGGACTTTTTAAAGTTCGAGCATTTTCATATTTTTGCGGACATTTTTTATATTTTGCGGACTTTTCGATTTTTGCGGACACAGCTTGCGGGCATTTTTTTAATTCCATGGACAACACTTGCTGACGACATTTTTGCATCTGCGGGCATTTTTCTTTATCCTTTCAAAATTTTATCTAATTTCCCTAAAAAATATTTTTCAGCTTCTCAATTCGTCGCTTCAGCAACGGCACGCTTTTTCGTCAACAGCGTCACTATGAGAATAAATTTTGGGAAGTTGTTAGTAAAATACGAGCAGAGAAAAATTTGCGTCAGCCTGATGATCGGATTTATACGCCTGGTTATTTTTCTGAATTAAGTTTAAAAATTATAATTTTGCGAGACTTGCTGACATAATTTGCGGATTTTCTAATATTGCGGACATCTTTTATTATTGCGGACAAAACTTGCGGATTTTTAAAATTTTTGCGGATTTTTTAATTTTGCGGACAAGACTTGCGGACATTTCTAAATTTTGCGGACTTTCTTAAAAATTTTATTTTCTAGTATTCATTTCAAAAATAATTGACGAGGATGCAGCAAAAGAACTAATGAGTGCCCTCCCGCAGAGATTTCAATTGGAGACACCCAAATTGCTTTTTCGACTTTCTGAACATGGTTAAATTAATTTTTTAGTTTAAAATTTTTTTTTAATTTAAGGAACATCTTTTGTTCAATTATGGACTCGGTATATTTCTAAAAAATATTTTAATATTTGCGGATAAATTTTGCGGACAAAATTAGTTTTTGCGGATAATTCTATTGTACGGAAGAGAAAGACCAGCTGGCTACATTTAAAACGCTCACTAGGCAGGGGTTTCGATAGCTCTGTTGGTAGAGTACCTGTACGTGGTGACCTAGCAATAACTGCCAGGAGGTCGCAGGATCGAAGCCTGCCCGGAATTAAACTCTTACCTCGCTCTTACTTTATAATTGTTGCGGACAAAACTTGCAGACGGATATTTGCGGAAAATTTTTTTGCGGACAATAATCTTCCAGACAAAAAATTTGCGGACCTCTTTAAATTAAAATTCTTTTTCAGAATTGAGCAGGCAGATCAATCTTTATTAATAATAAAATCAACAACTAGAGAAGTTTTTGGTGCTTATGTATCAAGTTCTTGGGCTGAAAGAAACGGTTTAATTTTTTTTAATCTATTTTTAATTAAAAAGAAATTTTTTAAAAAGATGTGCATGAAAGAGCTAAGGCTAAATATTTTGGAACTGGGGAATCTTTTGTTTGGCGCTTAGACGATGAATTAAAATTGCCGATAATTTATACTTGGTAAGGAAATTTTTGAAGAGGAAAGTTTGAAAATTTTGATGAAAATTCTGAAAAATCAGAATTTTTGATGGAATCTGAATCAGAAATTCTGATTTTCCAGAATTTCAGACATGACTTGCGGACAAATCAGAATTTTTCTGGTTTTTAATCGGAATTTCGATTTCAGAATTTTAATCAGAATTCTGATCTCGATTCTTATTTTTCTGAAATTCTGAAAAATCAGAATTTTTTTATTCTGATTTTTCATCAGAATAACGTCATCAGAATATTCATCTGAATTTTTCACAAAATCAGAATTTCACTAAAAATTTTTTTAAAGGTCTGATCAACTTTGTGATAACTATTTTATGGCGGCACACGATAAATTTTTAATTGTATTTTTTAAATTATTTTTACATTAATTTTATTTTAAAAAATTCTAGATTGGAAGTGGTGGAGGTGATGCAATTGCAATTCGTGATGAACTTGTAGAAGGGTCAAGTAGGGCATCTAGAACCTATCAGTCACCTGAACTAGTGTCTGGAGGTTTGCGAAAAATTTAAAAAAAATTTGAAAAATTTATTTTTCGCTTTAAAATGGCTTAGAAAGGTCAAATTTATTTTAAAAATAATCTAAAAACGTTCGACACCTAAACGGATTCGAACCCACACCCATTGTAGGGTGGAGTTGAAAACGATCTCACTAAACCACTGCCACTTATAATATGCAAAAAAGAAATGTACGGATAAATTTAATTTAAAAAATTACATTTTAAAATAATCCCAAAATTAACTGACAGCCAATCGGGTTCGAACCTACAACATAGTGGGTTACTTATGGTTGTTGGTAACTTAAAACGCTACCACTACACCAAAACCACTCATATTTGAAAAATAATTATGGCTCTACTAAATTAAAAAAATTAAATTTTAAAAATAATTTTTTAGGTCAATTTCAAATAGATGAACTAGAAGTTTGGTCAATTCCAAGCAGTATATAGAGGAAAATAAATATTATAGGTATATTTTTAAGTAATATCTCTACCTAGCTTTTGTGTCATTCCTATGTTATATATAATTTTATATAGTCAGACCTCTATAAAATCGGAGCAGGCCTCCTCATCCACCCCCACTCCCCCGAAAACCTCATTAAAATACAATTTTAGAAAATCTGCTTTACTATTGGATGGAGGGAGCTGCCTAAGTGATACCCTCTAAAATACACCTCTATTTAGGATACATCTCGTTATAAGAGAACCTCTATTTACGACCCCAAGGGTATATTGAGGTCTGACCTACTCTTAAACACAATCCTATGGATATAAAGCATTTACTTATGTCGCCAAAACCACGAAAAATCCTTTTTAAAATTTTTTCTCGAATCGTGCTAACCTCTTTTCTCTTCCTATTCATTAAAAAATTCTTTTTTATTAAAATTTGACTTGAATAAATAATAAATTAAAAATTTATATAATTAAATAAAGTCAATTCTCGGTCTGTCTGAGGTGTATTATTTGAACTTTTTCTCATTGTTAAAATGTTAACTTTACGTCGAGCTCTCCTACGCTTTCTTTGCTGACCCCCTTCATTATATCCATTATTTCCCATCATAAATTGTTGTTGTTGTTGGTTTTGGTCGAAATTGTTATTTTCTTGTTGACAAGGCTGGGAACAGGGTTCTAAAAATGATTTTGAGGGTAACCCAAAAGAGCACATAAGATCAAACTGGGGCCTTATGGGTGCTGATCTTGTGGTTGTTGATCTTAAGGGTGGTGATCTTATGGTTGTTAGTCTTCCGGGTGTTGATCTTATGGGATTTGGTCATGTGGGTGGTGGTCTTATGAGTGTTGATCCCAAGGGTGAGATTTATGGGCGTTGATCTTTTGGGTGTCGATCTTTGGGTACGATCTTATTATGGCTTATCTTATGATTAGCGATCCTATGGTTCCACACTAATGGTTGTTGATCTCATGGGTAGCCCCCAAAATTCGAATTTTTTGGCTTATATTAAAAATACCGCAATATTGCCCAGAAGGACAACAGCCAAAATTACCGCAAGGAGGACAAAATCCTCCGCCGTTGTTAGAATTTTGCATTTGCATGTTGTCATCGTTCCGTCCACCATCATTTCCTTTACTCCGACAAATGTCTTTTGCACTCACTTCTTTTCCAGTTGGGATCAAAACTTGCCCCAAAGGGATAAAAGTTGCTGAAATGAATTTTAAAATTTTTGGGGAACGAAAATCATACTTGCACATAGACAAGGACTTGGTACGGTGTCCGGATACCCTTAGGGTCGTTTTGTCCTTGCCCGTTTATATCCGTGAAACTTTTGAATCATATCGATGAGAGGGTATCAGCGGATATCCCATTCCTCTCAAGATGGTCAACATGACCAAAATTTTAAAAATAGTCAAATTCAGACACAATCCATATTCACTCGTATCCGCGGATACTATCCGTCCGTACCCATGTGCAAGTCAAAAAAATACTGTTTTACCACCATTTGTTGGAATCCCCAAGCCGTTTAATCCATTCAATCCAATTCCTAGCCCACCAAGGGTTTGTAATGCTTGGAGTTGTTGTATTGCTTGTAGTTGTCCATTTAAGCCTCCAAGGGAGGTAAGCCCTGCCAGACCTCCAGGCGATTGAGCAGTTAACGGGGATATCCCTTGGAGGGTTGGAGGGATCTGCATGAGGGGTTGGGCAAGCATAGAAGCCTATTGAAAGAAATTAATGGTCAAAGTTCTAGACTTTTCCTCAAGTCTGTACTATTAAAAATTTTTTTTATAATTTTTCTAGACTTTTAGACTTTATTTTTAATCCGAGAAGATAATAAGGGTGTAATAAAAAATTATTTACTGACAAAAGGGCTCGAACCCATGTCCCTTCTAACTGAAAATTAAGAATTATCCCACTACACTATCCGACCTTGAGATTTTTTAAAGGTCTTTGATGCCGCTCCCTCCCCTGCCAGGGAAAATATTTTTAAACTCACTGCTTGGTTCAATGGAAGTGCCGAGAAAGCTGACGGCGCTTGAAGCTGGCCATTCAATTGTGAACTAGTTGGGTTTATTAAGGCCAGAAGTAATAAAAATAAAGGGAGAAAAGGCATTTTACGGGCAGAAAAAAATGAAAAAATTTTGGGAAAAAATGGAGAAAAGAAACTCAAAAATCCTTGGATTCAACTACTTTCTAAATTCATTATTCCCTTACAATTGCTTTGTCCGCAAAAAATTAGGAAGAAAGGAAGAAATAAAAAAACTTTCCCGATTTTTTGTATTGGCCGAAAATGGGGAATAAAGCAAATAAAACACATATTTATTTTAAGTTTTTTCCTTTTTGGGATTATTAATAAAAAAAGGAAAAAAGAAATTTGTTTAGTGATTCTGTTGCGATTTTAAAAAAGGGAGGAGAAGGAAATAAATTAAAAAAGGTAACCAAAAATTATTGGTGAACAAAATTTAGACAATTTTAACCCTCTCCAAGTGAAAATTTTCGAAATTTCAAAAATTTTTTTATAAAAATGTTCGAAGAAATATAATTTTCCAAAAGTTTTCTGAACAAATTTTTCAATTTTTAAATTCTTAATCCCTCCAAAATTATATAAAAAATTTTCACAATTTTCCCATCCAAAATAATTTATCGCCAAACAGATATACGTATTTACAATAAATTTTTTTTAATTTTAAGCATAAATTTTGAGGAATAAAAAAAGAACCTTTATTTAGATCACAATAATTGAAGATATGCCTTTTTTGAATTTTTTGTCAGTTAATTGTACAATTAGAATTTGAAGAAGTATTTCCTCTCGCAGCTTCGTTTACCCGTCTTTGGGCTTGTTCGTTGAGTATAGTCCTTTAAATTTTTTTTTTTTGAAAAATTTTTTGGGTCGTTTCTGCTATGTGACCCAAAAATCCGCAAGTCTTGTCAGTAAGTTAATTTCAGAAAGAGAAATCCTGGTCAGATTTTCCACCTCCATTTTACTCCATTGCCCTGTGGCTTGTGGGTCTTTTCAGTTATGTAACCCAAAAATCCGCAAGTTTTGCCCGCAAGTCAAGGGCGTATCCAGGAGGGGCTGGGGGGGGGGGGGGGGGGGGCGAAACCGACCCCCTGGATACGCCCTTGCCGCAAGTTGTTTTTCATGTCAGAAAAGAGAAATAATGGTCAGATTTTTCCTAACTCAATTTAACTCTAATGCCCTGTGGCTTATGGATTATTTTTCCTTTAGAGAAAGATCACGGACAAAACTTGCGGACATTTAGGCCAAATTACAGAAAAGAACCAAAATTTTCAAAATATCAAAAAATTCCAATTATTTTTGAAAAATTTTTTTGAAATAAAAAAAATTAAACCTTTCATCCTCTTCCATTTGCAATTGCTGTGCCAACAAGAAATTCAATTCTTCTGGATCCATAGGCTTGGAAGGCTTTGAGTTTAATATTTCATCCAATTTTTTGGCCAACTCGGCGTCAGTGTCCTGAATAAATTTTAAAAAATTTCAAAGAAAAATTAAAAATAAACAAACAATTTCGCTCTTTTTGTTCCCCTTCTTCGACTCTTTGCATTTATGATCAACTGGATGACGATGGCCAAGGCAAAAGTGAATTCCGCAGTGTTTACAGTCCATTTTAATAAGCTAAAGTTGGTAAAAAATATTTTTAAAATTTTTATTAAAAGGATTGAAGGTCAAAAACTTAATTTGGAGAGAGAAAAACAAAATAAAAATAGGTTAGCAACAAAAGGATTCGAACCTGAGACATAAACGGGAGGAGGCTGAGGACGAAACCACTAACCACAAAGCTCTGATATCATTGATACTGAAACTTATTGTTAAAGTTAAACCAATCCGGGCCCGTCTATGAACACATTTTTCTAACCAATCCGAAACCCGCCCACGAAACATTTCAAAAACACCGTACCCCGACACTCACGCCCCTGAGAGTTCAAGGCTTAAAAACGCCACCGAACAGATTTGATCGTATGACCGACAGCTTGGGGTAACTAAAAGCCCGCTAGCCCACAAAAATATAGAGAATTAACTAAAACTCAAAAAAATCCCAAAGTTTGCCTAAATCTCCCCGCTTTTCAAAAAAATATTAAAAAAAAACCTCTCGTTTATAACAACCAGTTACACCACATTTTGGCGCCCATCGTTTCCTGTCAGACTTACAATCCTTGTTAATATGATCACTAACTAGAAGATCAGGCGATTCTCCATATTTGAGCGGAATAGGCTGACGACAGAGTGGACAAACAGTTACTTTAGGATCCTTAAAAGAAGAGATTTTAGTGGCATGGAAAATAACAAAAGCAAACCTTTTTGCTCGCCTTTGTACAGTCATGTGAGTCGTAGGGATAGTGATGTTTGCTAGAATTAAAAATTTATTTGGGAGGGAAACAACATAAGTAACTTTAATTCCTAAAATTCTCAAATAAAACCACTGAGGATTTAAGAATTAAAAAGGGACTTATGTCGCTTACTCTCAGTCCATTTTCTGTTTAAAATGTACAAAATGGTCAGCCAGTCATAGAACGAAAGAGCTCGTCGAGCTGAGTCGAGTAACACAAGAATTAGCACATGGAAAAATCTCTGAGGCGAGTTACAGGGGTTCAAAAACGTCAAAAACCATCTCTTATAAGGGCTCCAAATAGTCAAATTTTTGAAGTAAATCCCCTTTCCTTTTTAATGATTTTTAGACCATTTTGTACATCTTAACAAAAATTGCAATGTGAGGGAAACGACATAAGCACAAAATTAAACATACCAAAAGATATTGGAACATACATTGCACTTGATTGGGAGGAAGTCTTAAAAATAAAAGAATTATTGGTTAAATAAAGAAAATTTACCAAGCTGCCGACACTCAGCAACAGCACAATGAGCACCAACATCAGGAAATTCAGCCATTATGGAAATACTTCAGAATTAGAAATTTGGGTAGTAAATAGACTAAAATGAAGCAAATTATTAAAATTAGGGTTTAAATAGAACAAAAAATGAAGAAAATTAATTATAAAATGATGACAAATACCCAAATAAGAAAAAACCCGGGGAAATAAAAGGAAATGTTAGAGTTAATAATTCAAACATATTTCACCAATAACACATTTTGCCAATAAGAGTAAAACCCCGCATTTTGTCAAACGGCTGCGTTGACAAAATATAAGTTTTTAGCCTTATTGGCAAAATGTGTTTTTGGTGAAATATGGGGGAAGGAATTTATTTTACTATTAATGTTCTTCTGCCCTATCTCTCTTTGTTCTCGTTCTCTAATTAACTCATAAGTTAGAGTTTAACAAATTTACTGCGGTCTTTAATTTTGTTAAATGTTATTTTGTCAACTCCAATTAATTCTTCACTTTATCTAAACTTTTTCTATGACCGTCTCTTCTATTTCTGCGCTCTCTTCACTATTTTTTGTTTGTCTATTTAATCACGTCGAAAGTTACTTAATCTACAAGAATTTCGTCATTCAGTCAGTTTTTCTTAAATAGTCGAAGGAAAATTTCTATTTTTAGGGCGTGACTGTGTTGAAAGTTCTTATCTTTTTTTGCCTTTTATTTGTTAAAAATTTGCCAACTCGATTTGTATTTTACTTTTCTTGCCCATTCTTTTTCTATTTTTCAGTTTATTTTTAAATTAGAATGCTTTCAAATAAAACCAATCATCAAACAAATGACGGGAAAAATTTGATTACCTCAGAATCCAATCCTGAACAGACTTCTTCGCTTGATGAGGTTTTTTTTAATTTAAATTTTATTTATTTTGGGAAGCTTGTGATTTATGTGACACCTTTTTTTCCGTCTTTCCAAGAATCCTCTCTATTTGTCGCTGGCATAAGATCAACCAAAAAGGATCTATGCCGATAGGTACCTATTACAAATAGAAGCACATCTTGAATGTCAAGGGTCACGAGATGCACGTGAAACCTAACCGAAAAATTTTCTAAAGCCCAACCCGACTTCTTTCCTTCTTCGCCCCTAACTGACACGAACTCGACTCAGGATCCGAAACGGAATTTTTTCTACCTGAACACCAATCCGACTTTTATCAATTCGTAACATCCCTGGTATACACCCCGATCGTTGGCGTAGCTTTTAAAAAGCAGAACTGTGTATCCAACGCCAATAGATCCTTCAAGGTTAATTTGTTCCAGAAGAAGATAGAGGGTAATTCTGGGAGAAGTGAAAAAGAGTTGTCACATAAACGACAATTTTACCTTTTATTTTTTTAGCCAGATACCCTTCAACATTCTCAATCTGACACTTTTATTAATTACAAACCTCCAAGACTTCGTTGTGGTCTGGAACATCCAGATGAAGTTGTCGAGACCCTTTCGCTAAGCAGTGTTTCTTCGCCTGAGATACGTTATACTTTGGCTATTCCTGATGAATTGGTATATTTTTAAGATTTATGTTAATAGATGTATATGGGAGCACTCATATTGGAGCCTCTCATCATCTAACCTCTCGAAAATTGAATCAAATAAGATTAATTTATGTTAGGGTGTTGCTCAATTTCACATTTTCCCCATGTATAAGTTCAGGCTCCTCAATGAAGTTCAGCCTCCCCAAGTTTCCAAGTTTCATTTTTTCCTTATTTTACCTTAGTTGGCCTCGTTGGCAACCAGCTTACAAGGTCCTTGAGACCCTTCATGGGCTGCATGGTCGATCCTTGATCCATTTATTGAACCACGCATTCTAGACACAGTGAGGTCAATCAGGGCAAAATAAGGAAAAAATGAGCTGCACTCTCTAAATTCAAAATTTCCCTTATATTTGCAGATTGATTCCGGCAAAATTTCTGCCCTTCAACTCGAAGCAGTCCTTTATGCATGTCAAGCACATGAAAGATTTTTACCTTCTGGAGAACGCTGCGGATATTTAATCGGTTTTTTATTTGACCCAAATGAGCTTTTTTTATTTTTTCTAGGAGATGGAGCAGGTGTCGGAAAAGGCCGAACAATAGCCACAATAATTTTCGAAAATTTTTTGAGAGGGCGTCGAAAAGCAATTTGGGTCAGCGTTTCTTCAGACTTGAAATTTGACTCTGAACGGGACATGCGAGACATTGGAGCGTCCAAAATTCCAATCCATGCACTAAATAAAATGAAATATTCAAAAATCAATCACCCAGAAAATGGGTCAGTAAATAAAGGAATCATTTTTGCAACCTATTCTTCTCTAATTGGTGAAAGCAAAAATCAAAAAGGTTTGTTAAAAATCGGTTTTGTATGCCCCGCTTTTTATTTTTCTTATCTATACCAAAAGCCATAGGCAACATGATGTAAATTATCTTCATGATGTGGTGTATAATTTTTTTGTTGTCCGCAAATTTGTTGCGGACATTTTCTGTTGGCCTCAAATTTTTTGCGAACTTTATAATTTTTACAACTCCGTAAGAGATTTTTGGTGTCCTCAACACTCGTACAACATCGGACCAGTAGTCCAATGTTCTGACTGTTCATAAACTTTTGTTTGATTTGGTGCCTACAGCAAATAAAGGGGAATTTTGGGAGGGATGAAAAATTTAAAAAAAAATGGGCATACAAGTCTTTCTCTCTTAATAAAGGTGCTGAATACAATACACGTCTCAAACAAATTGTTCAATGGTGTGGAAGAGATTTTGAAGGAGTTGTGGTTTTTGATGAATGCCATAGAGCAAAAAACCTTTGTCCGTCAGCGGGTACTCGTTCAACAAAAACGGGAAGAGTTGTGTTGGAATTGCAACAAGCTTTGCCTACGGCGAGGATTGTTTACGCTTCTGCAACGGGGGCTACAGGTTTTTTTTTAAATTTTTTAAAGCTTCCGGAAAAAATAAGGGGTGATTGGCTTCAGAATGGGATTTTACCACTAAATAGACTGGCCAAGTTCTTAGGATTTATGTCACCCAGAGGGGAGATCCAAGTATTCCTTGGGTTCCTGGACATTTCCTCACTAATGGTTTAGGATCTGGCCCAAGTAATGAATTAGAAAAGTGTCCAGGCCCATATTTTTTAAAATCTTGACCTTTACCTTGGGATCCTTTTTTGTAGGAAATAAAAACCTCCTTTAGTAATCGTCCCCATACACATTATTTTTAATCTCCCATTTTGAAACCAAAATTTTAAATTTAGAACCAAGAAATATGGCTTATATGACACGACTTGGACTTTGGGGTCCAGGATTGACATTTGGAACCTTTGGAGAATTTATTCATTCTGTAGAGAACCGAGGTGTTGGTGCAATGGAAATGGTGGCTATGGACATTAAGGTTAGGATTTTTCCTTCTTTTTGGGGTCAATAAAATTTTATTTTTAAGTTGCGTGGTCTTTACCTTTCAAGACAATTATCGTTTAGAGGGGCCGATTTTTATGTTGAAGAAATTCCGTTATCTCGCGATTTCATCAATGTGTATGACGAATCGGCTAAATTATGGATGGAATGTAGACGACAATTTGCGGTATTTTTTTTATTAAATTTTTTTTAACTTGGGCAAAGCACCTAAACGGGGCCAATTTATGAAATTTGTCAGTTGGTCTTTTTACCGAAAGTTTATTTGGTCAATTTACCATAATCCTCGCCTGGTCCGAGATGATCAAATCATTTTGGTCAATGTACCAAAAAAGGTAATTTGGTCAACTTTCCAAAGTGACCATTTGGTCAAGTTAATGAAATGCCCATTTGGTCATATTTCCAAAATCCTCAAATAATTTTAATTTTCTGGATTTCGAATTATTCTTTCACTAAAAAATTTTCCACAAAAATTTTTCAGAAAGCATTAAACCAAATCCCCGACTCAAGCGCTGGACGTCAAAATATTTGGGCACGTTTCTGGGGTGCACATCAACGCTTCTTCAAATATTTGTGTATTTCTGCAAAAGTCGATGCTTGTGTTCGAATATCCTTACAAGCAATAAAAGATGGAAAATGTGTTGTTATTGGACTTCAATCAACTGGGGAATCACATATTTTGGATTTTTTGGAAGAAAATGGAGAGGTTACTGAATTTGTTAGTACAGCAAAATCTGTTTTACAATCTTTGGTTGAAAATCATTTTCCAACACATAATGATAGTAGTGCTATTGATGATTTTCAAAGAATGTTTTTGTGTAGTTCTAGACATAGGAAAAGAAAAAGTAAGGAGAAAAGGTTTTTTGGGGAGTCCGCAAGTTTGTTGCGGACAATTTTTAGGGATCCGTAAAATTTTTGCGGACTTTTAAATAATTTTTTGGAGTCCGCAAATGTTTATGGACATTTTTCTACCTAATTAATTTTTTGAGTTAGCTGATTTTTTGCGGACATTTTTGGTGTCCGCAAAATTTTTGCGGACAATATTTAGGATCCGCAAAATTTTTGCGGACATATTATCAATAGTTTTTTTGTCTGCAAATTTTTTGCGGACATTTAACATTTGTTTCTTAATTAATTTTTAAATTTTAAGGAAGCTCAAATTTTACGGGAGAAAATTATTCAGAGGAATATGGACATAAAAGATCAAAAAGTGGTTTATCTTTAATTCAAAGTGAATTGAGTGAAAGATTAACTGCTGAACGTGAAAGTGGTGGAAATAGTGAATATGAGGATGGGGAAAATAGTGAATATGATGAAGATGATTATAGTGAAGTTAATACATCTGGGAGTGGAGATGAGGAAAAAGAAGAGGAAGAGAGTGATGAAGCGAATTCTGAATTTTCTGGTTTTTTTTTTAATTTTTTTTTATTAAAATTTTTTAGAAAAATTTTGAGAAAAGGAAGAGTATGAGAAAGAAATTTTTTTAGTCCGCAAAATTTTGTCCGAAAGTATTTTGCGGATTCCTTTTCCCCTTTAAAAAAATTTTTTTTGAGCTCGCAAATATTTTTCGACCAAAATTTGCGGAGAATGTGAACGCCTTGGGTCTTTAGGCTTGGACGTCTTTTTTGCTCAGAAAATTTTACAAAAAATTTTCCAAAAAATTTTCCAAAAAATTTCTTTTTTAGAATCTGATGGAGAGGATGAGGATGTTGATAGCGATGAAGAAGAGCTTGAACGTCTTGTTTGTTCAGATTCAAAAAAACCAGCAAAGAAAACGATTTCTAACGATGAAGAAATTAACCCATTTTCTGTAAATTTGGGAGAAGAGGTTTTTTTGAATTTTCGAAATTTTTTAAAAATATTAAGGACCCTTGGGCAGATGTTCAAGGTACTTCAGAGGATACGACACCCTTGCCAGAAATTGAGAATATCCCGAAAATTTCAAAAAAGAAGAAAGCAAAGAAGCACAAAAAGTCTTCAGAATTGGTGAAAAAGCATATACCTTTGTTGAAGCCTGAAATATCAAATGTGACGGTTCGTGATTTTTTTGGATTATTTTTAAATTTTTTAAATAAGTATTCTCTTTGGGACGATAGTATCGTTTTTTGCCCCTCCTCCCAATTCACGCCTATCACGCCTAGGTATTACTTGAAACCATGGGTTTTTCGAGTTGGTATATAGCATTGATCATGCCGTCTCGTTTGCGAAATCCTGGATATATTTTTTATGTCGGCAGGATTCCAGGATGTACTTCACATACAGTCGTGGAAAAAAGTATGGAAGCGCTAGAAAAAATTTTTTAAATTCTTAACTTTTTATTCAAAAAATACGTTCTATATATCAATCGAAAGCTCTATTCGTATCTCAGTTGACATGTTTCTGCATTTTTTATGAAAATGAAAATTGGCCGAGATAATCCGGATCTGCCGGATATACCAAATCCCATAATCTCGGAAAAATTTTTCGGAAGAAATTTAACAAAGCCATTTGATAAAGCATATTTTTCTGAGTATTTTCCACAAAACCGCTTAGAAATATCTTTTTCCGGTCCAAAGATATGATTTTTTAAATATCGCATTTTTCCCTTAAAAATTGAATTTTTTGCAAAAATTGACGAAAAATGCGATTTTTAAAAAATCATATCTTTGGACCGGAAAAAGATATTTCTAAGCGGTTTTGTGGAAAATACTCAGAAAAATATGCTTTATCAAATGGCTTTGTTAAATTTCTTCCGAAAAATTTTTCCGAGATTATGGGATTTGGTATATCCGGCAGATCCGGATTATCTCGGCCAATTTTCATTTTCATAAAAAATGCAGAAACATGTCAACTGAGATACGAATAGAGCTTTCGATTGGTATATAGAACGTATTTTTTAAATAAAAAATTAAGAATTTAAAAAACTTTTTCTAGCGCTTCCATACTTTTTTCCACGACTGTATGTTCCCATGGGTCCTTGAAAGAAAATTCCATCATGTATTTTTTATGTCGATTTTTCATGAAGAAGTCTAGGGTTTTTGAAGAAGTTCATTGTTCTTTCTAAAATTAATGAATAGAAATTTGGGGTGGATGGTTGCACAGTCTGTTAGGGTTCGGTCTTTGTTCATTCCACGATGATTCTTTTTTCCATCTCCCATCTAACTAGGGAAGGTTGCGAGGTGTCCGAGCTAAAAACGGTCGAGACCGGGCTCATTTAATAGAGAATATGCCCTTTGTAGCAAGGATTTTTTTGCCGTTTTTGCCCGTTTTTTGATCTGGCCAAGATATGGCCCTCCAAAGTCCCAAAATTTGGCATTATTTTCCCCCTTCAAATATAAACTTTAGATAATGCACTAATTTTGTTGGCGCGGTGGTGTAGTGGTGAGTGTGCTTGCGTTACCCTTTTTCTCTAAAAAGTTCGATTCTTTTCTGGGTTTTATTTTTTTATCTAATTGTTTTAAAATTTATTTATTCCTTTTTCAACAAAAAAATTTTTTTTTCTAATTTTTTGAAAAAAATTTTATTTTTTTTGAAAAAAATTTTTTTATTTTTTTAAAATTTTTAAATTTTAAAAACACCTGGCACATCGAATAAAACTAGATTCCAAACAATTAGGTGTATTACATTCAAAATGGGACGATAATGGAAAACAATAACGGACCGGATGATCGAATTCTCCCGGGGAATCTTCTTCTCTCCACCCAATAACCAGGATAAAGTTAAAAAAATTTTAACTTTCACCACTATACCAATTTTTCTATTTTTTAAAATAAAAAAAAATTTTTTTCAAGAAAAAAATTTTTTTGTTGAAAAAGGAATAAATAAATTTTAAAACAATTAGATAAAAAAATAAAACCCAGAAAAGAATCGAACTTTTTAGAGAAAAAGGGTAACGCAAGCACACTCACCACTACACCACCGCGCCAACAAAATTAGTGCATTATCTAAAGTTTATATTTGAAGGGGGAAAATAATGCCAAATTTTGGGACTTTGGAGGGCCATATCTTGGCCAGATCAAAAAACGGGCAAAAACGGCAAAAAATCCTTGCTACAAAGGGCATATTTCTATTGAATGAGCCCGGTCTCGACCGTTTTTAGCTCGGACACCTCGCAACCTTCCCTAGTAAGGATGTTTCCGAAGCACGAACATAATAGGCCAAACGGGACTATAAACCTTTTTTTAATCAAAAATCTTTCAATTTTTAGTGTACTGAAACAGCCGAACAATTTGTAAATTCCTTAAACGGAATAGGTGATTCATGTGAAGATGATGACGGAAGTGTCAATTTAACAGAAATCAAAACAAATTTACTGGCAGCAATCGAAAGATTAGGCAAATTACTTCCCCCAAACACTTTGGATAGCCTAATAAATTTACTTGGTGGGCCAAAATATGTTGCAGAATTAACTGGAAGACGTGGACGTGTTGTTGCTAGAGTTGGAACGGGGGATGTTGAATATGAATTGAGAACTGCAGATTCTGAAATTTGTTTGGAAATGATGAATATTGCTGAAAAGGATAAATTTATGAGAGGAGAAAAATTGGTTGCGATAATTTCGGAAGCTGCTAGTTCAGGGATTTCTTTACAGGTTTTTTTGGGGATTTTTTGTGGCAGTATTTTTTGGTAGAGGGATAGGCTTTCTTTTGCTTTAGTCAACCATAGAACTACGTCTTTTTTCATCCGGGTCCGTCTCCTGCTTTTAAAACGTCTGTGTTATCCATGAAGGGATACGGGATTGATCCTATTTTTGGCTTTAATTTCGATTAATATTTTCTGTCTCATAAGGGTCAGTAATTAAATAGTTATAAAAGTGTTCGGTTTTTTACCGCGGCCCGTCTCCGCTTTTTTAAAATTGGCAGTGTTATCCCTGGTTGCCTTCGCCTTTTAAAGTTGGCAGTGTCATGCTGATACGGAGTTAAGGGTTCGGTTCTCTTTTTTTGAAATTAAATGGTCATAAAAGGGATGGGGTTCAAAAGGGTCATTTTTCCAAATAAATTCTTTTAGCATTCTTTCGATTCTTATTTAATTTTAATTTTCTTTTTTAATTTAACAGTCAGACAAACGAGCTCCAAACAGAAGAAGACGTGTTCATATAACTTTAGAATTGCCTTGGTCAGCAGATAAGGCTATACAACAATTTGGTTTATTTTTTAAAAATTTTTTTGGAATTAAAAAAATTTTTTTTAAAGGCCGTACACATCGTTCAAACCAAGAAAGCGCCCCAGAATATTTATTTTTAATTTCTGAATTGGCTGGAGAAAAACGTTTTGCCTCAATTGTCGCAAAACGTTTAGAATCTTTGGGAGCCTTAACTCAAGGGGATAGACGTGCAACAGAATCTAGAGATTTGAGTCAATTTAATATTGATAACACTTATGGAAGGGAAGCTTTAAATGTTTTATTGAGGACTCTAACTGGGGCATGTGAACCTATTGTGCAACCACCAAAAGATTATGACAGTGGAGGAGATTTTTTTAAAGATATGCAAATTTATTTGGAAGGTGTAGGAATGGTAAGGAAATTTTTGAGAAAAAAATTTTTGAGGATTTTTTTTTGGTAGGATTATTTTGGGTAATTTAAAAAACGTTTTCCCCCGAAAAGTTTCGAACCCCTACCATATTAATTTTGACATTTTTCCTTAGAATTTAAATTTGCGGACAAAACTTGCGGACATAAAATATTGTTTTTAAATTTTTTGGGCGAGGAGAATTTTTTTTGGAAAATTTTGACGTTTTTGAGTAAGTAAAAAATGTTTCCCCCCAAAAGGTTCGAACTTCCACCCTATTATTTATATTATTTTTCCATTTTCCTTTAAAATTTAAATTTGCGGACAAAACTTGCGGACATAAAAATTTCTTTGTGGATATTTTGGTTAGGGAAAATAATTAGGATAAATTTTAGACGTTTATTAATTAATTAAAAAATGTTTTCCCCCAAAAAGGTTCGAACCCCCGTCCTTTGATGTTCAAGTCGGGGGCCTAACCATCCACACAATTGATGCTTTCGTCGGAAAAGAAATTATTTGCAGTTATATTCCTCGCTATTTATTTAGCGTTCTTTTCCTTTAATTTTTTTTTTGAAATTTGCGGCCGAAATTTGGGGAAGAAACTTGTGAACAAAAAAATTTTTTTGAATTTCGTGCTAGAAATATAGTTGGAATAATAATTTTGGACGAGTTTCGAGAAATTAAAAAAATGTTTTTCCACAAAAAGGTTCGAACCCCCTTCCTTTAATGTTCAAGGCGGGGACTTAACCATCTACAACATGATGCTTTCATTGTGTATGAATGAATTTGCAAATATATTCTCAATATTTTTAAAACTGTTCTCCTTTAAAATTTAAATTAGCGGATAAGTTATTAATTTGCGGATTAAACTTGCGGATAAATTATTTTTTCTTTTCTAAAATATATTTTTGTATTTTTTTTGCAGATTTGTTCTTTACAGAATGGACGTTATGCAATCGAAAGAGATTCAAATTCAATACCAAAATTTCTAAATCGTTTGTTGGGATTCCCAGTTTATGCGCAAAACAAACTTTTTCAATATTTTACGGATATTTGTGAAGAATTAATTAAACAAGCTAAAGTTGATGGAACTTTTGATATGGGAATATTAGGTTTTTTTAAATTAAAAAATTTTTTTTCTGACAAAAGACAATTTTTAAATTTTGCGGACAAAACTTGCGGATTTTTTCTAACTTGCGGACAAATTTTTAAATTTTGCGGACAAATTTTTATGATTTGCGGACAAAACTTGCGGACAAATTTTTAAATTTTGCGGACAAATTTTTATGATTTGCGGACAAAACTTGCGGACAATTTCTTTTAATTTTTAGAAAACGTTAAAAATTTTCAAAAATTTTTTAAAATTAAAAGAAAATTTCCTTTTACTTTATTATTTTAAATAGATCTTGGTATAGAATGCGATCGAGTTCAAAAGAAAGAATCAAGAAAGTTTAAAGGAACGGGGAAAACTGGAGACTTTACAGTCGAATTACACAAAATTAGCTTGCTGAGAAGTGTTTCATGGTTTGTTGAATCTTTGAAATTTCTTTAGAAACAGCAAAAAAAAAAATTAATTTGCGGACAAAACATGCGGACAATTTTTAAATTGCGGACATTTTTTTATTTTGCGGACAAAAATTTTTTTAATTTTGCGGACAATTTTTCTAATTTGCGGACACTTTTTTAGATTTGCGGACAAAATTTTTTTAATTTGCGGACAATTTTTTAAAGTTGCGGACAAAAGATTTTTGAAATTAAAAAATTTTTTCCTCATTTTTATAGGGAGGAAGTCCAACAATTGAACAAAAAACACAAGGGTTACAAAGACGGTTTTTATACCTCAACTGTTGGTTTACACGGAAAAAGAAGTGTTGCATTCATTTTTGGAATGGGTGTTGGGGGAAATATGTCAACTACACCTGCTGGGGCTCCTCGTCTTTATTGTGTAACGAGACCTAATACTGGAAGAAGTCCAAAATATGAACTTTTGAGTGAATTGTTGCTAAGATTTGACCCGATATCTGATGAAGAAGGGGAAGAATTGTGGAAAGAACAGTTGGAAGGTTAATATTTTAAAAAGTAAAAGGTGTAGTGGGTTTTTTGGGGGTGACAAATTAGCGGACTTTACCCCTTTTTTGCGGATTTTTTTCTTTTTATTTGTGTATCTTCCTTTTATTTGCGGATTTTAAACTCTTTTTTGGCAGACTTTTCCCCCGTTTTAATGGACTTTCTTTATTTGTGGACTTTTCCCTGTTTCTTGCGGATTTTCCTTATATTTACGGACTTTTCATCTTTTTTGCGGATTTTTCTTTCATTGCGGACTTTTCCCCACTTGTACGGATTTTATTGCGGACTTTCCTCCTCATTTCCGGCCATCTCTTGATGACTTTTCCCATTTATTGCGGACTTTTTCTGCGAACATTTTCTGCGGACATTTTTTCAGCAGATCGAACACTTCTACAATCTTCAAAAATACCAAAAAAAATTTTTATTTTCAAGCATTTTCTAAAATGTGTCATCATCGTTATTATTTTGGAAAATGTAATGCTGAACAACAACGAGGAATATTTTGTGAAGTTGGCCGTCAATCTCGAACATATTTTGTTTTGTCGGGCTCTTTAATTTGTGTTTGGCCAGAATTGGAATTAATTTTGTCAGATTCTGGAAAATTAAAAAGATTGAGAAGAATTCAAATTGTTAGGGTTAAAACGGACAATAATCAACGAATTGTTGGTAAGGAAGGGAGAGAGAAATTATAAAGTCGAACCTCGATATAAGGCACCCTCAAAATTAGAAAAACCGCGGTTTGGTCGGCCATTGGATTAGGAGAATGCCAAATAAGCTATACCCCCTAATTAATTGATACTTCATTCACATTATTATAAGACACCCGATCATATGATACCTCCGTATAAGATATCTTTTATTTATCGAACCTCATTTTAATGTACTTTTTAAGTCACCTCATTATAAGGTACCCCCAATTTAACATACGATACCCACCTCATAACCGCTCTATCTAAGACACATTGTCATAAGATACCCTCTATTTAAGTCTACCTCTTGTAAGATGACACTTCCATCCTTAAGAGGGGTATCTAAAAACAAGGTTCGACTACAATATAGAGACCGGACCGAGACGAGATCTCGATCGAAAATCTCGGTTATCGAGATTGTGAATTTTTCGAATCTCGATTCTCGTAAGACACTCCCAGCCAGGTCTCGACTACCCGACTTTAAAATTTTTTGATTTTAAAAATTAATTATGCTCATTTAAGGTGTTCTTGTACTGCCAAATTATGTGCAAAAATTAGTTCATTTATTAGAAGAACGTTGTGCGGGTAGTAATAATAATCGTATAATTCAGGGAAGAACTTAAAAAAATTTAAAATTTTTTTGAAATACATTTTGACACATTTTTTGGTTCTTTTTTGGCTATGTTTTCCCCTAAAGTCCGCAAGTTTTACTTTGGAATCTATAGCTTATGTCACCTCTTGGGCCAAACCTTTGATATAGCCAAAAAAACACACTTTAAACATTGTCTAAATTGAAAACAGATTTTTTTCGCAAAATTTTGATGTTTTTTGATCTCCTTCCGGTTTATTATTTTGAATTATATGTTGTTTTTATCTTTTAAAAATAATTAAAAAGTTGTTGAATATTTATTGTATTTTTATAAAAATACCGCTTTGAGTCTCCAACTATAAAACTGAAAAATATTATCATCAGTTTTAAATTCATGGACCCCGACCTCTTTTAAGTTACCAAGTATCAAATCATTATCCCAAATAACTTAATTCTGACAATTTATCTTTTAGATAAGTTAGTCTAGATATTTGCACTCATTACTCGTCAGAAATCGAACGAGCTATAAATTACACAAATCAAGGAAGATTTTCTCAAAAAATTTTGTTTCACCCCAATATTTTCAAAAATATGTACCCCGTTTGGAGGGTCATTTTTCCAATAAGTACCTCGCTGCCATTTGGTCTATAATCCAAGCCTAACATTTGGCCACTACCCGAACTAACTTAAAAATTTTGAAACTTTAACTTACATCTTCTATATTTTATTCAAAATGAAAACAAAAAAAAATATTTAAAATATTTATATATATATAGTTTTTATATGAAAGGTGTGTGTGTGGAAATCCCCGCCAAACATTTTCTTTTTTTGAAAAAAAAATTGGGTAAGCTTGAATTAAATAGTAAATAAAATTTAAAAAAAAGTCGGTAGATGATGACAAAAAATCCAAAAAGAAATTTTTGTTTTGAAGTCAATTAATTGTTTGTGTGTATTTTTTTATTCTATTTTTGTATATCCCGCATTCTCCGAACCCTCCTAGGTTTTTTTCTTTTAGTCACAATCTGCCTGTTCAAATCTTCCTGATTTGGCACTTGGTGATTGGGGTTGTTGGCTTTTCTAAAAGATTTTTATTAAAATTAAAAAAATTGTTGTTTAAATTTCCTATTTTAATGGACAGGGATGGAAAGACTTGAAAGGAGGAAGCAAAACAAAAAAGGAGAAAATCGCTCAAAGGCGAAGCTGGTACACAAGACAGGGATGGGATCTCTTCAGTCTTCCTTTTTTCGGCCTTTAGAAATTCGGACGGACCTTCCCCTTTGTTGCAAAAATAAATATCACAGACCAACCTCCTTCCCCTTACCCTACCAAATTTTATTTTTGTGAAATATATTTTATGAAGGGACGCTTAAAATTTCATGGGATGCTCAAAAGCTCATGGGACGCATGTCCTAAAGTAAAGCCCCAAAAGCATATACATGGGTCGGATTTCAAGAGGGCACACTAACAAAGAGAAATCTCAAATCTCTAACACTATCCAACCCATTTTTAATAAAATTTAAAAAAATCAAAAACCTGTCCTCTCGGCCTAAAAAGTTCATGGCGTATTAATTCGCTCACATCCGCTCTTTCTTCTTTACGGCATTGAAGACAACGACGAATAAAATCCTTAAAAAATTTCTAAAATTTTCAAAAAAATTTTTGAAAGAAAAACCTGAGCAGACTGCGTAACAGGCGGTTTAGACGGGAAAACAACTTCTTGAGCATTAAAGATTGTACGCTCCTCTAATATTTGTTGTTGAGTTTTTTCGTGTCCAAAAGGCTTTAAAAAAATTTTTTTTGAAAAATTTTTAATAATTCAAAAAAACCCGTTTTCCATAGATACATTGATAGAAAATTACGCCAACACTCCAAACATCAACTTTGTTACTAATTTTTGGAGGACCTCCATCACCAAATGGAGTAAATGTTTCAGGTGGAAGATACCTTTAAAAGAATGAAATTTATTAAATAAACGCCTATTATTAGAGCAAAAGAGAGGTAAAAGTTAAACCCCATGCGGGCATGAATCCAGTAACCTCCTTGCTAGAGCTTTAGCTATTCCACATAGGTCGTCTTTTTTAAAAAGTCTTAAACTCAAGGCTATTAAGCGTGTTAAATGGTAGCCAGATGGAGTTCAAACAAGCTGAACAAAACTCAATACGCCCCTTTTTTTCCTCAACTTGTCTAATGTAAACAAGGAATGCGTCAGGGCGGAAAAAATTCCGGGTCGGATGTCCACGAGTTCTTCTATCGGGATTCGAATTGAAATAATCCGGAATAAGGTAACCCAACTAAGGTTGGCGGATCCGGATCCGAAAAATGCCGGATATCCGAAATTTTCGGTTCGGATACCGGATCCAAAGATTTCCAACTATCCGCCAACGTTAAACCTAACCTATCTCTAGTTTGAACCCTATTCCAAACCCCAAATAAAAAAATAATCAAAAAATAAACCAATAAGTTCCAGCTCCCTGTGAAGTCAATTCAATACTTTCATCCCCATCATCAGCATTTTCAATTGTTTTAGACAAACCAAAATCTGTAATTTTTATTTCTCCACTAGTAGTTCCAGATTGCAACAAAATATTGGCAGGTTTTAAATCATAATGAATTATTGGATATTTTTGTTCACTCAAATATTTAAGTGCACTGACAACCTTTTTAAAAAGAAAAAAATTTATTTGAAAAATAAAAATTAAAATTCATTTCTTAATTAATAAGGGTGATGTAACGGGGAAGATATCTAATCGTAAGAATTTCCGCTTGGCCGTTTACAAATCGGAAAAATCAAAGAAAAATCGCTCTAGCCCCCCCCCCATGAATACGCCCTTGATATGAATGGACCAAAACTACTCGTTGGTCGTGTTGAGAGATCTATCTTAAACCCTAGTCTATAGTCAGTAGGGCCATTTCATTCATACACTAAAAATCACAAAGATATTTTTAAAAAACCAAAACCTGCATAATAATACAACGAGCTTCCTTTTCCGGTATTTGTTTATGTTGCTTCAAATAAAAATCCAAATCATTTCCATCACAATATTCCAAAACAGTACAAAAAGAATCATTGTCGATAGTGAATAAATCAAATAGACGAACTATCCGAGGATGATCCAAAGATTTGTGAATGTCTTTTTCACGCATTGCATGCTTTACATAATTAGCCTTTTTGTCCTCTTTCCAATCTTTATTTACTTGATGAATTTTACAGGCGACATAACGATTTTCATCCAAATCAAATGCTCGCCAAACTTCGCTGAAAATGAAAATTTTTTGTTTTTTAATTTTAACTCTTTTTTAAAAAATGATATAAAAATGATTTTGGTATCATTTGATACGTCAGTTTAATACGCGTTGAATGATACCAAAAGTAAAGCTATACGATTATTTGGAGACGAGTTATGATTTAAAATAGAGGAGCAGATTGGTGGAACAAAGAAGGCATTTTTCTGAACCTATAGTGTAGTGGGTAAAGGCTTAGACTTTGAGACCAAGGTTCGAACCCTCTCTGGGAAAAAATAGTGTAATTTAGTAATAAAAAGGATTAACATTTAAGAAAATGAAAAAATAAAAGCTTAAAATAGTTCAAGGAATTTTTAAAGTTAAAAGACACCCCCCCCCCCAAATTACAAAAATTCGCAAACCTAAATCCTCCTTTTCCCAACAAAGACAAAAGCAAATAACGGTCATTCAAAAGGAGATGATCTCTAAAACGACTTTGCTCTTCACATTGAACCCGCTTCATTTCCCGAATATGCAAATTTCGTTCACGCTCAAGGCGGTCTTTTTCGGTCAAAAGGTCTGTCTCTTCTTTTTTAAGATGTTCCTTGACAAAATATGGGATGATTAAACAAAAATTTTTTTAATTGGATAGGACTTGAAACTAGGGTTGTTCCCCGTCCCCGAAAGTCGGGGAATTAGAGAGATATCCATTAAACTAACAACAATAGCAAAGTTGGCTATATTACCTTCCCCTAGAATCTTTCAACTAGAGTAGCTCCCCGAGCCTTCGTGGTCGGAAGTGTCGGGGATCGGGGTTTACCGGGGAGGGCATGTGAGGTTTTGGGGTCGGGGTTGGCTTTTGGGTCGGGGATCGGGTCGGGGTTTTTTGCCAAAAATCGTTTGTGTCGAGGTATGAGGACAGGGAGCTACCCTACTTTTAACCCTAAAATCTAATTTTTTTCGAATTTATGGCCCAAAAAGAAGCCCATACTTAAAAAGAAAATTAAAAAAAAACCTTTCTAAGTCGATAAATTTCTTCTTGTTCAATATATTCTTGAGCAGTCATTTCCTTTGGAGGAAGTTCAGGTTTCAAAAAACCATCATCAGAATAAACATTATTTGAAGAAGTACAAGGCAAATCTGCAGACGACGACAAACTTTGCCTTTTATTGGAATCTTTCATTGATTTTCGATTCTTCAAATTTTTTGTAGCATTCACAATATCATTCCTTTCTTGATTTATTCGTTGCAATTTTTTATTTATTTCTTCCATTGCCCAACCATCTATCCATTGATCTTTAAAATGTTCACCAACACGGGCTGGTCGAAATTGTCCTATACGAAGTGTTGCTTCCATTACACGTTCTTTTGCCTTAAGAAATGAATTTTTAAAAAGTAGAAGAATGGGTGGGGGAAGTGTGTAAAGTAAGTCCTGGGAATAGGAGAGGAGGATATACAAATTCATGAAATTTTCAGAAAAGGAAAGGTCCCAGACCCCTACGCCCACTAAGTCTGGGAGTATTACTGCTAGGGGCCCGAAAAACCTGCTAGGGGCCCACTAGGTCTGGGATCATTCCTTTCCATATCCCTATTAATTTCCGCTAGTTATAATCGTTTTTCTGAAATTTTAAACAATTTATATTCCCACTAAAATAAATAAAAAATCTTGAATTCCTCGGAAAAAACCTTACATGAATTGAATTCACGTTATTACAGGTAGGGTTGAGGGCCCGATCCGGCCTGGTCCAAAAAAACTCGAAAAAGACTCGGTCGGGCCGACTCGAAAACCCCAACCCTACTCATGCAGAAACGAGAAAAAAAGAATTCACCACACAATTGAAAACTCCTTCCCCTCTAAAGTTAAAAATCTCCACCCCTCCTCAAAAAATTTAATAAAAACCTGTTTTCTCTCCATTCTAGACTGTTCAACCAGTAAACGTCTAATAGTTTCTTTACTAGCCCTAACTTTAATTCGTTGAACTTCTATAACTTGCTTCAATTCTGTTGTAGCTCTAACCAAATTTTCAATTTCTTTAGATTTCTTTTCGTCCTGTTTATCCGACAAATCTCCACTTTCAATCGTTTGAACAGATTTTTCGGTTTTTGAAAAATTTAAATTTGTTGTTGATGGAGGACTTAAATTTGAATCACTACCAGAATAAATACTACTTCCTCCACCAAATTTTGGATTACTATTTGATATTGGTGAAGAAAGAATGTGGATTGGAGTGGTCTAAAAATTAATAAAAAATAAATTTAATACTTGTTAAATAGAGGAAATTCTTAAAACCAAATTAAAAATATCTTAAAGGGAGGACATTTGGTCCCAATAATTTGAACTTGTCAATAGACAAGAAATTTTTCTTATTGTTTGAGTTAATTAAAGGTGTTTTAGGCGAAAGAAAGGAGCAGAATAAAATCTCTTAAATGATGTGACTCCGAAATTAAAAAAATTTTTCATTGCGGACATTTGGTCCCAAGAATTTTCGATAAACAGGGACGTCCGCTTTAGGCCGAAAAGACATATGGCCAGGTAGCTAAGGAAACTATTGAACATTAGGCGTAGCATACAAAACCCCTTATCCTAAGATGGGTCAATCAAAGATATTTTTGGATAAACGACGAGAATATTTTTCTAATTGTTAGGGTCAAGGAAAGCTTTAATTCTAACCAAAAAATTTATAAAAATCAAACCTGATGAGCATTAATAGAATCACTACTGAGGCTATCTCCATTTGGATAGGTGGCAATAATAGGGCGTTTTGGGCTGGTTGTTTTTATCTTTAAAATAAATCGATAAACTTTTAAACGATTAAACTTCTCAAGCTTAAAAAATCTTAAGGGCAAATTAAAATAGAAGACAAGAGTCAGCTTAAAAAGAATAACCCGGAAAGTATATACATCGGTCGGAATAGGACGGTTTAACCGAAACTCAACTTTTTCTATCAAAATCCGACCGAAGAAAATTTTTGAAAACCCCGACCCAAACCTCGAAACGGCTTCCCGAAATATGTAAACTTATAATAGTTTGGACACCAAAAAAGCAAACGTGTCACAGCAAAGAATTCAACCCGTAAAAATATTTTCCAAGTGGGATCAAATGTCACCTATCTTCCAAACCCTTCTATTTATAACCCCGAAATCTTACCCTGAAGTCTCCTAAAATCTTAAAGTAAAACCAAAAAAACCTTGAAAGCATAATCAGTAATCTTCCTTTCATGTTTTTGATTGTCCACAATTTTAGTTCCAACATCATTTTTAAATTCCAACCTTTTCCGTTTTCTTCCCTTTTCAACTATAGAAGTTCCCCCAACGATTTTTTCTTTTGTTGAAGTATTCAAAAATAAAATATCAACCTCCTTATCAGAATTTACACTTAAATTTGAAGATTCATTACTTGGACCATTCATTGCATTATTAACGACAATTTGTGGTTGTAAGTCTTCAGGTGAGGAATGTGTACTTGAACGTGTTGTTGTTGTTGCTGTATTTCTTTCTAGTTGATGAGAATTGCTGCTAGTAACCATATGCTGAAAAAATTTGTTATAAAATTTAATGCCAAAAATTTAAAAATGGTTAAAAGCCAGGCAATTATTTGGCATTTCTCCCAATCAGTTTTTTGTTCAAGATGTTCAAAATGGTCAGAAAATAAGAATAAAGGTATATATTTGTTATGCCGTTTTGCGACAGAAAATCGCGCGCAATTTTTTCTCCTCATTTCCCGTTATCTTTTCTGTCGCAAGACGCGCACGGCTTTTTATGTAAGCACAGCATTACAGAGTAGAAAACATCAGTGTTTTTATGGTTTTGGAAACCTATCTGGAGGAGTGAACAGAAAAAATTAAACCAACAAAAATCAATGATTTGACTTTGATTGAAGGACGCTAATAATGGCGGGAACAAATCGATTATACTAAAATCTAATTTAATCGATAATAAACTCAATGAGGGACTTAGAATAGACCAAAAAAACAAAAAAAAATTAAAAAAACCGTACAAATTGCGAAGGTAGTGTCTTGCTAGCACATGGACCCGTATTAAATCTTTGCTTTTCAATTTGAAATTGGTCAAAACGTTCGGGTTGTTGTTGATCCTCGTATTTGTTAATTAAAGATATTTGATCCGATTCTGCCATATAATCCAATTAAAACAAGTTAATTCTTTAAAAAATATGTGTAGGATTTTGAACTTTGTATGACCTTTTCTCCACAAAAATCTGTCAAGCACCCAGCTCTGCATCTTCCTATAGTCCCAGTATAGTGCCTGCGGGCAGTTGTGCAGTTTCCCTCCCCACCCAAATTTCTTTCTTGATGTAAAAACGGTTAGCATTTTGGCCTAGACTAAGAAAAGATTTATGGGAGTAAGTGGACCCTAATTCGGTACTTATTGGTTTCCCAAAGTAGTTTTTTGCGGACATTATATGCGGACTAATTTACGCACGGAAAGGTCAAATGTCCCTTCCTTCCTCGATTCTTTCAATTTTCTCTTTGGCATTCAATGAAAGCATCAATAAAGAAAAGATTAATTTTTTTCAATGTCACCAAATCTTTTCCATATTGATGCTCCCATGAAGCCACAGGGAAAATTAAGAAAATCGAGGAAGAACCCTTAACCAGTCCGCATAAAATGTCCGCAAAAAATACTTTGGGATACCCAAGCATAAATTCTAATTGCTCGAGCTGATTCTCCCCATGGTATCCCTAAACCTTCCCATAAATTTGTGGAGAGAAGGGTTCACATACAAAGTTCAAAATTCCCCAAAAAACAATTTAGAACATAAAATACACGTAGCAACACGAATAAAGTAGGTAAAGATGCTTAAATTTATCGATAAATCGAATCATTTCGAGCTAGCGCGTCTAAGAAACATCAAAAATCTTAAAAAGATTATGCCAGAAAATACAAAAAAATTTTTTGTAAGATTCCCGGAAATGTCAAATTGTTAAAAAATTAAAAAGAAAATTTGTCTTTTTTCATTTCGGTAAAAAGAAGAAAAACATTACACTTCGCCAAAAATAATAGAACATTCGCTACAAAACGTCTGTTAATTTAGCTACCATTTCAGTGCGAATTTTGAGAGTTAAGCTATTTCGCTTCGAAAAATAATTACTTATTACACTTTTTGTGTCTGTCTAGAATACTATTTCTTTCATTTTATTTCTATCATTTTCACTATTTTTCTAACGAATTTTCCTTTAGAGTCTAGCTTTTTGTTTAACTTTCTATACTCGTTTTCTTCTTGTCTCATATTTGACCAATAACACATTTTGCCAATACGGGTAAAATTTCGCGTTTTGTCATTAAGCCTTGTTGACAAAATGTAGGATTTTAGCCGTGTTGGCAAAATGTGTTATTGGTCAATTTGGGGGTGCCTTTTTCTTCTTTTTTGTCAGTTTTTTTCAGTTTTTTGCCAGTTTTTTTGACATTCTTTTATTTTTCCTTTAATTTTAGTAAAATGAACACAACAAATTCAATCGAAATGGGTGTTTACTCAACAATGCTAGAATCCGAAATTAACCTCGACGGCAGTGAAGAAATCATTGAAACCCAATACGGACTCATTAAAGTAATCATTTATGGGGACAAAAATGGCCTTCCTCTGATAACTTTTCATGACATTGGAATGAATTCTGACATGAATTTTAACAATTTTTTTACTTTTTTGACGCCTTCAAAGTTGATGAAACGCTTTTGTGTGTATAATATTAATGCGCCTGGACAGGAATTTGGGGCTAGCAAATTGGCTGGGGAGTATGATTTTTAACTTAAATTCATCTAATAAAGAGCTTTTCTTTTAGCTTTACTTTTCCAACCATGGACGGACTGGCTGGTATTGTAGACGATGTTGTTTCTCATTTTGGGTATTTCTCTTTTAAAGTATTCACCTTTCACTAATTTTTTCTTCCATGTTTGTCGTTGGTGTAGTGGGTAAGGCTTCAGTCTGCGCCTTTTTGGGGTCCCGGGTTCGAGTCCTTTCAACGGAATTCTTTTTTAATGGTTTACTAATCGGTCAAAATTTAATTATTTTCTAAAAATTTACTTGACTAAAAAATACCTTAATTTTTTTCGAATTTAATTCATTGATTTTTGGGACTTTTTGGGTTATGGGGACAGAAATGGCCTTTCTTTAATGTCTCTCACAATTAGTTGATTAGATCACAGGGAGGAATTGAGGAAGAAAGCCTGACTATTTTGTACATCTTAATGAAAATTCTGAGACTCAAATTAGGAGCGGAGAGGGAGGTGGTTTTTCATAGACCTTCCCCCTCTTTTTCCTCGTTTATTTACACTTCTTTTTAAGCATTAAATCCTTCATCGGATTTGGATCTGGTGCCGGTACGAATGTTTTGATGCGATATGCGGTTTTCTTTTGTTATTAATTTTAAAGTTTCTCCTCATTTTTAGACAAAACATCCATCTATTGTTGATGCTTTAGTTTTGATTAATCCAATTTCACAAAAGGCTGGGTGGATCGAATGGTTTTACCAAAAGGTTTTTTTAGTTTTTTTTCAATTAATGTGGAACACCCTTATTTATTTTGAATTTTATTTGGCCATCGGGACGAGGAGCTGCCCAATCGATGCCCCCTATTTAGTATACCCCTCGGTATTAGAGATCGTGATTTTTGAAAAGCTTGGGCCTGTTCTTAGGCTTTGGGTTTGATTTATTGGCCTGGGCTCTTGGTACAGGAAAACCCAGACCCAGGAAAAACCCAGGAAGGTCAAAAATGCCTGGGCTCTAGGGACAAGAAAACCCAGACCGATCTCTACTCGGTATAAGATACTCACTATAAGGAACTCCCAGTATTAAATACACCTCTCTATTTAAGCTACACTTTTAAAGCTGGGTTGGTCACAATTTGAGGGAGCTACCTAATAGTGATGTTCGAGACTCTCGGTCTCGACTCTCGAGTCGAGAAATTTCTCGGGTTTTTTGAGCTCTCGGTCTCGGTCTCGGTGTTTTGGTCTCGGAAAACGAGACTAAATTTACACCCCTAATGACGGAAATTTTTTGAACTTTACTCGGACCTTGCGTACTTTGATATTAAAATTTTTAAGGAAAAGTCTCCAAAATTCCCAAAATTTTGCCTGCGGCGCTGAAAAATGGAAGAAATCTGGCTTCTTGAGCTCCAAAATTCTCAAAATTTTCGCCTGCGGCGCTGAAAATGGAGGAAATTTGGCTTCTTGAGCTCCAAAATTCAAAAAATTTTCGCCTGCGGCGCCAAAAATGCAGCAAAAATTTGAATTTAATAAGATTAAAGGATTAGATTTTGTGGTTTGTGGTATATTAGATACTGTGGATTCTGAAGGATAAAATTTAATATCAAGGGATGGGTGCATCGATGGATCAAAAAGATATTGTTGGATTTGTAGGGATATGGAAGGATATGAGGGGATTTTAAGAGATTAATGTGAATATCATTGAATATATATTGTGGACAAGTGGATTCAAGCGAGTATGGGGATTTTGAGGTATATCAAGGGATTTTTGGGGATTAGGAGGGACATCAAGTGATATCCCTCTTAATCTCTCGGTCTCGACTCTCGGTCTCGACTCTCGACTCTCGTTTTGGTCTCGGTCTCGGGGTTGATTCTCGGTCTCGACTCTCGACTCTCGGGATTTTTTGACTCTCGAACATCACCACTACCTAAGCGATACCTTCTATTTAGGATACCCTTTTATTGCAGATCAGTTGAGGGGAATAACCGAGGGTGTATTTACAATAGAGGTCTAATTTTAATTTTATATTTTTTTAAATTTCAAGTTAAATTTAAATAATCTTCGAAATGGGAAGATGTCTCAATTTACTGTGGATTATTTTATGTGGCACTTTTTTGGAAGGTAATCCGCAAAAAATTTTTCAAAAAAAATATTTTTTAGACGCATTGAAGACTGCAATCAGGACTCTGTAAAGCTTTACAAATCTTATTTTTATTATCATCAAAAGCCTTGGAATCTCGCTCTTTTTGTGGAGTCATTTTTAAAGTATGTAGAAAAAATTTGAGGGTTTTTCGTTTTTGCGGATTATCCGCAAAATTTTTGCGGATTCTGCCGCAAAAAAATCTTTTTTCGGAGTTTGTCCGCAAAAATTTTTTGCGGATTCCGCAATTTTTTGCGGAGTCCGCAACTTTTTTAAAATTTAAATTTTAGTCGAGATGAAATCAATTTACTCAATTTATCAAAAATCCCAACCCTTGTAATTGTTGGAAATAATTCTGCATTTATTGACGAATCTGTTTATTTCAATTCGCAATTAGACCCGAAGATGACTGAATGGTTAAAGGTTTTTTTTATTTATTTAATTTATTGGGAGGTTTTTTTATTGGGAGGGACTAAAATTTAAATTTAAAAAAATTTAAGGGGAGGGGCGTTTTCTAAATTTTTATCTAAAGAGCTAACAAGAGGACAATTTATAATGATTTGTCCGCAACTTCGAAAAAATCCGCAAAATTTTATTTTTGTCCGCAAAAATGTTTTAAATTCAAACCGACGAATTTTTTGTAATTAGTGTCCTTGGATCCCAAAAATCAATAGGAGAAATCTTGGGGATTTTTGGGGACACAATTCGGGGTTGTCTATGAACTAAATTTGGTTAGGATTAAAAAAAAAATTTTTTTTAAGGTTTCCGATAGTTCTGGATTAGTTTTGGAAGACAGACCTGCAGAAGTTGTCCAAGCTTTTCTATTATTTATTCAAGGACAGGGATTGTGTAAGGAAATTATTTTTTTTTTAATTTTGATTTTTGTCCGCAAGTTTAAAATTTTGTCCGCAAAAAAATTTTTTTGTCCGCAAGTTTTTTTGCGGACAAAAAAAATTTAAAATTCTTCAAAAAAATTTATTTCAAGGTTGTGACTTGGATATTCACAAAATTGTGTCTTCTTTAAAAGGCGAAATGCAAAGCATAAATAAACCGAATAATCGAATTTTGACTATGGAAAAAGTGGATGAATTTAATAATTGATTCTTTCAAGAGCTTTTACATAACAGTTCATGTATATTTTTAAATTTTTTTTCTACTTAAAAAAATTTTTTTGACAATTAAATAAATTTAACTTTTTTTATAACACCTACATAATTGTTTTTATCAATTTTTAAAAATTATTTTTTTAATTTCTAGGTTTATTTGTTAATTTCTAAGTTTTGACCCAGTTCTTAAGGAACAGGCCAAAGTAAGCAATCGTTGTCTCTGCGAGACGCGAGACACAAGTGTCTCACAAACGCAATAGGATTATTTTGAGATTACGAATAAATAGGAGCGAGGCTAGAAAACGGTTACAGTTCCAAACGACGCGATTGAAACGCGCAAACCCAAAAATGTTCAACGTGTTTTTGCGCCGCTTTGGCCTTGAGCCATTTCGGCCTGCGTCGTTTCGGTCGCGCCGCTTTGGCCTGCGCCGTTTGGGCGTGTCTCCTAGTAAATTTTCGATTATTTTTTGGGCGCCTTCTAATTTTTTTATTTTTAGTTTGAAAAAAATTTTTTAAAGAGCTTTAAATTGTTTAAATGGACGCGTCTTTTGATCAATTTGGAGGGTATGGATGGGGAGAACAATCTGGAGGAGGAGGAGGAGGACAAGATTTTAATATCCCTACACCATTTCAAAAAAGCCACATAACTGATAAAATTCCAATCCCAGCAATTGTTGAAGATTTGTTGACAATGTCTAATGATGAGGAAAAGTATGTGATTGGTGGATATTCGTTCAATACGGTTTGTTTAAGTTTTAAAAGATTTTGGGGAGTTTGGTGTAGTGGTAAGGTTTCGGGTTGAGCGGAGAGGAGGGGGGTTCCATAGGTTTAGATTGACCATTTTTAATCAAAAAGGAGTCGCGAGGGCCGAAGGCCCGAGCTGACACCCATCTAAAAGGGAGAACGAGGGCCGAAGGCCCGAGATAAACACCCATCTAAAAGGGATGGCGAGGGCCGAAGGCCCGAGCTGACACCCATCTAAAAGGGAGGGCGAGAGTGGATGGATGAGTATAAGTGGAAGGATGAGTCCCAACGGGGGTAAGACGAGGGCCGAAGGCCCGAAGTCTAAGAGGAAGGGCGAGGGCCGAAGGCCCGAGCTCAGACTCAGATCTGATTAAGGTTTGATCTGATTAAGGTTGCCCGAGCTGATACACATCTAAAAGGAAGGGCGAGGGCCGAAGGCCCGAGCTGACACCCATCTAAAAGGGAGGGCGAGGGCCGAAAGCCCGAGCTGATACACATCTAAAAGGAAGGGCGAGGGCCGAAGGCCCGAGCTGACACCCATCTAAAAGGAAGGGCGAGGGCCGAAGGCCCGAGCTAATACACATCTAAAAGGAAGGGCGAGGGCCGAAGGCCCGAGCTGACACCCATCTAAAAGGGGGCAGGGGCCGAAGGCCCGAGCTGATACACATTTAAAAGGAAGGGCGAGGGCCGAAGGCCCGAGCTGACACCCATCTAAAAGGGATGGCGAGGGCCGAAGGCCCGAGCTGACACCAATCTAAAAGGGATGGCGAGGGCCGAAGGCCCGAGCTGACACCCATCTAAAAGAGAAGGCGAGGGTGGAAGGATGAGTCTAAGTGAAAGGATGAGTCCAAACAAAGGGAACACGAGGGCCGAAGGCCCGAAGTGACTCTAAGTGGAAGGATGAGTCCAAACTAAGGGAACATGAGGGCCGAAGGCCCGAAGTGACTCTAAGTGGAAGGATGAGTCCCAATGTAGGCTAATCTTTTGTTCCAGGCATAAAAAATCGCTAGCGGCGCGCGAAGCGCGCCCCCAAAGCCGTTAGGCTTTCCAACGGGCAGAAGTATCGTAACCTAAAGAACCCCCGATGTATTTTACCGCCACAGTGTCCTGATATCCACCCCAGTGGTAAACCCATCGCTAGTTTAAGTTTTAAAAGATTTTGGGGAGTTTGGTGTAGTGGTAAGGTTTCGGGTTGAGCGGAGAGGAGGGGGGTCCTGGTTCGAAACCGTTGGGGTAATCTATTTTTTAGAGTGTTTTAACTGTCTATAAAGTCGGTGTCTTCTAACGGCTTGGAATTTTTAATCGAGAATTTTGTTGAATGTGGTTTTGTTTGGTAGTTTTTGGCTTTGAGGGGTCGTGGTTCGAATCCGGTCCTTGTAATTTATTTTTTAGAAGGTTTTAACTGGCTATAAAGTCGTTTGATTTGTCGGGTCTGGTTTATTTGGATAGTTTTTGGATATCAGCTTTGAGGATCGTGGTTCGAACCCCGTTGTGGGAGTTTATTTTATTAAAGGGTGAATTTTTCTTGATTAATAAGTTTAGAGAAAAATTTGGTAATTTGTACTTTTTTGAAAATTTGGTGTAGTTGGACTGCTTTAGGTTCTACTTATGATGGGGTCATGGTTCGAACCCCTTTGGGGGAAATATTTTTTAAAAGGTTAAGTCGAATGTTTAATCGGCTAAAAAAATAATTTTAACTTTCTAAAATTTGTTTTAAAAATTTTTTTAACGTTTTTAAGGTCAAAATTATGGGGAGGATTGTGAGTGTGTTTACAGATTCAAATCAATGTACTACCTACGAAATTTGTGATGGAATGGCTGATGATCCACGCGTAGCTAAACGATTTACTGTTATTCGTTATGGAGGGACTGATTTGGTTTTCTTTTAAATTTTTGAGAATTTTTTTATATAAAAATATATTTTTAGCAACCAAATATGGAGCAAGTCTTTTCTGAGGGTCAAACAGTTCAGGCTGTTGGAAAACTTCGACTGGTTTATTTTTTTAAGAAAATAGGGCCTCACAAAGGATGCAAAACCCGGGTGAAGGGCAACTCAAGGAACAGACAAGCCAAGGTACAGTCATTCCTTGGCTTGTCTCCTTGCTTGTCTGTTCTTTGAGTTGGTATGGTCCCATTAAAGAGGAACGGAACTCTTAGGTTGACGGTTCTTGGAAAATCTTCAAGTATCCGGAACCGCAAAACAACTCTTAATACACCAATTTTGCATGTTTTGTGAGGCCATTAGGGTTTAGAATTTTTTAAAAATTATTTTTTAAAGTTTAATAACCGCTTGAGTCTTGTCAGTTTTCACATTCGGGATGTTTCAATGGAAGAAGTTGAAATTTATAAAATGGAGTGTAAACTTGCTAAATATTACTTTTCTAAGGTTTGAAGGAAAAATTTTTTGTTAAGGGGTTTTTAGAGTTTGGGATTAAATATGCTTGTTATTTAAGTGATTTGTCCCAAAATTACGAAAATCCTCGACAATCGGCTCTAACGAACATTAACCGGGATCAAAACAGAAAGCCAAATCCTAGGAGGGCAAATGACACAGAACTTCAGGTCCCATTGGTCAAATTACCCATTAGATCAAATCCAAATATTTGGGAGATAAAGAAGGATCTGTGTAAATGAGACATTTGTGGGTAAGGGGAATAGCGGTGGATTTAAGCAGATTAAGATGGGTTTGTTGGGCTTAAGGGGGATTAAGGAACATAAGACGGAAATTTTTTCGGGAACATGTAGGGTAAGGTTAAAGAAAGCAGGCTTATTACAACTATTTAAAAAGGTCAAAGTTTTTCCCCTTAAATTTTTTAACAGAATTTGCCTGAAAATACCCACGGATTAGAAAATACAATTTTCCGCAATGCACAAACATTGCCCCGTCCAGGAATGTCTTCTCAAGCAACAACAACTCCAAGTCGTTCAACTACAAATATGTCAACTTCAATCACTCCAAACCGTCAACAACCATCAAAACAATCTAATCAATATGCCAATTTATCACAACAACAAGCCAAGGTTTTTTTAAATTTGGTTGAAGGAAATTTTTTTTTCAATTTTAGATAATGGATTTTATCAAACGTTTTGGAGATGCAAATAAAGGTTTGAAAAAAATTTTTGGGGGATTTTAAAAAAATTTTCCGGTTAGTAATCTGAGGTGAATTCTGTGTTGTCTTATCCATGTCTCTTTCCCCCCTTCCCTTCCCTTCCCTCCCTCCCACCTCCCTCTCCTCTTTACTCTTCCTCTCTCCTCTCCTTCTCCCCTCTACTCTTCTTTCCCCCTCCTCTCCTCGTGTTTTCTTGTCCTTATCTCCTGCCCCACTTCCCCTTTCCCCTTCCTTCTCTTCCCTCTCTCTCTCCTCTCTCCCCTCTACTCTTCCTATCTCCTTCTCTTCCCCTTCCTTTCCTCTTTCACCTCCCTCCTTTCCTCTCCCCCCCCTCCCTTCTCTCACGCCTAACTTGGAATGTTAGTGATTTTAAGTTTCAGTTATGGGATATTTCTCTGTTCCTAAAAATCTTCCAAGTTTGGATAACTTTTTGGCACGCCAAAAAAATCACTTCCCCTCCCCACCCCATTTCCCCTCCCACTTCCCCTCCCCACCCCATTTCCCCTCTCCAAATTTTTCCTTTTCCCCATTTCGGGGGAGGGGGAAATTGGGGATATAAATTAATTAAAAAATTAAAAAAAAAATTTTTTTAAGATGGATCGGGCGTTCATGTAGAACAAATCCGTTCATCAATTAAACCTGGACAAGATTTTATGAGTGATATTCAATTTTTGTTGGATGAAGGAAAAATTTATACAACTTTGGATGATGACCATTTTTCGATTATTGATGAGTGTTAGAGAAATTTTTGGGAAGAAAAAAAGTTTTTTTTGAATTTATTTAAGAGAGAATCTCAATTTTAATTTATTTTATTTTAAAAAAGGGTTTAAATTTGGTTAAAAAAAATTTTTTTGGTTTTTTTTTGAAAGGATCTTTCTTTCCTTTAATATTTTTTATATTTTTTTCACATCAAATTTTTTGATGTAAAATTGTGGCTTTGGTTTAGGTTACCTAGGGTTGGGCGGGATCGGTATCCAGCGGGATCCTGATTTTTCTGATGCCTAGACCCAAAGATAAGTCCCGATCCCTGTTTTGTCCACCAATCCCTATCTCGCAGTCGGTATAGGGATCTTTTTTCCAAAATCCAGATCCTGATTTTGTGTCGAAATCCCGATACCGCCCAACTCTAATGTTAACCAATACATAATTAAATTAGAATGCCATATCCTCATCCTTTCCTGTCCCATTTTCCCAACATTTTTAGAAATACTTGGGCGGTGGGGGATATAAGGGCTTGTGGAATCACATGGTTTTGGCACTTTGCACATCACGCAAAAATAATTTCGGTGCACAGCAGGGATGAGCCGGGTTCCCCGAAATCCGACCCGAGGAATTTTCGAAAACCCGTCCCATCACTGGTGCACATTCTTACTCGGGATCGGGGCAATTTTTCCAGTCACAATTTTATTGTGTTCTATTCAAAATCCCTTTTAAAAATTTTTTTTCAGGTCCCTTCCAATTAAAAAAATTTTTTTCTTCAATTTTTAATGGAAGAGGACAATGCTAACGACATAATAAAATGGTTATTTAAAGACAAAACACAAGTTGACTGTAAAGGAATTGTTGAAATGAGTGGGGATGGAGCGAGGAAGACGAAATGGGAGGTTTTGAGTTTTGAAAATTTTTTTTTTAATTTTTAAAATTTTTTTGAAATTTCTGAAAATTTTTTTTTTTTGAAATTTTTTTTTGAAATTTTTGAAATTTTTTTTGAAAATTTTTACAAAAAATTTTTTGAAAATTTTTTTTGAAATTTTTTGAAATTTTTTTGAAAATTTTTGAAAAATTTTTTTGAAATTTTTTTTTGAAATTTTTTGAAATTTTTGAAATTTTTTTTGAAAATTTTTACAAAAAATTTTTTGAAAATTTTTTTGGAAATTTTTTGAAATTTTTTGAAAAATTTTTTTTTTGAAATTTTTTTTTGAAATTTTTTAGAAATTTTTTGAAATTTTTGAAATTTTTTTTGAAAATTTTTACAAAAAATTTTTTGAAAATTTTTTTGGAAATTTTTTGAAATTTTTTTGAAAATTTTTGAAAAATTTTTTTGAAATTTTTTTTTGAAATTTTAAAAATTTTTTGAAATTTTTTTTGAAAATTTTTACAAAAAATTTTTTGAAAATTTTTTTGGAAATTTTTTGAAATTTTTTTGAAAATTTTTGAAAAATTTTTTTGAAATTTTTTTTGAAAATTTTAAAAAAATTTTTTGAAATTTTTTTCAAATTTTGAAATTTCAAAAAAAAAATTTTTTTACAAGGCAAGACTGAAAGGAAACTTGTTGGCTTTGGAAGCTGTTGATTTTACGGCAGAGCCAATTCTGTTTGTCTGCGAAAAACTTGAATTTTGGCCTTCAAATAAATCACAAAATGGATTGAGTTTAAGACAAAACAGCAAAGAATTTTTGATGGAATTTGTTGGGGGAGATTGTGTGGATAAATGGGCAATGCAGGTTTTTTATTTAAACTTTGGGGATTTCTGGAGGGGGGGGGGGGGTATTTTTTTAATCTTCTTGGGTTATTCCCTGGATATGGGCCAAGCCCGTACCCAAAAGGGAATTTTTGGCACCGAAGCAGGGGGACCATTCGAGGCTAAAAAAATTTTCCTCCTTGACCCCTAGCCGGAAAAAATCCCTGTCTACGAGGCTGACCTGGGCTCATGTCTGGGCTCATTCAGTACTATTTTCCATCTTTCCCATCCGATCAGTTTTTCCGTCTCTTTTTGATCGATAATTTCAATTTTACCCACAAATATTTTTCATTTATTTTTTTTCTAGTTGGGCGTTTGCTCTCACAGAGTTACCCAGGCTGAATATGAACAAGTTTTTTTTTATTAATTTTTTATTTTTAAAATTAAATTTTTTCTAGGCTCTTTTTTCTCATTATTCACACGATGCTTCCAAAACTGGATGTTCTCCTCCCTCCCCGTTCAGTTCTTTTCTTCTTTCTCAATTAGCAAAGGAACAAACTTTCAATCTTTTCCAGGTTTTTTAAAAGATTTTTGACTTGATTTGTTGAATGTTCTATCAAGGGCGTTGCCAGAGGGCGATTTCAGGGGGCTAGAATGGGGTGTGCGCCGAAATTTTGAACGCAAACTTTCTCACGATATTTTTTCCATTTCAGGTGTGCTATATCTATAGCCCAAGGGCGTATCCAGGGGGGGGCTAGAGCCCCCCCCCCCCCCCCCCCCCCGAAATGGGGGAAAGGGGGAAAAAGTTAGGAGAAGGATGGTCGAAAAAGTGAAATTTTTTCGCCTACAACCCTCAAATTTTAAAAAATTTTCGCCTGCGGCGCTTAAAATATAAAAAGTTATGTACAAAAAAATTTGCCGTAGGAACGCCAAAAATTTTTGCGCCCACCCAGTGTTAGCCCCCCCCCCCCGAAACCGACCCCCTGGATACGCCCTTGCTATAGCCCCAGAAGCCACTTTTCTTACGCCCTTGTGTCCTATAGTCCTTCCTATGGATGCCCAGCCTTTCTAATTTTTCTAATTATTGTAAGATAGAAGGGGAATCTTTGACTCCCATTTATGAACGCTTCTAAGGCTGGGGTTTAAGATCCATGAAGGAAAGGGAAAAAGCAGGTCCCCGCAGCCGCCCGCTCACATTAGTCTGTCTCACAATCAGCTCGTACCTGGTGAATGAAACAATAACTGACAGGAAGTCATGGGTACGTGGAGAAATAGTGTGGAAAATTAAGAGAGTTTTTTCTAACCTCTCAACTTTTTCCACACATTTAAAAAAATTTTTTTTTAATTTTTCTAGTCAGCAAACATTCCAAATAAAAAAGTTGTGTTAAAAGAAGCAATGTACGAGACAAGACTTTCATTTTTAATTCCTCAAGAAATGATTAAATTATCGTTAAAATGGACAAGTGAAATGCGTGATGAATTACTGGACAAACTTTGGGGAATTAAAAATTCAACAATGTTGGATACTTTACATATGTTTGTTAGACATTTGAATTCTAATATTGAGGTTTCTTTTTGTTTTTTATAAAAAAAATTTTTCAAAAAAAGTTTTTGAGGGGTTTTGCGGGGGTGGGACAAATTGTCATCTCTTCTCTAGAGTTAAAGAATTTTATGACTGAAATGGCTAGAATAATTTTAACCAGATGTACTTACTGGTGAGCTCCAAGCCCACACAGTTTCTGACCTGAATGGGCACATGACCACTTTGTCCGCAAAACTAGTCCGCAAATTTTGTCCGCAAAAACTTGTCCGCAAATTTTTGTCCGAAATTTTTTGATTTTAATTTTGGCATATCTTTTAGTTCTGAGTTAGTGCTAATTATTAAATGTTTTTTCAGATTCACACACAGGCCTCAGAATTTTTGGAAAATTATTTGGGACCTTCTTTCAGACCTTCAGTAGAAAAATATCGTCTCTCATTTCTTCACGTTCCAACAAATTTACATGTACAAATGTTTTATATAGACAGTAAAAATGTTGGAAATTTTGTAACTTCAGGTTTATTTTATAAAAGAAAATATTTTTTAAAATTTTTTAAAATTTTTAAGGAGCATTAACAGCAATGCCTTTGCGTTATTCTAATGGAGGGATGTTTAATTTAAGGTTTTTTCTTTAAAAAATTTTTTAATTGATTGGGTGAGGGGTGTGAGGAAGGGTAATTTAATGGGTGATAATTTGGGGGACCACGCATATTTAAGGAGTACTGAGGGGCAAAACACCGTCTGACCATAAAAAACACTTGGAATTACACCAATTATAAATTTGTTTCCTGTCGATATCATATTACTTTTGTGTTTTTGGAACCTAATTTAAGACTATTGGGTCTTAAATTATTGTTAGTACTATAGTAGCTTCTATAAAAATTTTATTTGAAAATTTGTTTATTGTAAGAGATTCGTACGTTATTTAGGTTGGACGGTGTTCTGTCACTGCACAATACTTACATTAGGTTAATTGAATTTTGGTGTAGTAGACTTCTGGTTTGCTTGTTTAAATGAGCAGGGTCTATTCCAAATTGTCTTTTTTGTTGAATTGACTCTTGGGATTAGGGTTGGTCCCCGACGGGGAGGGGGTCACGAAAGTTTTTCGGGGAGGCAGCACCACGGGGGAGGGACGATGAAAATTTTTATTTTTTACGGGGGGGGGGGGGGGTAACCCTATTTGGGACCTATTAAAGTAAAAAAAATTTTTAAATGTTCAAACACTTCAAAAAAATTTTTTTTAATTTTACTTCAATTTTAGAAACAAATTTCTATCCAACTTAACACCCCAAGCAATTGACCAAACAGATGAAGGACGTTTTTATAGACGAAAACAGACCTTAATTAAATTAAAAAGAATGATTGGAGAATTAAGTAGAAGAATTGATATTGAATGGAAAATAAATGAAAAGGGGGTTAATAGTGCTGATAAAATTGTTGTTGGAATTTTTGCTGAGTCTAAACAGGTTTTTAATTTTTTTGGATATGCTAGGAATTTTTAAGGAGGTTGAGGGTGTTTTAAGAAAATTTTTGGAAACAAAAAGTTTAATGTTTTGGAAGTCCCATTCCTTTTTCTTAATTTTTCCTTGTCCAGTTTTTTTTTCTTTTTTCCTTCTCTCATTTTTCCCTTATTTTTCCTATTTAATTTTTACTCGTGTCAGTCCTAAAAATTTTCGACGCAAAAAACAGGTCCGCAACTTTCAAGTCCCCAACTTTCAGGCCACGGAACTTGGCAAGGCCCTCAATTATAAAAATCGATTTTCAAAATAACCTCTTTAGCCTTTTAAAATTCCTTATAATTTTTAAGTCAGATTTCATTAAAGGGGTATTCTTAAAGACATTCTAACGCTTTAAGAACTAAAATTAATTTTTCATTTTTTTGCTTCAAAAAATATTTCAGATTCACGAAATGCTTCTCGATTTAATCAATTCCTTCCCAAATATTTCCAATCTTGTTGATGCTTTAAGCGAAGGGGGATTAGCCCAATTACAACGAAAAAATGCGGATTCAGTCCCTCGGGATACTCTGTCAAGTCAACTAGATTTATTAGAAGCACATTTTGTTTCATTAAATTCAAAAATGGCTGCAGCAGAAAAGGTGGATATTAAAAATGAAGAAAAGAAGAAATCTTGTGAAGAAAATATTAAAGCATCATTTCATTCTACTTTGGATAGTTTACACCATTTGGGTTGGATTTTTTAAAAAATTTTAAAAAAATTTTAGATTAAAAAAATTTTTTAATGCATTTTTAGCAGTTGCTTCAAGTTCTAGATTTAATTTGATTTAAGTTGAAGCAAACTTTTTAAACTTGAAACTAGAGATCGGAATTTTGTTCCGTACCGTAATACCGAAAAATACCGATACCGAAAAATACCGATGAAATTCAAAATGTTGCCGTACCGTATTCCGTACCGTATTACCGACTGTAATACCGATAAATACCGAGAAATACCGACAAATACCGATGTTTTTCATCGGTACCGTATTCCGTACCGTATTTTTTTCAAAATTTTTCCGTACCGTATTCCGTACCGTATTACCGATACGGAATACCGATAAATACCGAAAAATACGGCCGTAGTACGGTACGGTCCGATCTCTACTTGAAACAAAACCAGAATTATAATAAAACTTGTTGAAAAAATAAATCAGAACAATAATAAACCTAGTAAAACTTGAGTTCAATCTTAAAAACAATAAACTTAAGTTTGTAGTAATTTCCGGAAAAATCAGAATTATTAAAGTATTTTCCGGAAAAGGTTTATTTTCTGTTCTGATTTATTTTATGTATTTCTTTTTGGAAGATTAATGAAACTTTTTTAATAGTTCAGAATTATTCAAGCATTTTCCGGAAAAAATAATTTCCGGTTGAGTTATAATTTCTTGATTTATTTTATTTCTTTTCCGAAAAGTTTCAACTTTTAACTTTTCTAAAAAATTATGGTTTATATTCTTTGTTTCATTTGTTTATTTTTTAAGCATTAAGTATTGAATCAGCACAAATGTTATCATTAATTCAATGCCTTAGAAACAAAAATGATTGTCAAACTTTTTTTCATTTGCAATTGAGACATGATGCTCTTCTTTCGCAAGTAATTAGAAACTTGAAACATTTTTGAGAAACCTGAAACACTTTTAAATTTTACAATTGTTTTCCGGAAAAAGTTTATTTTCCGGAAAGTACATGAAACGTATTTTTAAAGGCTTCAGAATTTAATAAAAGTTTCCGGAAAGAATTTAAATTTCAGGAGTTATTGAAATTCGCTTCCGGAAAAGTTTTCAGAATTGTTGAAGTTTATTTTCCGGAAAAAGTTTATTTTCCGGAAAAAGTTTATTTTCCGGAAAAAGTTTATTTTCCGGAAAGTATATATTTTTATAGTTTCCGGAAAAATCAGAATTATTTAATAATTTTCTGGAAAAAGTTTAATTTATTATTTTCAGAATTATATTTTCCGGAAAAGTTTCAGTAAACAGAATTAATTTCCTTCTGTTTTTAATTCAATTTTAAAGGCAATAACATTAGCAACAACTTCACTTCTTTTATTAATTTATTCTTCAAAAAATTTAATTAATTTAAATTATTCAAAAACAAATGTAACACCTTTATTAATTAATTTTTCTTTTTTGAGTTGTTATGGGGATGAACACGGAATGGTTTGTTTGGAAATTTAAAAAGGGAAAAAAATAATTTTTTTGAAATTAGATTGAAGATGCTTTTGACATGTGGCAATTATTCCATGATGTAGCCCAGTTTAGGTTTATTCCAACAAATTCATCGGTATGTTGAGGAACATGTTTCAGACAACGAGAAACGGTGGAAATGAAAGCTTCAGAGAAAGTTGAAGCATGTTTCAATAATTGTGAAGCATGCTTCATTGAGTCTAAAACATGCTTCATTAAATTTGAATTATGTTTCGCTAAATCTAAATATGTTTCATTAGGCCTGAAGCATGTTTCATTAAATTTGAAACATGCTTCATCGACTGTAACAGTAAATCTGAAGCATGCTTCATCGAACCTGAAGCATGTTTTACCAACTTTGTAGCATTTTCACTAAATCAGAAGCATGTTTCAGTAAACCTGAAACATGTTTCTATCGAATTTGAAGCATGTTTCATCGAATCTGAAACATGCTTCATTAAGCATGAAGCATTAACTCTGAAGCATGTTTAAAACTATGATCAAGTTTTTCTTTTTTTCTTTTCCAGATTATCCAAACATGTTTTCCACAAATTGAAGGATTTCGAACAAATATAAAAATTTCAATACCTTTGCCTTCCGAAAAAATTGTAGAATTACCCAAAGGAATGTCAAAAGGGGAATGGTTTTGTCCGAAAATTATTTACTGGAATTTGGGTGTAAATCATGAAGCATCATTAGCAGCAAGTTCTGTTGGAGGGGGAAATAATTCTTTAGAAGAAATGATTAATAGAACAGCATTAAAACAATTAGATGAATATATTTCTATTTTATTGTTAACTTCAAGTATGGATTTAAATTGTGTTGAAGCAGTTAATAGATTAATGGGTGATCTTAGAGAAACGGTAAGAGTTGAAGAAAATTGTTTGAGAGGGGAGAAGCTTTATATATTGGAAACTATGCTTCAGTCTTTTTTGAAAAATTTTTCAAATTTATCTGAAGCATGCTTCATCTTTTTTGGAAGCAAGTTTCGGAATTTTTTAAACATGAAGCATGCTTCATAGTTTTTAGACATGAAACATGTCTTGAAGCATGTTTTAGATTTATTTGAATTATGCTTCAAATTTAAACATGAAGCATGTTTATGTTTTAGATTTATCTGAAGCATGTTTCAAGTTTTCATGGAGCACGTTTCAATTTGCTTGAAACATGCTTCTGATTATTTTAAACTTGCTTCAAATTTTTGGAAGCAAGTTTCAGAATTTATTCAGACGCTTCAGAAATTTTTTGAAACATTTCGAATTTTTGAAGCTTTCAGTTTTTAATTGAAATAATTTTTTTCTATTTTTCCAAGGTTTCAATAAATGCTTCAAAAAAGAATTTGACAATATTTAAGCTTGTAATGGAAATTACTCGAATTTTGTCTGGTATTTCTATTTTATCCTGTCAAAGTGGAAAGGATCGGACTTCAATGGCTTTGACTTTAGAGGAGGGGAGGATTTTGAAGGAAACTTGTGGAATTTCTAATCAACAGGTAATGGAGATTGAATGAAAGTTTAAAAAAATGTTGCAAGAACTCGCAAAAGAAAGTTGTAAAATGGTCAAAAGGCTAAAAAATGTAAAAATGTGTTTTTTATTGGAGATCGAGTTGAGTTTCTTAGGCTGTAAACGACCCTATGGATGTTTCAATTAAATTTGAAACATGCTTCAGTTTTTTTGAAGCATGCCTTAGACTTTTTGAAGCAAATTTTAGAATGATTTTCCTATATATTACTTGCTTCAATATGAAAAAGTAGAGACTCAGTAGCTCAGAGCTCACCTCAGCTCGTATGCATGTTGAGCGAAAGCGCTTAGCAATAAACTGACAGTGGGTTTGGGAATTAATGCCTGCTTAAGGGCTACACTTTCCTCTCTTTTATTACTTGCTTCACTTTTCTAAAAATTTTAATGTTTTTAGATGCTGGAAATAATTTCTTGTTTACGCAAAGAAGGTGTTAGACGTGAAAATTGTCGAAAAAATGTTGGAAAGCCTCTATACAAATTTAGCCCTTTTCAAATGAATTTTTTACCAAAAGAATTTAGACCTCCTATGGGTACTTTTACTAATTTTGTTTCTACTTAGAAAGAAAGGGAATTATTTTTAAATTTTTATATAATTTTTTAAAATTGAGACTTTTTAATAAAATTTTGTTAAAAAATAAAAATTAATTTTTGGAAATATTTTTTAGTGGGTTTAGGTCCGAAGAGAGGAATTAGTCCCGATTGTCAACTAAAATGCTGGTTGGTAGGGTCTATGGCTTGAGGAGCTTGGACTTCTTGAGGAGGAGAGGAGCTTGGAGAGGAAGAGCTTGGAGGAGGACAATCTCCTCCAAGCTTAAGGAGCTTGGACTTCTTTATGAAAAATAGTAGACTTCGTAAAATAGACGTGTTAGGCAAATGGATTTTTCCAATATCAATGCCGGGCGTAACCAAAAATACCGAGTCAATACTTTCGGGACTTTTTTTTTAATATTTTTTGAATTCGAAATTTCCTAAAAATAAATTTGATATTTTACCAAAATTAATTATTCCTCTTTTAGACATTTTGTAATTTTAAGTTGCTGAGACTTTTTGAATTAAATTTTGTGCATTTTTGGCATAATGTCTATTTATTTAGAGATAATATGGAAGACATAGAAAGGAAGTCGACGCTTTTCTGTTTTCTTTTTTCAAATTTTAATTTGCATTTTTCTTTCTTTTTCCTTCGTTTTCTTTTAGTTTTTCTTGTTTTTTAGAGATTTAAAAAATTTTTTAAATGATATTACGCTGCCATTGTACTAGTCGCTGCCATTGTACTACTATGCTCTGCCATTGTACTAGTCCCTATGATATGATGTGATGGAGATGTTGGATCTTGCTCGTTGGAGACGGATTCTGATTTTTTATTTGAACGATGAATGCTTTAGAGTTGTTGAAAGGTTTCTTTTTCTAAATTTTTGGGTTTTAAGATACGTAGGGGTTTTGTCTGATTGGACATGAGTCACTTGAAATGTATCAGGGATGTGTCGGGTTCACCGAAACCAAGTCGTTTTTCTACTCGAAAACAAACTGAAAACCAGATCCGAAACTTTGACGGAAATTTCTTCTGTAAAGCAATCTGGCTTTTTGGCCTCCAAAATTTCCCCTGTGGCATTTAAAAGCGAAACTAACTGGCTTTCTGAGCACATTGAACCTCCGGATTTTTAACCCGACACATCCCTGATTTGTATATTTCTGGTGTCGATATTCTGGGGTAATCCCCTTTATTGGGTACTTATTGGGGCAGGCAATTTAATTTTCTGAATATCATGAGAAGGACACACTTTTCCTCTCTTACACAATCATGTAAATGTAGACAGGATTAATTCCCAACCAGATTATAAAAACGTTTATGTCTGAAGGCAACATTCTATGTACATTTTCCTCTAACGTTGTTTTCAAACCGATTGCCAATTCAAAATTTTCCAATGAAAATTATCCTTCCCCTGTTTACCATAAAAAATCAATGTAGATCAACCAAAACTGTTTCTGGGTTTCCATTAAGTAAAATTTCTGAATTAAATCTAAACTAACTCGTCCCACTTTGTCGCTAAGTTTTCGCTCCTGTTTATTTTACAAACAGAATCAGAGTAAAACCTACGTAAATCCTTACATTTTTGTAAATTTGGCAACTAATTAGAATTCACTCACTCCGCTTGTCCAATAATTTTTTGTTTTTAGAAAAAAGCAAAAACCGATTTTTTAAAAATTGCGTCGAAGGGGCGAAAAAGAGATCTGCGACAAAGTGTCCTGTTTCAATTGAAAACGAAATAGTTAGGATATTAGAGAAAAAGAGAAAAACCGTTCTTTTTATTCAAATTTAAAAATGGCTTCCTTTTTGCGTTAAGTTTAGGATTATCTCTGTTTTGTTTTCAAGTTTTTTTTTTCAATTTTTCACCTGATTTTTTAAAATTTGTTTGTTTTTTCAGAAACATTTTTCAAATTTTCAATGATCTCCACCTCAATTTCTTTAATTATTCTTCAATTTTGAATTTTATTCACAAGGAGGATCTCAATCATGCCAATATTCTTCCACTATTTTGTGAATACTGGAGGATCCAACAAGGTTTAGTTTAAATTTTGGGGTTCCAAAAAGTTAAAATCAACCTCGACCTCCCCCCTTTTTTTGCACCAGATGAGCTGCTGTTACGGGCCGGTATAATGGGGTGTACCCGTTTTAGATGTGGTGATTAATTTAAAGTCCGATGGCCCGATGGTTTTTCAAGCATTCTTGTATTGCTAGTCATGCTAATAATTTAGTCCTGGGCCATAGTTAAAAATTTCTGGGGAATCATTTAAATTTTTTTGTTTTGTATTCAAAAATTATTTTTTAATTTTTTCACTTTAGGTAGAGGTGTGCGAAAAACATCAATTGCTCCTTACTGTAATTACGCAACTTCAATTGCTGTCTGTGCTGCTGTTGATGGTATTTTTGCAAGTTTAATTTTATATTTTTGGGAAAATTGTTTATTGTAGTGCAAATTTGATATATTTTTGGTACTACTCGGTAGAGACCCTCTACTTCCAAGTGCGAAGAATATTTATGAACAATAAAAATTTATGCCTTCGAAATTGGTTTCGAGGGAATAGGCTCCTATCAGGTCGAAATATATCCAATAGTAAGTCAGTAGTCTTCGATTGATTGGTACCAAAATAATTATCGAATTCGCACTGCAAAAATACATTTAAACTAATAAAAAGGCCAAAAATGATGATTGAGCGGTAAATTAAGAAATACCATTAGAATGGACCAGTGGTTGTATTCGAAAAATCGATATAGCAGATAACCCAGAACTTTACCTAGAAATGAAAGAAGAGAGTTTTGACAGGCTTGCACCGATTAGCCACGGTTTTTGATTAAAAGCAGTTGTCAACTTTTACGAAATCCCCATGTCACCCCACGTACTCTCGTTTTTAAAGAGAGGTTTGTTCGACTCGGATGACCGAGAGGAATCGAATGAGCTGAGTTAATACGTTTTGTGTGGGTCCTCGACTAAACTACCTCTACCTTCATTTTCGGGTTCTGGGTTAACCTGCTGTTTCGATTTTAGAATACGACACTGATCTGTATCCATTGGTGTTTATTTCTTAATTTCTAACTTGTTAATCAATTTTGGCTTTTGTTGGTTTTAAATGAGTAACTCGAAATTTATAATGAAAGTTCTAGGGTTCCGCTCACGAACCAAAAATCCTTTTTTCCATGTATCGTGACAAAAATTATTGAAAGATGTTAAATTTGTTTTTATCCCTGATTTACAGGGTGCCTCAAAAGTCTTTGCCCACTTTTCTAATCATTCTTTTACATTGTTGCCTAAAGCTTATTAATATAAATTTATATTGATTTTAAGGTTCATTAGATTCTCTATAATGTCCGCTAAAAGAGATTCAATTATTGCTCTTCATCAAAGTGGAATAGCCTCTTCGAAAATTTCATCTATTCTTAAGGTCCCAAAGCGAACTATCAATTATACTATTAAAAAATTCCGGTATATTTAAATCCCGAGTAAAGAATCTAAATTTACTTTAGTGAGCATGGCACAACTAAGGACTTAAATCGTAGTGGTCGACCGAGGTCTGTCAATACTTCTCGGAACCGTTTATTGATCAAAAAGCGCATCAATCGAAAACATCGAATTTCTCTAAGAAAAGTGGCAAGGGAGACTGGTCTTGATAAGGAAGCAGTTCGACGAATAGCAAAAAATGAACTCGGTTTCAAGCCCTACAAGATACACAAAGCACAACACCTAACTGAAATGAACAAGAAACTTAGGCTCGAAAGAAGTCGTCTGCTATTGGCTCGCGCCGCTGGTACTGAGATACTCTTTACTGATGAGAAAATCTTTACAATAGAAGCATTTCACAACCATCAGAATGATAGAATCTGGGCTAAAGAATCTCCTCTTTCTGATAAAATTATCACTCACTCACAACATCCCCAATCTGTCATGGTTTGGGGCGGGATCTGCGCGTCAGGCAAAACACCCCTTATTTTTGTGGATCCAGGGGTAAAAATCAACAAAGACTATTATCTAAGGGAAATTCTGCAACGTGTCGTGAAGCCTTGGACAGTTAGCCATTTTAAGCGCAGAGACTGGATTTTCCAACAGGACTCTGCTCCGGCTCACAAGGCGAAAGAAGTTCAGGATTGGTGCAGGGTCAATTTTCCAGGATTTATTAACACTCAGGAATGGCCACCTTACTCGCCGGACTTAAACCCGATGGATTATTCCGTCTGGTCTATTTTGGAGTCAAGGGCATGTGCTAAGCCTCACAAAAGTTTGGAGTCGTTACGACTTGCTTTGACTCGAGAATGGGAAAAAATTCCAGCACAAGAGGTGCGGCAAATTTGCGAAAACTTTAGCACGCGTCTGCGCCTTTGTATTAAAGCCAAAGGGGGGCATTTCGAAAAATCCTAATTTATTTTGTTCTCCATTAAATTCTCTATTATTTGATTGTATTTTGTTATTATTTGATTGAGTTTTAATAAAGTTATATTAAAAAATGTGTGGGCAAAGACTTTTGAGGCACCCTGTAGTACCAACAAAATCGAAAAACCATCTTTGAATAAAAAAACCACATTTTCGAATCAATGAGTTTGGTGTCATTCTTGATTTTTGAAGCCGGAGCTGGGCCCCCAATGGTTTTTCAATTTTCTGGGTCTGAAATTCAGTGAAAGCAATAACCTTTTGAGCATTTTTTGATTCTGGGTCTCGATCATTTTAGATAAAACATAATTTTTGATGGGTTCGTGAGTAGTCTTAGCAAAACTTTTCTTATCTTTGTTTGCACAGCCTCCAATTTCATTTTTTCACTAAATCTTTTCTTAATTTTTTGCCGAACGGCCAAGTGAAAAATTTAAGTTATAACTAAACAACATTTAGGGGTGAAAATAAGGATACTGGACCATAATTTTAAACAAATTTTTTAGTTAACCCCCAGGGTACGATTTAAATCAGTAAACTCATTCAACTATGGAGACAAAGACGCCTATATAAGTCGGCATTTGGTTTGCTCGTGAGCACTAAATTCTAGTGAAGATATTGAAGGCCCTTCATTGTACCTGGC